TCCGGGCGCACCGAGTATACTGCGAGCGTCAGCAGGGATCGAATCCAATGTCAGCGAAGGAAAGGGCTGAGATGTAGCAGATGATCGTCATAGGGCCGAAACAAATAGGCATGAGCGGTTCTCATAGTCCATATATTTATAATCTTTGAAGTATTCCAGAGGTGCAAGAAATTATGCTGTTCGCGTCCGAATCATACCTCTCCCGGCTAGGCTGGAACCCTTTCATGCCCGTGGTGTAACACTCATCCTCCTCTCTCGAAACAGTGGCTGTGGAGGAGCCTGTTCTTTACTCTGTTGGTTTTTTTTGTAGTTTTTAAAGTTTTTTCAGAGATTAAGTTGTGTTAATTAATTTAGATGTCAAAATGACTTTAAAAAATGAATGTTGCAGATTTGCCTAGTGCAGCGACAAAAGAACTGAGTGAAAAAATACTAACAGAAAAAACTAACAACTTATCGAGGTTCGAAGACTCAAAATCGTCACAGCTCCCAAAACCAATTGCGGTCATGTCAACAAAGAACAAAAAAAAAAGGGCGGATGATACGATTTGACAAAAAATGCAATTACGAATTTATGCGCTACCCAAAAACTGATTTAGAGAGTTTTTTTCCTGAATATATATGTACACCCATGGTAACACCCTCCCCATCCCAAAAATTAGTTCCCCCCTATAAAAATCCGCGTATGCCGAGGACTCGTCGGACGTCGTTTGTGAAGCGCAACGAGTCGAGGATGGGGAGCAGGTCCAGTAGCGCCTCGTCCGATGGGTCGTGTGTCCATCCTTCTATTGGAATGCCATTATCTGCGTGGTATCATAAATTTGGATGAAAAAGATAATCAGTTTGAGCGTTCATGAAATCAATCAAGAACGTGATGCAAAGTCGTGTTGTAGCAGAGTGAGTAAGGAAAGTGCAGACCAACCTTCGTTGATGCGATAACATATGGGTGAGTTGTCGACTAGGCAGACACGAGAGAGATCTTGCTCGACTATGGAGAGATCTTTGGTATAAGATCCGTTTGGAAGAAGCGTGCATGACTGGGAGATGTAAGGAAAGGTAGGGAGACGAGTGAAAGGTGAGACTAACCTCGCGAAAAAAACGGCGTGCAAGGATGCCACGGCCGGCATCTAGCCAGTCGATGACAGGATCAGCATACTCCTGCATGGAAGCTGTGAATATAACAAGGGTATACCACGCCGAGACCTGTAGATGAGATTAAAGAGAGGACGGTGACGACGACGATGACAATTCACCCCGACGCGACGAGGAAGATGGAGAGAGTGATGCTCACCTTTCTAAGAAAGTAATCGACGAATGGTCGTTTGTAGACGTGGTAGAGAGTGCTGCGGCCTCCGAGGAAGACTTGGACGGTGGTGCCCTTGTTTCGGGAGCCGAAGCTGGTAAAGCTGAGGAGGCCTGAACCACCAGAGGCGTAGGAAAGGATGGGTTTTGAGGTGGAGTGGATGAGGGTTTCATCGAGATCGAGGACGAGGGTCTTTGGAGCGTGGAAGGGAGTTCTGTGTGTGGTGAGGACGGGAGTGGAGGATCTAGAAGCAGAGTCTAGGAGCGTCGAAGACTGGAGAGAGGATTGGTGGGAAGAGAGTGGGGGAGGGTGGAATGAATGCGAGTGGTTGATGCGATGTATGATGGAGAGTGGAGTTGAAGATGGAGGAGGAAGGATTGGTGGTGGATAAGGGAGAAGAGGCGAGTCTGGCGGTGGTTCCTGTTTTATTTGGGCGATATCGTTGGAGTGAGGACGATCTGGGGTAGATGGGAGAGGAGAGTCTCTGAGAGAGATGGCGACTGGTAAGGAGGCCCAGGTAGCACAGAGAGAGTTCCAGAGGAGGACGAACACGCGGACGAAAAAGAGACGGCGGAGGAGGGGACGGATTCTGAGTCTGTACTTGGAGTGAACAGGTGAGTCTGCGGATGGCTGGGAGGAGAGTTTAGGAGATACGAAGGTGGAGGCGGGTGGGGAGAAGAGGATGGAGGAGGACCAGGAGGAGGATGGCTTTGGGGGAGCATTTGTGCGGGGAGAGTCAGTTGTGGGAGTGGATGGGGGAGTGCGTGGATTTGCGTAGACGTCGAGCTGACGGGAAAGATAACTGAGGGAATTCATGCGGGGGTCAAGTGCACGTCGGTGTAGTACCAGTCACACTTGTACTCAACTCGCCTGCTCGCTCCGCGTGACCGAATCCAGTCACTCAACACGTGTGTCTGCAGTGCACACGTTCTCGCTCTCTACTACCGCTCTACTCCATCATCACCTGTCTCTCTCCTTGCCCTAATCCATTACTCACTATCTTCTTCCCTTTGTTCTTACCCGACAGATTCCATCACGAGTCTCAAACGCTACACTTCTTCGTATCTCATCGCTGCATTTCCAATCATCTTCACTATACTACAATCACACAATATCTTCCTCACAGCAGGTATCGGTATCCTTTCTCCATCCCCTTCTCCTCCTCCTCTTCCTCCGCCTTCCGGTTCAGATACGCCAAGTGCTGTCTGAACACCCAACTCATCACAACCGCAGTTCCGCTCGTCGCAATACATATCCCATACGAGTATCGGTACGTCGGTCCCCAGTTCGACGGCCATATGTACCTGCACCAGCCCCTGTCAATATTGTACTCGTCGTACAGTCTCGCCACACTTACGATCCTGCAACATTTCCCAGCTGCGAGAACGCATTGATCAACGCCAGCGACACCGCACGCTTCGAAGGCGGTCTGGGGAATGAGTTGCTCATCCACGCATACATCACCACAAATCCTGCGTATGACTGCGCCATCAAGAATCTGCTCATCCATTCAACATCAGCGCACACGATCTCTACCAAAGCACGCGACTCACAAGGACACATATCGCGCAGCTGTGTTCATCGTGCTGATCGCGATCACGAATCCGATGATACCAGTGATATACGACCCGATCATATGGTAAAATCGCTCGCCCGCTTTATCGCTCCGTCTACAATGTAAAATTAAATACACATCAGCTGCTCCTTTCTTGCATCTCAAGTTCGACAATAATCGGTTTACCAGATCACTTACCTAGACAGATAAAACGCAAACAATGCCGTAAACACAAATGGTGGCGCACAAAGCAGGAGCGTCACTGTCGGGTTGTATCCCAACGTAGCGCTCAAAGTTGGGAAATATGCATTGAACGACAGCGCGATCACTTGTGCCAACATCGCGAACGAGAACCACCACACTTTCCAGTCGGTCAGAGCGAGATACAACCCAGATACTTGTCCCCCTTGTTCCGTCTCATCTTGATCCCCCATTCCCGCGGCGTCCTCCTTCATACGCAGCATCGCGAGCCGTCGTTCTTCGTCAGTGAGCCACCGCGTGGTGGTGGGAAAGTCGGGCAGGATAAAGATTGCGCATATAGCGACAAATACTGTGAGGCTGCCCTCGATATAGAAAAGCCATCTGGGTTGAATAAGGTGGGTCAGAACGTTATTAAAATAGCGAAATTGAAAGGGAGCTGCATAACGTAACCAAGACACACCTCCACGCTTGGTGACCCAGAACTCCGTTCATGCCGCCGAGAATGCCAGACGCGATAAGGGAACCAAAGGCGTTGCTGATAATGTTACCGCAATAGAGGATGGCAGTACGCAGGCCGATTTCGTCGCGCTTATACCTGTGTCATCAGCACAAGTGTGAGCTTGCGGATGAAAGTTTGAGATATGAACAGCTGACCATTTTGAGATGAGGAAGAGAGAGCCCGGAAAGAAGGCTGCCTCGACGAAGCCGAGGAAAAATCGGGTGAGAAGAGCGCCTACGAAGCTGGTACACGTTACATATGAACAATGTCTGCCGAGAAAAGCAAAGGAAATGACGCACTTGGTAGTAATACCAGTAAGGCAGGATATGACTCCCCATATGATCATACAGATAGGCAAGTGCAGCGATGGCTTTCCGATGTAATTGAGGAACATGTTACTACGGTTATTTTTAGTTTCCCGACTAATCAGCAAGTCTGGGCAAACGAGATGCTTACGAAGGTATTTGCATGATGATGTACCCAACGTAGAGGATGGAGAGCAAGGTTGCGAACTCTTGACCTTGGAGATGAAGATCTGTCTGAAGACCTCGTAATCGTGCTGCACTGTATGCAGTAATCTTTTATAACACGTTGATGCAAACGACCTTGAGGAACGTACCCCGCATTATTACGATCGATCTGCGCGTACATTCAGTACCCAACATTCCACAAAATGATCAAAATTAAAAAAGGAAAACAAAATCGATCCAAAAGGCTTCTCAAATATCTCAAGAACCAACACGAAAAGGACGCTCACTCACGTAGTTCAGGATATAGATCACCACCAAGATCGACATTCTGGTATCGAGCTTCCACAACAACTTCTTCTCGAGTTTCTTCCGCGCTTCATAACCGCCAAATTCAGAGTCGGGGTCGGGCCCTTGGACGGTGGCATTTTCCTTGCTCTCCTCCAAGCCTTTCTCTGCGACTTGCATTGAGGGGGGATGGAATGTGTTGGATGGCATCAGTTACACTGAATAGTTGGAGGACAACCTGGAAAAAAGAAGCCGCCTCACGCCAGGATGGATGACCTTGATAAGAACTTGCAGGCATGATAGTATTTTATCCGCTGGACATGTTTTGGAAGCGGATGTCCACCTGAGAAGTCACAAGGGCAAAGAAATGAAATGGTCGCCCGCACCGACAATTCCGCAGTGGCGGAACTAGCGGAACCTAAAGAGTTGGGTGAATATAATAAGCACCGTGAGAATATCTTTGGCAATCCAGTCACGTGCGACGCGCGCGATTGACGCGTTTTTGGGAATTACGCTTTACGGCTTGTTTATCAGCGACCACGACGGGATCGCGAAACGGCGGCTTGCGACAACACAGCTAGCAAGCTCCTTTATTTTCTTTATTTTGCGACAACATAACGACTCTTTTATTATATATTGTTTAAAAAACATCCCGCTTTTAATGGTATGGCATATAACGTCGAGTCCTCGCTAGACCCGCGTGTCGCCCTGTGCCAGCGTATTCAGTTGGCAGTTGCGGACCTCCCACAAGTGAGCGCGGAGGATATACCCCAGGACGAGTCGTGCCCTATCTGTCTCCTCTCATTTGCGAAGATATTGTCGGAGGAACAGGAATTGGAAGGGGCCGGAGATGAAGCCGAGGAGAAGGGAATTACTAGGTTGACGAGCTGCGGGCACATGTTTTGTCGAAACGAGTGAGCTTTACTTTCTTTTCACTTGGGTTTCTTTTCCCGTGGCTTCATGGCTATTGCTTGATCTGATGACGGTTATCTTCTTTTGGCTTTTTCCAACAGTTTGGCTGAATGGATTAGAAGTTTTGTGAGTGGTCCTTTCTGTTATAAAAATATGCAAGTGGCGCCTGATGATAGTTGGGATTCCTCCCCCTATTTCTTTTTTTGCTTTCTATTGGATGATTATAGCATGGCAGCTGTCCGACCTGCCGACATTCGTTTCTTGACGTGCAAATACCCGTAGACTCCGATGGGGAGTCTTCTGATGGGGACTATATGCCAGATGAAGAAGATGAGGAGGAGGAGGATGAATTCTTGGATACGGATGGGTTCAATGACGAATTCGAAGTGGAGATGGAGATAGATATGGATAGTATGTGGGACGACGGTCCGGAGGATATGGATGACCATTCACAGTGGGGGGACATGGAGGCCTCATCTGAAATAGGGTTCGATGCTGGCGAAGAGTTTGGTGCGTGGTGTCCCCTTGTTTTTCTCTCAATTTATTTTTACGTGCGTCAGCTGATGAACTCACGTTTTGTCGGTGGTTATCCAGCTCCGATATATGACGCGGATGTCGAGCCAGTCAACGAAGAGGCTGACACTACATTAATTGAAGAATCCACACAGGATCCCAAGTAGGAACTTGTTTGAATGGCCCTTTTTTCTGTTGGCTTCTTTACCTTTTTTTTTATTTTATTTTTTTTACCGCCCATTGGTTTGTAACAATTTAGCGATTTCTATATTCTGTTTTTATAGTAAACATCGAATGTCTATTCATTGACGAGAGCCCTGAGAATATCCTCAATTGCTGCGTCTTCTCGTCCTTCCTTCCACACGCCAATAAACTTTCCGCTCCATCTTGGGCCCCTTCCCCCACCTTTGACCCCTATTTCGGTCTTTAACCGTTCACCGGCGGTCTTTACCTTTTGCTCATCTGATCCAGAAACAAGTACCACGCTCGTGCTTGATGTCGTTTGAGAAGAGGGTGACGATGTCATGACTAACAGGTAAGGAAGCTTTTCTGTCACGGTGTTGGAAAACGAGAAGGACACGGAGGACAGGAAGCCCAGTGCGTTCGCCGCATCGTCTGTTCTGTGTAGATGCTTCACGAATAAGCGCTCTTCTGATTGATCACAAGCTTCTGTGAGAATGTCTTCAGCGACGGACTTGGCGAGCTCGAGCTCTAGGTCTTCGACTCTTTTCTCAGCCTTTTTACGCTCGTCGACGACTTGGCCAACACGGTCGGGGACTAGGGGAGCTCCGCAGCTGAGTATGGCTGCAGTATTGGCGAGTAATGAGTGCGAAGATGTCAAGTGGGCGATGAGCCGTGGCCCGGATAAGAAGTAGAGCCTCGCAGATGTAGTAGAAGAGCGTGAGAGGGCTTCTGTCTGAGGTATGAGGAAGAGCTGCAAGTTATGCAGCGACGGGAGGTGCGTCCCACAGCAGCTATGCGGAAAGTTTATCCAATAATGCACCGTATATATGAGTTGGATACTTACGGGTTACGGTCAACACCGTCGATGACAACTACTCGCTTGACACCTCCTGTGTAGTCTGCGGGTAGGGTTTTACCGACTGCACGCCCGCTTTCATGTTTGGGTACGTCAGATTCTTGCTCTCTGTTCAGTTCTTCTACCTCGACATGGACCTTCCTGCCCTCGAAGACAAGTCGGTTGGCCTCATCTTGTATGGCTGTTATCTCTTCTATCGACATGCTGCGCGGCAATTCGACATAGCATGGTGCGGGGTATGTGGTGAGAGACCAGGACAGGGTAGGGAGATTAAGTCGTGTTTCGAGGATTGCGGAAAGAAGATGCTGGGAGGTGTGCATTGACATCTTCACAGCAAAACGTCAGAACCCACGGAAGAGGGTGAGTGAGACGTTCTGAATCCTTACATGGTCGTATCTGCGGTTCACACCATCATTTCCAAGGGCGACTGTCACTTTGGCTCCTTGAGAAAAGTATTGCGCGTCCGAATCAGAATTCTGGACACGAATGTAGTGTACGGCATGCCCGCCGTGTCTCTTCACCTGAGTGATGTCCCACGTCTTCCCCTCTGCGGTGGTGATGATCCCGATGTCTGACGGTTGTCCTCCTCCCTCTGGGAATATCACTGTATCATGCAAGATGACTTCCAGCATCTGCTCAACAGGCGCAGCTTGTGCACTTCTTGCTCTTCTTCGCATTTGGCGGTGGGGGTGCTGATTTGGAGATCGTGCAGTTTATGATGGTAGTCTCGAGCTCGCGGAGGTATGGGTCGCCTAGACGGGGTGATGAGCAAAGTAGGGGGATGAGAGGCGGGGGAAGGGAGGTGCTTACGCTGGCAGGCGAGGAGTCCGACTGGGATGGGAAGCTGGGGGTCGGTGGGGATGGTGAGTGTGGGTGAGACGATCCTGTGATAAGATGGCGGGGTGGTGGGCAGGAGTAGGAGGCCGGTAGCTGCCATGTTTCTATTCAGATAAAGCTAAGGGTAGAACTATATTACTGCAATCACTGCTGCACGGCCTGGTGTTGTTCAGATAAGTTACAGAGCTTTGTTGCTAACCACTGACTCGAGAGATAATGAACTCGGTAATGGACCGGCCCGCGAGGCCGTAAACCCATTCACACAGGGATGCTGCCCTATTTGGCGAAGACTGGTTTGTTGCCAACTTCAAGTTGGAGTCCCATTCCGTTCTTCACCGGCCAGCTCACCAGGCTCGTTACATACGAGCAAGTCTGACTCTGTATATTGTGATATCTAAGCGAAGAAAGTCGCACAGCCGAAAAACACCAAGCAAAGCACATGGCATACTCACAGGACAGGAGATTTAGCGGCATTCCTTATACCGTTCTACGTGAGTCGTACTCTGAATTTATTTACGACGTTCTAATTTGATGCCTTTGTCGTAAAGGAGAGGAACCTGAGGCTTCATCTGTGCAAGAAGGGGATAATGGCGGTGCCCAAAGTGCTCCAAGAACATACGAGGAGAGAGACGTCATCGAACGGACTCTCCTTCGCAAGCTAGACGCTCGAATGTCTATCCTGATACTTATTTATATATTGAACTATGTACGTGGGCACTTGCATTTCCTGGTCTCCGGAAATCGGCTCACTGGCATTGTTGTTTCCCTTGCTGAAGATTGACCGTAATAATGCAGCGTGACTACAATCAACCTAATTCACGCTTGATCTTTTTCCTAACAAGAGCCGAACAACTCGCAGTGCTGCTAGGTTACGTGGCTTTGAGGAAGACCTTGGTTTGAAAGGGCAGGAATTCAACACCATTTTGAGCATTCTATATGTGGGCTACATCATCATGCAAGTTCCATCGTAAGTATATTCACTTCATCTGTAATTATTTCTATTAAGAGCCAAATTAGCAATATGCTATTAGATTATATTGGGAAGCCATCAATCTATTTACCAGCTTGCATGGTTGTATGGGGGTTTATATCGATAATGACAGGTTAGTTTTTTGTATGTCACATCTATTTTCTAATCTGAAATGGAAAATAGGATTTACGACAGAGTAAGTTCCTCCTTTAATGTAATGTTCGTGTGGTGACAGTCATCTTGAAGTTTTACTGGTGCTTTGCTAACCCGTTTCTTCCTCGGATTTGTTGAGGCTGCTTTTTTCCCTGGGGCGTTGTTTCTCTTGTCCAAGTGGTTTGTCAATTCTAATCAAGCTTTGGCACTCCAAGAATGACTGTTTTTCCAGGTATAAACGAAGAGAGCTTGGTCAGAGAATGGCATATCTATCCTGTGGTATTCTTCTAAGTAACGCGTTTGGGTCATTACTGGCTTCTGCTATTCTTGATGGTATGGATGGGCGTCTTGGCCGTGCAGCTTGGAGGTACTTGGCTTCAGTTTAAATACTGTATCGTTGCTAAATTTTCCTAGATGGCTTTTCTACATCGAAGGCTCTCTTACTGTCTTCGTCGCGATATGTGCCATCTTCATTTTGCCTGATTTCCCTTCGATGTCTCATAGCTGGCTCACCCCTGCCGAACATGCACTCGCAAAACAGAGGATGGAGGAAGATGCTGGCACTACCATAGAGTCAGTGATTGCATTGGATAAATCTCGGGAAAACCCCATAATACTAGCTCTCACCGATTGGAAAGTTTGGTGGATGGCCATAGCGCTGACTAGCATGGTTGTGTCCTTATCCTTCAACGCATTTTTTCCAACTTTGAGTGCAACATTGGGATTTAGTCCAACGGTCACTCTGCTGTTGTGTGCCCCACCGTGGTTGTTTGCTACATTCGAGGCATTCGTAATATCCAGGTATTCTATAAGACATATTTTTCTCAGCACAAGTACTTATTTATCTTCATACTCGTAGGCATTCCGATGCATCTGGGAAGCGTTTCATGTATATTACGCTTTCCTTGCTCCTTGGCATCCTCGGTTTCCTGATCGCCATGTCTACTATGAATATAGTCGCTCGTTATATTTCTTTGTAAGTGTGCACGTTTTATTATTCTCATCTATGGTTTTCTTTGATCTCATCCCGACAAAATGAATACCCAGGTTTCTAATGGCTCAGTCGTATACTGGCTTCATCGTGTTTTTTGCATGGGTCAGTAATACGATTCACAGCCCGTCTTCGAAACGTGCGGTGTCGCTTGCTTTCATAAACGCCGTGTCTTCTCTAGGAAATGTTGCAGGATCGTGAGTCTGGCACCTTTTCTTTTACATCCATTTTCGAACACAAATGACATATGTGCACACAGATATGTCTGGCCGATATGGTGGGGTCCTTCGTACAGGTATTCGTGTGCCATCTGCATAGTTGGGAACGGCCTGTGTATAATCATGTCTTTGGCTTTGAAACGACATCTGGAACAACTAAATAGAAAAGCGGAGGAAGAGGAGGATGCATCAGGGCAGCCCAAAGGTTTCAGATACTTACTTTAAACTGCTAGTCAAACTGTGAGTCACAGCTTCACATATATAGACCTAATGGATGTTTTGTAAACAAGGTCAGATCGCTCGAATAACCCAGAGGATAAGTAAATATCCGTTGATACCATTTCTCCACATGAGAATCTCCCCAGGTGATCTACAGTCTTGGGGTGAATTACACTCAGGCTTTCTACGTATAAATACTCATAAACGTAACGGCATCGACTGCTTTTCGTGACTTGCGAAGCTCGCGCAGAGAAAGTTCTATTTCCCAATGGCTTTGTATGCAGTGTTTTGACGGAGAAATGTCGGTGATAAGATCTACTCCGGACTATATCTCGTGAGGAACGATGGTACAGGTGACTTTCAATGGGTATATAACATTTAACAGGCAAACCGCCCCGTTCCTGAACAAATCTCCCCACCACCATGAGCGTTATCAGACCCTTGACACAAAATTGGACTTTCACCCAAGTTGGAGGAGGAAAAGGCACCAAGAAGGATGAATGGCTATCTGTTTCGCAGTTTCCGACCACTGTGCATGTGGAGCTTCTCAAATTGAAGAAGATTCCTGACCCGGTAAGTGGAGGAGTCTACATACTAGGTTTTTTCAAGCTGAGGCATGTCTAGTTCCTCGGTTTGAACGAGTGGGAAGTGCAATGTAGGTGTTATCGCATATACCGCTAAGGAAGTATCTGATGAGACCTGTATGTGAACTAGGGGTTGGTGAGGGCGATTGGGCATTCAAAAATACCTTCGTCGCCTCAGGAGCAGAGCTCGCAACTTCCAACGCCGATCTTGTTTTTGACGGTTTAGACACATTTGCGACTGTACAACTGGTAAGTACATATGATACATCAATCTTTTTGGGCTATAATGATATGTTTTTACTTCTAGAATGGCCACAAAATTCTCCAGTCTGTCTTTCTATTTGCCAAACCTATAAGACCATTCTTGACCATTATTCGATGAGAACAGAACGGAGAATCAGTTTGTGTCTTACAGAGCACCTGTAAAACAATATCTTCAAGCCGGCTCAAACGAGCTGTTGATATCCTTTTCAAGTGCTTTTCTTAAGGTGAGTTCAGCAATCTCACTTTAGGTCGATGATGGCACAAACGAAACATCTAGGGGCGAGAACTGGAAAAGCAGAACGGGAAGTTGCATCTCTGGAATGGCGATTCCAGTCGTCTCCATGTACGCAAGGCCCAGTACAAGTGCGTGGTTTAGTTATCTGCGCTCGTCTTATGCTTACTTAGTATTTTTAAAAAATAGCTACGGATGGGATTGGGGTTAGTTCTCCCTCGTATTATTGGATATCTTTATCTAATTGTCCATTTAGGCCCCGTTCTTATGACTATTGGACCATGGAAGCCTGTCAAGCTACATACCTATAATACCCACCTCACCGATGTCGATGTCAGGAGCAAAGTCTCCGAGTCTCTCGATGTCAGTCTCTCCGTAGACCTTTCACTCTCGGAGAAGACTGCGGGTTCTGCTTCGGTTGTGTTGAAGAACTCTCAAGGCGCAACTATCGTCAGCGAATCCGACCTCAAGACTGACTCTGGTAGCGCCAGGACGGAATTTTTCTTCTCTCCTGGTGTTCTAGACCTATGGTATCCAGTAGGATATGGTAAACAACCATTGTATACCGTGGAGGTTCAAGTCAAAGATAAGGTAGCATATATTCCATGATGTCTTCAAGAATCTTGATGCTAATACTTCCCTTCCATAGCAAGGGAATGTTTTGGATACTAAAATAGAAAGAGTATCTTTCAGGCGTGTTCGCGTTGTTCAAGAGCCCCTCGTTGATCAGCCAGGCCTGACGTTCCTGTTCGAGGTTAACAACATCCGTGTTTTCTGTGGTGGTAAGCCTGTCGTCGTATATATGCGCCCGAAATAGCTGATCTTAATCCTGTAGGCTCGAATTGGATTCCGGCTGATTCGTTTTTAACAACGTCAGTCGCTATTTTTGTATTCGATGCTGATATTGACGGTGCTTTGCTTCATCAAAATAGCCTAACTGCGGATAGGTACAGAGCCTGGTTGCAGTTGCTTGTGGACGGAAACCAGAACATGGTTCGTGTTTGGGGAGGAGGGATATACGAGGCTGATGCATTCTATGATACTTGTGATGGTATTTGTTTTCCACTTCTCTGTATGACCATTTCACTGAAAAAAATTATTAGAACTGGGCAGTAAGTTTTAAAGTCATCGGGCCAAATGCTGCTCCGTTAATTTCAACCCTCCAATAGTTCTCGTCTGGCAGGACTTCATGTTTGGCTGTGGGCAGGTGAGACTACTTCGAGAATATCTCCTTTGCGTCCTTACTGAAGGCCTTTCAAGTATCCTGCATATGACTCTTTCCTCAAGCTGGTTGAGGTAGAAGCTGAACAGAATGTTAAGCGACTCCGTCATCATCCTTCGGTCGTCATCTTTGGTGAGTGTTTGTCGGTAGATCGAACTAGCATATATTAATAATGCCCCGCTCAGCCGGAAACAACGAAGATTACCAGCTTGCGGAGTCCATCAAGATTGTGGACTACTCTGATGAGACGTCAGATTTCCGCAAAACTGAGTTCCCTGCGCGCTACATATACGAACGTACCCTACCTTCCATCGTAAACAAATTCTGCGACATATTCTACCATCGTAGCTCCCCCTATAGTGCACCGGGTGTTGTTACTACGGACAAGACTCTTGGTGACTTGCATCAGTGTAAGCAGATACCATAGTCTGACATCAGGCACGAACTCACAGACCACTGATATATAGGGAACGTTTGGCATGGCTCACAAGAGCCTTGGCACAACTGGGATATCCTTGCTGGTCGTTTTGTTTCTGAATTCGGCATGTAAGTTCGCGGGGTACTATTTATATCTTGGTAATTGACCGGTTTCAGGGAGGGATATCCGAACATCCGAACTGTGGACTACTGGTTAGCTGGCGACAAGTTGGAGCGATACCCGCAATCACGGTTTGTTCATCCAGCACGCTTGTTTGTAATGAGCTGATGTCCCTCGTTTAGAGTGAACAACAACCACAACAAAGCTGACGGTTTCGAGCGCCGGTTAGAGGTACGGATAAACACGGTGCTATAATCTTGCACGATTCTCATGATTCTCACCGAAATAGCTTTACTTGGTCGAAAATTTCAAACATGCGTTCGACATGGACAGGTGCGCAGTAAGATTTTGGATGGTGGTTAGCATATGCTTAAAGATCATTCAGTTACGTGTACTACACGCAGATCATGCAAGCGGAAACTTTGGCGTCTGCTTACCGTCTTTGGAGGCGTAACTGGCGTGGGAGAGGCAGGGAGCATACTGCGGGTGCTCTCGTTTGGCAGGTCAGTTTTTCAGGGTTTCCGCTTGTAATCGATCCTGATTTTGAGTCCAGATCAACGACTGTTGGCCGACAACATCTTGGGCCATCGTCGACTACTTCCTCCGGCCCAAGCCGGGCTATTTCACTATTGCGCGTGAATTACGACCGTACACAGTTGGCATGACACGTAAAGAGAAGAAGACTTTCGCGAACGAATTTTCTGCCGCTGATTTCAAGATTGAGACCATCCTGGAAATATGGGGCACAAACAACAGCCTGTCTGAGAAATCGGCTACACTTGAAGTGACTTCATTTGACTTACATTCGTCGTGGACAGACAAGTGGTCGAAGGCCGTGAAACTTGGGCCGAACGCCAGCACAGAGCTGTTTAGTGATAATCTCCCCGGCCAGCCTGTCAGGACGAAACAAAGCGAAGTACCTGGTGTTATTATTGTTTCTGCGCGTCTGTTGGACGCAGATGGCACTGTGCTTGGTAGATACTCGAATTGGTGAGTAGCTGCCACACTTGTTCTACATGCTGGCTCTCTTTGTTAATTCTTTCCACAGGCCGGAGCCTTTCAAGTTTATTACGTTCCCCACCGTGAAAGAACTGGGCTTGAAGATCTCAGTTAGCAGCGATGGAGAATCCGTCCAACTGTCTACGCAGAAGCCCATCAAAGGAATCATCATGGATGTTGATGGGGAAGACGTCAAATGGAGCGACCAAGCCATCGATCTTGTACCAGGTGACCCCCAGGTCGTAAAAGCCATTGGACTAAAAGGAAGGGAAGTGAAGGTTCGGTTCCTAGGCGATGGCTCGGCGTGAAGTAAGATGGAAGCAAAGTCGGCGGTAGGGTGAATCGAATGTACGAAAATGATTGTAGAAGTGATTCGAACGTGTAATACGAGTGTCCTTTATTCTCTTCATTGCATTACTGGTACTATGCACGTCCTGAACCAATGAAAAAGAATTGAGAGTATTAGCCACCGGGGAATAGAGTACGCTATTTATAATGACTAGGAATATGAAGGGGGCAAGCATCCCACAGGGGACACATTAAAATTACAAACTGTACAGGAGCAGGAATGCACGACAAGATACTGTAGCGGAAGGGAGACAGTCTAGTCCGATCAGTTATCGGATAAAAATCGCCAAAATAAGAAAAGGCACTCCTAGGGAGCAAGCGAAATAAGGAAAATAAGGAAACGGTAAATAATCGTATACGTAGGAGGCAAGTTGATAGCGATGCAGAAAACGTTAATGGGATGAGCCCACACGTTGTGCAGACATTGCAGTTAAAACGGTTGCTGGGACGTGGCGATGACAGACAGGCTTTCCTGAGGTCTCACATGATGGTACACTTGCTAGTTTCTGGTGGATCCGTCCTGGTTGAAGACGAACGTTTCTCTATTTCAGCAAGGCACAGCTCAAAGACTTTGCCTGCGCAATAATCAGAATAAAGTAAATGGTTACAAACGGCTGGACACGTACCGACGTTGACATTGTTTTTCGCACTCGTTTCCACCCAAGCCGCTTTGTTCTGCTTCGCAAGCTGCTCGCCCTCGGCTGAAGCTATCTGTCTGATAGTGGGGCTGTGAGGCAAGAACGAACATGGTTGACGACGGTGCACTCGACGCCACAAAGGCGGGAGATGAAAAGAAAATAAGCTTACCTCGTCTGAAGATCGGATTTAGCACCAACAATGACACAGGGGATGTCATTTATGCCACAAAAGTCGACGATTTTGTCGTACACAATCTGAATCATGTCGAACGAGTTTCTTGAGCTGACGGAGTATACGAGGACGTAGCCGTGTATTCCGATTGCGTGCTTGGAGTTTAGTATAGAGTATTCATCCTGGAGCGCAGAAGATATCAGTAAGGAAAAAAGGAGGCGGGTGATAGTAAAAGCTGACCTGACCGGCGGTGTCAATGATGTCACAGTCGTATTCTACGCCTTTGTAGCTGACACTCTTGTTGAAAGTGCTTTCGATGGTGGGATAATAAGCCTCAACGAAATGGTTCTCGATGTACTGTATTACGAGCGAGGACTTTCCTGGACGGGTATTGGTGTTCTGGTGGTATGACGTCGAACAACGGAGGAAGCTCACCGACGGAACGAGAGCCAAGGACTGCGATTTTTCTCTTCTTGAGGATATCACCAGTCATGTTGGTACAGGATTGGATACAGAAAGAGAGGTGAGGAGAGAAAGAGAAAAGCTAGACGGGGAGCTGGCAGGAAAGGATGTGGCTGGATGAAACGGAAAGACCCCACCGGCTGATGCAGCTTTTTTGGCCGAGCCGTTTTTCCGTTGCCAACGAGGATATATATACGAAATGGAGGGCAAACAAAAGTGAGGAATGGAGGAAAAGCTGGATGCGAGAGCAGTCCGGAGTAAATGGACAAGAGTATATAAATACGAAGGCAAAGGAAAGGGATGCAGGATGGGCTGGGGTCTCAGTGCCACGATTGGCGCGTATGCACACGGACCGCAAGCCAGTCCATCACAAAATTTATAGTAATTACATGCTATAACACCAGGAACAACAAAGAATGTCGAGACCGTCGCCCATCAACGAGAGTAATAGCACTCGCTTCTCCTACGTCTCTACGCCGTCACATCTGCTCAGCTGAAACCCCGCATAAGGTTGTCCTGGTCTTGTGACGATGGTCTGGACGGTCCGAGCCTTCGTTTCTTCACCCACCTTTTCGGAATGGAGTAATGATATCAACAGCCTCCGGAACTTGGGAAAACATTTGGTAAATCTGCCATTCCTCTCTCCCACCCTCTTCCGTGACAAAGCGCCCCTCGGATATCCTAGAAAGCATGTGTTCTTCCAAGCGAATACAGCCCGGCCAGTGCCTTCCAGCTGGCAAATCCTCTCTTTCTTCTCAGGCCATTGCCAAACCATGATATGTTTCAGCCCGTGTCGACCATCGCTACAACAGGTGGCTAGAATATTATCCTCCATCATACCCACCCACCATCACATTTGGGTGTGAACATAAACACAGATCTCTTAAAGGAAACTGGAAATCAATGGTGTGTCAACTGTTGAATTTATCTCGTCAGGCTAACATTGTTATCTCTTCCAACAGCATAGGCTTTGGTAAACGGTGGGCTTCATTGCAAGGTTAAGTTCAGTGGCGAAACGAATGACAGGTCGAGGGTAACAGTCCAAGTGTAGGAATGACCTTGTCTCTAGAATATCAGCACGACTACATCGGCAGAAGATGCTTCCAAAGGGAACTGCGAACTATGTGCATTATGAATTCGGCGAAGCTTTTCCAGCAAAGCGGAGACTCTGGAACTTAAAGCATAGCCAGCCTAACAGACGCAGCGGAATGATAATGGACCTGGAAATCGATATGTATGACGCCATGTGCTGCTTCCAAGCCTCGCCCGATTTGACACTTGCGAAAATAGAACATGGCGTTCGCAGAACCGTATAAGGGCATCCGTTACGCTCGAGCTGAGAAACATACCCCATGCAGTTAGACGCGGGCGGATTCCTTATCTCCCATTCAGCTTGATCAATGCATTTGACACGTCCAAACCTAAAGCTCGTGAGGGTGGACCACGGACAGCCACGGTTATCGTAAGCAATTCCACTACGTTTGCCGTTTGGAGTAGCGCCCGGCATTCAAACTCGTCTGTGCGGGTACCTGACCAGCACGATTGCGGGGCAGGCGTATCAGTTGGTGTTGGTAGCCTAGGAGGCAAGCATAGTGGCAATCTGTAGCTGAGATCGTCTGAGTGTCTATGAAAAAAAGTGCATTCTCGGTATCTGACACGGACCAGGCGCATCATGACAATGTTTCAACCTGCGAATAGACTTATAAAGTCTATCAGTCGTATCAGTTTCAAGCTCTCTTCCATGTGCGCAGAAAATCAACTGCCAAGTGCTCACCTAGAACGCCATTTCAAATCATCAAATCGTGTATTATTTGAGCGTCCAGCTTTGGGTTTTGCACCCGTCCTGAGGAGCCTTTTCATTCATCGGAGGGTGTCGGGTGCTTGTACTGGATATATACAGCAAACAATGTAGACACGGTGTATCGATGGCCGTATGAAGACACGCAGCATTTCATGGGCCTCGAGGTTTCGGCGGCACAGCCTGACTCTTTTCACCGAACTTTGTTTCAGGTTTCTCAGACCAAGGAAATTGCAGAAAAAGGACCTGGTTGGGACTCGAACGCACTCTCCGAGCACGTGCGTTGTCACGTGCTGATTTCACGTGAGGTTGATTTTTGAACGCGACTATAAAGAGTTTTGGTTTGTGTAACCTTGTGGAACTTTTGCGACTTGCTTTGGACCAGCTTGTGTATTTTTTCAAAGGAAATAACTCATCCACCATCCTTGCTTGTATATCTGTATCACATTCGTCATGTCTGCAGTCACCACACCCAATGACTCTCCTGTATCTGCACCCATCCAGCCTCTGCACAACCCGTCGCAGGCTGCACACGTCGTCGTCCCACAAGCACCGCTTGGCAACGCAACAAATGGCGTTGCCAACCAAGTCCCAGGAATGGGAGTCAAAGCTTTACTAGCTAAAAAGCTGGCGAAGAGCAAGTAAGTAACGTCATAACCACGAATTTATCAAGGCTGATGGCTCTTCACCCAAGAAACCCTACATATATATCGCCTACAGATAAACTGATGACTCCAGTCACCCAGAAGCTTAATGCGGCTAAGCAGAAACGCTTCACAAAGTGAGTGTCGCGGTCAAATGCAACTGCATCTATATTGCTGAAGGTCCTTGAATTCAGAGGTGCTAAACTTACCGGGGCATTGTTCCCTATCACAAAAGAATCCACGTCGTCTGAAGAGCGTGAAGACGTTAGTGATAGTGAATCGCTGTCATCAGAATCGGAACCTGTTAAGGAGCACCAAGACATGGATCACAAGATGAACGAGGACGACAACCCTTTTTGATACGCTGTTTCCCTGTTTGTCCTCCTGGGCTGGATCCCCTCTGCTACTCTGTCTTTGTAATGATTATCATGATACCAGTGATCTGTCTTCTTATCTTGTCTATCGGTTGTTTCGTTAACACTCGCTGTCTCTATACTCAACTTTTTATCTCACTGTGAAGGTTATTTTTCCCACGCTTGCTAAATGCACTACTTTTGTGTTACGCGTCGCTGTCCTGATCTCGGAGTCCTGAATAATAGCTTGAACCTCCTCGGTCTATACCATCAGACACTCGATTTGACCAACTGCAGGACACCCTATTTCGTTTCAGTGAAGAGCTATAAGATGTCTGATATGCACATGCACTTCAACCTAGAGGATATGAATGAAATCATTCCTCATCTCGCGGCTCTGTCCTCTGCGAGTCGAAGAACGCAACAGTATGTGGTCTATTCGTGTATAGTGGCATTACCCACTCCCAATAGCATTAACATCAGCTCAGACAGACTGCAGACTTGATCAAAGGCCTACCCCAACTCACTGAGGAGGATCTCCTGAAGGCCGGTCACCAAGGTCAGCTTCCGAATCATGTCATCTTTGACATCAATCTTGTTATTATCCTCACGAACCTACTTTAGAGTCTCTCTGCCCAATATGTTTCAACCCTTTTCTCGCGATAATCGCCGAGGAAGAGATGGCACTTGCCATGGACTCTCCAGCACACCCTCCCGAACTGCTTGGCGTAACAAAGTTGAGTGAGAGCTGTGGACATATATTTTGTCGTAGAGAGTTGAGTGTCGAATTCCATGCTTTGTCAATGGTGTACCCTCTGACTGTCGTTACAATAGCATATTGAAGTGGATCAACGATGCAGTAAGTACTTCGTCATATTGTTGTACAAGTCTGAGTCACCCGTTCTGATGTACTACAAGCACGATTCCTGTCCAACATGTCGTCGGCCTTTCATCCCGACTGACCCTAATAATGATGAACGTGATACGACTACCCCTCAGGCTCCTAATATATTTGGAGGCCTTGACGGCCTCATCCTTAACAATGATTTGGAACCTTTCCGTCAATACGCGAGGCACTTATCTAGGCTCGACGGCCGTACCGATAATTCTACCAATCAGAGTAGCAGAGATGATTCTCATAATGATGATGCTCATGAATTTGCTGGGATGTACTCGTGAAGCACTAGCACCGAGAATAACCTAGCTGATATATTTATTATACTGCATGTTCACAGCTGTAGCTATGATTAGCATTGCAATTGTCCAATCGACAAATGGCTTATTATCCAAATCTAATTAATTACCACTACCCGCAAATTGCCCGAGGCTGCATGCGCCTCACCTATCTACGTCGGCCTGGGCGCAGGGGACAGATGGACCACTAGGTATAAGGAATGGAGTGTCATGATGAGGTAGCGTAGAAACAACACTCATGTAATGTCCCGTGAACTTCAGAATGCAACAGATATAAAAGAAAGTAGATGGAAATTTCAGTGAACAGTCCATATGGAGAAATGAAAATCTGTATGCAACAACTCTTTAATTCCTTCGGCAACATCTGAACAAATTGCGCTTGAACCAATAGAACAAACACTGTACAAAATGGTGATGTCAACGTTGACCTTGGGAACAAGTATATGAATGCCACTCACTCCAATAAACCGCACTGCGGAAAGGAAGAAAGTCGAGTAGAGGATGACGGCGAAATACGTGTTTTGTTTCGTACGCAACTCATTCGCGTCCAATTGTGCTTCATCAACATTCGTAAGACCATTGATGTTCTCTATTGCAACAGCCAACCCAGCATTCGTGATCATCCATAAGGCCACAAGACGAGTACGGAAAGTTTTGTTCTGATCATCCATTGTAGGCTTTTCGATAACTTCCTTCACGTCGATCTTGGTCACTGCACGCGTAACGGTCTCTTTGAAAGCGGAATCTACATCTTCCTGGCTACGAGCAGTATCCTCGACAACTGGCGCCTCAGCATCTTTCGCCTTCTTAGACGAGACAGATGGTAGGGCTTCAGCCTTGTCGCTACCTTTGGTACCCCATGATACCTATACATAATGCGTCAAGACACTAACACACAAAAAATGTTGTGTCACCTACATCATGCAAATTACAGAAGGCGTAAACGTTCAACACATTTGTAAAGCTCGGCGCAAGGCAAAGGTACTGGAAGAAACTAGAAAACATGTGCCAAGGGTCGCGCTAATATCAGACCTTGGTCAGCGAATGATCAGTCGCTATTGATATCATCGACTTACATAAAGGAAAGACGCAAAGAGGTAGATACCTGAAACAGACGGTGAGACTCATACATACAGAAATAGGAACAAAGATACATACCAAACGTAGATACCATGGCTGCAATAAGAGCACCCACTGGAGGCGTGAAGAAAGTCTCAATCACTTGAATAGTGGTCTTGTTCTTGAGCTCGTTGGGAATATTCTTGTGTTACAGGTGAGTCACTGAGCAACACGACGACATAAAAGCTAGAGCTTACACTAAAAGCCTTTCCAGTCAACCAGAAGGAACAAACGAGAAGATAGACTGCGAAGAAGGCATAGACCCTTCGAAGGAAGATGGTGAGTGTGAAGTTTATGTAGATCGAAAGCGACTCACCAGAGTGTTATGGTGTAGGCCATCCGTTCACCTTTCGGTCTGTTTCCCAAGGCTAAAACGAACTAAAATAAGGTTGTCAGATTTCACAATAGACGAAGCATTGAATATCCTTTGACCTGAAGCGCTAAGAAAGCCAGATAAATCCATTTGAAAGCCAGGTTAACCCAATGAGTCTGGTAATCATGGCAGATTAGTACAATTTTATGGGGAAGAAAAAGTAATCAATACTGACGACATCCGCAGTCCCAAAAATAATCATGTTTTGCGATGGAAGCAGATCAATGATAATACTGAACGTCAACCAAATATTGGCGATCGAAAACCACGAAAACGCCAATGAAAAGACGTTATACTATAAATATGTTCCACAATAAGCAAGTGAATTTAGGGCAGACAAACATCGACTTACGAGGGCTTGAATGTGGAAAAAGAACATGCGGATAATTCCATGACCAGAACGATAGAGCTTGAAGAAGTTAACGATGGCATACTTCATCATCCACAATAAGCAAAGTTCGATATAAGAAAGAATAGTTACTCACGACCGACGCAGCAAATGAACCGTTAAGCCAACGGCGACGTTGACCAATTAGCTCTGTTGCATTTTCTGGTACATCGGTCTCGGCCTTGGAAGGCTTGACATAGGTCAAAGTCCACCGGTCACCAGCTTTGGCAACAAGCTCGAAACACAAGATACGATCCTCAGCTAAGAACATGTTCTTTGTGAAGATATTCATTCCATAGATACCCTTTGGACCTAAACGGTCTGCTAGAGAGTGATCACCGTGGAAATACTGCTCTAAGGGTACCCCAAGGATAGCACGATACCGGTAGGCGGAGAAAGCACCAGGTAAAACAGACACATAGCCGAAACTACTTTCCAAAGGTTTGTCTATGATTGAAATTGAGCTAATGCAAAACTCTCTCTAGCATATTGTGCTTACCGAGAATATTTGACATTTTGTACTCGAAGTTCTGAGCGGCAACAAGAGGGTTAAGAAGTTTCCTACCGCCCTCAATCATAGCATGAATTTCACCACAGCACCCTCCAAGGTGTGCATCGTTGTAGAAAGCTTCCCAAAGGTAGTAAATAGATTTGTGCCCAGGTTTCGTACCAGCATCAAGGAGGACACAGATTTCCGGCTACAAAGTGAATATTAGTAATGAATCGTCACGATAGCGAATCTACCATACCTTTAGTATTTTTCCGATAGCATTAAAGAGCCAACGATGAGAGTTAATCTTCTTTTGATTCTTGGCTTTAAGGACAAAGATAATTTGAACTGGGACCAAATTGTTGGGATCATTCTCGTGAGGAAGGACCAGCTGAGGTGTGGCATCAACAGACAATTGTGTAGTGTACTAAATAAAAATGAAAATACATCAGCGGAGATAAGTACAAGGACTTGCGAGATATGATAATAAAGCTTACCTCGAATATGTGGGCCACTGTATCTTTTCCATCGACTTGCTTTTTCATAACACCATCCTGATAAACACCAACAGTGGCTAGAATATCTAGGACACTCTTGTCCATAGGCTCCAGACCATCGACAATCAAGGCAACTGTGATTCTCTGCCACCCAGGATTGCCTTCTTCAGCAGTTCTCTTCCAGTACTTTGATTGTTTAGTCTTGCAAATATCACGGATATTCAACATGACACCGTGAAGTGTGCGGGCGTAAAGGGTCTTGTCTTCGTTGTATGACGTGACCGCGATAAGAATCTCGGTCTGACGATTGTACATCTTCGTGCGCAAGGACCACCCGTTTGCCTCTGTGAACTCATCTGGATCACAAGTTGCAGCACTGTACCGCATATGCCTGTAGAACAAAAGGAAGAAGAAATTTTGCGATTAGTCAGTACAACCAATGGGGTAGAAGAAAGACTGCTCACGAGAATTCAGTGGTGTTCGTGGCAGCATATTTAGCCTCAATTGCGCTCTGCACTGGGGTAGGGACGGGGTACTCCGTGATGAAATTTCCCTTTGTCAACTTGACTTTGCGAGTTACACCGCGCTTGATAGTTTGGCGACGTCTCCATGCAGTCTCCACGCCATTTGTGGAGGACGACATAGACGACAATGGACGGGAGTAAGGGTCACCATATGCAGTGGGATCAATAGGCCTGTGGAGAGTGGACTCAGTTCAAGGCCAAAGACGTGGCAAATAGTAGAAGAACAACGCGCATATATGCTACCAATACCAAAGACGAAATACGGAACGTACCCAGGAGGATAATAGGCGCCATTGTAACCATCACCACCCGTCAAAGGAATTTTCTCTGCATAGTCATCGTCTGCGTAGTTACCGCCGAATTCGCGAGGTAAAGTAGCAGTGCTCTCAAAAGGTTGATTCAAGGACACAGCACTTTCATACGGACGAGCCGGCTCCTGGAAATGAGTCTGGCGAGGTCTGTCTGCGAAAGGATCGCTATATGGTTCATCGTGCAAAGAAGCTGAAGGCAAAGGAGGACGATTATCAGACATGCTGCCTAATTCTGATGAAGGACAAAGGCAGAGAGTCCAGTAAGAAAAATAAGCCCCGACTGTTGGAGGTGGTGGGTGGGCGAAGGCTGGAAAAGTTGAAAAGGCGGTTGAGAAAAGTCAACGCCTCAAGGCAACCACGGTTTTGTACAAGCAATTTGGAAACAGGGCGATGTTATACACCGCCTAGCCGGTCCCCCAGCCACCACGGGATCACGACATTGTCGTACCGCCCATTCTTCTATGTAATAGTGTCATACAAAGATTGGCCAAATCGCGTCAGTTATAGCAATCATTCATTTCATCTATCTATCCTTTTTTTCCCAGCTAATTCGTAATGGTCAAAGAGTGATTGGGATCAAAGATTTTGTGTCTTTTCTTCCAGCGGTCGGGATTAGGAAGCCGCAAGGTTGGTTTCGGGGTCACGGCCGTTCTGGCTATGCCCAAATAAGAATCCATAGGTCGGACAACTGTGATCACACCCAAATATAACCTAGGCCTGCGCAGTCTGGCCTCCACCCTTTTGCCCTGTTCTTTTTGGACTTTACAACGATCAATCAAAAAAAAAACGGTGAAAGAGAAGCGGCGCCGGAGAAAAGCTTTGGGGTATATGTCGAAAAGCCAGTGCTATTCCCTGCGTGCATCTTCAGTCTAGGTTTTCAAGAATGCGCTCGGTGACAAATCAACGAACGTTTTGGCACGGCTAATAAGTACATAGCTAATATGCTTCAGATATTGATTGGATCCTAAACAACTTGGATGATGTACGACAGACGTGAGTCTTTCGAGTCTTATCGAGCGCAACGGCAACACCTTGTGCCCGCTGTGCGGAGTCGCCTCGTGTTCTGTAACTCCACAGAAGCAGTGCCAGGTAGTATAAGCGCTCATTTTTTGGTCTCTTGATCAACACTAGTGATAACTTAATAGGTATATGTAACGCCCATCTCTTATACGCTGAGGTGGGGCATAACATATTTCCATGTCAATGATAGTACCAACCAACAGTTAACTGAGTGGAGTAGAGTGGGTTGTGCTATACCGTGACTAGTTGTCAAGCCAGCGGAGACTGGTGGCCGTCGTGAGTTAACGCAGACTTGTTACAAACTTCCGCAGTAGTACGCTCATTGAATTAATTCTTCACCCTTGAATTAAACTTCGACGAATTAGCGAGTTGACAATCTTGCTTTGGGAAAGGAGATTAGGCGAATACGTGTTGGAGACAAGTCTTATCAACACTTCCCATCGTGAAGTATGCCGGTGCAGTTCCCATCTGCTACTACCGAGACTCTGAGGTCATCTCTGACAGTCTCTAACAGAAAGGCATCAAGGCTGAGGCGAGCCTTCAGATGATGTTTGGAATGTCTCATAATCTAGAGGCCCTATCTGAGAAAGGTCGTCCTGGAAATGGCGGTAAGGGGAGAAACTGAGAGATTCGAATGGCACGTGAAATAATCAACGAGCGATTTGCAAAGTAAGTTCTGACAAAGCATGTCTGTTGCAGTTGCTCGGATAAATAGCTCTAGAGGCTATCATTCTTACACAAATACCCCAATGGATGTCCCACTGGCAACCAAAAAATAAACCAACTACCAGCAGTATCACAATCTGATTCTGGCGTTGATGCTAACCCATCAAGGCGTTCAAATTCAAGTGATACACTGGCTGAAGTGTGTGCAATTATAATCTACGCAGGTCCGGAACTAAAAACTGTTAGGACCATTTGAGATCTTGGACAAAAAACGGAGATAATTGCCTTTCGGAATGAACATCATCATGGCGTCCACAAGACACACTTACCATGCCTCCGCCGTGCTATGTGTAATAGGGCACATGTTACCATAGCTGGATAGGAGACAATCTGAAATGAACCCCAGTGGAGGCGGAGGATCAGAGGAAACTTGTAATTAGCAATTCTATTAACTTCGGGGCCCATATACTGCAATACAACGATCTTCGAATGCCTTTACCATCAGTTTCGAGACTTGCCCAAAGAACGTAGTAGAGACGGCAGCGTGTAATGGGTTTGAGAATGCAAACGCAAGATCGAGGGTGACCAGCGTCGGCTCCGAGTCATCGAGAGCCGTACTCGTGCTTCGTGGCTTGCCTGCCGAGCTCGTAATTTGTGGGTCTTTTCGGAAACCCTCGGAGGTTGATGACGCCGAGTGAAAACGCCATGTTGTCGTGAGCGTCTTGAACAGGGGCGTGGACGAAGAAGCCACAGCCTAGTAGTAATTTCTGGTTCGTTACTCATACATTGATAAATCATTAGTAAATGAACACACCTCCACCGACTCATACGGTTTGCATGTCACTTTACTGATATAACTTTCCTTGAAGGCCAGGAACCCGACAGTCAGTTCTGCGTCCATTTCGATCACAGGGCTTTTTGCTACACGCCGTTCCAATATTCTTGAGCTCGTGCAGTATGGCACAAAGCGATGATACGACTGAACGTCCGCTACGATATCATATAATTGTCTGCGTCGAAATCTGTTTTGGAGGGAGCAAACCAGTCGGTGTTGTGAATTACTATGAAAAACGATATGAAAGAGTCATGGACTGTGACGTACGGGAAAAGCTTCTGTTCATGGTAAGTCTGAGTATCATTTGACCCATTGGAATCAGGAAACGGTGACAAAGATGAGAAATTCGGAATCGTAAAGAAGAGTCTTCTGGAATAGGTTGAACCTATTGAACGGACATTTGGAGGCAGGACTCGAGGCATAACACGCAAAACCACTACCATTAAGTAATAATCGTCTAAAAGCAACACCGTGACTGCACGTGACAATGTTAACCCGTTTTCAGGTTTTCAATCATCCAAATCATGATGGGGTCCCGCCAAGTTATTATATAGACAGAGAGGTTTGTTAACCCTTATTACTATAAGGATGTTGTTTTAAATACAAATTTCAAGATGGCTATGGGGGGCACATCTATCAGAAGTTGACGGAAATCGAATGAGCCATTAAAGTTGAAGTGTATGTGTAAGGTTCTTACGCTCGGCTCGTCTAACAATGAAATCAAGAAGGTAACGAGTCCACCTGAATCACAGAGGCCCCACTCCACTGCGTATCATGGTCTAGACATCCATATCCCACCGAGCGTAAGAACACGATATGAGTGAACCCGGGGCGCGAATGAGATGAACTTCACAATATTGTAAACGTTGCTAAGTGATCGGGGTAACCCATAATGTCGAGAGCATCCAATTCAAGATAAGCGTTATCCCGGGATTCAGCGTCGTAAGTGTAGCAGGACCTAGCAGGACCCACGAGTTGTGATCTTATCATTGATCGCAGCATCCGGGGTGCTTAACCAAACCCTTATATCCATACCACGAGCTGTCAACGAGTCTCGAAGTTGCGGAAGAACCGGCGGTAGGTCGAAGACGAGCCTTACAAGGTATATCACGTCTACTATTTTACCGAGTTAGGAAGACGCAGAGCGGCGATGACAGCCAGACATACCTCAAAATACTGTTTAGTCTGCGCGGGATTATGCTGACTAGTTCTGTAGAACTACTCGATGCACACAGAGCGAGTTCAAGGGCAACTATAAATCCATATATCTTATCTGGACAGAAATCAAGGTGGTTGATGTCTAGCCGAGAGGCGATACGGGGATCAAATCATATGCCATTACATTTACGAGCAATCCATAACAATAGAAGCAGTTCTCTTTCGTCTTGCAGATTCTTTTCTCACTCGAACAGCCCACTTTAAGCGGGGAGAAGAATTTACAACGCTGCAAATTCTGCAATTTCAGGACAGTCTCTGGCAATCTGATAATGGGCGGATCAGCCGAGACAAAAAATATTAGGACGACGTCTGCACTCACGTGCCCTTCCTGTTGGCATTTATAACAGGTTCTGGTTTTATTTAAGGCGCCAGCGGCTGGACCAGTCGGAATACCCTCATTGATAGTTGCACCTGGTGCGGCAAGACAATCTCTGATGGGGATATCAATGACGTGTTTGCTGGAGGAGGCCAACAATATTACCTCGCCATATGATTAGGGCCGCCGCAGCGATAACACTTGACGGGTGGTAGGGTAGAGGTATTCAAAGCACGTCCTGGAGGCGGAGCACGCGAAGCAAACCCTGGCCCTGTGACTCCGGCAGCTCCACTAGGGCAAGCTCGCGCAATGTGGCCAAACCGACCACAGTTCTGATGGCAAGAAGCGCGTTATTCGAAATCATCAGAGGTGGGGATGAAAAAATGACACACGTAGCATTTCTGATTACCACTTTGTAATCTTAAGTTAGGACAATCTGCCTGAATATGTCCGATACCACCGCAAGAGTAGCACTGTTTCGCGGAAACAGTACGAGGGGATGGGCAGGCAGATGATTCATGACCTGGCTGGCGACAATTATAGCAAAGGCGCTGCTCGGAGGAACAGTTCTCGGCTATATGACCCACTGGGTGGGGGTGAGTGGAAGAATAGGGTAGTAATAATGATATAGGGCACACACAATTTCCGCACTTGAAGCAACCTTTCCTGGAAAACTGAAATGCCATTTGAGCAAAATCTTACTTCTGTGCTGCGATCTCATTAAGATCAGTTAGGAAGAAAAGATCCCATACACAGCGAGCATAGGTTACCTCGCTTCTTCCCTCTTCCAGCTAACCACTAAACTGCTCTTCCACCTCCCTGAAAGTGAGGATGAGGGTTGACGATGAGTGATACGACGGACTGATGATGGAGCTACATCAATTTTGGTTTGTTATTACGCCACCTGCCCTGAAGCGGATACGCTACACTGTGGCGCTGGAATCTGAAAATGACCACCAACACTGGCAGGCTACAGCTCCTGGCTATTACACTCAATGCTTGTGCTTCCAGCTCTGTTTTCCTCGTGTCCTGCAAAGGACCGGGATGAAAATTTTGGATTCAGGAAGTTGAAGCTCTGATCACCCAGCGTCGAGAGATCACCTCGAGTTATCCATTGTTCCTGATCCGGCGCCCACTAGGCTTGTTCTTCGGATCTTTCAGGCAATCTTATCGATGGTAACGCGGTTCATCCTTGTACTTTGCTTGATCAGGTATGAAATGGGGCCCCGACCCACTACATGGAGATACTTCATATAAAAAGAACATGAACAAAAACATGTCTTTCTCTGGGACCCATAGTTCCCACCCACTCGCTCACATTCATTAAGGTGATTTTTATGCCGTACGCTTTTTTGCTTCTCTGATTCGAATTTTCTTAGCCCAACCTCCCAGCGGATAGCCGACCTTCGCGCGCTGGCATCCATCGCGCTTCTTGTTAGGATGACGAGCGACGTCCTCTTAGGCAAGGATTTTAGTCGGGCGTATTTCTCTGACCCAACTCATTCCCTTCTATATTTCACAGGACATAAACCCTTTTCTGGACGCCGTTCTCCATCCTTGCAACAAGCGTTGTAACGAGCGAGCTAAGCACGGCTCAACGTGTGGTAGGAGAGGCTTGTTGCTTGCTGCATCGCTTGCAGTACTCTTGGGCTTTACCCCAAGCGGCCTTCCACGTGCTCCTGCTGGACGATCATGGTGCATCACAGTGTTTGTGCGCGAGCTGGTTTCCAGGCATATTTATTAGTTGACTTCTGCAATTGGCTATGCTATCATGTTCATGTTAAGGCTTCCTAGTATGTAGTTGCACGAAGTCAGCTTCAAATTGATCTCCGCACCTGTCAGATAACTATGCTTTTGACTCCCTTCAAGTTATATGTACCAAGTATTCTCCAGCTATAGATATGTTTATAAGTGAGACTTCCTATACTTGAACTGTTTTACGAGCAAGCTGATCATTTCGCTAGATTAGCCATTTTTTAAGCTTAAGTCAATCTTATGAATTCAGTTTACAAAAATGCTAGTACATATCTGGACTGGGCGCTAGTAAACATAACTATAATCGTGCGCCTGAGTTGCGTAACATGGTGCCATGATGGTGCTTCGGATTGGGGGATAAAGAGGAGCTCCTCCCTATATCCCCGCATATATACACTGCAAGCTGGTCTGACAACATCATGTTCGACGGAGGAACACGCGCAAACTGTTGTTCAAGTCAGCTCTGAGAACTCAAACGTCTACCGTGACCAACCTCGCCGTTCCATTCGGTGATCATTGTATGTATATACTGGTGCTGCTATCGCTTGGTTTGCACGATGGAGTTGTCGTGGTCGTGGACACGGGTCAGTCTCGTCTGACAATGTATCTTATTCGTCGTGCGCTGAATGCTATAGCAGTTCTAGGTCCGGGAAAAGCCTTGCGCTCTACTCATTGACGAGCCGAAGGTCCTTATCTTTCCTTTGACGTTTATCCCAAGTTATTCCTCGTGTGCGACCCTCCTCGTGTATCATGACCACATGTCAATGTATGTCAATGTACACCAATCAATGTACACCGATATTATGCACCCTGGGAACTACTCCGACTCCTGGGCATATAGGCATAAGTAAGCCGGATTTTATTTCAGGCACTTTGCGCTGACATACTTATCATGATCGTAATTACCCGCGAGCTGTTTACTAATCATGACAATGCATGTCCACTGAATCGTTATCTTATAGGTATCCAGACCACCTCTGATTGTATATTTTGTTGGCCAGATACACCTCGCACCCCACGTCAAGTCTATCTAAACTCTCCCCGGAGCCCTTCCACGCATAATTGCTCTGTTCTACGATGGATCTGGAAAAGGAATCGAAAGCCGTAGACCTCTCTCACCACCTATCTGTTGTATCCAGAGCGAGAAAGACCTCCCCTCTCAAGGGGCTGCAGAAGTACTTTGTTAAGCCCGGCATGCTTAGCCTCGCTGGCGGTGAGTGAATCCAATCAGATAATATGTATGCAATTTAATCCTCCAGTCCTTCTTATATAGGTTTACCCAGTCCTGCTTACTTCCCATTCTCAAGCATATCAGCAGATGTTTTAGTCACCGAGTCTTTTGCGGTTGTTCCGGATGAACAGTCCTCTACCTTCTCATGGTTTTGGAAGCTATTTGGCTCAGGTCCGTCCACTAAAGAGAAGACAACTACTGTTACTATCCCCAAATATCCGACCAATCCGGGTGATATCAACCTAGCGGCTGCTCTCCAGTACGGTGCAGCAGTTGCACAGACACCACTTCAAGAATTCATAAAGAACTTTGTGACACAAGTATATCAACCAGCATACGATGACTTTTCAGTGTTAATTCACACTGGGAACACAGATGGGTAAGGCCCCATCTCTCCGTTATCGAAGCAGTGTGATTATTTGACATGTGTCACAGATGGAACCGGATTGTAGCAACATTATGCAATCCTGGTGAAGGGGTTCTTACAGAGGAATGGACTTACCCATCTGCCATGTCAGCCATGGCTCCTTACGGTATCAATCCCGTTCCTATTGCGATGGACAGTCAGGGTATGAGGGCTGATAGTTTGAATACGTTATTGTCCGAGTGGGACGAGGAAGCTCGTCACATGAAGAGGTAGTTCTCCTATCAGGTCATCACTGGTTCAAATGCGTATTGATCGCTTTACAGACCTCATGTCATGTATATAGTTCCCGTTGGTCAGAACCCCAAGGGCACTGTGAGTTCATTACACTTCTTAAGCATGATTATCATTTAAATGAAAGTAGACTATGGGAGTGGCGCGCAAGAAGGAAATTTACGAGATTTGTGTCAAGTACGGTGAGGATATTCTTACTGATTGATTTGATATCCTTGCGCTCACCAGTTGTAGACATCATAATCGCGGAGGATGACCCATATTACTTCCTCCAAATGGGGTTGTTTGTGCCAAAGGGGGAACGGTCAATGTCGGCAATTGCTTCTACATCGACACAGAAAGATGAGGTGCAAGAATATATCGCAAGTCTAGAGCCTAGCTTCCTGCGGCATGTAGATTCTTTTGTAGCCTTGGTGCCAAGTTCTAATCTCAATGTGGCTCAGATATGATTATGAAGGCCGAGTTATACGTCTCGACACATTCTCCAAGGTTCGCTGCTGAATATATGGTGCAAGAAATTGCATATAAAATATTTAAAATATATATTTTCTAGACAATTGCTCCTGGAAGTCGTCTGGGTTGGTTTACTTGCAACCCTCTCTTCGCAGAAAGATTAGAGAGACAGGGTGAAACTTCCACTCAGGCTCCGTGTGGGTTTGGGCAGGTGAATCAAATCAACCAGTTTACGGAATTGTTATGGCTAACTTGGATAAAGTCTCTTATCACAAGGGCGCTTTTACACTGGAAATATGAAGGCTATATTCGGTGGTTGCGAGGTATGTGCAATATAACGTCTGTACTAGCTTTTGTAACACTGTTTACCCCTGAATGTAGGCCTAGGTGCTGAATATGAGATCAGGCGGAATTTTTTCATAGACTGTCTCGCAGAAGAATTCCTTCTGCAGAAAGGTGTTGGTACCTCAGGGGTATGGCGAGGATGTAACGTGTATCGAGCGTCGGCTAAGAATAAGAAGCAGCTCATGCAAGAGAAGTATGCTGTGGAAAGGGATACGATGTTCAGCTTCATCCCACCGACTGCTGGAATGTTTGTCTGGGTGCGCATGTTTACTGCATCATTTTGTGCTCGTCTCATTTTCTATAGATGAAACTCCATTTGGAGAACCATCCATCATTTGCACAGGAGGACGGGGAAACACTGGAAATGAAGTTGTGGACTCAGGTTGCCGAGGCTGGTGTACTCTTTGGACCTGGCTGGATGTTTGCACCCGATGCCTTTAGCACCTCCGTGATGGAGGAGAATGAAGTCGGACACTTCCGCATTAGCTTCAGTAATTCTGAGGTAAGTAGTCCCGGTGCCTCCCGTCTCTGGCTGTCTTGACGCCCGTTCCAGTTTGCTGACCTCAAGAAAGCGGTCACCATATTTGGTCGGGTGATCAGGGAATTTTTTGCGAAGGCTTGAGAGGCTAGGGGGATAGTCAGAATACATGTATTGTGCAGTGAGATGGATTGTCTGAGGTAAATCATATATTTATTCCGAGTTTTTGGGACGAGCTTGGGGTTCCTGGACAGATGTTACAGTATGTAGTCTTGGCTGCAGTAATGGCTTGAGATGCCGGATCCTAAACTATTCCACAAGTGTCGAAATCCTCCATTACAGTTCCGAACTTGCCCTCCGGGCTTCTGTTTATAATTGACAAATAGCCGAATTTGGGGGTCGCCGAGCCCGAGTCATCCGTTACTACCCGATGTGTAAGCCCGAGCATGTTCTTAGCAAGCGTTTAGCTTGAAGTCACTGAAGCATGCCTTGAACAGCCAGAGCGACGTCGGGCATGAAAAAAGTTAGCGAACAAGGTCACACCAGACCAATTTCTTGACTCACACACCCCGCGTGTCGCCGAATGCACTATGGCTTTTATCCCATCATTCCGAGTCTAGTAGCAGGATCAGTCCAATATTATCCGCCACTTCAAATAAAATCAGGCATGTGTCTCCTTGTCCAGCCAGGATCTCTCCCCCCTCTAAACGATTCTGACCACCAGTACCAAAAGAAATCATCATGTCGACCCCACCACACGCCCACCATCATAGGCTTGCCCGATGGCCTTCTTGGGCGAGTCGCTGGCTTGGCTATCGATCTTCACCGCCTCCTGTACACTCGAAATATATTGTATGGATGTGGACACTCATAGGCGCATTCTGCGGCATTTCAGTCATACAAGCCGTGTTCAGCAATGCCAATTACTTCTTAGAAAGGGGTGTGCCGTCAATCGTGGCGAGTTATGTGAGTAGTAGCTCCAGACTTTTAATCGATGATATACTTACTTACAATGTCATATTGCAGGGGGCCTCTGCTGTTTTGATCTACGGTGTAATCGAAGCACCGCTGGCACAGCCCAGAGCACTTGTTGGAGGTCATTTCATCGGAGCGCTCGTCGGTGTTTGCATCACAAAACTATTCCGTCTTCTTCCCACAGAAGCGCGTTACCAACAGCTTCAATGGCTTGCTGGTTCTTTGTCCTGTGCTACTGCCACTGTAGCTATGCAGATGACCTCCACGGTACATCCTCCTGCAGGAGCTACGGCTCTATTGGCCGCTGTCAATCAGGAAACTCTCGAGTTGGGCTGGTACTACCTTCCCGTCGTGTTACTCTCATCGGCTCTCGCATTAGCCGTAGCTCTGCTCGTTAATAATATCCAACGTCGTTATCCGGTGTTCTGGATAGAGCCCGTTGTGGCACCTATTTCGAAGCCTTCTCCTGCGTTAGGGGGGCCCGAGGTGAAAGACACCCCAACTTCGTCAGAGCGGGGAAGTCCTAAAGAGCTACTTCCAGTTTAGCGGCTACGATGTGAGTCATTTACTTGAAGCCCGTTTCAAATCTGGAATATTAATGATTGCTTTAAACGTTATCTTACACAGCCAATGTTTGTCTTGCGGCGTATACTTACAGAGCACAAAGGGATCGTTCGCGCTTACTATTATATCAAAATGCCGCTACTCCGTTAATTTCTGGTCACAGATAGGAATTTCCTTTAAAGTAATGTCCTTGAGGCCTTTCTATAATGAGTTGGTTGCAGCATTAGCACGAGGTTTCTGGAATGACCCTCTACCCTATGTATCCTCGAGGCAAAATCACTCCGATTTGCGCTTTGCACCCCACGCCCAGTCCCCGTGTTGACCGTTCATCTCGCGAAAGGTGGCATGTGCACAACTAAAATCACTACATTTGGCTAGAGTGAGATAACCCGCTAATTTTGAAGTGTCTTCACTGCGGAAATTCCAGTTCAAGTTCCTTGCATCGTTGCCCAAAACCCCATTCAGACTGTTGAAAAGACTGCAGACTATGAGCGTTACACAGCCGGTCACTCTCTTCTCTTGTTGATTGACTAACACTACAATGTCGCCTGTAAGCATGAAAGCTGCTCTAGGACAATGTGTCTGATCGTTATAGTATGCCAGGTCAAAATTCCGTCAAGGGCTGAGTATTTGCTCCTGGCCAAGGTCGCCGAGGAAGCTGAGCGCTATGAAGGTCGAGTTAGGTCATGTCTTTCGCACTACTATGTCATACTATCTTGCTTGCCCCGACAGACCTGGTGGGTCAAATCAAGGGCCTGACGTACACATATGGCGCATTGAACATCGAGGAACGCAACTTGCTCTCCGTCGCATACAAGAACATCACAAATACGCTCCGCAGCAGCTGGAGAATTGTGGATACTTTAGAGAAAATGGAATCATCGCGAGCTTCAATTCGCCAAGTCTCTTTGATTCGGCGGCAACGGAGTCGCATCGAACAAGAGTTAGCTGATACTTGCAAGGACATTGTGAAATTACTGGATGAGCGTCTGCTACCGAGTGCCAAACAAGGCGAAGAAAAGGTGTTCTATTACAAGATGTGAGCCTCACGTATCCCTGTCCGTAAATGGACACTCACTGCTTTGATATTGCAGGAAAGGCGATTATTACCGCTACTTGGCGGAATTCGCTCAACAGCATGATAGAAGCCACTTTGCCGAACTCTCGCTATCAGCCTACAAATTCTCCTACAAGCATGCCTTAGCCACGCTGGACCCTATGCATCCTACGAGACTTGGTTTGGCACTGAACTTTGCTGTATATTATCACGACGTCTTGAAAAGTCCCGAGAGAGCATGCCATCTTGGGAAACATGCGTTTGACGAGGCCGTTTCTTGCCTGGACGAGTCATCATCAGGTCAGGTCATGCGAGATTCTATGATGATCCTCCAACTCCTTCGAGATGATTTGATTATATGGTCAGGGGAGATGCAAAAAGGTGACGTCTTTTTTTCTACCCTCGCCGTATATTTGGCTGACTAAATATACTCAACATAGAGCTGGACGATCGATGAGATCATGACCCTTGTAATTTTATTGGGGCACATATTGGCGAATGACTTTATCTTCTTCAGTTGTTTGTAAATCAGGCTTTTAATTATATTGGTTTTTTCTTCTCGCGAGTCGTCCGGTGTCAACTAAAAAAGGTTAAAAGTTAGCGAGACCCCGTGTCATTAACTCACTGGAAAGGTGCCACGAACCTATGGCTCTGAGGCTTTCAGCGCAACTTTGCCACTTATACTTCACTTTCATATGCTTATTGGCCTGATGACTCTTGTGCAAATGTCGCAGCAACCAACATGGGGAATACTAATGTAGCATCAGCGAAAACCTATAGCAGCAGTAAATATTTGGTCGATATTGATCGATTTGAATATTGAGCGTACCTTCACAGATTCTGCGCCAGCACGAATTTTCCCCCAAGAAACAGCTTCGTCAGGGCGAGCTCCAGAGTCCGAACCATCGAACTCTTGACCTGTATTCTACAAACACTGTTAAGTTAGCACCAAAATCAAAGAATCGTGACGTACTATGAAAACCGAATAGTCGGCGCCATTACGCTGTAAAATACAAAACTGTTAAATTTGAGAAGATAAGAAGACAATGAGACATTACAATTAGCATGGCGTTAGCTATTTGGTGCTTACATACACCCCCGCCAAGGATGATCATGCCTGCTTTCCGCGATTTTCTTGACATTTCATTTAAGGCACGTATGTCGCCCACGATGTCGACGACCAACCCGGGAGTGCGGAAAGAGTGGAAATAAATCATGTCTCCCAAGGACCCATCAGTTAGGGCAGGGCAAAAGACGGGAGTGTCGTTCTGCGTGAATATGTCTCAGTCCTGAGTGCATGCAGCCAATCCCGACATTGAAAAAAAAACTCCTTGAATTCACTTTATAAGCCCAATAATACACTGATTCTTCGTTGTTAATTTCTTTTCCCAGCCGTCGTATGAAGGAACTAGGGGTCCAGACTTGTCCGCTAGTTTGCTGCTCCAACAGCATAGAGTCGAGAATCGGGGTGAGCCAATCTTCAAACTTGCAATAGTTATCGTTGGGCACGATAAGATTCCCTATACGGTTCATTCCCCTTTTCCGAAGGTCTGCGCCATCCATGTTGAAGTCGGCTAGATAAGTCTTGCCTAGACATTTAATGAAATCCTCCTCGATACCACCAGCAGTTGTAACAATCGCCGCGACATGTTTATGCTTGACGAGGTAAAGGATTATTTCGCGAAGTCCGGATGATATGAGGTTTGAGGTGTAACCAAGAAATATATTGCACCGTGTCGAAGCTCTGACTTCCGGGGCGGTGTAATCTTCAGATTCATCTTCGGCCAGAGGCTCGTCAGATAAGCGCCATTTTCGCTGTAGCCAGGCTGAGACCCCGTAGATGGAAGAAGCATATATTAGACTTACCATACGATTGACGATATCTATAGCCTTTCCAAGGCTGTTTGCTTGAAATCCAATCCGCTCATAAGACTTGAGGAAATCTTGTAATGACAGATTTTGCTCGAAATTTGGTCCTTGAACAGAAACGGCAGTTTCAGGGATGGGATCAGAAGGCTGTAGAACAGCAGCTGATGCGCCCATAGGGACATGGTTGGAACTGGGTACCATGGTCATTGCTGCGATATCGATAAAGCTGAATGTGTCAAGAGAGGCCGTATCTAACCGGCGCTGAGCAAAAATAATAGACGGCAAAGTCCGGACCAGTGTCCGCAGTGAACTTTGCAGGGTTGAGTTGTCCGACGAGAGCAACCGTGACGAAGCCTTTTATCCTCGTAGCACGATATATTCCCAGACGTGACCCGCGTCGCTCGACATGCAGGCTACTGCTGATGCAGAACGTCCACCTACTTCACCGTCTCCCATAGTCACCACCACGGAGCCCAGCAATAATCACACAGAGGAACACAATGTCGTTGACGACCCCAGCAATGGTGACATGCACGCTGAACAGGTATATTCACCACCGGAAAATACACGGATAGACAATGCCAATGGGAAAGATATATCACACGTTGTGGAAGAGCGACTAGAGAATGAATCTGGCGGGCAAAGTGACGTGCTAGGTGATGAACTCCAGAACACAGCTCGTCCCGTCATAAATGCCGAAACGCCAGACGACGAGGACACGGAGATCACAGCTCCTCCTACGCCTCCTGCAAAGAGCTCCCCGCCCGCAGAGAAAATGCTTGGAAATATCCCTCCTGCCACCGCACGTCGTTCAATTGATCCAAATGGCGTGCACGAGAAAATGCCTCCCACCCCTTCTAGTACCACCACCCCTACTTCTGCAACTTCACACCGACGTTCGCTCACTATGTCCAAAGGTCGCACCGTGTCAGTTGTACTCATATCTTCCGCGTTGGAAACTATCCTTTCATCTAAGGATGCAAAGCGTTCCGGCCCACTGCGGGAGAGTGCGCAGAAGGCTTTGGAGATGGTACGTGCAGGCGAAGGTGGAGACAGACCACGTGAAATATTTGAGCCTTTGCGTCTGGCTTGCGAGACACGCAACGAGAAGCTGATGATCGCCAGTCTGGACTGCATATCAAAACTTATTTCCTATTCTTTCTTTGCTGAGCCTTCATCCGCGCAAATATTGCCTTCCCCGCCTCCCTCTCCAGGTCCTCATGGTCGTCGCTCTATATCAGGTTCCCACACCAGTATCCCTCAACCGTCTCTCGTTGATCTCGTAGTACACACTATAACGGCATGTCATAGCGAAAACACACCTGAAACGGTATCCCTGCAAGTGGTCAAGGCGCTTCTATCCTTAGTGCTATCGCCCACCATTTTTGTCCATCATTCCTCTCTTTTGAAAGCGGTACGAACAGTTTATAATGTTTTCTTGTTGAGCACAGATCCTGTCAACCAAATGGTGGCTCAAGGTGGATTGACGCAAATGGTACACCATGTCTTTTCGCGGTGTAAGGTCGATCAAAGGAGCAATGATACCGACGAGGCTTCTACTCTCAAATCATCATTAAGCTCTGAGACCCTGGTTACTTCTCAGCCGACGACATTACCTTCTTCGACGCCGCGACCATCCTTAGACACGCTTCATGGAGCTCCGGCAGGTGTGATATCAGCAGCTCCCAATCGTAAAGCATCTGGGCTGGAGGAACCTCGAGGCTATTCGTCGCCTGCATCTGATTCGTACCATATGGATAATGCCTCCAAAGACAACACCCCGCTCACACCCCCAATCTCAGAGCCTTCATCGATACCAACCTCGTGAGTAGTCTGCTGGATCAGCCTAATTCAAGTTATTTATATTGTTCTATAGAGATGCTCCTGTAAATGGCCAAGATCCCCTCGAAAGAGAGAATATCCAAGATTACAGAGAGCTAACCACCCAGGACTTGTTCGTCAAAGATGCGTTCTTGGTGTTCCGCGCCTTGTGCAAGCTGACTATGAAGCCTTTAAATTCGGAAAGGTGAGTGTAGATGGATCAATCTGAAAATCACATTTTTATCTTTACATTCAGTGAACGCGACATAAAATCCCATGCTATGCGTTCTAAGCTACTCTCTCTGCATTTGGTTCTTACTGTCTTAAACTCGCATATGCCCCTTTTCAACGATCCATCTGCTATAATCTACTCAAGTTCTTCAAACGACGACACTATGTTCATCCAGGCGATAAATCAATATCTCTGCTTGAGTTTAAGTCGCAATGCTGTTAGCCCCGTTCCCCAAGTGTTTGAAGTGAGCGTGGAGATATTCTGGCGAGTTCTGTCTGGAATGCGGACGAAACTCAAGGTTAGTGCATTATCGTAACGCCCAGTTGCTCCCTGCATTAATGTTTTCACATAGAAAGAAATAGAAGTACTTTTACATGAGATATTCATTCCTATATTGGAGATGAAAACCTCAACTTTGAAACAGAAGGCTGTGATCCTGGGGATGCTTTCCAGACTCTGTCAGGACCCGCAAGCACTGGTTGAGATATATCTCAACTATGATTGTGACAGTGAAGCTGTGGATAATATATATGAACAGTAAGAACATACTTGTGGTATGCATTCGAACCTAATCATTTATCCTTCCTATAGCCTCATGAATATCATCTCCAAAATTTGCACATCACCTTCCAGTTCTACACCACAAAAGGCAAATGATCCTGCTAGTCCGTCGCTACAACCTCATAGCAAGAGTCATAACTCAACTGTACCACCATCCCTCAACAGTACCTCCTTAAGTGTTTCAGGCTCGATGGATACGTCCATGATGGGTCTTTCTGAAGCTCAGCTCCGAAGGCAAGGTCTCGAGTGCATGGTGGCAGTATTGAGGTCGCTCGTTTCGTGGGGAACTGCTGCTGGAAGGACGCCAGGTGAATCTAGTGCAGATCCGACTACTCGCAGTCAGATAGGTGAAGAAACGAGACAAGAGACCGTAACTCCTGATCCTTCTGTCGAAGGCCTCTCCGTTTCTGCCGGCAGCTTTGAGGCCCTTAGGCAGCAGACACCTGATGTGGTGGACGACCCCACTAAATTTGAAAGTGCCAAGCAAAAAAAGACAACGCTATTAGAGGGCATTAAAAAGTTCAATTTCAAGCCGAAACGCGTTCGTGCACCAATTGTTATTTGCTTGACGTGGAATATGACTTTGGTTTTAAGGGTGTACAATTTCTCATAGAAACTGGATTCATCCCGAGCAGGGCTCCGCGAGATGTTGCACAATTTCTTCTTACAACGGATGGCCTTGCGAAAGCAATGATCGGTGAATACCTGGGTGAAGGGTGAGTATTATATATCACATTTATAATCTTCTACTTACAAACAATGGTTTGGTGTCTCGATCAGCGAGGAAGAGAACATCGCTACCATGCATGCCTTTGTCGACCTTCTCGATTTCAGGAATCTTCCATTTATCGATGCTCTTCGAATTTTTTTGCAAGCATTTCGTCTTCCAGGAGAGGCACAAAAAATCGATCGATTCATGCTCAAATTTGCGGAACGATACATTGCGGGTAATGCGCAAACACCATTCGCAAATGCAGGTCTGTAGTTTTGTCATTCAATATACTACGAATTAACATGCGCTCTAGACACGGCTTATGTTCTGGCTTATTCGACGATATTGTTGAACACGGATGCCCATAGTCCGCAGGTCAAGAATCGCATGACCAAAAGTGACTTTTACAAGAACAATCGTGGGATTAATGACGGCGCAAGTCTTCCTGAAGAATTCTTGTCCACTATTTATGATGATATTGTCAAAAATGAAATTCGGATGAAAGATGAGATAGAATCGGCTCCGATTATTCCAACTCCTGGACCTGGATTTGCTAATGCCTTGGCAAACGTTGGCAGAGATCTTCAAAAGGAAGCATATATGCTGCAATCAAATGGTATGGCGAACAAGACTGAGGTAAATATCATGGTCTGTTATAAATTACGCTCTTCTAATCGCTCCATATCCAAGGCCTTATTCAAAACGTTAATGCGCTCCCAGAGAAAGGGATCAAGGACAGGCGATCAATTTTTCAGCGCGTCGCATTTCGTCCATGGCCGACCGATGTTTGAAGTTGCATGGATCCCATTTTTGGCCGGTTTATCTGGACCATTACAGAATACTGATGATTTAGAAATCGTTGAATTGTGCCTGGATGGATTCAAGAATGCAATTCACATCGTCTGCTTTTTTAACCTTGAGTTGCAGCGTAACGCGTTTGTGACGACACTAGGGAAATTTACCTTCCTGAATAACTTAGGAGAAATGAAGGCAAAGAATATGGAGGCCATCAAAACCCTGTTGGATGTTGCTGTCACCGAAGGAAATAGCTTGAAAGGGTCATGGAGGGAGGTTTTGACGTGCGTCAGTCAGTTGGAGCACATGCAACTCATCAGTAGTGGTGTGGATGTACCAGAGTCTGGGAAGAAAGGGTGCGTTTGCTTTGTTCTTCTACTGTGCCCAGTACCTAAATTTTGGGCAGACGATCGCGTAAACTCCCTGCAGAGGAATTAGCGAACGAAAGTCGTTCAACTCATATCACAGTAGCAGCAGATATGGTTTTTTCCCTCAGCCATTACTTATCTGGAGTACTCCTCTTCATCCATTTGTGCGATCATGGCTTACGTTTATTTTTCAGACTGCTATCGTTGATTTTGTCCAAGCACTATGCGATGTTTCATGGGAGGAGATACAGTCTTCAGGTCTCTCTCAACACCCACGCCTATTCAGCCTTCAGAAACTTGTCGAAATTTCCTATTACAATATGAATCGTATTCGATTGGAGTGGTCAAATTTATGGGATATTCTCGGAGAGCATTTTAATCAAGTATGTTTGATATTGATATTTCTCACTCGACTGTCAATACTAACGTATTTACAGGTTTGCTGCCACAATAATCCTCATGTCGGCTTTTTCGCGCTAGATTCGCTTCGCCAACTATCCACTCGCTTCTTGGAAAAAGAGGAGCTACCCCATTTCAAGTTCCAGAAAGATTTTTTGAAGCCTTTCGAATACACTATGACACATAACGCCAATCCAGATATTCGAGATATGGTAAGCAACTATCCCATTCTTTCAATTACGGATGCATAACCCTGCTATAGGTCTTGCAGTGTCTTCAACAGATGGTACAAGCCCGCGTCCAGAACATGCGATCGGGTTGGCGAACCATGTTTGGAGTATTTTCTGCTGCCTCAAGAGTTCTCACCGGTGCGTCTTGGTGTCACCTGCCAGGTGTCAATCTCATTTAGACCTCTAGAACGGATCGCAAGCTCTGCTTTCGAAATTGTCACTAGACTAAACGAGGATCACTTCGCAGCTATCGTCCGACACGGTGCATTCGCCGACTTAACCGTCTGTATTACAGACTTCTGCAAAGTGAGCAAGTATCAGAAGATCAGCTTGCTTGCTATTGCGATGTTGCGTGGTGTTATTCCTGTGATGCTCAAGAGCCCCGAATGTTCCTTCAATCCTGATGGGCAAGCACCCACCGATGATACCATGATTCGTTTCTGGTTTCCTGTACTGTTTGGATTCTACGATATCATTATGAATGGTGAGGACCTGGAGGTTCGGCGCTTGTGAGTCCAGGTCACCTACATATTACTTTCGTCGTAACGATAATTCCAGGGCCTTGGACTCATTATTCACTACTCTCAAGACATATGGCTCAACTTATCCTGTTGAGTTCTGGGACACTGTGTGCCAAGAGCTACTTTTCCCAATTTTCGCTGTCCTGAAGTCAAGTCAAGATGTATCTCGGTTTAGCACTCAAGAAGACATGAGTGTATGGCTTTCTACGACGATGATCCAAGCATTGCGTGACCTCATCGATCTATATACCTTCTACTTTGATATACTCGAGCGCTTTCTTGATGGCCTTTTGGATTTATTGTGTGTCTGTATTTGCCAAGGTATACGATCATTATTAAGCTTGTTTTCTATTTCTCTGATTAGCTATCTTTTGCAGAAAATGACACACTGGCACGAATCGGCACTTCATGCTTGCAGCAGTTCCTGGAGAATAATGTGACAAAGTTAAACCCTTCTAGATGGGAGCGCGTTGCAACTACCTTCGTGAGGCTATTTAGGACGACGACACCGCATCAGTTGTTTGACGACAACTTACGAGTGGAACTTGATGGTAGCAATCCAGACCTACCAGATACAGTCGGTGAGCAAAAGCTATAGGAGCACAGTACATATACTAAACTTGACAACCTGCAGAATCAAATGGTCAAGCTATATTACCCGCTCCTCTTTCGCCCACGAATGAGCGCCCTGTGGTTGAAGTCAAACCTTCTCTCAACGACCGTCGTCGCATTTTCAAACAAATTATCGTTAAATGTGTTCTTCAATTGCTATTGATCGAGACAACCAACGACTTACTTCGCAATGACGCTGTATACAACAATATACCACCGGAACAATTACTGCGATTGATGGGCGTTCTTGATCACAGTTATCAATTCGCAAGGATGTTCAATGACGACAAGGAACTCCGCACAGGGTTGTGGAAAGTTGGCAAGTCGTCTCTCACTGCTCATTTGGAATGGCTTGTAATGACCAGGCATCATTTACTTAATTAATTATACAGGCTTTATGAAACATTTACCCAACCTTCTCAAGCAGGAATCAAGTAGTGCAGCAACTTTGGTGCATGTTTTACTTCGGATGTATTTCGACGAACGCCCAGAACATCAAGCGGCAAGACCGCAAATCGCAGAACGGCTCCTTCCGTATGTATATTTTCCTATCAGCAGAAATTGACTGACCGAGTTAAATGCAGTCTCGGACTGAGCGTGTTACAAGACTACACAAAATTACGTTCAGATACACAGGCAAAAAATATAACAGCTTGGACGCCTGTTGTAGCGGAAATATTAGAGGGCTTTTGTCGATTTGACAACAAAGCAGTATGTGTCGATGCTATCTGAGGAGAATCCTGCTAAACTTCATTTTCTTTCAGTTCGTAAGATATTTACCTGCGATATTCCCTTTAACGACAGGACTCTTAGCCCGCGATATCGCCCCAGAGATTAGGTTGGGCCTGAAGATGTATTTCGAACGGGTCGGATACTCTCAGGGTATAGTAGAAGCTCCACGATAATCATTATTACCTCTCTGTTCCGTCATTTATTCAACCACTTGCAACTAATTGTATATTCCATTTGCTTTGTGCGATTCAATCAAGATAAAACGGTCATAATAAGATCTGAGGAAGCAACAATGATGATGTGATTGATAGGTGCTAATATCCAGTATATCCATTCTGATAGCCATTATTCCCCTGATAGCCCCATCCAGTAGTTTGTGGCATGAACCCTGTAGGCTGAGGTGCGAGTTCTACACAAATGTTAGCATATTCACATACTAAATACATGATTTCTATACTCACGATTAGCGCGCAAAGCATCATATTTATCTTCCAAGGCATTATAAGTAGTGTGAATAACGCAAAAAATGAGATACTCACCTGATGGTACAGGCCCTGTATTATCATTTCCACTAGCAAAAGTGCCCGACTTCATTTGAGCGAAGACATTTGCTGGAGATATGTTGTTGTGTGTATTGTTAGATTGTGAGTATGGCAAGGGAGGGACAGGCGGTGGCTGAGAAAACGATGGATTGAAACCAGTGGGATCTAAATAGGAATTTGATATTATTCTGAAGTGTATGATGTATGAATAAACTTACTGGTTGAAACAGGTTGGAAAGAGGGTGCAGATGAAAAATTCCCGAAATTTCCAGTTGGAATACCTGTGGGCTGCGGTAGCATCGGGCTGGAAGACTGGAATCCAGAAGTGGGGAATCCGGTGGGTTGTGAAAGGAGTGGTTGAGAAGAAGGGGGGAAGCCCGTCGGCTGGGACTGAAGGAAAGGAAGCTGTGGCTGGGCCTGGGCCTGGAAAGGAGAAGAAGTGTTAGATATACGAGTAGGAACAAAACTATTGAAGCCTGTTGTGGTGGGAATCAAAGGTTGCAGTAAACTCTGATTAGCAGGGACAGGAGCAAATGGACCGCGAGGACCGTTTTGTTGCTGGGGGAGGAACATTCCGGTTTGTTGGCTTTGCAAATGTTGGCCCATAGGTGCAGGAGACGACCCCATACCAAGGCCAGAATTAAATCCGGCAGGCGGAGGAGAGGAAATGGCAGGAGAAGGGCGAGAGCCTGGTGGGGTGGATGCGGGTCCTGCGGGGACGGACTGGTTACTCCTCAGCTGGCTTAAACGAGCGAGCTGATCGAAAAGTTCAGCGTCTGTCTTTGCAAGACCACTGCCACCTCCCGATGATTGTTGAGGTGCTTGTACAGGAGGTGTAGGCTGAGGCGCAGGAGGCGCTGACGGTGCCCTGGGTGGTGCAGCAGCTGGGGTAGGAGTAGGGGCAGCTGCAGGCGGCTTTGAACCCGGTCTATTAGTCCAAGCATCATCATCAAACCCGCCTGCCGCTGGGACTGCCGAACTAGACCTTTGAGGCGGCTGTACCAATGCAGGAGAAGACGGGATTCCAACAGGGCTGGCGACAAGAGGAGATGAGGTGCGTTGTATTTGTCCCGATGCTGTAGTGATAGCATTCAAATCGACGGTAGCAGGAGGGAGACTTTTGCTAGGCTGTGGCCTACCCCGACGTTGGGTGTTGTTTTTCAAGACACCGTCAGGACTAGTAAACAAATTCGTTGGTGGTTTTCGCGCTGTATTCTCCTCCTCTTGTAGTTGCTTGGCAAGCTCTTCATCTCGAAGTAATTGACCATTCGCAGCCTTCGGCTTCGCATACTTCTGTTGGATGACCTTGTTGACACGAATGATGTCACCTTCCCGCAAACCCAATGAGCGCATGGTTGATTCCGTGATGTCTGGCAAGATAGCTTCGTCGATCTTATCTCTCTCGAACGAAGAAGCATAGCGGGTACAATCATCAACATCACAGCCAGCCGAAAGAAAGAATTCGAACCAGTCGACCTGTGGACCTTTCTTGACAGGTTGTTGCATAGTGGCCCGCTTGGTAGCCTCTGACTGCTTTTTCTTCAAGGCTAGCGGTTGATCATCATCATCATCATCTTGGGGAGATCTCCGAGATGAAGAGGAAGAATTTTTCTTGCTTGACAACTTCTCAACATAACGCATGTCCTCGAGCGACATTTTCTCTGACGGGACCTCGATGACAACGCCGTTGGCTTTGTGGAGCCTGAGTTTACCATTGGAAAAGCCAAGGAACGCAGCTTCAACACGGAACTCCCCGCTCCTGTCGTGCCATATCCGCGTTGATTCAGGGGGAGGGCCACCTGTATATTATCGGCTCAGACCTGAAAAAGTCATTCCAGTAAAACAAACTTACGTCTATCGCTGGAACTACGACCTCCTCCAGACGATGATTCGCCGCTAGTCTTCGAGGCCTTACGTTGTGATTGAGATGATTGAGGTCGACTGTGTGATTGTGAGTGTCAATAATGTGCAATAATGGGGAGTGGATACAAATACTGACGGTGACTGGCTGTGTTCCCTTTCTTTCTGGGCTTTGACGCGCTTTGCCTCTTCTTGGCGTTGTTTTTCCAGCTCTTCCGCTTCCGCCTCTGCTGCCGCACGTGCCTTCTCACGTCGTTTCCTTTCGACCTCGGCAGCAGCAGCAGCAGCCTTAGCACGCCGCTCTTGTTCCTGTTTCTTGCGCTCACGTTCACGTTCTTCATCCGCGCGCTGTTTTGCTGCACGCTCCTCCTCCAAACGTGCCTCGCGCTCACGGATAGCTGCTCCGTCGTCCACCGGTTCAGACGTTTGTGCAGATGAAGTGCTCTGTGTGAAGTATGAAAGACTTCTCACGAAACAAAAAAAAAAAAAAAACATAGTTAAAACTGACCTCGAGATAAGAGGCTGGTACAACGCCTTCTTCACCATGGGTATTCCTGCACTTCCACCATTCATCACCGCCCTTCTCAAGGACATGGAGGTGTTCGCCTTCCTGTACCGACAGTTCATCGGATCCCGTCCCCTCGAAATCATATAAAGCTATAGCAGCTTCTCCGTCAGTATCCGAGGCTTCTTCGTCCGCACCATTGTAGACAGTGGGAACATCGGCCTCCGCCCCTTCTTCATCTTCATCTTCGTCAGGCTCTCTAGGAGGTATGATAGCAGGCGACTCCTCCGCGAATCGCACACCGTTCTTCTTGTTTGGACTAGGAGTACGAGCCGGAGGAGACCTCGTGCCATTGCTTAGGGCGCTGTTAGCTTCCAAAGAAGACCTAGGTACGGTGGAAGAGGCTTTGGACGATTCAAGCTTGGAAACGACAGCATCTGCGGTATCTTTGGAACCCACGTTGAAGTGCAATTTGATGGGAGTAGGTCCTCCGACCTCAATGTGAACATGTTTCGACTTTTCGACGCTGATGTTCTCAATGTGAACGGTTTGCCACTTTTGGACTGGCGTCTGTTGCTAATGTCGGCTATTATAACAATCAAGAAGAATGTGCGATCTCACCTTGTCGGATTCACTTGCAAAGAACACAGCACCATTGCCAACACCAAGGGTACCTTTCTTCTTCTTACCCTTCTCGTTGACCTCTGACACTGACCATGTCTTGATGTCGTCAGCCTGAGCTTTGGTGGGAGCTGCAGCCACGAGCACTGCCGGATCCATGTACATGCTCACTGGGCGTGCAGGAGGGGGAGGCTAGGAACGTACAGATGAGATAGCATACATTTACGTATATACTGGGTGCTCACCGATGGTGGAATTATGATATGAGGTACAGATGGTTTAGACTGCTCGTCGGTTATCTGAACGCACGAGGTGTGAACAAGGGGCAATATGGAAAATCAACTCAACGACATACCTCATCGACGTAGTTTCCGGGAACAAACCCGGCTTTTCCACCTTCTTTCTCGCTCTGGACCAAGATCCAGTCATCTTCCTTGTCGAAGACCAGCAATACTTCATCTTCTTTGACAGAAAGCTCGCCTGGAGCGGATGCCTCATAATCGTATAGAGCTTTGACCATCGACGTGTGTTCTGCCTGAATATGGATGAATGAGGTAGTTAGATTATGGTGCTGGGACTTGCGAATGATGGGAAATAACACCGACCTGTTCGACATAGGCGGCAGGCACAAGCCCAGAAGGGCTTTCTTCGTCCTGCGTTTCACCTCTGACCTTGACTTTCCACCAACTAGAGACGTTCTATTCAGAAAGTGGAACCACAATAGAACTGATTGATGCACTCAACTCGTCATCTGTTCTCTCCAGGAGAAAGAGCATCTGGTTCTCTTTGATTGCTATTTCATCTTCTGACTGAGGTTCGTAGTCATATGAAGCCCTGAGGACAGCCAGGTATTCTTCAGATTCTGCAGCCATGTCGTACCAACTCGAAGCTAAGACAATGAATATTTCCCGTGTTGCTGGCGGAGGTGTTGAGACTCGGAAGTGTGGCTATGGTATGGCAGTATTGCCTGTTTGGTCCTGTTTCAGACCCACGGATGCTCTAGTACCTTTACTATGCAGTCCAGCAGGTAGTATCGAAACCTGTAATATGCTGAATCGTCGGTATTGTCTGGTCCTGTTTGAAGTGAAATGTAAACGCAAGAGAGTACAGGGATGAGGCTCAGCGCTCAGACTTTCCAGCAAAGGGCGCAACCGGCACCGCCCATTCATAGGCGTCGCGTCTAAACTCATCCGCAGTCGCTGCAATGCTACAAACTTCAATTCGTCTTTCCTACTGCTCGTACAACAATCTCTTACACTACTGGAAGCACTAAAACACTCTACAACATACAGATGGTTTGACTATATCTAGAGGTGGCGCTAGGGACGTACAATAATTGCCAATTCGTGGTATCGTACCAACATGTGATCAGAAGCCATCAGGAGTTCTAAGCTAAACGGCAATGCAAGATGCAGTCTGATCACCATTACGCGTTGGATAAAGAGACGCTCGATACGCCTTCAGCTACTTCGTCGATCCGGCTATCAATCAGTTTTGTAACCTGAGCGGAAAGACAATTTTAGTTGATGTGATGTATAGTGACCCGTTCCTTGTGCTCACCTTTCCAATGGCCACCGTTCTCCCTGAAAACGTTCATGGCGTCAATTGTATGTATTATGTAGTGTATATTAGATACGGACCTTCATCTCTGAGGGTGAAACGGCCTAGCTGTGGATAGTCTACGAAACGCTCGATACAAATAGGCGCAGTGGTCTCAACGAGCGCCACGATCTTCTGACCTGAGGAGGATGGAAGATGTCACCTTAAGCACAATACTTCGGTTGATATCTAACTTACCCCTCTTGGCAAATTGAGGTGGTTTTTTTGATTTGCGACCTGTCGTTTTGTCAAAGTAATGCAACAAAGCCTGAAATCAAATGTCAAGTGAGAATTTCAGAGGAAATTATCAAAAAAGATTATTACGCACAGGTAGTGTAACCTCCTCTGACAAAGTATGGATGTGCATTACCGCTGAGTAACCCGCACATATAATGCTCTTATGCTCTAGAATAGCTAGTTGTGCTTCGAATTGGCGCACAGAGTGTACAGGAGTTTTGGGGCTTGTGAGCACGAATCCAGGAGTGATATCCTCATCTTCAACACCACGCAAACGTACGCGCACATTGTCTCCACAAAGTGCTTTGGAGATTTCATCCTCTAGCTCATTGTAGATGGCGGCAACTTCAACGAAAACCCTGTTCGGCATAAGAATCAGGTTGTCTCCCTTGCGCATATGGCCAGACTCAATTTTCCCGACCACGATCGCACCCATATCTTTATATTTTTCAGATATGGGCATCATCAATGGCGAGTTAATTTTTCTGTCAACCATAGGCATGTGATCCATATGTTCAAGGAAAGATGGGCCGCTGAAATGGCAGTCAATAAACAGAACGGTGAAGTCAATGCAGTGTTCACTTACTCCCACCAGGAACAATCAGACTTGGAAACACGGTCCTTCAAGTTCATGCCGGTATATGCAGAGACAGGTATGAAAGTAACGTCGGTTTTGGGATTGAAACCGGCTGCCTTGATGAATGGCGTCAATTTATCTTTAATTTCGTTGTATCGCGACTGTTCCCATTTCACGGTGGGCTCGTCCATTTTGTTGATAACGACGATTACTTTAGACACGCCGGCTGTCTTCACCAACATGATATGCTCTCGTGTCTGACCACCCTTCTCGAAGCCCGTCTCGAATTCACCCTTGCGGGCAGAAATCACAAGTATTGCGACATCTGCTTGAGCGGCACCAGATATCATAGAAGGCACATATGTTTTATGGCCTGGAGCATCCAAGATAGTGTATCGGCGCATGTCTGTTTCAAAGTAGGCACGACCGACTTCGACTGTTTTTCCTTTACTACGCTCCTGAGGAGTGGAATCTAGGGCCCAGCTGAGGTACCAACTCTCTCTCCCGGCTTCTTTGGCTTCACGCTCGTATTTTTCCATGGTCCGTTTGTCGACTGAACCGGTGATATAGAGCAGATTTCCGCCCAGCGTACTTTTGCCAGCATCTACATGTCCGATAAAGACGATGTTCAAGTGTTCCTTTACTTCACGAAAGAAAAAGACCTCAGAACTGCAGGATCGGTACTACACTGAATGAGGAATGGTCCTACCGTCACCATAAAGATCCTTAAGTACTTCTCGATCAGCAACGGCTTGTACTTCTCTTGCGATGGCCAGCGTATCTGTCTTTGCCTTGTCCATTGTGAACACCTTTTTGTCGTGCGTTGAGGGAGCGGGGGAGTTGGCATGAGATGAAGCAACTGATGGCGTAGCATGAGTGGTATCTGCGCGTTTATGGACGGCTGATGCTGGGGTAGATGTACCAGTGCTAGCGGGTGTGACTGGATGGTGTACGGCTGCTGGTGCTGGTGCTGGTGCAGGGGGAGGTTTAGCACCACCGATATTCAAAGAGATTGTTGGAGGAGGAGCTGGTGCTTCTGTTTGCAGGGGACGTTCGACAGGTGCCAGCGAAGGCTGGGGTGCACTAGGCTGTGGTGCACGGAGAGTTCGTCCTGGCACGAACTCAAAAGCGCCAGCATTTAGTCTGCTCATTTCTGAATACTGCTTTTTGCTGATCTGGACAATCAGAGCGATGGGGTGATGTGCAGACAGACGACTGAGAAATTTTGGGCTTTATCGTTTTATGCCGATCCAGGCATGTGCCCAACTGTGGCGCGGTCCCGTTTCAAGTTGCTCTTGACTCAAGACTCATTGCTTGTTACACTACCGGGACCGAATACATCATCGAACTAGAAGAAAACAGCCTCACCGCCATCGCAGACGGCGTCGTCGTATAGATTGTCTTTCGCAATGTCTTTGGGGTCAGAACTTGTAGACGTCCTCAGCGCTGGCTCTTCTCTTTTAGACACCAACCCTCCCAATCCCGGGTCAGAGCTGAAAACCGTTTTGTTGGCAAGACTTTCTAGGCATTACACTATTCTTGGCCAGCACGATCGCACTACAGAATTCAAGTCAGAAACGATAGAGAAAGTCCAGCTCGAGACTGCTCAAGGGGCTCTTGATGTAGTGGAACGTGTACAGCAGATCCTACAAGTCGACGAACCAACCGATGATGAAGCACGTTCTGTGGATAAAGAACCACATACGTCTCCAGGTGATGCACCAGCTATCGGAACCCGTGATCTGGCGCATTTGCGTACTCTCTTGTCCATGATATTCAGGTGGGGCATCGACCCTCTCCTTATCGAGCTGGCAGCATCCTGGTCAACTAAACCTCCATCCCGTGCTACTCCAAAAATTATCGACCTTACCAATACTCCCGATGTTTACAAACAATTATCATTCATGACCTCACGTTTGATGGGTCTGTTATTTCCTGGAGGGCTGCAAGGGTCCATGCCGCAGACATTAATCACTAGCACTCTGCTAGTTCGACATACGGCCCATTTGCTTAAACCATGTATTGCTCTTGGATGGCTTCCCAGGTCTTTGGCCTCCGATGCAATGCTTACTTTGCACGATCTACGACCTTTAGTATCTCGTTTTCTAGGAATGTACGTCTGTCATCGACTACATATGTAATCAGAAATAGTTAATGCAAGAGCATTTTTATCTTAAGTCTGCCTCCTTCGCAAACTATCACTGCCTTGGGTGCTATTTTGTCAAGTAGTCCGTCTCCCATTCCGCATATCCGCAAAGCCTGCTCTTCCCTTCTGAGCAGACAACTCCTTCGTCCTCAAGGTGTGCGTGGTCTTTGTGCTGCTGTTTTTGGAGAGCAGGAAGGCGCTGAGGATGCGCCATTGGAGAAATTTGATCATGTCACTCGAGTATTAACTGCCGTCCCTGCGGGAATGAAACCAGAGGTTTGTCGTTGTTCATTTCGTATCAGTAGGTCCCGTTTCATCAATTTAGTGCGCAGGAATACTTCAATATCATCTTACCTCGGATTGTTGCTCTTGTTTCGAATGACTCGCCGCCAACGTATAGGCGTGCAGCTTGCCTTACGATCTCTCGTATGTTGGCTTCGGATACCGAGTTTCCGTTTCCCCATCAAATATTCGCGTCTTCCATCGCGCTCCCTATCTTACACGACCCCCTTGTTTACTTGACGAGTGACATCCCTGATATCATTGCCAAAAGGATACCTCCATCGCCTGATGCTCATACGTCCTTCTCAGAGGTGTCTTCTACCCCTGGGATGGCGATATCTACGTTGCTCTTGCTCCTGCTCAATACAGATCCTTCTCCCACCTTTATATCTAATGTGCTCTCCCCTGTCATACCGACCTTATATTCCCTTCTCTATCACTTGGATCAAACAAAATTGTCAGACCCTGTATTAAAGGAGTCCATCAAAGGTCTCCTCACAACATGGGGAAGAGTCATTGATCGAAAGGAGGGCCTCGATATAATGAATAACATTCTGCGAGGAGATCGGATAGGCTGGCAAGTGGACGTCACAGGAGAGGTTAAGAGAGTAGACTGGCAAGTACCTTTCGGGCTCCCAATCCTACCGTAATTTATTAAACTGTGAGACCTTATAGGTCAGATCGCCCTGAAAAACTGTCGCTCCTGACTCCAGAAGATCTTCGTCGCCAAGAGGAGACCGAGGAGATTGATATGGATTTATTTGATCTCTATCCTAATCCAACCCATCTTGTGCAATATTTCAAGTCACTAGATCGACCTGACATCACCTCTGAACTCTTTGTCGAATTACTGGAAGTCTATCAAAAAACCAAGGGCATCAAAAATATCGACCCATTACGGTACGAATCTTTGTTGTCTTGTTTTTACGGGACTGTTTTTGCTGAGGGTGATGTCAAGGGTGATGCTTTATCTACAGCTCATTATTCAAATGCAATCACAATTAGCTGGAAATGCTTCGTCAAACATCCTTAGTAAACCAGAGCATATTCTGCTATTTGTGAAGCATGCCCTAGAACCCTCAGATGTTGGTCAGCCTGAAGGGCAGTCTCGTGAACCCCAGGGGTCAATGCATGGCTTAAGTTTGAAAGATTTGAGGATCGTCCCCGAAGAAGATGACGACTCTCTTCAGGATAGCGACAGCGACGACGAGACACCAGAGCATGGAGGGCTGGACTATGAAATGATTGAAACAGCGGTGAATCTTCTTCTGGCCACACTTGAAGGTAAGTCATCATTAACAATTCTAGAATATTCCATTGACTATTTCCAATTCACAAAGCGAACCAGACTCTTTCTGCGCGTAGTGCTCCTGTGCTAAATGACATCTTTGTATTATTGGAACCTTTAGCGCACCAGAGCTCACAGACAATAATACGACTAACGAGGGAAGCGAGGATGGTCATGACCGCTCGGTTGGCTTCTACCTCCACTGTATGGCCCTCATCTCAAAGAACAGTCGAAGAAGATGACCCGCAAGAAATCTACCAAAAATCCTTGAAACTCCTTCAAGATCCCATTCTGCCTGTTCGAGCGCATGGACTCCTGCTCCTGAGACAGTTAGTGTCGTCACGCTCACCTTCATCAGACAGCCAAACGATAGATCGGGCACTGGCACCTGCCATTTTGTCGATATTCATGCAATCCGTGCAAGATGAGGACTCGTACATTTTCTTGAACGCTGTTCAAGGCTTGTCTGCGATGGTTGATTTTTTCGGCAAAGATGTACTTAGGAGTCTTGTTGGAACCTATGCCCAAAAGTTGGATGGTATATCAGGCAGCACGTTAACCCCACAGGATGTGGATACAAGGTCTCGAGTTGGAGAGGCACTGGGCCAGGTCATTAGAAGATGTGGGGAGGCCTTGGGAATATATGGCAAGGATATTTATTACATCTTCATTTCTGTTCAAAACTGACTTTTGATATTTCGAATGAAGTGGACATAATTGTGCCTCCACTTTTCCAGCTTTTTCGATCATCTTACGCCCCTACAGTTTTGCGCACCTCCGCGATATCCCTTCTCACAGAATGTATCAAGACAAACTCTATTGCTCTCTCAAGCTATGTGGATGACCTTGCTGATGCCATGGTGGATCTCCTGCAAGTAGAAATGCCCTCTACTCATCAAACTCCAAGTACTAGTGATGAAAGTGAACAAACCATCGACTCGAATCCTACATCCACTTACACTAAATATCCGTCGCTTCGACGTGCTGCGCTGCATTTCCTTTCTCTTCTCATTCGTTCGACTACAGAGCACGTCTATGATTCTGACTTCCATGAAGGATCGATCTCCGGGGCCTTCATGAAGAGAGCAAAGATAACACTTAGTTATGTTGCTTCGGCAGACCAGGATGGGATGGCGAGAGTAATGGCACGAGAAGCCAATGAAGAGCTTGACCAGTTGAACCGAGCTTTGATGGGGTTATAGCATCAGTGGTCCCTATATTATATCTTACCCCAGTTCTCCAGATAATTAATATCAGCATGAAGACGAGTGAAAGACATGATCAAGGTTTCTTATCACAAAAACAAAGTTTTCCTGGGTATCTATATTGATTATATCATATGTATATTCGAGAGCAACGAATTGCATGGTAAAATATGTTCACCCCGTATCTGTCTCAAATGTGGTAATCTAGGGACATCTGAGTCAATTGAAAGGTCAAATTCTTGTTGGTTCGAAAGACACAAGCCTTTAAACAAAGGCAGTTAGACCGCGGATTGTGACGTTGGCCGAAACCTGCAATCCGCGATGAACTGCGGAACCTCGTATCCACACAATGCGCATTACTCGCACGAACATGACTTCAAGTTCAGCTGTTTGGTATAGGAACATTTCCCGTAGCCCTACTTATTTCGTCTACGCGCTGTCGAAAGTTTTTCCATTTTCCCCCACTAATCTGAAGGAAAGGGTATTGCTCTCCAGAAGGCTCAACCGATGAACCTAGCTTCAGAAACGGGTTCGAAACAGCGCGATAAAAGGCCATATGTAGCGCTTTGAAAATCTGGTTTCGAAAGTCAAGCTCAATCATTAGAGCTGGGAAAATAACTCCACGTACCATGATGACTTCTGCATCCCTCACTACTGAATCCGTCAGAGCCAGAGCGATAACGATTTTCACTTTCAATGGCGTCATGTACCCGTACACTGCAACATCATCCATTGCATATAGTAGACCCAAGTAGCATTCCGTGGCTTTGGCGTCTGCATTTACTGAGGAGCAGGCATATTCAGAGCTCGTCGATAAAAACACCCAATATCAAAGATGCTGACTGCGTTCTTCAAATACATCCAGACTTGTGTGTGCAATGTAATGATATTTGAGCTCATCTCCTTTGTGAAATGTTCGTATGAGAATCGGGTGGTTCTGTGGAGAAATGAATGCTACAGCATTCAATCGAAGCGGAGGTGGCATTACAAGTTGAAGAACAAATCGGATACGCGTTCACCAGGTCACGCGGGTGTAACGCTTCGGTGTGACTTCGAATTAGGGGTTACATCAAATCACTTGCCAGTGGTGAAAGGTACGCGTATACGAGGTCTAAGTCTGAATAATCATAAAACTGTGTATAGTAGGCAAACAAATTTACGTAGGTGGCCTAAGACATAAGCCCTTGATCCATAGACCCACGCAAACGGGATCCATAAACCCTTACGCCCAGACCGAGGTCCACAATTTGACTTGAAAAGAGGAAAGCAGACAGGGCTAACACACCATGCTGCTTGATCAAAACCAAACATTATGTTTGAACAACCGGGGCAAGTGCCTACTGCCAGGGTTAGACTCTCGTAATACCCCCGACACCAATGCCTGAGGCACATACCTTCTTTATGAGCTCATAGATTCTTCTCTGTCCCGCGAACAAAATAGCTGCCGTGAGGACACTCTGAGTGACCTTACTGCCAATGCCCTTGTACAGCCCTTGTATACCCTCGTCCCTTAAAATTGTCAGAAGCCCATCCAAAGAGGACTTATACTGAAGAGCGTGAGCATGTCCTGCCTGGAGCCTACTCTTTACAACGCTGAAAACGACAAAAGGTCACATATGGAAGTGAACTGCTTTCAGAAAAATTCGACTCACATGTAAGGATAGGTTATAGATGTGGCGACTGTACAAATGCTTCAGTAAGCAGACAGGATATCTTCTCAACAGCATATGCTTACCCAGCTTAGATAGTGCACCCAAAAAGAAGAAATCCCAGTCCGATAGAACTGCGACGGCAGCAACAAGACCGGCTGCTCGCATTTTCTCCGTTCTTGTCCGGATGAGCATATTCTTAAGCTGTTCGAAAATAGTGTATTGCAACACTGGATTTATGACCAAGACCAAAGCAGGACCTATGCCGCGCCAAAATGCGCCTACACCATCTTTTGCGAGAATGTTTCGGATGGTTTCCACAAAGCCAAGCTTCTTCACCACGGTTTTTGCCTGAGAGGGATCCGAAGATGGGTACTCAACGGTGTGAACAGCTTGAGAGGTTTGAACAACCCATATAGGATTGCTGATGATTGTTGTAGCAGAACCTGCAAGCAAATCAGGATGCTGAGCCGATTAACCTCGACCGGGAAAACATACCAGCTATCAGTCCAGCTATTATCGACTCGATGGTGCTTAACGCTTTACTCCCCGCCCTTGAATTGAGAATGGCTCCTCTCGACCGCTCGTAAAAGTAGTAATACACGCTATCCATCATTCGTCTTGTCGGGAGCGCGGACTGAGTTTTCGAACGAGGATGCTCACCCATTCGTGACTGCTATACCCAACAGGCTAGAATTGAGGCCACTATAAAGGCCTAAAACGCCTTCTCTTTTGATGATATCAAGGACGGCCTGGTAGACAGGCTGGAGGGGACGGAATATCAACACGGTTATAACACCAGAAAACGGGAGTAAAGTATGGCGCACCTTCGACTCATTTTTGGTCTCTACTGCAGCCCGCGTAGATAAGACTATCAAAGGACTGGTCGACAGAAATATATGTGAGCTCAAAGCGATACCACGTTAGAAACAGGAGCTACTTACTATGTAGCCGACATGGCCACGATTCCTCCTGTCGCACCGGCCAATGCATGAATTGTAGAATCACTAGGCATGATAGCAATAATATGGTGATGGGGTTTGAAGGTATGGCTGGTCAGAACTTTATCGTGAAAATGTGATTTTCAAGTTTCTGCGAGGATGTAATGCCGGGTACCGCACATTCCGACTATGGAAGCCTTGAAGAAATTGAATGTAGGGAAAATCACATGACTCTCACGCAAAACATTCAATTGGTGGTACTTAATTTATTCATTTGCGAACCCAGTACAGTAACAGACAGTAAGTTATAGTACAATATCGACCGTCAGCTGCTACTATGCGCAGAGGTCTGGAGGCAGTATCTACAGGATATACAGATCACGATTGCCCAGCTCTGAAATATTTAGGCTGGCATGCTTTGATACATGGGCTAGCCGACAACATGAAGGAAGAAAAGTCGACATCACTGGCCCCGCTTTATGTCCACAGTTGGATGGCACACGGTTGCTGCGGTTTCAGGATTTCTCGCCATTTGACTTGTTTTCTTGAATTTGATTCAACAGTAGTTGAAGCTCCTCTACGTCCTTCTTGAATCCATTCGTACTGGTCCCTGCTTCGGCTTTCGCATTATATGCGCCATCATTGACCGTACCTCTACCATCATCTCGAGATAGCCAGTCGTCTAGTTGAGTGATTATCGATCGAGCTTTCAATCTGAAATGTGTGCGGATAACATCCCCAAAAGGCTCTGGAGGATTCTTGAGGTTCCCAAGCATCTATGATAATTGCATTAATAATACTGTGAAAAACATATTATCGTTCTCACCGCAGTCCTCACAACCATGCGCCGCACATTCGCAGAATCTATTTGACGTTAGCTCCGCAAAGCAGGACTCGTAAATATCGGATCTCACATGCTAGAGATTGGGGTGAGCCTCCATTCATGGCCCATCCAGGCTCATTCAGGTATGGCTCCTCGCATAATATCATTGACTGGATCGAAATGAGTACCTGTTACATATAATTGTCAATTTGTTAATCGTCTCATCGAAGAAGTCAACTTACTTGCAGCAAAGTCGATTTTCCAGATATCCAACCAGGGCCCGTCCATGTTCCAAGAAGCGAGAGACAAACCTTACCATCCTACACACCAATTTGTTAGCAAACAGTAGAAAGTCAGAATATGATATAACACAGACTGCGTAGAGGTTGGGATTGAAACGGAACTTCCCACCATTTGTCTAGATATCCACACGTCAATAACATAAGTAGCGAGAAATATATTAGACTTACAGTCATATACTTTACATTGGGTGGTGATTGGTTGTAATTCGGTCCGAGGAAGATGTCAAACAGATAACTGTAAAAGTCTTCTCACTACTATCAACTACTGCTAAAACGAGGGAAGCTTACCAGCCATTATAATAGCTAGCCAAAAGTAAGAATACCATCATTCAGAATCAACTGACTGTGTTACTCACGGAGTCCCTTCTGGTCCAGTTATCAGGGCTTTGATAACGTCTACACGTGTCTCATCCACTCTTAAGAATATAGAAGAATCCCAAGCAACAGGAAGGTTAGTTGTCAGGACAGCAAGCTGTGAGATAATGACATGAATAGAAATTAGAGCTTGGAGGACAACCAACATACCTCTTTTGCAATCGCCAATGAACGCTTAGGGATGTCAGAACTTGCCAACATACGTGCTTCGTTGTTGTAGTAGAATTTGTAATGTGGAACGTCATCATGCTTTTCATCGTTGTTGTTGTTGACATCTTGTTTTGGGACCGTAAGATCGCAGTACTCGAATCTAACTTTGGTAGCCCAATTGACATAGGTAGCCTTGACGAATTCCTCCGTGTCGTTCACATCAACAAATACATCGTCGAGAATCGACGAATGTACAATCTTCGGCAAAGAAGTATGCAGGCGATCAACAAACGCATCTCCTTTAGTTTCGCGCAAGGAGCGATCAATGGCCAAGGCAGTTGCAAGGATTCGATGACAGAATGTGAGCAGCTTTTGATTCTCTTCGGACATGATAGGCGTCGATTCCTTTGTCTTGCCCTTCATATCACTGGTCATTCGTTTCTCCTCCTCCGTCATCTCGTGAGCAGTTGGCTCGTTAGGTTTCGCTCCTTCCAGTCCCTTGATTGCCGCCTGAGCTTGTATAACAATAGCTTCGAGTAATTCCCGAGGACCGGAACTCCCCTCATAGACAATAGTACGTTCACGCACAGGAGACCGTCCTTTCTCCGTCTTCTTGGCGGTGATAGACTTCACGGACGAAGCCACCATGATCGGCATAGCCATCATACTCGCCAAGGCTTCATGATTAGATATCGTCTTGAAGAGTAGGCTCAGTGAAGATCATAAAAACAGACATTGGCAGGGACTCACTTCCAACCATTCAAACAACTCAAAATAGAGTACAGATCGATCTGACATATCTGAGAGAGAATCATTCCTCAGGAGAGATGTGCAAAGGCAATTGAATCGCCTTCGCAGATGTGCCAAAGCAGTGGGATGGACCATGTAGTCACTCGTACGCGCCCCTCCTGGTCTACGCAACGATGGAAGATACACCCGAATTTCAGAAAGAAGCACGCCTATCTTCTCGTCTTTGGTACGTTGAAGTGCCAGCGCTTCAAGTTGGCCGGAAACCTGCCACACACACGAGCCGAATAGCATCGCGAGGTATGTTTAAGTAGACAACACTCACATCTTCTCTTTGGTCTCCAGCATATCCAGTACCACCTTTCGGCTTTTTGCCATGAGGAGTAGCAAGGAAGTATGGCTCGTCGTCGTCATCGTCATCGCCACTGGGGGTCGCCGAATGAGAATCTACCCTTCGTCGCTTGTTCGTCCTCGATTTCAATGCTCCTTGGTCCTGCTCTGCCGACGCTTCCTGTCTTTGCTCGGCAAACATGGTTTCGAGCATGAGTAACCCAACGCCTAATATGACACCTTGAAGATTGGAACAGTGGAATAAACCGTCGTCGTCAGAGGTGACAGATTGGCGTTGGTTTTTATCCGAATCGACAGATTCGCCGCATGCATAACAAAACACAGTTTGACATGTAGGACAAGTCCGTCTGACAGTACTGCGTAACTGTCCTATATACGTAGGAAAGTCCGACTGGCGGCTGTCATCAACCTGTTAGTGAATTTGACAAGAACAAATTCGACTCACGAAGAGGGCGAAAAAATCGCCTTTCTTTCGCTTGATCGTGTACCCACATTGCTGTGTACAGCAACATACGCCATCACTGAGCTGGGAATAAAGGCTGAACAAGAAACTTTGTTCACCACCCTCGGGGCAGCCTTTCATCCACTGGCCTTGAGTCATGAGCTTGACTTGCTCAGTTACCTCAGGTAAAAATGTCGTCTCAGGCTCTTCTTCCACTTCTATGACTTCTTCTCGACGATCCTTTGAAAAAAATATGCCTGTATACTGTCATTCACAAAGTCGAACAAAGGACGTCAAGTCTCTCACCGGAGTAAGGGTCCACCTCGACTGCAGGACGAGACTTTCCCTCGTAGTCGGAATCGTAGTCCACATAATCATCGACTGACGAGAAAGAAAGACAGGTCGACAAAACGTCTGCGTATTCTCAATATAGAACACACCATCATCATCTTCGTGATCTTCCATCGAGACATCATCTTCTTCGGGTGTCTGTACTCAATGAGCGATGGGTTACGTGGGCGACAAAAGATACATGAAACATGCTGCTCACAACGAGGCGAGGGGCGGTGGTGGGTGGTTCGGCGGACTGCGCAGACTCCATTCGACCATCCTCAACGTCGTCTGTCACATCATCAAACTGGCCTTCAAAGATGTGTTCTGCAGCCCGCATGACATCTTTGTAACGCCTCAAGGCTGCCCTTGCTTGTGGCACCGTAGCACCCTATTATCGAGGATAATCATCGCATCGAGTGACTCTGACCAAACCGTGACAGCCTTACCATCTCCACTAATTGTTCAATTTCTCTCTCCATGGTGTTTCGATGGGAGGTGTTTTGGTATTTAGATTTGAAGGAATCGAAAGTCTACTATAAATGAGTTGCATGCATGTGCCAGTGTAGAAGAACAGGTCCCATATAGAGCACGCAGATGCTAAGTAACACAAATTTGGGTATAACCGTCACGGATCACGCGTCACGGTAGTTACTATACTTCTGGTCATAGTCAACTCAAATTCAAAGTTCATGATGATCGTGTATCCAAGTCAAGAAGGCTGTGATATAGAATGACCCGAGCAATGGCTCGAAAAAACAAATAAATTATCAGTAATAACACGAAGAACGCCTCCTACCCCAAAAGTAAGAAAAAGAACAAGATAAGAAAATAGTATAACAGTACTGGTGCGGTGCGGTGTGCATACTAGTGAAACGGAACACGAGTTTCGGGGGACCTTTTAAAGAATAAGGAGGCAAAAAAAAATATAAGGAAACGAACTTGTAATGGAGAACTGTTCCGGCAAACGGTATATAGATGACGCAAGAAAGTTGGCTTCCGAAATACAATATCTTACTCTCTTGGTACAAACATCCCACCCTCAGACCAGCTGAACAAGAGGGCTGTATAGCGCAATAGAAACAGTCGTTCAAAGAGGTCGGTCACTTGGAGAAACATAAGCTGAGCTCTTGGCGAATTCCGTGAAGCTATCTGTCATGTCCCGATCGAAGCCAAGAGGATAAGTCGACAGGTCACTCATCAGTGCAAGAGTGTCCAAACTCGCTCGCTGACGCCCTTGGTAAGTAGATGGCGGGAATGCAGATGGCGGTGCGCTACTGCTACCCTCGGTGTTACCTGAATCAATCTGGAAAGGGAAAGAACCCAGTCCTGATGAGGCAGTGGATGACTGAGATACAGTGGAAAGACCAAGCACACGGCGATTAGGAGGGTCTAAAGGAGAAGGCGGAGGAGGAGGGCGAGGAATGGCAGCGGCAGGGGCAATGGGTGATTTCGGAGGCTCCGAAGTGGTTTCGGTAGTTTCCTTCGAGGAGGATGGGACATTTGAGAACTGCTGGTGCAGCGGGGAGCGAGGCGGAGAACGAATAGGTCTAGAAGAAATTGGCGACGGAGGAACGAAAGGGAATGATTCAAGTATAGAATCAGCATGCGTCGACGCAGCAGAAATGGCAGAAGAGCCCGATATTCTCTTATTGGCTTTGCTGAAGCTCTGCGCGCGTGCCTGGGCTTGAGCGTGAGCTAAAGCGCGCTGTTGTTGTTCCTCTAGAGTCTGAGGTTCAAGGGTGCTCGTTGGAGATACCAATCTCCCCATGGTGGTCCTGTAAGGCGATTTCTGTGAAGACTGGCTGCTGAGAAGGCCTACATTGACACGCGTAGCGCTCCCGATATCTACAATAGATCCTGCTTGAGTACTAATGCTCGAAGGGCGGCTTGAATCGTCCTTATTGGCCCATGGGCGAGCTGGGCCTTCAGCAATCCAGTCTGAATCTCTATTACCGAAAGTCGCTGCAGAAGGTGATGGCGAGAGTCTCCTGATGTCTCTTGAGGATTGATCATCAGAAAAGGGGTCACCGTCTACTGAATGCATATGCTCCTCCTCTGTTTCGTTTACTACATCAGCAGGACCAAAGGACGTTGCCGCCAATGGAGAGCGAATGGATGGGCGGGAGGCTACAGAGGGGGGTTTAAGGCTATCCATCGACATGGGACTGGACGGGCTTGAACCCGAAGAGGAACCAGAGGTATGGATCATTTCTGCCTTGACTACACCAAGTACCTGCCTGACTGCACCCTGGTTCTGAGTGACAATCATGGGTGCTTCGTTCAAGAAATCGCTAGAGTAGCTTGCACCGGACATGTAAGAATTCCTTGACGAAACGCCTGAGATGCCTGAGATGGTAGAGCGGGGGTATGATGGAGAGTTTCTTCTCATAGAATCAGCGGACACGTTGACCTGATCATAATTGAGGGTCAAGTCAGGAGCACGATTTGGACGCACTGGTCCTGGTTGAGAAGGTACTGATCCAGCGCTGGGAGAGCGCGAAGCAACGGACCCGGGAGGTACGAAGGCGATGGGAATGACGTTGGTGCTCTGTGTGCCAGTCGACGTGGTTTGGATTGACTGGTCGTCACCGAATGGATTGCATTGGCTTTGACGAGCAGCAGAATCCAAAGGAGCCGTTCCTGAAGCGGAAGGACCGCGAGACTCTGGATCGAGGTCGATGACGGAGTTCGAGGAAGGGGAGTAGACCCTAACTGTGCTGAGCTCTGTAGGTGGACGAGAAGGTTTTTCGGTAGGATCAGGTCTGTTGAGAACTGCTTCCGCTGATGCTGGGGCAGTGAGTTCGGCCTCCCGTGCAGCGGCAGCGGCTTTGCGGGCGCGAGAGCGACGACGATACCAAATATAAATAGCGATGGCACCACCGACGACGACCAAGGCAGCGATGACAGCACCTACGAGAGCACCTGTGCTAACACCGGACGATGGGCCCCCAGTTGAGGAGTCTGCTATAGGGACGCATTGAGTGGTTGGACAGGCGTTACAAGACCTGTATGGAGTATTAAAGAAGTATGGTTGAGGATGTGGAGAAGGGACTTGCCTGGCGGTCTGAACGCAGTTTTCGTTTGCAGCACAATTGCAACCAGGGGGGGGATCGTTACAGGGAAGGCAACCAGAGGACTGTCTAGAGACGAGGTCCAGATGCATAGACGAGAAAAGAAAACAGAGAAATCAAATGAATGTGAGTGTGGAAAGCAAGATAGAAAGACGCGCTGGAGACAGGACGCGTGGAGGAGGAGGAGGACGGCGACGGCGAGGAGAACGGTGGGGTTGGAAAGATTTGAAGGGGACGATATGAAACAGGTGATGAGGGAGTGTTCCCACGGTTGGGTCAAGGCACGAGTGTAGTATCAAAGGCGCTTGGGCGGCTCACATGGACCACTCCGGCTCATCAGCTGGGATCTATTAAAATTAAATATCACTGCGCCTTCTTATCTCTCTCGCCCTCTCATTCACCCATGCACACCATCGCAGTCTCTGACCTTACATACCGCCATCGCTCAGACCCAGATGCACCTCCTGCCCTATCCAACATCTCTCTTCATCTCCCCCCTGGCTCGCGCACAATTCTAGTAGGCGCAAATGGAGGTGTGTAATCGGCCCAGGCCAGTCCACCCAATTTCAATATATACATAGCTTTAACTTTGACCCCTTCTCACCACAGCGGGCAAATCTACGCTCCTCCAGATCTTGGCAGGCAAACGTCTCGTCAATGCTGCCGATATCCGAATCAAGGGCAGAGATGTCTTCAGAGATTCTCCCGAAGGCGTCACCTTTCTGGGCACAGAATGGTATGCGTGGCATACTCCTGTTTGTCCTTAATCTTAACCTATTCATGTCCGCCAGGGCCATGAATCCCGTAGTTAGAAGCGATATCGTAGTTTCTTATTTTCTAGATTCCGTCGGGGGTTATAGACATAAAGAGCGTAGAGACCATCTCCTTGATATTCTAGACGTCGACTTGGATTGGCATATGCATGCCATTTCCGACGGTGAAAGGCGGCGAGTACAGCTTTGCATGGGTCTCATGGCGCCCTGGGACGTGCTTTTATTAGACGAGGTAATCTTCACAAACTATTCTCTTATCTTCTCTCATTAATATGTCGATAGGTCACCGTAGATTTAGACGTACTAGTCCGAGATGACTTATTGAAGTTCCTTCAACATGACAGTGAGACTCGTGGGGCGACAATCTTATGTGACTATACCATCCATTTCCGCTTGCCTTTCTTAATCTCACACCGCATGCTCCAAAGATGCAACTCATATCTTTGACGGCATAAACTCTTTCCCAACTCACGTTGCCCACATGCGAGGCGGTTCTTTTGTCACAGAAGCCACTCCACTATCCTCTCTCCGACTCAACGATCCATCCAACCCGCTCTCTCTTTATCATGTTGCATTGCAATGGCTCACTGAAGATAGAGAACATCGCCGTGCCTTGGAGGCTCAAGGTCGCAAGACCAGAGGAGCAAGGAGGAACCAGGTTCGTTTTCTCCGTCATACATGAAACCGTCTATTAAATTTGCTTTTAGACCGTACCATCCGATTCGGAAACCTTCTACAAGAAGTGCGCATATTTGTTTGCCTGATATTTTTTAGATAGATTGCTGACCCTCCTCCCAACAACCAGATACGATTATAATCCATAAGCTGATCTTCTTTTATTATTGATAGCGTGCATTCAACCGCATATTATTTCCTTGTTTCAACCACTCTGTATCTCTGCTCTCATTTGTTCTCTCGCATTCAACCGCATTTTCTACTGTTTCAACAACTCTGTAGCCTTGTCATCGTGATCACCAGTGTTTCAAAAATATTTTCCCGCTTGATAGCAATGCGCCTAGTATGATTTTCAGAATTAACAATTCGAGCGTCCAAATGGGTGGCTTAGAATTCGAATAAGCGCTCAATATTGCTTTGTGGCTGAACCTGTTTTCTCGCGAAGGAGTAGCACTAGCGTTGTTTAGTTCAAGTTTTCGATGGCATCTTCCAGCGAAATCATCGACCTCACCAGGTCTTCTCCCCCACCACCAGAGCCAATTATCATCATCTCAGGTGGCGAGGATACTTCATCAGCTGTCAACCAAGCAACAAAACGAAAGAAGAGACAGCGAAGGAAGCACAGAGACAAGGGGTCAACTGAGGACGTTTCAGCTCGAACATCCAGAAATCAATCACCAGCCTTGAGTGTTAAAAGTACTCGTGATTCACGATCCAAACCTTCCTCCCGCCGCCGGTCTGCTTCCCCAAGTCGCAGTAATGGCGTAGAACCCCGGGCCCGGCGTCACTCTGGCGACTTGGTTGATTCTGACTTTTGCTTTATTGACATCGAACCCACGCCCGTCTCTCTGTCCAACGCACCAGCAGGCAACCAACATGATACACCAGACGTTGCTATGAACAGTGGTCAAGATGACGCAGATGCGGAAAAGCTGCTGTTACCCCCGCATGTCTCTGTATTTGGAACCGATGAAAATGGCGCTCTGCCCGTCAAAATTCTCCCTCCCACAACTCCAGATTCAGATGACGAAGATTACATTGAATATCTAGACTATGACGATCGCAAAGTGTGTCTAATTAAGCTCTCTGTCGACTTCACAATCTGATCCCGGACTAAGGCTGCCGGACTGGTGCGTTACTTTGAGGAGGAACCTGAGGAGTCAAAACAGAAGAAACCTGCAAGAATTGTCTGTAAAAATTGTGGAGCGGAAGGCGACCATAAAGCTTTCGAGTGCCCTGTCATGATTGTCAGTCATTTTTTCTGTTGTTTTCGAACGCCTGATAGACCCTGTACTCATACCGTGTTCAAAGTGCCTGACATGTGGCGCTCGCGATGAACACTCTACGCGTAGTTGTCCTATTAGCAAAACTTGCTTCACATGCGGCATGAAGGGACACATAAATAGGGTGTGTGCTAACCTGGCTGTATTTTACGTATTTCTCACTGGTAACAACATCATATGCTAGACCTGTCCAAACCGATATTCTGCAGCTGCAGCCACCGATAAACACGATGACTGTGACAGGTGTGGATCAACAAATCACAAAACAAATGTACGAGTTACAGTGGCCCCTTCCATTCGTTACTCACAGATATCACGGAACTGTACAGGAATGCCCTACACTATGGCGCATATACCACTATGTTAGTGATGATGAGAGACTGCTCATTATCCAGTCCCGGGCAGAAAAGCGAGGATTCGCTCTGGGCCAAGGAGGCGAGGGTTACATCGCCACGGATGAATGGTGTTATAATTGTGGAAATTGCGGTCATCTGGGTGATGTAAGTATGTGGTTCAAGCCTTTGCGATATTGCCTAACACACGCATTGGCAGGATTGTGATGAGGTTCCCCACATCTACGATATACCCGTCGAATCCTCAGCCTTTAGTCTTCACAACACGACCTCTGGGCCATTTTTTGACCCAGCTGCGGAACCGATACGTACCCACCGCGGGCCTCGGGAATTACAATCCGAGGCAGACAAGCCTCCCTTGAACGAAGACTGGGGCATCGATGCCCCACTCAATGTAGGCAGAGAAGGAAAGAAGAAGGACAGAGCGAGGTTGGAAAAAAGGTACAGAGAACAGGACGAAGAAGACCCAGATGACTGGTTTGGGAAATCCAGAATGGGGAGGGGTCGCGGGAAGCCGGTTGAGCAGCCTCCTCCTCGCAGTGGCGGGTTGAAGTTCAGTACTTCGATGAAAGACGTCGGACGCCAGTTCATGCCGGCACCTCCTGACCGAAACGAAAAACCACCGAGCTTATTGGCTCGCCTTGGAGTGACCGATAATAGCAGTCGCAAGGGCCAGCGGCGTAAGTCAAACGAATATCGCGATCCCAATCCTGATACAATACACATACGGGGCGCCGCCAAACATTCTCGGGACCAAGACAATGGATCCAGCCGGAGCTATCGTGATCGGGAGCAGGATAGACGAGTGCGAGACAGAAAATACCCCAAACAGGAGCAGGGTCCTCGCTATAGAGGTGGCTATAATAGATAGCCCTTGGGTGCTTATTTGACCAGGTTGTGGTATTTCACGATCTCAGTCTCAGATGTTGTAAAACAATGCATTCTACCTATATTTATGTAGACTCGTCGTGTTGTTCATGGACCCGTAGGATCCGGGTATGAAAATCACAATTGTCTACGACAATTTCTGCGGACCCATTGGTCATTTGATGATTGTTGCGCTTTATCTAACGGTGTTTTCCAACGGTCCATGCGCCCCCAGAGGATGCAGACTTGGATATCATTTTCATACATGATCAAATAATATACAAACCAGTATATACTATTTACTGAGTTCCCAACGGAAGGTCTGCGTGGACCTTTATATTCCTTCTGTATAAATCCAATTCTTCCATGACATTGAGCAGAGCCTTGAGTTCCCAGTTCCCGTAAAGAAATCCCTCGTAGAGCATTGTGGTTGCCAACCAGGCAATGAAAATGGTGAAAAATACGAAGATGGGATTGGCCCATGGAACGGGGATCCATGCAGATCCGGTGATCAGGGCGAAAAGTAGCAAGATACACAATGCGAATATCCTAAGTTCTTTGTGAGAGCGATAGCGTGATAGACGGTAACTGGTTGCCAGAGCTGAGAGCATAGTATCAATAGTAGCTAATGTGAGTTCGGAGGGAGCTGTTATATCCTCTGCAGGGTATTTAGCGACATCTGGGGCGGTGTTTTCATCGTTTCCAGCGAGGGTATGAATGTCTAAGATAGCTTCAACGCCAAAATGGTCGGAGAAGGAATGAGTGTTTCCAGGGATAAAGTCAGAGAAGACAACTTTGGTGTCTCTACACGTTAACTGAGGTATACGGGCCGATTTATGAACGGGATGTCGGAAAAGGATATAATCCAGACGTTTCCCTTGGTATTGACGTACTAGACGATTGGAAGACAGTTTGTTGTCGCGGTATGAGTTAAGAGGTGAATCAGCTGTAACCCCGTAGTATTCGACGCCTTCGAGAGGAGTAATGTGACGAGTGGGTGGTAGGATATCAGGGTGCGTAGTGGCCCAAGCATCTTGGAGACCAGTGTAATCACGAATTACAGTCATGGGAACACTTGTTGGGATGCTATTGAAATCCCCAGCCTGTTTATAGGTTAGTCTCAGAATGAATGAATATCCGGCTTAGCTTACCGCAATAACATATCGTCCGAGCTCTGCCGCTTGCCTGGTTAGTTTAGCAAATTCCCATGCATTTACTAGTCTGTGCGTTCTATTGTACTCGGGTCCATCCTCACCTCCTCTGGCATAAAGCTAAGATTATTGAGGGTGTGAAAGATGGAAGATACCATGCCAACTCACATGTGTATTGAATATTTGCACCTGACCTAGAACTGGGTGTGATATTGTAACGCTACCAGCGGCTTTACCCACAAACCAATCCCCGCCGAGTGCATCGGTGGGTTCACCGTTGAGGGAGTAAGGGTTAATACTGGTGGCTATGATGGGCCATGAGGTAAAGATAGCAAGTCCTGCCCCAAGTGCCCCGCTACATAATATATCGTGATTATGGACAAGGGATGGTGTAGTTGACAACATACCTATGGAAAAGTTTCGCATGTGGCAATCGACTCGAAACGCTTTGTCGGACGTGCTCGTAGTCTGCCTCGACCCAGATTTCTTGAAGGGCTACTACGTTGTAATCCGATTTCGCCAGTACACTCGCTATGGCGGCAATGCGTTCGTGACGATCCTTGGAAACGTATTTGAGCCCCCTAGTGCATCCGTGTGGTTAGGATTTTAACGACATCCGCAGTAATAGTAACAGACATACCAACAATTCAAGCTGGCCACCTTTATTTCCGTGTCGCTCATGGTGGTAAAAGGACAACTTGGGTGAAACAGTCACTCAGGTTGCTTGTCGTATTCTCCCAGACCTATGCGTAGCGCCGAAAGCAGGAAATTTCCGTTAGGCAGCCCGCCACACACATGGACCAACTTTAAGCTGGAGCAACTCCAGGCTGCGGAGTAGCTCTGTAAACGGTTATTACAGTAGAGATCCAAGTTCATCGCCTCGGCTGCAGTATAGATTCTCAGGTCTGCAGACAACTGTCATATCAGAAACATCAATCGCTAAGATGTTTAGTGGGCTTGTCGCGTCACCTACAATGGATTTAGGACCACCGTCAAAAGCTAAAGCTCGCCCAAAAACAATAAACCCTGCTGCTGAAGTCCCTGTCAATCCAGTCACTCGAACTGCTGTATCACTCGAATATGCTTCCTTGCGACACAGTGGCCATTGTCCTCTGGGGATGTATGTCATTCCCTCAGCTGAAAACGTCCTTTCTTGGAGCGCTGTCTTTTTCGTCCATCAAGGTGAGGTGGCATTTAACTCGGGATAAGGTGTCAACGTGCTCATGACGAGTTAACCAGGATACTATGCCGACTCTGTGCTGAAGTTTGAACTGGTTTTCCCAAGCGACTATCCAGAACGTCCGCCGACTGTACGCTTTCTCACTGATATCTTTCACCCTCTTATTTCACCCCAAACTCGCCTCTTTAACTTGGCTCCTCGATTTCGTCCCTGGAGGTCAGACATCGTCGAGCATTAAGCAAGCTTCAGTTGGCTCATGATTACCTTACCATAGACCAAAGGAGCATCACGTCTTTGATGTACTTCACTGGGTAAAGGCTGCTTTCAAGAAGCACGCCCTTGACGAGATAAGAGAAGTCGATTGCCTCAACAAGGAAGCTTTCAAGTGAGTTAGCCCCAATTTCAAAGCGCGTGTTTACTGATGAACATCCTCAGATTGTAAGACGTCCCCTATTCACTGTTACTGTGCATATCTTGATTGTTTGCACGGCTCATACTAGGTACCATGATACGACATCTTCTTTCGCAGCCTTGGCGAACCAATCATCTGAGCTCTCTCGATCTGCCTCCACGCTTTTCGACACAGTCAAAAACAAGGACTCGCTACGTTTTAGCGAGACGAAACCTGATCAGCTAAATGCTTTACGAACCAAACTAGGAATTAGTGAATGGAATACTGAGACAGAATGAACAATGTGGAAACAGCATTCATCCTCAAAGTTGAATACGATACATAGTAGTGTAATCTATCTGAAGTCCCAAGATAAACCAAAACATCTCCATCGAAAAGTTAGCGATCCGGCTCCGTATTTGTATGTATTCTAACTGGCGTCTTGTCCGGGGTCGTCACTACTACTGTCATTGTTGATTCTGACTGGTACGCGGAGCGGGTGAAGAGGTTGGATTGTCTCGAAAGGGGTATCTGTGCCAGTGTCTTCATCCTGGATTCCAAAAAAGCAACGAGTTAGACATGATTCATACCATTGAAGAGTGCTGAATGACCACATACCTCGGTCATTCTACCAAAATGTTTTGAAAGCTTTTCAATTACAAGAATATAAGGTAAGTGTTGTGTGAGTTTTCTGTACACACGATATACCCGTAAATATCCTGCAGAAAACAAATGTTTGAAATTAGTCACCTTCGTGGTTGCACATTCAAGGAGTGCCGTGCATCCAGGGTTGAATCAAGCACATTAGAAGAGTGTGCGCCTTCACTCAATGAAAGTCTGATGGAGTATTCTTTATCGGACTTCCCGCGACCGAAATTGCGCTCATATAGTTCAAAGCTGCACATATAGGGTATCAGTATTATGAACTCCTCGAAAGTGCGGTGAATTTACGTTATGTGGGACTGAATCGATTACAAGGGTGTTAGCGAAAAGTACGTCAAAGGACGGTGTGATATTACATACACAGTAGTCAAGCTCCGGTATTCGTCGGTTGGCAATGGGTAGACCAGAGTGTAGTACAAGATTCATCAAGGTGTGTATATGACTTTCTTTGGTGAAATAGAGCGTCAAAGAACTGCCGCCGTTGTTCCGAGCAGCCTCCAAGTCTTCCACAACCTTCCGCAGAAGAGGCAAGGATGTGAGAACACCAATTTCCTCTCTGTTCGCACCATATGTTGAACACATGTTAGTAGATGAAGCTACAATAGAACTTACTTCTCATCTGGCTCAATCCCATACTCTTGAGGTGCAACTAGGTCGAACAGTGCCTTTGCTCGCCCATAGAGTTCATGCAACTTCCGATCCTGACCTCGATGATCTTTTCCCATGCCTATATTCTCATCGAAAATAGAAAACAGAAAGGTGCGATGATGTAATGCGCAGTATTTGATGGTGTCGTAGAGCTCTGATACCTGTGTAATGATATTGATACGTTGCACTGCATCACTGGGACGTTACTTACACGAGAAGGATCGAATTTCTTTTGTTCAACATCACAGAAGTCTTCAAATAACTTCTCCCATCGTTCCCGGAACAGCCAAGGCTCATCACCGCAGCACCTAAACCACTTTAGTCATGTAATCTGTAATTTGAATTTTATTTATATGCATACCATCGTTCCTGTATCTTATCAACGTCCATAGTCTCAAAATTTCGCTTCATGATAGCTCTAAAAGAGCTCAGGAGCTCTATCACTTCCTGTGAAGCGGATAAACGGTAAAGATGATAATTATCGAAAAAACAAAGCGCAGACCTTGACCACCTCAACAGGCTCCTTTTTCATGCTTTTGGGCCAGGTCAATTCCGGCCTCTTCTCGGGCTCTCCAGGCCTCAGCAATATCTTGAGCCTTTTTTTCACATCGTCCATGAGATCTTTGGCAGCATTAGAATCGTCCAGAAGGTCTTTCCGAATAATAAGAGCCAGAGGTAGAGTTTGTTGTCCATTCTTAGGGAGAGCACCGCCATTGATGGAGAGGCCATCACTAGAAGAGCGGGAAGTACGAGAGCTAGGCGTGGATGAAGGGGCCGAGTAAGACGGATGTTGAGGTTCTAAAAGTGCAGCAGCAAATATCTCTGCTGATGCGATAACACGCCGTTCAGAAGATGTGTATATCTATCGGTACAACGATTATCAGATCTAGATTTCAGAAGAGGAAATATCTACTGACTTTAACATTTTGCAGTGCTTCCTTATCTGCACGAAAGATGGTTTATGAGTGCACCGCGGCGATGTGTATTGAAAGATGTATTACTCATGATTGACAGATCTTTCTTCATATTCTCTCCCAAATCTCGTGATTGATATCTAGCTGAATGAGTAAACTGTGTATAATACATCAGGGACCTCGAATCATAATTTTCAAATGTTCACTTACTTCCCCGCCCCATTTGAAGACCAATGTTAGTTTTGTCAACCTTCTTACTTGTCCGGCATGTCGTTTTGAATATACGGGCTTCAACTGTGCTTTAGTTCCGGGCAAATCGATCTTACTGGACAATGCGGTGTTAAGCTGCGTCAATTTGGCAAGGTCCTCTCCGTTCGCTCCGAGAGACTTTGCCTCCCCCACAGCCAAAGCAACTAATTTCAGTTGCGTTTGCTCTCTTAGGATAATCTCCTCCTTTTCGCCGTTAAGTAATTTGACGAAAGGGCGAGTCCAGACTTCTCCGATGGGGAAACTGAATTTCAGTTTTTGCTTTGGGGTGCGATCAGCGTGCCTGAATACAGTTACATTGGCTTTGAGTAGCCAGGTGGAGGATTCTTGGGAGGTGAGGTCGGCCGCTGGAAGCGGTCTGTCCGGAGAGGAAGATACGCGGACACAAAGAGAGGCAAGGATTTCGGCAGCTCGATCTATATGATTAAACACGTTAACACGAAAGGGCTACGGAAACACTGATTTCAGCGCGCTGAAGAGTTGATAATTACCATAGTATGACTCGTTGCCTTTGACAAAGCTCCACCCATTCACGTCAATGATCTGACTTCTTTCTCCGTTGTTACATCTTAGCATATCAAAGCCGCATACATTTTGTCCAAATCCTTGACATATCTTGGCAGCCCAGGACTTTTCCTGTTCGCTGAGATGAGTGATAAAACTGTGTGAAAGATGGGGTGAGAACAAATAAAGAGCGAGATAGATGCCAACACACCGGATCTCTTTGCCTTCTGTATTTCGTCTCACGACCCCATCGACAACAGGGGACTTTCGTGTTTCTGCATGGAAATACTCCTTACCAACCGTGTAAACTTTGATATCTTCCGAGTTATCAACGTCTATAAATTCTTCATAGATGTAAGAGCCATCGGTCCTAGGATGGTGTAAATTCGCATCGAGATCACTTGACTTGTTTCCTACCTGTGAATGATAAGTAATATGCGGTTAACGACCAATGTAATACATACTTTTCTAAACAAGCGGCGGCCGCCTCCACCTCGGAAATATATGTACACGTTGTGATCCTCGCCACTAACAGGTTTTTCCACGAAAGGCTTTTCTAGTACTTGACCATCTATGATGATGGCATCTCCATCTTCGCGAATAGATACCTCAGGAGTGACCTGGAAGCCTCCAAGGTCGACACCGAGTTTATTTTTCATGGAAATCCTGAGGTCTTCGTCGACTTTTGGACCACCATCTCGAGAGACCTCTAACCGCTTCGGTGTAGGTACTTGAAGGTGATCTAGAAGGGCACCGACGAGACGACGATCCCAGAGGAGAGCTTGTGGAGGCAGATCATTAATACAAAAGGGACTGCGTAGCTTGACATAAGATATAGCTTTGTCTAGAGGGAAATCAGTGGAGAAGAACGATATGAGGACGTCGCATCGAGGCCAATTTTCGACATCTGATACGTGGTATCGCACGTCGTAAAGGGTTCACACAAGAAGAGTAGCGATTTGCATACCTTCGTCCAAGATAACCTTGTCTCCGAAAACTTTCACTTCGATTGCTCCTCGGGCTCTTTCAACTAGGCGAGTGAGTATTTCCCTCATTGCCTTGGATCTTGCCTTGACATCCATGGCACAAATGCCGAGGATAACAGGCGGTTTGTTATTTTCATGTGCTGCAGTTTGGTCTGAGCCAATAGAAGAGCGGGAAGAGGACCTTGTGAGAATGGAACTAGAACGAGGAGATGCCCGTTCTGGGGAGTTAAAGAAGGCCGAAATTCGCGATTGTCTATCCCAGGGTGCCATGAATTTTTTTTCTTTTGCTTGGCGGAGATATGTGCACCAGACAAGACGAGAAAGTGGTAGAAAAGACAAGAGATGGAGTGGAAGCAAGCTTGCTGAATCGCAGACCAGCACAAAAAAGCAGGACACGACGGAGCCAGCGTGCAGGATCTGATATGGCACGCTGCCCGATAAGGCAATCCCCAGTCAGCGGCTCTCCTGTCTTGCCGAGTATATGCACCGAGCATTACATATTCGGAATATTGGTAACTGATTGGTCATCGGCTATGGCGAGGCAATTGTGCTGCTCAGTGGCTGTGGTGAGGCATTTTTTGGATGACGGTTGACGCAAGATGCGGATAATGACCATGAGTTATTTTATTTCGGGATCAACAGTATATATTGCACCATCCTTTCTCGCAACTCCCAACTTCACTTACTTAAATCCCCCCGTTTCACCCCACCCTCTGCCCCCGCAGCCTCAACTTAAATTTTACTCAACCTGAACCCTGTAAATTTTACCAGGTAACGTCTGTTGGCACCATGGCTTTACACGTCAACAGATCGCAGATGGTATCAACCATCCTCATCACCAATCTGCATTGCAGTAGGCAAGTCGTTCGTCGATAACGCCCTTATATATATTCGCTTACATTATCCCCTTTCTTTCAGTTGTGTCCATACAATCGAAGATGCTTTGGCATCATCGTCTCCACCTCCGTTCTCAGTAACCGTTTCCATCGTATCTCAATCTGTGACAGTCCATCACTCTCCAGAGCTGACTTACGATGCAATGCAAACGACGCTCGAAGAAGCAGGTTTCGATGTGTCAGTGCCCACTCCACAACCTGAAGGGCCCTTACGTGGAAGGAAGATATCTGGTGTCAGCTCACTCCTTTCCGGAAAGCGGAAGAAGCACATACAGCAGTGTTCTGCGTGTCGGGAAATGGATATCGCCTCTGCCGACAACGTTGCTCTCATTCCCGAGCGGCACAATGCCGGCCTGCACTCTGATGATACTATTCATCCGCCGCAAGACCGAGATGTATTTTATATCAGCGCAGAGAAGCAATCTTCCGATTCTCTGCCATCTCCACCGATCCCATCTACATCGCCGTCCAATAAAAGTCCTGATTATGGTCCTTACCGTGTCACTCTTTCCGTTGGGGGCATGACTTGTTCTTCTTGTTCTGGCACAATTACGGAGATGGTCTCACAATTATCCGGCGTATCTGAAGTCACGGTAAATCTTCTGGGAAATTCCGCCAGCGTTGTCGTGGACTGCAAGGAAACCATTAACCTCGTGACTGAAACAATAGACGACTGTGGTTTTGAGGGAGAAGTAATCAAGGTAGAACCTGTTTCGCATGCAGATAATGAAGATGAAGTCACAGATGGATCACGCACCATATCTCTGCGCGTAGATGGAATGTTTTGCCAGTAAGTCGCACTATCGCTCTTAAACTATCATGATTGACCACCTTGTAGGCATTGTCCGGGAAAGATCATGAGCTCTCTCGAGAAGCTTAGCCCAGAGATAACATTCATCAAATCTCTTACGGATTATAATGACCCCATCCTCGAGCTTTCCTACAAGCCGTCGCTTCCGTCGTTTACAATACGTAATATCGTGTCCGCCATAACCTCGGTCGAACCTACCTATTTCAAGATTTCTGTTTACCGCCCCCCCTCTCTCGAGCAGCGCACACGAACGATGCAAGTTCGCGAGCAGAACGCTTTGCTGCAACGCCTCGTTTTTGCTGTCATAACTGCCATTCCAACGTTCATAATTGGCGTGGTATACATGAGCCTTATCAAGAGCAGTAACAGTTCTAAACGCTACCTCCTGGAACCTATGTGGAATGGAAATGCTTCAAGGCTGCAATGGGCTATGTTCTTCCTGGCTACACCGGTTATGTTCTACAGTGCAGGATTGTTCCATAGGAGAAGCATCAGGGAAATAAAAGCACTTTGGAGAAAGGGGAGCACGACACCTATTATAAAGCGCTTTACTCGCTTTGGTAGCATGAACCTTTTGGTAAGTTTCATTTACGCTGGCATTCATCAACCATTCATATTCTGTCTAGGTGTCTACTGGTGTCTCTGTGGCATATTTTTCATCCATCGCACTGTTAGCCCTTTCCGCATCTCAACATCCGTCACCTAATGGGGTTGGGCAAACTACCACCTACTTTGATTCTGTGGTATTTTTGACTATGTTTTTGTTAGCTGGTGAGTAGCTGTGCGGGACTGCTTGATCCAGTGTAAGTCTGACGCATGGTACAGGTCGTTTCCTGGAGGCATATAGTAAAGCTCGAACAGCAGACGCGATTACTGCCTTGGGATCCCTTCGTCCTACAGAAGCGCTTCTCATCGCCCCGAAAACCTCCTCGGATCTCATTTCTCCTCCTACCCCATCATCTAAAGGCGAAACTGACTCAGCAGATTTAGAAAAGGGGGATCCTACTTCTGATGGTGGTGTCTTATCGACGCAGCCAGGTTTCGTCGCTTCGAAGGTCAACGTTGATTTTCTGGAAGTGGGTGATGTCGTCCGTGTGCTACATGGGGCAACACCGCCAGCGGATGGGATCATCGTCTCGAGCTCTGACGGAGCTTTTGACGAAAGTTCCCTGACTGGAGAATCGCGACTAGTGAAGAAGAAAACAGGTGATAGGGTATTTTTGGGTACCGTTAACAAGTCGACTGTTGTTGACGTTAAGATCGATACTATTGGTGGTATCACAATGTAAGATTCCCCATCGATAGTCCTGACTTCATCGTTAATGCCCCTTAACTAGGCTTGATCATATCGTAAAAGTTGTTCGCGAAGGACAGACGCGACGTGCTCCCATTGAGCGAATTGCCGATATCATCACGGGTTTCTTCGTACCGGCGGTGACATTACTTGCCGTCATTACTTGGGTAATCTGGCTCTCCTTGGGTCTCAGCGGGGCCCTTCCTAGCGATTACCTCAACATTGCTGTTGGTGGCTGGAGTAAGTTGTTAATATAGCTTTAAGACCGAATGAGGAATTGACCCCTTTTGTGTTCTTTATAGCTGTTTGGTCCTTCGAGTTCGCTATAGCAGTCTTCGTTGTCGCCTGTCCGTGTGGAATCGGTCTTGCAGCTCCCACTGCACTACTGGTCGGCTCTGGCTTAGCAGCCAAGTATGGTATCCTCGCACGTGGAGGAGGAGAGGCATTCCAAGAAATGGCGCAGCTCGACATAGTCGTATTCGACAAAACAGGAACGCTTACGGAAGGAGGAGAGCCTCGTGTTGCAGATTGTGAAGTCGTCTTCCAAGGCTCCGATGGGAGTTCTCGATGGAACCGAGGCACTGTTCTCGGTATAGCATCTGAACTAGAGTCTGCTTCATCTCACCCACTAGGAACAGCCGTCAGACACTATTGCGGAGCTGAAGGAGCTTCGTCTATCTCTGGATCTGCATTCGAAGAAGTGCCAGGAAGGGGTCTGAGTGCCGACTTCGATGGGCTCGAATGCTCGGCCATAATTGGCAACGAAGCTTGGATGTATGAACACGATGTCATGATTAATGACTTCATCTCCCAGAAGCTAGAAGTTTGGAAGACGGAGGCGAAGAGTGTTATCTTACTCGCCATCAAGGAGCGAAGTGAAGAGGAGAGTCATTTCCGCGTCGCTGCCATCTTTTCGGTGTCCGACCCACTCAGACCAGAGGCGAAAGCAATCGTACGATGCCTGCAGGATCAAGGCATAGGCACTTGGATGATCTCAGGGGACAACGAGGTCACAGCCAAAGCTGTTGCGCAGACTGTCGGTATCCCAGCTACGAATGTTATTGCTGGCGTTCTCCCACATGAGAAGGTATTTCATAGTGAATAACAGTCGATTCATCATTCTAACTGTTCTGTAGGCAGAAGGCATTCGACATTTACAGCAAAATGGGACGAAGAGAACTTTGCCAAGATGGCAAACTTTCTTCACCACCAATCTCAAGCGAAGGTTGAACGATCGTTGTGTGGTAGCAATGGTAGGCGATGGCATAAATGATGCACCAGTGAGTTTCTATTCTCATTTTGCTCACGGGCATATGACTCAAGTAGAATTGTGTAGGCTTTAGCCGCCAGTGATGTTGGTATTGCCATCGGCTCAGGAAGTAAGTATAAATTACTTTGACTTTCACCATGCACTTTGATCTAATGTTTACGTTTACTAGGCGATGTTGCTCTCTCGAGTGCTTCCTTCATCTTGGTTTCATCAGACCTTCAAAGTCTACTTACGCTGAGCGACCTCTCACGAAAAGTGTTCAACCGTGTCAAACTTAATTTCGTAAGTTTGTCTTTCAACGGAAGCGCATGAAAAAATATAACTTATGCATCTAGTTATGGGCACTTGTTTATAATCTCATTGCATTGCCTGTCGCTGCTGGCGTCATCTACCCTGCTGGACATGCTCGGCTAGACCCTGTGTGGGCCTCGTTAGCGATGGCTTTATCGTAAGCTTCCTTTTATTGCTGTACATTCTCAGTACTGACCTCTTTTCTCAGGTCTGTATCCGTAGTTTGCAGCTCCCTCCTCCTTAAACTGTACAAAGAACCGAAGACGGCTTAGAGCAATGTAACCAACGCTGTGTACGACCGGTATTATAACGAACGACATCATAGAGACACGATAGGTAACCATGGAACCATTAACGGTGCACTTCATATATCCATACATACATCTACATTTAAGGAACGAGATTACACGAATTATCAATGAGGCTATAGACCAATGAATCAATTTCGAATTCCCAATTATAAAGCTGAGACATGGACTAAACTATCAGATAAGAATTTTGACTCGGGAAAGAAAACTTGATAACGACGATATCATGAGGAACGTTGCTGTAAGAGCTGATGGTCCTTTTTAGACCTATAGAAGTCCGAGAAAGACAACCTGATGCCCAAGAAGCGACAATCAAGGTCTGGATGGCCTTGCAGTGAATGGACAATACCCTGTGCACGCTCGGAAAATGTGGCACTATAGTCTCTGATAAGCTTCCGTATCGTAGGTAGCGCATCTCGCAATTCCTGATCCTGAGCACCTTGCTGCATTCCGGTGTGTACGCCCTAGACATTGCCACTTCATTAGATGTATTGAAGAGTTTTTTCTTTTTAAGTCCTTACCCTTGCCGCATCTTTGTACTGGTCCCTACGAGCCGATTCCGATAGACAGTAGTTATAAAAGTTATCCTACCATGGAGTTAGCGAAATAATTGCACAAGGCGAATAGAAACATACTGTCGTTTCTCGGAATTGAAGGATAGTGGAAAAAAGTTCGCGAACTTGACTCAACAGGCTCTCCTAAGGTTTGAGGTGAGTATGGATAAAGTAACATCATATGTTGTTCATACCTCCCGGCCACTTTTATGACTTAGCAGAAGCACCTTCTTAACCATTCTATCTAAGTAAGAACGATGTGCATCAATCAACGCATCTAAGTCACCCTCCCGCTTGTTCAAAAAATCTGCCAAATTTGTCCATGAACACTCTATTACTTCAAGATGGCAATATGCCTGCATCTGGCGGATGAAATGTATCATCTCGGCCATTACGAGGCGAATTTGGTGCCAGTCATATTCGAAATCTGTTCGAAAGCAGAGAATTAATGTGCAGCAGAAATGGAAATGTGAGGCGTGAAACTTACCCGGAAGTCGCAAGAATGTCCTAGATCCCCCAGCTATCCTCATCCAGCCCTGGCTTAATGCACCTTCGATTCGTTTCATCTTCCATAGATGGCTGAATAATTTCTGGTACTTCAGCATTGAATCTGGATCGAGCACTGTGTCGATAGGCGCATCGACTTTGTATTCAAGAGTAAACACATCCCACCCAACTTCTCCATGGGAGTACTCGAGCATGCGTGCATCCAGGCGGCGGAGCACATCTGGTGGGTCATTTTGTGCATTTGAAGAGCGGATAGCAGTCTCGAGCGTGGCGGTGAGATTGTGACGATATAGTGTGTGAGCTGGTTTAATCAAACTTGGCCTGAGAGCAGTGTGAGCAGAAGTATATCGTGGACGATGAAGAAGTACCGCACCCAAGTGTCTCCATTAGTTGATCAGCAAAGTCTCCGTATCCAAGCATCAAGTAATGTTTCAACGCTTGTAGATGATCAAGAAGTTTGAACTTTTCAATGAACACTTCAAATAATCGCTGACTTGCAGTGAGATAGGCGGAGTCGATAGATCGTTCCAATCCAGCGATGTCGCTATATTTAAGAGCTTGAGAAGTGTCAGGTAAACGAGCGCATCTAAGTGGTATGCGATGGTGATTGCTCACTTCCTCCCGTGTTACCCATCTTTTCTCGTGTGGCAACCCAGTCACTATCGTGGCAGCTGTACCGTATAAAGTTTAAACTCTTTCCTGTTGAAAAAATCTAAGGGCCGCGTTAATCAATTCCTAAATCATGTTTTCTTTAATCTGCTGACCTTTTTCCCGAATGCTTCTCCAACGAACATAGGGAGCATGTCTTTTTGGAACTGATACTTTGCTTCCCATAGTCTTAAACCGCTTTCACGTTCAGACGACATATCCTCGCTGTCGCCCCCTAATCCTGCAAAACCACCATCCGATGACAATTGTGCGATACCTCCGGTTAAAGATGACGGATGTAGGTATTGCATGTGGGCAAGTCCTGGGTTTACGGATACGAAGAATTCATTGTAGGGGTCGTAAAGCTCTCCTGAAAATAACCATTTGTGGAGAGTAGAGAAAAATGGTTTGGACACCTAGGTACGTGAGGGCAAATCAGCTAGATAATCCCTGTCAGAAGCCTAGTTTATACGTACTTCTTCAAGAAGTTGGTCAGTAAATTGACGGACGAATGGATCACCATTATCAGTATAACTATGTATCAAGTTGACTAAGGCTCCTCCGTGCGCGTCTACACAAAGTTCAGATTGTCCTTGACTTGGAATGAATAAATTTTACCTCGAGCACCCTCAACGCAAACGCTCATCATACGCATCCTAAGCCTCCATTCGGTTATCCATACATCCAGACGCTTCAGAGTCAATCCTGTTTCCTCTCTGACATTGCATTCGATGTTCTTACTGTCAAGGTCTGCGCTAGGTGACATTGACGTCTGGGACTCGAGCACTGCAATGAGTCTGTAATACTCTGTGAGTTGAGCTTGAAGGTGGTGACAGAGGCTTTGTTCAATCATTCCAACACCAGCTGTTCCCTCACGGTCCTTTACAAAAGCCTCTACGCGGGAATATAAGTGGCCCACTTCAGAAAGTCGATGTACAAGAGTCCTCAGTGGGGCCGGGACAAGGTATGTCTAAACGAGCTGTATCTTTAAAGAATAGAAAGGATGCCGGGTATCGATGTTACTCACTGAATCGTCGACGAAAATGAGTCTACTCTGTTGATCTTGATCAGACAATGACAGTCGTACATACTTGCCTGAGATTCCTTGCAGTAGATACAGAGTGTCGCGGAGCAAGAGTTGTTCTGGAAGCTGGGATTGACCTACTTAAACCGTGAGCGAAAACTGTCAGCCAAATGTCCGTGTTATATGTCACCTAGACCAGCGCGATATTCTCTCAATAGTGCTGCTTTTGATTTTCCTTTGGGAGCTCGAGAGGCCAAGGATGAATCTACGGGACTTGTGACTGTCGATGGAATTTTAGGAGGTGGCGGGGCTACAGAAGGCAAAAATGTGGCGATGGGATTATTCCTACGTGATGTGGATGCCACAGAGTGAAGAAATAGTATTGATTCATATTTTCGCGATAACAAGGGCTGAATAAGAGGTTATTATGACAAGGTTGAAGCCAGAAGGCTAGCAGACAAACCTGATCAAGGAGCCTAGAGAGTAGATTTGTGAATCTTAGCGAAGAGCTATTCGATGCAGATGATTGAAGAACTAAAATCGAGGGCTCATTGAGACTTGTGGCAAGAGCCAGAGATAAACTCACGGTGCCGCTTGACTAAACCAGCTATGTGACCGAGATCTGTATCATGATTTTGACCTATATGACTTCCAAAGGAGATTAGAAAGAAGGATGCTGGAGCTAAAGGATGCAGACGCGTTTGTGTACAAGTCGCGTCCGCAACTGATGATTCAATCTTCACCTGCTGAGGATTTCTTGACAGTGCGATAATAGTTCTTTCATCAAAGCATCTTTATTCCTTGCTTGGGGTACCAGAGACGCTACAAGTAGCTCCAATGACTGCGAGATATCCGACATTTCCAGTTGTAAAACACGGGCTGGAAAAGAGCGTTTGAAAGTGCCAGAGCGGTAACCGCGACAGAATACAAGACCACGTGATAGCCCCATAAACGATCGCTTACATCACCTCCGTCGGTTGCACGGTTCCATACTGGGGCTGTACTAGGGCACCAGCACTAACATCCATTTACCTTTCAGTTGATCGCAACGTCCGTGAAACATTCTCACTTCTGCACGGTTCGGTCTTTCTGAGACATTGGTTTGCTTCCGTCAACCTTGCGACGTTTTGTCGCATATATCCCCCAAGAACCTGTTATTCACGACTTTTACGACCTTAGATACGCATGGATCGCTCAAACTCAATATCATCTCTCGCTTCGAGCGGATCTACCAAATCAAGAGATTCAGCGAGTCCTTTTGCATATCAAACACGCCTGCTTGAGCGCACTTCTTCTCGGGGAGGGGGGGCTACTCTTTCTCGCAATTCGTCCTTGTCAAGTAACCCGAATCTAAGTCCTACACCTGCCACTCCCGTGGCTGCAAGGCGATGGGCACCGTCACATCGGGTAGGAAGCAGTTTAGATGCTGTCCGTGGAAAATGGGAGGAACGTGCGAAGGCAGAAACAGTATTGGACGGACGTACGACTCCCAGCCCCTTGAAGGATTACAGGTCAAGAAGGGACTCAACTTCGTCTGCAGCCTCTGTACTGTCTCCACAGATCACTTCTACATCGACACTTTCAGACCATGTATCGCTCTCTTCTCTTTCTTCTCGTTCGGATGACTCAAGTCCCCATAGAACTCCTACTTATCTGAAACGTCATACACTCCCTACCCATATCGTCGCAACACCATTGTCCCCAAATACCACAGGAATCTCCGTGGAGAATCCGGACTCTCCCACTTCATTATCTTTTGCAACCCCTACTCCCCACCGTATACGTCTTCCTTCATCAACTCCTTTACAGTCATCTTCGATATCAGCTGTAAAGGAACTTAGCGGATATACTGTGTCTGCTGCTTCTACAAATTCAGCCCAGACGTCTCCATCTCTTCGTACTCGGCGATCTAATACCATCGATAATGTAGCTTCAAATTATTCTGGATGGACTGGACCGCCCAAAGCACCCGAGTCTTCTTCTGCAGCATCCACTGACTCAGTCAATCAATCTCGATCGCCATTTACATCGAATTCAGCTGCTGTTCCATCTCGTAGGCGGCCAATTTCTGTCTACGGTGGCGAATTTCCTGTCTCGTCCACTCGAGGAAGAATAAATCCGCGGTCAGCGTCTGATGTGGACCTTTCAAAAGATACCTCGAGGTCTCCAGAAAGACCTCCTAGCAGCCGCCCTTATTCCCCTGCATCCCCATCCCCCGCATCATCTGTGATGTCGCCGGCTCCCTACCGAAGCTCCTACATGTCTAACAAGAAGTCATCTACGTACGGCCAAATTGCTGGCCGTAAATTAGGCCGACACCTTCCCCGCATAGCTAGTGGCGATGCTGACGATGATTGGAATGGAGATACCCAAGTGGACGATAAACTCCAACCTCCAGAGCCATTGCATAGGAGGAGCCGAATTGTAGAAGAGCCTGAATTGCCTCCCGTAGCAGCACAAGAACTTATTGTTCCTGGTGTAACAAATGCAGACGATGTGACTGGAGTACCTGGCCGTTTACGACTATCGCGCAATAAGGCGCCTAGCACACCCACTTCGCCTTTGCCCTCTGCTCGATTAACAAGAGGCCTGTGGGCTGATACGCAACGACATCTGCTACAAGCTTATGAATACCTTTGTCATGTTGGCGAGGCTCAACAATGGATCGAAGGCTGTCTTGGTGAAGAGCTTGGTTTTGGAGTTGTAGAGATGGAAGAAGGGCTGAGGAACGGGGTTGTGCTTGCAAAGTTAGTGCGAGCTTTTCAGGGTGAACGAGTAGTGAAACGAATCTATGACGTATGCTTATAATTCTACCATTGAATCTATGTAGTACTTATCATCTCTACAGGCTCCCAAGCTGGATTTTCGTCATTCAGATAACATCAACTATTTTTTCAACTTTGTGAGAGGGGTTGGGCTCCCAGAGGTATGCGGCATAACGGCTGAGTACTGTGGTTTGCTGATGAAGGAACTTTTCAGTGTTTCATCTTCGAGTTAACCGATTTATATGAAAAGAAAAATTTACCGAAGGCTATATATTGTATACATGCTTTGAGGTACACTATACTCCTCAAACACTTTGTGCAGTTTGCTTATTCGTTATCATCTAGTCATCTTCTTGCTAGGCGTGGTCTAGCTGAACGCATTGGCAATCTATTGGGGCGTCTCCAGTTCTCAGACGACCAGCTTCAAAAGACTCAGAAAGGACTGAACGATGCTGGAGTCGCAATGCCGAATTTTGGCAATGTTGGCAGGGAACTTGCCCGTGAAATTAACGAAGAACCAGAAGTTGAAGTTGAAACTGAAGAAGATCGTAAGTATTTTTTGCACTAAACTTAAGCATCAATATAACGCGACAAATAGGCCGTGATCGTTTGTTATTGGAGAATGAAGCCTCTATACTTGCAGTTCAATGTTTTGCACGTGGTTTCTTAGTACGAAAGGCTCAAGCTACGCAGCGTGTCAGGATACGCCTAGCCGAACGCTACGTTCCAAAGATTCAAACACATTGCAGAGGGGTGCTAGCACGGAGAAAGATTAACCAACAGCGTCAAGAAAAGAGCGATTTAAAACCCTGGGTCATTGCTCTACAGGCTGCTTCTAGGGCCGCTATTGCACAAAGGCAGTGGCTTTCATACGTTCGAAGGGTTAAAGCATCTGGAAAGTACGTGGTAAAGGTTCAAGCTCAGATTCGTGGCCTTCTATTACGTCGGCGGTATGCACAATTGAAAGCTGCCATGAGGAGCAGTAGTGTATCGGTCGTCAAGCTTCAATCGTTAGCCCGAGCACGAATTTCTAGGAAAACCCACCAGCAGGTTGCGAAAACGTTTGCCAAGCCTGAAATTGTTTTCTCTGTCGTGGCTTTGCAGGCGTCTGCTCGAGGATATTTGAAAAGAGCCGCACTTGCTAAGCAGTCAGGTCTTCTTCAACGATCTGTACCTTCAATTTCGGGCTTACAGGCTCATTGTCGAGGAGTACTCATGCGCAGACGTATGCGTACCCAGTTCGCCAAGCTGGAGGATGTGTCATACATCGTAATACGTATGCAAGCTGCTGTTCGCACATATCTTGCAAGGAAGCGTTTACTCTCACTCATTCGTGGACTTCGCAAAGCGACACCCATGCTTGTTGGGCTTCAAGCTAGGGCCCGAGCTAGTCTGGCGCGACAACAGCACAGAAATGTTAACAAGAAACTGTCCGAAGTGAAAGTCGTTGCTGCTGTGGGTGGATTCCAAGCATTGGCCCGTGCGGCGGTGACTCGCAATCGCCATCGTGAACAACATAAGCGCTTAGAGTTCGTCGAGCCCGATGTTTTAGGTCTACAAGCACAAGCTCGTGGATATCTTGTTCGCACAGAATATTTTGCATGGAGAGACCATTTGTGGAATAGTCAGCCTGTTGCTACCATGCTACAAGCCTTGTTGCGAGGAGTACTACAGAGGAGGAGTTTCCGTGCTAAGATGAAGTACTACCGAGATAATCTTCACAAAGTCGTCAAAATTCAGTCCCTCTTCCGCGCTAAGGAGACTCGCGAGCAGTATAGGCAGCTAACATTAGGGACGAATGTTACTGTTGGTACCATCAAGAATTTTGTGCATCTCTTAGATGATTCTGAGACTGATTTCCGGGAAGAAATCAAAGTGGAGAGGCTCCGGAAAAAAGTTGTGGAGAACATTAGAGAGAATCAAGCCTTGGAAAACGATGTTAGCGATCTGGACGTTAAGATCGCACTGGTCGTCCAAAACGTGAAGAGTTTCGAGGAACTCATCAAGGCCAGGCGCAGATATGGCGCGGACAGTGCAGCTGCACATGCAACACGAGCATCTATCCTGGCTGCTCATGGTGACCCATTCGCTGGCCCAAACACCCTTGATCACGCAGCCAAACGTAAGCTGGAACTGTACCAGCAGCTCTTCTACCTGTTGCAGACACGAGGGGAGTACTTAAGTCGCCTTTTTACTCGGATGTCGAAGGAGGACACTTCCGAGAAGAACAGACGGCTGAGTGAGCGTGTTGTCTTGACCTTATTCGGCTATGGCCAGGATCGCCGAGAGGACTATCTTTTCCTAAAGCTCTTCCAAGTAAGCTCGTTGACTCGTGTTTCCTCTTTCTCGTCACTTATTGTACTACACAGTTATCTATCCACGAAGAGATCTTTAGCGCGTCATCTATCGAAGAAGTAGTCCGCGGTCATCCAACCTACGTGAACCTAGCAGTTCATTATGTCCGTCCCAAACAAGTTGCCTATGTTCGAGAAACACTTCAGTCTATTATCCGTGAATTGACTGAAGCTGTTGACCTTGATCTGGAAGCCGATCCTTCTATTGTACGTACGAACCTTAGACATTTAGTATTCACAACTCATCGAAAACAATCAAGATCCACCGTGCCAGAATAGACGTCGAGGAGATGCGATCAGGTATTGCCACTGCCAAAGTAAAAGATGTTCCCTTCTATGAGGCTTTGAACGAACCCGACACCAGAGCCGAATACATACGCCGTGCGTTCTTACTTCCCTTTATCGAATACATTGTCTTTACCTCTGTCAACAGACCTTCAGAAGCTTCAATGGTGGACCGAGGCCTTCGTGACATCTATCCTACAATCGACGAAGAGGATGCCATATGGCATGCGATTTATGGCAAGAGAGACTCTGCTTTCCTTACGAGTGAGTTAACAGCCCCTTATATCAACGCAAGTGCCCATGTGTTATATTATAGGAAAAGTTTCCTGATGCACCCGAAGAGGCTTATGCTACTTGCATTGCGAGATTGGTATACTACCGCTATCTCAACCCTGCCATCATGTACGTAAAACTGAATAAGTCAACGTCTGTCTAGGGACTAATGACAATCTGATACAGCACACCAGAAACATTCGAAATAGTACCCACCACGGTTGATGTAGCTTCTCGCAAAAATCTGGCTCAAATATCTAAGGTGTTGGCCCAAATCACCACAGGTCACGAGTTTGGGGACGATCACCCAAGCTATGTCCCTATCAACGACTACATTCGTAAATCTGTCAAGCAGATGACGGCCTGGATGCTTCAAGGTGACTACCTCTTTTTATTTATTGCGATTATTTATTAACTCATTTTCAGTTGCTGATGTGCCCGACGCTGAGAGCTACTATCACGCTCATGAATTCCTTGATGCAACAGTCCAGCCCAAGCCGATCTATATCTCTCCTAATGAGGTCTACTCTATGCATGCTATTCTTTCTCGATATCAGGAGGACTTGGTTTGTCTTTTTTCGTAGTTAGGCTATTCTATTTTCTCAACCTTTCGGTACAGGCAAGCTCTCGCGAGGACACGCTGCGGGTAATTCTTCACGAGCTGGATGGCGTCCCGAACCTCGATAACGACGAGCTCAAAGATGCAAGAGACAGAGCTGTGACTCTTGAGCTGACTAATAGATTTGCGCACGTACGAGGTGGGTAACCCCTCTTCTTCTATTTACGCTTGGCCTCATATTTTCTGTAGATCCTCACGCAGATGAAAAGGCTCTGTGGGTGCAGGGCAAGCGTGGGGTCTTGGCTATCCTTCGAGTTCAACCTGCACAAGATCTTGTTGACTCCTTGATGCGTCCTGTTACGGATGATGATGAAGCCCGTTGGGAGAATATCGTGGAAGAGATGGAGAGTGAGCCGATGCCCAGGCGCATGCCCTCCACCGCTGGAGGCGATTCAGCTTACAGACTTGAGGATATACGCTCGTGGGTTACCGATGAAATGATTTGTAAAAGTCCTGCTCACATAGTGTATTAGGCTCTCATTCAAGGAGGTGAAAGCGCATGCTATCTTTTTCCTACTGGAATTAGAAAAGCAAGGGAAGATTACTCGGAACGATGGTTTCCAAGGTATACTCAATGCTATTGCCAGTGACGTCCGCAGCAAGCATCGCAAACGCCTGCAACGTCAGCAGGAGATGGATAGCATGATGGAAGCAATGAAGCATCTCAGTGAACGGAAGAAAAACTTCCAAGAACAGATCGATAGTTATCACGACTATGTTGAGGCGGCTATGGCGACAATGCAGCGCGGGAAAGGGTGCGTGTCCAAAACATTGAATAAATGTGTCGATGTCTGATCGACTTGTATATTCAGGAAGAAACGCTTTGTTCTTCCGTTTACTAAGCAGTATTTCCATCTTCGTGATCTTCAGAAATCTGGGAAAAGCCCACAGTTCGGGTCCTTCAAATACAGCGCAAAGGAACTATACGAGAAAGGCATCCTACTTTCCATTGATCAATATTCTCCTCGACAATTCGATAAGATTGACCTTATCATATCCTCTAACAAGGCTGGTATCTTCACCATCGAATTATTCAATAGTTCACTAGGGCTTACGAATCGTATTGCGTCCGCGGACCTCCGAATGGAAGACCTTTTGCAATCCCAGTTCGAAAACCAAGCTTCACTGTCCCTGTTCAACGGCATGGTGAAAGTCAATCTCAGTCTATTGTTATATCAGATCAATAAGAAGTGAGTGTTCTTAGTTAGCTATTTTGTGCTATCTTACTGAAATTATGTCCCGCCGAAACAGGTTCTACGTTTGATTTTCGTTCTCTCCAGCGCCTTCCACAAGTAACTGGACTTTTTTCCCCAGTCATCGTGCTCTTTCGGTCTGTATGCATTTTTGTAGCCGTAATTCGGCATTTGTATCGTTTTTCTCAACCTTCCGACCGTAAACGGTATTCGAGTAGTCGTACATGCAAACATATATGACATATATATCTGCTATTCATGTATTCAAAGCAAAGAATCTAGCTTACACAATACCATACAGTACATAATGTTCCCGAGCTTCAAGCTCATATGGTGAAAAGGAAATCAGGGTGTCTGTCCCCTATAGGCGCTCTTGTTTTTCCTGTTTTCCACAACTCTTCATAGCGAGAAATATTTTCTTGACGACGACCTGACCTACGAGCGTTGTTCTCCCATAAACAGTAAAACCTTCGTAAAGGTTTGGTGAATATCGATAAAAAGATGAGACTCCAACTGTCATACTCACATGTTCAGGGCAATAAGCACCCATCCAGCACAAAGAAACCCAAGAACTATACTATGACCACGGATATACCTTGGCGCTTGATCTTTGTGATAGTGACTCATGAGTGCCCTGTGCTACTGAGATGATGATCAAAATTTAGACTCACCAGCGGTATACGCAAACGTGGCCACAAACCCTCTAGTGAGCCAGATGAGTCCTTCCCACATAGATGTCATTTGTTTGCGACACACCCTGTATTAGCAATAGCGAGTTGCAATGCTGTAGTGGTAGCCCTCTTATAGTGACCACTGTTGTTGTTTGGCAGGATAGTCAGTACTGCTGGGACAGAAGGATAACTGTGCAGCGAAACAGGATATATATCAGCAAATAACAAGATTACAACTTATACGCACACTCCTATGGCCATCAGAAAAACGGCTACATATCGGTTCTGGTTAGTCTCAGCAACAATAGCCAGCACATATCCTGATAAGTGTCAACGCTTCCGTCCGAGATCAACTATAGCAAACTCGACTAACCAGCGATAGCTATAGGCAAGAAAATCAAGATAAATGGCCCTCTCCACTTGAAACGGTCACTGAGGAAGGAGACCACGACTAGAAAAGAGTTAGATGAAATCTACTAAAGTATTGTGACCATTGCAGCGTCCTACCTACGAGGATGACGGCAGGAACATATGGAGGTACTAGAGAAAATATTTCAGCATAAATATCCTCGTGTAGGGTGTAGATATGAACCCGTGCGTAATTGGGCTGTCTCGCCCGCATAGCCTAACCCTGCAACAATAGTAGGACTGTTCCAAAGATAAGCCACGATGAATCATACAGTAGGTTGACGGTCACTAACAGGAACAACGAGAAAGAGTACAGGCTCACAAGGATACAACCATATGCGACACCGGTCAACCAACACTGAGGATCAGTTATACCTCGAATCTGCATGTTAATATATAAAATAATACATTGACTTAGACATTTTACCTCGAACAACTTCTCTCCATTCGAACTCCTCTTCAGCTTGTGGTGAGCCTAGCGTATTCGATTGTTGGTGTAGTTGATCGATATCTGACTTGGCAAACATATCCGTTCCCCCAGACATAGCATTCGGAGCAGGTACCGCAGAGGTCAATACCTGTGAATCATGAAACCGCTGCACTGAGCACACAGAATTAGGCAGAATTTAGTTTCATTTTAGCAACACAGATGTCAAGACGAAGTAGATACCTGCATATTCTCTTTCTTCCTCTGTCAAAAAATAAGCTGTAGAGAGATCTGCTGGTAACACAAAAGTTGACATGATACTGAGTAGGCATGTGGCGATTCCTTCGAGAATGAAGATCCATCGCCATCCTGCCAAACCACCAATGCCGTCCATTTTTAGGATAGCCGTAGCAAGAAGGCCTGCGCAGACTTGTATCGACTTAAACACAGAGCCGTAGATGATGGCACTGACCTCCGAAAGCTCCTGAGAGCGAGGCTTTGAAACATTATCGGTATGCATATGGAACGATGGTTGAGCATGAAACATACCTGACGCATAGAATATGCCGATTCTTGATAGTTTCAGACCAAGCATTAGGCGGGAGATTTCTACCACCAAATCAAAGAATTTACCTGAGCTGCAATTCATGAGGCTTATATATGGTACTCAAATACAGAACCTGAGTCCAGATAAATCACAAATATAGGCGACTCTTGCTTGCACGACTTACTATTCCACTGAGGAGCCCTCCTTCGCAAAACCCAAGACAGACGCGAATGGCGACCAATCCTGCGAAATTGTGAATGAGGCCACTTAGGGTAGTAACTGCACCCCAGCAGAGAACTATAAATGGAAGCCACCGATTGGCTTTCAATTTCTTGAGGACCCAATTAGAGGCTAAAGAAACATTAGTGGGCGTGGACTCTCCAAAGATGAGAGTACTCACGCATCTCGACGATAATATATCTTAATTATGTGAGGTCATGACATATATGCATACGAAAGATCACGCTTACGTTGCATAGAAAACTAGGAGACGGTAACGGTCATATGATTTGGCAACCAGTTTGCAAGAATTGGAGTCTTACCTGCTAATGCGATGTTGAATTGATTTCCAACCAAGTGAGTATCGGTTTCAAGGCCGGCAATCCTAAGCTATATTATAACATCTATTTCGAACGGTTTCAAAGCAACCCGCACCTGGCGTTTCCAACGTTGGTTCTGTCAATAAAATTTGCGAGCCATAGCTAAATGAAAGGTGAATTTTAATGATCGATTGACTTGTAGAGCGAACATGCCAGAGCCAGTGGTGGTAAGATGTGTACATCCAGCTTCCATAATACTTTACGGCGCAATTTCTTGTGTTCCTCTGCTTGAAGTGATCGCTGTAACTGCAATTCTTCGGAGGACTGAAGCTCTTCAGGATATTTTTGTTGGGAGGACGCCATGGTGAAATCGAAGACACAAACTCAGACCTCGAAGAGTAGAAAAAGGCCTCGGGTGCTCAAAGCATGTAGGTCATCTGTTCATTTTATGTACCGGACTGACGGCGGTCATACTGGATATGGGTTGGCTGCGGTCATTGGACGGACTCCCGTACTTTATTCGTACCGGTATCACTGGATTCGTACTGGCCCATCACGACATCGGTGCTTCATTCGTACTTTGCTACGTGCCTCGCTGCAGAAAGTGAAGTCGACGGGCTCACGGTTTATAAGATCTCATCAAAACAAAGCAACCCGTGACATTGCTTTGCTGGGTAAAACCTTTTAGCAAGCCATAAATAAGTAAGAGCTGGAGTGAAGATGCTCACCGGCAAGGTATTCTCATCGCCGGATCTGCCTCGAGCTTGGACCGATGGGTGTCCTGAACTCAATGTAGTATATTTTTCTTTGTTGGCCAGGTCCTGGATTATGCAAATTGCTCGATGAGGAGAATAGAAAGGTTCATTTCATTTCATGCAGTCAAGGGTGCAGTCCGAGTCACGGTTGCTTTTGTACAATCGAGGTAAGCCTGAAGGAGTGACTGGTGTGAGAACGTGGCAAATAGCGAACTTGAAGTAGCACTTGCTTAAGATTACATACTACGTTCTATACAGCTTAACTGCTACTAGTACTCAGTGTCCCTACAAGTGTGTTTAGTTTTTCCACCATATCATCACTGCACTAGCCAAAGATGTCAACGATGGGTTTTGGCGTTCCTCCTCTTCCTCCTGGTTGGTCTGAGCATCTCGGTAAGCAACTCAAGTCGTCTCAGATTTCGGGCGTGTTATGGATATTTTCTGATAGGCCCGGCGGGACAACCCTACTACTACAATTCACACACAAAAGAGTCTACCTACACTCGTCCATTCTTAAGCTACGCCGTTCCTCAAGCTGCCCCCGCACCGCCAAAAAAGAAAGAGAAGCCTCTTGTCAAAACTCCCATTCCCGGTACAGAATGGCTGCGCGTCGAGACGACTGAAGGAAATATATTCTACACGCATAAAGCGAAAAAAGAGAGTGTATGGATAGTGCCAGAGGAGATCAAGGAAGCTGTAGAGCTGCTTGAACGAGATGAGCAGATGGAAATGGAGCGCAGGCAGGCACAAGAAGGAAACGAGGAGACAGAAAAGTTGAAACAGATGGAAGAGCACGAGATCCAGCGTATCAAGTCAGAAGTACAAGACGTGGTTAAGCGGAAGGCTGATGAGATTTCTCCGTTGGAAGAGGTGGTGATAACTAAGAAAGCAAGGGTAGAGGATGAACCTGAGGAAGGGGACGAAGGGTCTGAAGGCGATGACGACGAGGACGACGATGGGAGTGACGAAGAGGAATGGCAGCGCGAGGCGGCTGCTCAGCTAGCAGCAGAAGCTGAAGAAGCGAAAAAGAAACAAGAGGAGGAGGCTCGAGCTGCAAAAGAGAAAGAGTTAGCAGAAGCCAAGAAACTACAGTTGAACATGCCCCAACGTGTGGACCTTTCTCTTGACGAAGGGAAAGCGTTATTCAAAGTAAGTGATTACCTTTGTTACTTGACATTTCGAACTAATATATCGATCCGTTCCTTTCCACCAGACACTTTTGAGAGAGAAAGATGTGAATCCTCTACACCCCTGGGATACTTCTCTACCACTCTTCATATCAGATCCCCGTTACGTCCTTCTCCCTTCAGTCTCAGCGCGTCGTGACGCGTTCGACGAATATTGCAGAGAGCGGATCCGCGAAAAACGCCAGCAGGGCGTCCAAAAAGAAAAGGAGGCAGCAAATCCAAAGGAGGAATATAACCGTTTGCTTAGTGAGGAGGTGAAAAGTACCAGGACGTCCTGGTCTGATTTCCGGAGAACATGGAAGAAAGAGAGACGATTTTGGGGCTGGGGAAGAGATGATCGCGAGAGAGAAAAGCGCTTCAAAGAGTATCTGAAAGAGCTAGGAGAGAGTCAGTCTTCTATCTGGTTCTCGGCCTATCACCAGACGCTCACCTTTCATGTTAGAAAAGCGGGCGGCCGCTCAGAAAGCTGAAGCAGATTTCTTCATTCTCTTGAAGGAAAGTGGTGATGTAAAACATGATTCAGCCTGGAAAGATGTGAGACTTTTAGAGCTGCCTAGGACCTTAGCTAATGTCAGTATTTTTCTGCAGATAAAGCGGAAGATCTCTGGTGATTCTCGTTATGATGCTGTCGGATCGTCTTCTCTTCGTGAAGAGCTATTTAATACATTCGTCAAGGCGCAACACCCCTCATCACCCAAAGGCAAAGAAGATGAAAATAATCGACAAGACTCGCAGCCTGATGATCCTTCCAGCGAAGTGGACATGGAACAAAAACGTAAAGAGAGAAGGGAAAGAGCTGTGAAAGAACGTGAAGGAAAGGTGAAAGCTCATTTAGGTCGTCTGGAAGCTGATATAGGACGATCAAAAATGGGCTTGAACAAAGAAGAGGGTGAACGGGAATTCAGGTGCGCCGCATTTATCTTCATCTCAACTTTAAAGACGTGGTCACCGGCGCTCATCACAATGTTGCATTTCTTAGAACGTTACTGACGGATGCGGTCCGCGATCCACAGGTACGGCTATAATTTATACACGACCCAAATCTGACGTAGTTCAATTCAACAGGTCACCTGGGACTCTATACTTCCTCAATTAAAGACCGATCCTCGCTTCACGAATTCACCACTCCCGATCAATCAACAAATTCACCTGTTCCAATCCCATATGAAACAACTTCATACGAAGCACCTAAGCGGCTTGCACACCCTATTTGAAGCTCATTCGCCCACTCTCGCTACCCCTTTCTCAGATCTTCCGCTTCAGTCTTTTCTAAGTTCACAACCAGTTACTAAACTTGGTCTCAACACTGATCACCTTGAAGATGAATACGAGAAGTGGCAACGCGAGAGAACTACTGAAGCGCGAAAGGCGTTCGGTGAAATGCTTAATGAAAACTCATTCGTAGAGTTCTGGGGTAGACTAGGCAAAATCGGAGGCGAAGGTGCAGATGGAGGTGTGAAAGCCGACGAAATAGGCGAAGACGAGGGCGAGGCCTTCGGTGGTAAGGTCGACATGAAGGTTCTAGCAAAGAACGTGGATATAACAGATATGGAAAAAGTATTGAAGGTGCGCACATTTTGATTTAACACGTCCAGTAGTCTGATGAATTATGTTTTCAGAACGATAAACGTTATATCATGTTCCAACACGTTCCTGAACAAAGAGAACGGTGGTTAAGGGTAAGGATGATATCTATAGAACCGTATCTTGACAGTACTAATTATTGTTCAGAATTACCTGTCAGGATTATCGGCCCCCAAGCTATCTGTTCACGTTAGGGAGCAATAGTGTGAAGGTAGTTTTATTGGGCATTTCTCTTAATACGTACTTCGAAGAATGTTACTATTTTTTTTCTGATGCTATTCTTCCCGGCTGGTTTAAGTGTCGTAGTAGCCATGTCTCTCATGTCAGTGCTTTAATAAACGTCAGTCACGTCAATTGATTGCGGCCCAGTGTTGTGTTGCACGCGTTTTGCAGCGAACACGTGATACAAAGTCAGTCACGAGACAGGACTGATCGCGAAACTTGTGAGTTTACTGACAGTGACACGTCAGTGTATCTGGACCCAAATAAAAGGCGCTTGGGTTACAACCACGCAATCTCAAGCGCTCACTCAAGCTTTAATACCTGCGTAGACTTCGCCACCGGAAAACCTTTGGTTGTGCTCGCCTTGACGGTTCAGCAATGCGTCTGCTTCGCTCGCTCGTGTTAACAGTCTCTCTGCTCTCTTCATATACCCTTGCGCAAGAGTCCGCTACAGATATACCGAAACTAAAACATGACTACCAGGTGAGTAGGATCGTCACTTGCGAGCTTTTCAATCAATAACTAGTGTGACACTCTGTAGAGCGATGTTGCAAGACTGCGCAATATTGTTGTCAACAGGTTGGTTTCTTGCTGAACCTGGAGTTAACAACTTTGACGTAACCTTTCACTTGCAGCTTATACTCCCACCGGTAATTACCATACCACTCTGTTAATATACTCTGATTATCTCATTCTACTACAGGGACGTCTTCCTTCGCGAGTTAATTTCCAATGCCAACGATGCTTTGGAGAAACTTCGACTTACAGCTTTGACGGATAAGAACATGTGGGACGGTTCTGCTCCACTCAACATCACAATCAAGGCTTTGAAGGAGGAAGAAGGTGGAGGTCGAATTGTTATCACTGGTAAGTCGTTTGCATCTTTGACCTCTAACAGTAAACTCATCGTTGATAGATACGGGTATTGGTATGAGCCCTGAGGAGCTGACTACGAATCTTGTAACGCCTTTTAAATGTGTCTTGAACCAGCTCTAACGTGCATACCGTTAACAGGGAACTTTGGCTAAGTCGGGAACGTCTGATTTCCTCGCACGAGCAGAAGGCCAAGATACTGGCGCGAACAACGGTAACTTGATCGGTGCATTTGGTCTTGGTTTTTATAGCAGGTATGACGACTGTGGCTATAATCTTGCGAAGCTGTTATGTATTAACCGCAATTAGTTTCCTCGTCGCCGACCAAGTACTCGTGTCGTCCATTCCACCCAAATCCGCTCAGAACCCTTCCCCGGTCCAGCATGTATTCAGCTCATCAGCTGATGAAGGTTCGTTCGAAATTTACCCAGACCCTCGTGGAAATACCCTCGATCATGGAACGGAGATAACCCTGATTTTGAAAAACGATGCTTTGGATTATTTGCAGACCAGTACCCTTATTAATTTGGTGTAAGAATTTAGTTTCGCCCCACGAATTCAGAGAATGTGCTGATTTGGCTTTAGCAACACACACTCATCGTTCTCGTCTGCATTCCCGATCTATATTTGGACTGAACAGGACGAAGAGGTTCCAGATGACAGCGAAGAGTTGCTGAGTGAGGTGGAGGAGCCATCCACTGAGGCTGACGCAGACTTGGACGACGACGAAGCTCTTGTAGAAGAAGAGAAAGTAGACCCTAAAGATGAAGAGCCTTCTACCCCGAAGATGAAAACGGTCACTGTTCAGAAATGGGAGCATCTCAACTCTCAGCCTCCTCTTTGGATGAGGTGCGATCACATGTAAATCCTGCAAGGTTTGAAATCTAACAAGGATAATAGAGATGCCAAGACTATCACGGACGAAGAGTACGAGTTGCTTTATCAAGCCACCTTCAAAGACTTCCAAAAGCCTTTGGCATGGCATCACTTTTCTGGAGACTCTGAATCTGGTGTATCTTTCCGCGCCATTATTTACGTTCCGTCGAGACTGTGAGTGTATTTTTAAAAAAGTACAAATTTGACAAATCTTACCATGATTAATTTTCCAGAGAGGATGCATACTGGCAGCAACCTATTGACCAGGTATCGAAGGACTTCAGACTTTTGGTGAAGCATGTTTTCATCACTTCTGATCTTGGTGAAGACGGTCTTCCCAAGTGGGCTAGCTGGGTCCGGGTCATTGTCGACGGTTCGTGTTTTATCGGCATATGATTTCTGTGCTATCCCTGAGTATAACAAATCTAGCGGATGACTTACCTCTAAATGTCTCGCGTGAGACCCTTCAATCTACTGCATTCCTCAAACAAATTAAGCAAGTCATCCTACGACGTCTCATTCAGCTCTTTGCACGCATCTCAGAGGAAGAACCAGAGAAGTTTGCTGAAGTTCAGAATGTTTATGGCACTGTCTTCAAGCTCGGAGCTGCAGAGGATACCAAGAACCGTCAAAAGTTAACAGCATTGGCCCGGTACAGTACGAACCAGAGGAACAACACGTCGCTTGATGATGTATGTATACCTCGTTGTTGCAGGTACTATTAACTAAACTAGTATCATTACCCTTAGTATCTGGAGAACAAAAAGCAGGGACAGAAACAGGTATGAGATTATTTTCCACCTTTGGCCTTTTCTTCTGAACTTCGTATAGATTTTCTATCTCGCTGATATGGGGAAAGCTGTTGAAGAGCTCGCTCAAAGTGTATTCGTCGAGAAATTGGATGCCCGTGGATATGAAGTCCTCCTACTCAATGAACCTCTTGACGAAATTCTCATTCAGAACCTTAACAAGTGGAAGTAAGTAATTGCACATTCACTTTCTCATATTGGTGCTAATTGTCTCTCGAAAATAGAGGTATCGTTTTCCAAGATGTCGCCAAGGCAGGAATGGAATTTGGAGACGAAGGTATGCACTTTGCGCGATGTACTGCAGTCTCTAGGTTTTAATCGCATGGTGTCATAGACCTTGACCCAAAGGCAGAAAAAGAGGAACAGGAGTTGTTGAAAGAAAAATTCACCCCTCTTCTTGAATGGCTCAAGGCCGAGGCATTGGGTGTTGTCAGAGATGGTATGCAGATAAACTGACGGCTTTCAGATATTGAACTGAGTCTTCTACTAGTCGTCATTTCAAACAGACTTGTGACTAGCCCGTGCGCAGTGGTCGCAGATACTTTCGGATATACCGCCAACTTCCAGAAACTGATGAGTAAGTCTTGCTCTAAATGTATTGATGCAATTCTTACTCGAGCTTAGGTGCAACGAGCGGCAAACGTGATAAGGGCTTCATGCACGAGTTTGCTAAGAAGCAAAAGGTTTTGGAGATCAACCCACGTTCACCGTTGATCGAAGGGCTACTTCGTCGCGTCCAACATGTCTATTCAGAAGAAGACACAGAGGCGGAACTTGAGCTGAAGGAAGTGGCTTCCATCCTTATAGATGGTGCTCTTGTACGTTCTGGTTTCGAAGTGCCCAACTCAAACAGGTAAGCCAAATTTACCTTTGAACAAGTAATTGTGTGCTGAAGAAGCTGTTGTAGCTTCTTAAATCACATTGACCGAGTTCTGAGGCGGTCCCTTGGTGTCTCGGAAACAGCTCCCACGGATAGCACCGTGAAGCCAGCGCCTCCAGTTGACCCAAAACTTCCAGTTGACCCAGCCAGCTCACAAGACGATGGGAAGCCTTACGTCGAGATCCCAGACGATCTGAAAGACAAGATTTCTATCAGTATCGAAGAGATTGATGACGAGGATAATGTTGTGCATGATGAACTATAAGGCTGCTGGATGTCTGGATAGTCTATTATCATGTATCTTTTCTGTGAAACTGGGGTTTCTTGAGACAGTCTAAGGGATTGTACTTGGAGATAAAATAAAATGTAAAGATGACATTCACTGAGCTTTTGGGTGACTTACAGCAAGACTTGCAACTGCCAAGGTTGAGACACATAATTATTAGGTCTTCCACGTGGCGTGGTATAAAGTGGGCGGCCAATAGCTGCCTTCATGTGATGGGCCAAGTACTGCCATTTCTCAGACTTATACCAGCCCTACACCACCCACATCATTCCTGTTGCCATTCTCTCCTACAACATTAAGACAATCCTTTGTTCATTGTCGATATTCACTCTGATTAATACTCCAAATGGCTGCGCCCTTCTCTCGGCTTCAGCTAGCAGCAGCCCTACTCGGTAGGCATGAGGTAGTTTCACTCCAAGGCGGATGGCACACTGACTTCCCGCTGTACAGAATACGATAATGACTCTACAAACCCCAATGCACCCAACCGTTCGGCCCACGAAAGTGCAATCTTTGCTCATTTACGCCGCAACAATGATGTTCACTCTGCAGACATTCCTCGCCGGAGCACCGATTATTTAGGCGTTTCTGTTCCGAGTGAATCGGGAAGCCTTGGTGGTAGAGAGTCAGTCCTGGGTCCAAGGAAATCAAGGGGTTCTATCGATGCTCTGCGTAATCCATTTGGCGAGACAGATGAAGAAGAAGAGGAGGAGGAGCGGCTAGATGTTGACCTGACTTCATGGGGGCTTGATGCCTTCCTACCAAAGGAGAAGGGCAAGGGCAAAGGCAAGGCAAAAGCACAATCTGAGATACTTCCTAACCCCCATCCTGTTGCGGTTGTCCAACCTCCACGGAGCGTTCAAGGTGAGGGATTCAGGGGACGAACAGCTCGATCCCCGAGTATGGGTGCTCTTAGCGACTTTGGAGTGGGAGGTGCATTCTTAGAAGCGCAACCAGGCTCTGAAATGCATCGACGCTCTTTGGGATCTGCACTTGATCTAGCAGAGATACAACCACCGCAGCCACCACTTCAACGTCGTCGCGCTTCAACGCATATGCTCATTGAAACTCTCGCCGTGACACCTCCTCTCCATTCCGTACCTTTCCCAACGGGTTCTGTTCGCTCGGCTTCTCCAGCGCCTGAAGACGCCCTAAGACCTTCCTCACGCTCCTCTCGTCTAGATCTGAACAATGGCCGTTCTCGTAACTATTCAGACGCTAGCTTTGGTTCAAAGGCTCTACTCAACAATACCGATAATGAAGAGGAGTCTAATCCATTCGCTGTCAGACCTCCATCTCCGGATCGTGCGTCTCGATTTGATCCCAAAGCCCGTGGTCGCACCATGTCCAACGCCACAATGGGCACTATGGCATCCAAGAATATGCTTGCTGAAGAAAACGCTTTTGCTGTAAGGCCGCCATCTCCATCTCGTTCTTCCCGTTTCGACCCCAAAGCTCGCGGTCGTACCATGTCTATTGCATCCATGGGTACCCGAATGATGCTTGAAAATGATTATGATGGGGAAGAATCTTTCAGGCAACAGGGAGGTCGGGATCGTCCCTATTCTACATTGGAACTCTTAAGGCCCAAAGTCCTCGTCATGCCTAGTCCATTGCAAGCTGTAAGCGTGGCAGCACCTAAGCCCCCATCTCCTCAGACGAGAGAGGGATTCCTCGTGTCATCCGAGGGACGGCCAATGCCTCCTGGGGCTCGCACTATGCGCCGTGCTTCAATGACGCTATCGGCATATGAGCCGCCTTCCGCTCCTATCGCTTCAAATTCTTTCACGCCCAACCCCCGTTCCAGTCTTTCTTTATCTCAGTTGGCATTCAGAAATACTCTTGTCGTCGGTGGTCAGAGGGATATCGCATACACTGACATCGACAATGCTCTTCCTCGCGCTACAGAAGAAGGCGAACAAGCTCAGTTTTTCGAGCCTCCCCCGATTGTTATAGAGAAGGCAGAATCACTTGCTCCTGCATCTATGCTACTACCACCAGCACCCCCTCCTACAGAGGCAGAATTGTTAGCGCGCCCTGCGGGTAAATTGTACGGAAGGAGCTTAATCGATAACCTTGAAGCACGCAAGGCGAACATGAGACAGAAGCAACGGTAAGTACATTTATATTATGAGAGCTAATGATTAAAATAAAACCCATTTTTTTCAGTGTTTTTACTGGCGATGATAGGCCATCTATGATGGCTCGGGGACAAATTCGGCGCTCAAGCACTTTAATTGACCCAGCCTCACTTCAGAGGCCAGTCTCAACGAATCTGGAAGCAAACTTAGCAAGGCGTAATTCTGCTAACGCTAAGCCCCTTCTTGAGTTCAATGACAAGGAAGGGAGACCTACCACGTTATTAGGCATGCCAGGAGATCCAAAAATGTCAAAGAGTCGTTCCGTATTCGGAGTTGACACAGTATGGGAGCAAGAGATGGTCAGACTTCGAGAGATCGAGAAACAAGAGAAACTTGATGAGGAAGCTCGACGCAAACGGGAGTATGAAGAGGCTGAAAAAAGCAAAAAACGCAAAGGGAAATCCAAGGGTAAAAAGAAGGCACCAGAGCCCGAACCGAGTCCCGAGCCTGAGCAAGAAGCCGAACCTGACACGGTGGAAGCAAGAGTTAGCGCTGATCCTCCCACCTTGCCCGCTATACAGAAACCCGTTTTGAGGAGAGCACCACTCCCTGTCGGTGATTACGACGACGACGAGAGCGAGAGCGATGTCAGTGATGCCGCTGAAGCTGGTCGAAATACGGGTGGCCGCAGCCGTTCTGAGACCGCTGCCGATCGTTGGGTAGCTGAGTCTTCGGACGAGGACGATAATAAACCCCGTCGCACACCGGGAGTAGGGCTTAGATTCCCAAACTCCCAAGCCCCCATGGCCGGAGTAGGCTCTCACAATAATGACGAAGATAGCGAAGAAGATCTTCCTTTGGCCGCAGCAGTGGAGCGGGTAGCTAAGAGAGCTACGATGCTTCCTCTCCACAGACAACCTTCGGATGATGAAGACGAAGATAAGCCACTCTCGATGGTCCTCAGCAAAGCGAAACTGAACATCAACTTCGATGCCGAGGACGAAGATGACAAACCTCTCGGCCTACGTGCATCTCGGGTACCATTCGAGTCGCAGACGTCGCTTCCTCTTGCTGGTGACGATGACGACGACAAACCTCTGGCCTTCCACCCCGAACACCAACGACGGACTCAGTATCAGATGCTAGCTCAAGCCCAGCAACAACAAATGATGTTACAAGCTCAATTCACAAACAGCATGTTTTTCGGTAATCCGGCTATGATGGGCTCTGGATTCTTCGCACCACCCATGGCACCTCCCCCCATGATGATGGCACCACCTGCTCCAATGCCTTCACCACCCCCTGAGAACGCGAAGTTCGGTCTTGTAGACCGATGGCGGCGTGATGTTGCGGTGGAGGGAACAGAAACAGGTTAAATTGGGTATTAGATCTTTTTATACATTTCTTGTGGAATATCCTTCTAGTCGGACACTCCTGGACACTGGTCTTAACAATAGTCATTCCTTTTAATGTCCTTTGCATACAGAAATACATCGGTACAATCGAGATGAAATGTCCAGATAGATCTACTCGAAAAAAATACCGTGAAAAATTGCAGAATGAATCCGTGGATGCTGTTATCAAAATTAAAGAGAGTGAAAAATATGGTAGGGAAAAGGTAAACGAGTACAGGATGACTGTGCGGATAACAAACAGACGAGCACAACACAAAAGACGACGATCATGATGGGTTGGTAATCCACAACCTGCGCTTTGGTACTGTGACGATAGAAACTTCTCGCCTGCCCATCTCCTCTTCAATCCTTCGCTGCCTCGTATCCTCATCTTCATCGTCATCATCGTCATCAGTTTCCACACTGCGAGGCCCTCCTTGGGATGTAGATAGGTCATCGTGCCCGGCTTGGCGGTAGGGAGGTTGGTGAAGATAGGGACCTCGGTTCTCAGTAGGGAAAGGATACTGGTCGGTACCGGTCATCGATAGGGGACGGGAGGTAGGTGTTCCTGGCGAGGCTGTGGGCTGGGGTGGCTCAGCGCGAAGCCGAGCAATAATTGACGTAAGAGCAGATTTTCTTGGCCGGCCATGCCATGCGAGTGCAAATAATATGCAGTAAAACAGCAGTGTCCAGATAAGGAACACAGCAAAAAGAGCTTTCGGTGCGCGGTACCACAGGGCTATGAGCGATAATATGCATAATGCCAGCATGAGGGCGTGGAATAGTATGCGCAGACATAGGTCAAATGTCGAGGGCATTTCATATCTTGGAGCAATAAAAGTTGGCGTGGGCATAAGAGCGCGAGTGCTCAACATGTCAGTGGCAACAGGAGTAGAAGCTCCTCCATGGGTTCTCTGCGCTTGATTAGCAGCAAAATCAAGCTCATTCTACGAGTAAGAGAAAAGATAGAGTAATGAGCGTCAAATACTGTATTTAATATTAGGATATCAAAACTTACTACTGCGTTCAGACTGCGACGCCGGTCCATCCAATCGACATCCCCTAAACTCCTGGGAGCAACAGGAACTCGTTGATACGCGTCCGTATTTGAGAGACCATTTGTACTAGCACGACGAGTACGTGCTGGTCGGTTGACAACTTCAAATGCTCGCTGGGGCCCAGCAGAGCTGACAGATTCGCTGTCGGTAGATACTCTTCCTTCACGACTACGCCGGCCAGGCCATAAAAGACTCGAACCACCCCAAGAATGCAGTCGGGCTCGTGGCGATGAAGGCGAAGCTGGTGGATAAAGAGACTGAGTCGTACTAAAAGCTGCCAATTTTTCAGCCGTATCGGTCGAATTAGCACGATAAGTTGTGCATTCGGAATTTTCTGGCACATGGTTTTTGCCTCGTGTAGAACAGCAGAACATAGAGAGAACATATATAAATGGTACTATTGCGTAGAGCGTGATGACGAGTGCAAGACCAGCATCGCCATGTCCAGTGCGCAATACGACCCCTGAAGTTGCGCGTTTCGACAGAGTCGTAGAAGTTGAAAGAGAAGTAAAGGACGATATCAAACCGCCCAAGCCTGTTCCGTAAGCCATGACCGCTATGACCGCGGAAAGATAAAACAACGCGATATTACGATCCGCAGGGCGATTAACTTGAGCCGAGGGCAGGGCCATCCGAAAAAGCAAAACAGCTGGGAGGAGAAGGGCAATAGAAAGGGGAGCAAGGAGTTTGTGGGCGAAGGAAACGTCATAGGCCTGAAAAGACTGTGAACCTGGAGAGGTGGTAGAAGTGGGACCTGGGGTACCTGAGCCCGATGTGGTGGGTTGCAAAAGTTGTACAGCACACTGTGTCATGTATTGATTAGTGACGCCTGCACCATCGGCGTTCACACCTGTTTGAAGTTGACCATCTGGAGCGCCCCATGATCCATTTGTCTGAGTGATGGAGCCATTGTAGGCCCTAAGTATCCAGACTTCATTGAGATAATTTCCAGATTCATCTCGTCCACCGAATACGAGTGTATCGGATGCAAAACCCCGTGATGTACCAACCAAAGCTTGAGTGTACGATATAGCAGCAGCGCCCTCTCGCGGTGATGGGTATGCAGGGACACCTATTGTTCCCGGGTCCCCAGCGGGTAGAATTCGGCTCCAGGCGCCAGTTTGAATATCTAGGACGTCTACTTCGCCCTTTTGTGAACCTCCCTGGTCGTTCCAATATGTAGAATTGAAAGTGCCAAGAAAGAGGAAAACTTGCGTCGGATAATTCCCTGAAAAGGTGCTGAGATTTGGCACTACTGTCCCGCCAAAACGAGGAGCCGGACATGCAGGTGGCGAAATCTCAGAATTATCGCCCGGGTCAACGACATAAGAATCTGGTTCTGCGCATGATTCGTTGGAGTCATTAGGAGTATCACAACCTCCTACGGAGACGACAGAAGTATATACTACGGTTGCCGCCTGATCCACCTTTCCTGGTGCATTGCCGACTGTTTGGCTTGTCCAGCTTCCATAAAGATCGTTTGCCAAATTTGACGATAGCGTCCCAGTTATCTGAAATTCCCAAACGTCGGAAAGATTGTACATGTTGGTACCATCAGTGCCTCCCGCCATATAAAAAGTGTTATTCGTCGAAGCGGCATTAAATTGTGATCGAATGTCCCGACCACCGGAAGCGCCCCATCGAGGAGGAGGACTACCTCCTGGCGAGATGCTAACCTGCGACCAAAATTGATTGATAAAATCAAATTCCTACACGATGATTAGTTTTCGGATACATGCGAGCTGATAAAATACGTGACTGACCCAAGCATCATCCAGAGCTTCCGAATTAGCGCCCTGGCCACCTATGACCAAATGACCTTGGCGACTGGAGAGAAGGTGAGCATACAGGATATGATATGATATATATGGATATATGCGTACTAGCTTGAAGAGAAATCCTCGCCGCTGATGGCCATGTATCTGGCAGGAGGTTCGTTCTGTGGAAGATCTGCCTGTGGAGTAGGGGTTGACCACAGCATAGTTTCGAGGTTTAGACTAGATTGAACACGATTGATGATAAATCAAAGAAGGAGAAGGGACATGGGCGTGAAAAGTTACGTACAGGAAGGTTTGAGAAGTTGGGATACCGCTGGAAGATTGGCCACCGAATATGATTACGGAGCGAGTTGTATCATCGTAGCCTATTGATGCGTCTTTGAGGGGTGGGGCTGAAGGACCGCTGAGGAGGGTGGTGATGTTGAGCCACTGGAGTGGAGGGACTGGGGTATTTGTTGAGATTTGCTGAGCAGCAGCGGAGGAAAGAAGACATTTTAAGAAGAGAAAAGCGCATATAGGGAAATGGGAAAAGCTGCTGGGCATCGTGTAGGAAAGAGAAAGAGAAAGGGGAAAGGCGGGGTATGGAGTGGGGGGGCGTATGTCGCCAGCTGGCGCTCGCGATGAGCTGCGTGTGCGAACGCTGGACGTTGCAGTGAACGAGAGACACTGTGTGGAAAGGCGTTGGCTGGCCGTGTCCGCACCCGTGTCACACACCCACACTCCTCGCCCGCCACCTCGTCACGTGCTCTGCCGTATCGCCGACCGTGTCTGCCACTCGACTATTTTAACGTCCTCGTCCTCGTGCCGCGCATGTCCATCATCCCTGTTCTGGGCGTTCGGTCCCCGTGTTCTCCCACCGCATCCACCCTCCCCCACTGCTGCGTAAGCTCGTAAGTACAACCCACTCTATGACTACCACTCACGTCTTGCTCGCTAATACACCTGCACCCACTTCCTTATCTTTAATCATTTGCTAATCCACGTTTCATTCAGCACTTTGTTCCATCCACCTCTGACTCAGCACCGAATCCTTCGTGCGACTTGACGTCTCTCCATGCACCCATTCTTATCCTCAGCTTCTATATTTGCACCACTGCCGTCCTTCTCTCTCCCAGCCCACCCAGCCGCAGTTCTTATAATATAAACATTTCTCTATCTGCGCAGTGCTGCGAGTGGCAGTTGCCGATCCCTTCCTAGCATCCGTGCGAAATGCAATGTCATTGAGATAACCTCTCCGTCCTGTGTTAGTTAGGTAGGCATCCGACATCAATGATCTTTGTATAATCATCGACGCCGTCATCTCCATTCATCTCTTACGAGCGCACCATCATCCACCCCATTCCCGACCTCACCGCAGTGTGCATCCAATGCATTATTCAACCAATGCGTTATGAAGCCTGTAGGATATCTCTTGGCCTATCTTGACAGGTTCTGTTCTGTTCCTTAGGCCTTACCCCGGAATATCGTCACAAAAACGTGCCTAACAATCAGGCCGGCGGTTCACGACTTCTTCTCCGCATCTAGCAGTGCTGCGCTATCACGTAGTCATTGATGTCACGGCATGCCACTGAATTACCTTTCGTCAATATCTTCAGTCGTCCCTGTCAAGGACACGGTTTCAGTCCACTGCAATCGCGTGAGTTCCATTTTGAGTTTCGTACCTTTTCATTTGGTAACGTTTGGGATTTCCCCGCCTCGCAGATCTCGAGCTTCGCTACAATATGGGCGCTGTTTATCTGAACTTGAACATCACGATGGGAGCGATTATTATTGTCCCTCACGGCGCCCGATGCAGGGTGCTACCTGGTCGACCGCCGCGGCATAGTCGCTTCGTAACGTAATTCACTTATTTGTCTTTTGTCGAGCGAGCTACAGCCGTCAGAGACGGGTTGTATTGATCGACCCTTCACGTCATGACCCAGTTGCCTGCAATGCACCAATTAAACATGTGGCCCCTCTGCATTTTCCAAAATTTGATGGTTCTCTCCACGAGATAAACTTGAGACACTCTATCTAGTTATTGCTTTCTTATACGGTGCTTTCAATTTCCCGTTTTCTTGAACAAGCTGTATATCCGGTCATTCAATTATTCACCGGTGCGTGCATTTGCTCTCTGTAAGAATTTTTTGTTATGGAGCTCATCGCTTGGTGTAAGCTCCTAGCCAAATTCGATATGACGACCGTCGCTGTCGTATATTGAATATAAATGCATACATTTGTTAACGTTTATGTCCTAGTGATGGTATCAAAACGCACTGTTTTAATAGCCTACCAGGCTGTACAAAGCGTACCATTTTCAAGCTTTCTAGCATGTTTATTCTTCACAGAGTGCTTGGAAGTATGCACACCGGGCATCATAAACTTGAGCTGAATGCTGTGAACAGTTGTCGCAACCGCGAAAAGAACAAGGAGGATAATGTTGGATATATGTCTGATGCGTGATTGGGCACTAGTCACGTGCTATCCGTAAATCATTCTCGTTAGCGCACGCGTTAGATGGTCGCCTTCGTCTTTCCTCCGCGACCAAATCATGTTGTCGTCTCCCGCGAAACGTACATTAACAGAGCATGCGCACGTGTCTATGCTCTCCTCGGAGGTACAGAGATCTGATGAGTGAGTATCCTGAGCAAATGAAAGTGGGAAGACTTGGTTAAACATAATGCTATAGTTTACCTGCTGATCTGACTGCAAGCATCCGCAACGCGGCTTTACGCGCCAGAAAGAGTGAGTTACTTTAGTTCGGTTATTTTGTGGGTGTAGAACGCGTTTGACACGCCTGCGGACGCGACTTGCAGACGTTCTGGAGGGCTATCGCAACGAAACTCCATCTGCTCCTCCTACCACCCCTTATTCGTCTCCAGAGAAACCTGCTCGTCTCACATCAGTCGTATCGCCCCTTCCCGCGAACGATGCTATTCGAGATGTATTCTCCTCCGCTCCACGTGGTGGTTATTCCCCCATGCCATCACCTAGCAAACGGAGGCGCTCTGACTTTGATCGAGAAACTGAAAAGGGTACTATATCAGATGAGGATTCGGACGTTGAGATGAGGATCGAAGATCAAGGAGGAGTGATAAGCACTGTTGCCACTGACGGCAGTCTGGGCAAGCGTGCTATGAGGCCCATGAAACCCTTGCGACAGCCTTCGAAGAGTTTGATGCCAAAAACACATCCCGCGGCAGAAGTAATAGGCTTACTGAGATTTCATGGCAAGGCGGATATTGTAACCTCGAAAATCGGTCTGTCGGGTGAAGGTGGGTCCACCGCATCCGACGATTCGCCCCTGTATTCTATGAATCTGTGATGGCGCGGAGGCCTTTATGGAGAGCTTGAGCGGTCGTTTTTGCCATTGTATTATTTATGGTAAGTCGTGGTCGTTGCCTCAGCCACTAAGACACAGCTAATTATTTCAAATGCGGTGTTCCGTCAGGCCTGATGTCGTATTAATTTATTTTTGTACTACCAGTGTACCCGTTCGTACCTACACCTTGAAGTGCATCGATGAATCGTTGGTCGTTTTAATCACCCTAGTCTCGTACCGCAAGATAATGAGGTTTCCTTAATTAATATTCCGCTAAACAGCTCGGATTTTTGGAAATTGTCTTTACCGACACGTGATTAAACCGAGATTCACCGAGGTCATGATGTTCTCGTCCACACTACAAAGTTCGAAGTACGCAAATGAGATCCTTGCTTCAAGGATCAGGCATCCCCTCTTCTCTACCTGTTTTGTGCAGACGGACGAGTGGTACGTAAGAGCTTTCGGTTGCCGTTTGATCGATATGCCTTTGGACCCACATTGGATCTGTTTGATACGTTTGGCGGCGGCGTGCGCTGTATCCCGGCCCCCCTCAGCCTAATTTCCCACATAATGGACTCGTGCATCTTTTTGGTAAAGGGCTATGTCTCTGTTGTCTCTTCAGCAAAACGTCGGGGTTCAGTTCAAACGTACAGGACAGAAGAAGACTTCTAGATCTCCGGCAAGATGCCATGTCAATACTGGGAAAAACTGGATATAGCTGTTGATCGCGTAGTTGCCTCACATCTCTGACTTCCTCCGGATAGCTTCTCATTCTGCTTTTAAACCCCTACCTTTCGAAAGTAAACCCCGTACTATTAGAGAAACTTTTATGCCCCATTCCATATCCCCTCATACCTCTATGCCATCAGTCACAACCTCGCCACCACTACCAGACGGAACCGAAGAACAGAACTTTGATAAAAGGAAGAAACACTTGTGGCAAGTATCTCGCTCCTTCAAGAATCACCCCTGAGGCCGATGGGCTTTTGTGTTTCTACCTCATTGGCTAGAGTGCCCGCCTCGATAGCTGCTTTCTGCAAGTAGCGATCGCTATCGTGATCACTCGATGCGTCCCCTCATTATAATATCTGATCTACTGTTAGCAAGCTCGCCACTGACGCCACTTCTTTTCATTTCTCCAGGGTGTCAGACCATCCAGAAGACGAACCAGAGATGCAAGGACGTCATAGGTCCTATCAGTGTACGGCTAGCGGGGATTGGGATTATCGTGACCGTAGCAGGGCGTTAGCCCCTGGCGATAGTCCTGCCCAAGCAAAGGCAAGAGCAGAGGTACTGGAGCGCACCCTTAAATCTTCCAGGTAAACGCCACGTTTATTCTTGACGTTCTCCTGTAATCGAGACGTGCATTCTACTAGACGAAACAAAGATGCCTCGTTGTATTTACCTTCTGAAATGTGCGCCTCCACACAAGGTGGCGCTTCCACCCTCCCTAAATCGTGGAAGCCGGGAGATCCATCCAACGCTAGAACTATCCCCCATGATAGGTAATCGAGATGGTTTTATACTTGCGTATGTAATCATGTACTTACTGATCCCATCCGCCAGAATTCACTCCCCACAACCTAACCACAATGAGCCACTACGCCACGGTGACAATCACCGACCTGGTTCATCTTACCCCCCCTCTTTGTCAGTATTCAACTCTCCCACAGCAACATACATGTGGCCGAGTTTTCAAGCTGCTTCCCAAATGAGCCACCGTCCATTGATTTACGTCAACTATAACAAAGAATCCCCCAACCCGAGTTCAACGGCGTCTACTCCTCCGCGAGAACCGGTGCCCCCGAGGACACCGTAAGTCCAGTTCCCCGCTCTGTGCAAAGTTCGAACTTAGTCAATTTTATCAGTCCAAGAGCGCTTTCTCGCCATGATCACCATTTACCTGCCTCTATACCACAGAAAAGGAGTCCATCGCCTGACCTAGAGTACGTCACTTTCAACCAGCCAAAAAGCTCACTTTACAATAATGTATATTTTCGATATAGAAATCCCCCAGCGTCTACACTGAATAGAATCATTGAACCTCTCAAGTACGCTATTAGACCCTTTCGCACTAATCGTTGTGCTGATCGTTTTCTATGGTCAATCAAGTCGTATTCAAATATCACGCGGTGACTCGCAATCACCATCATACCTTCAATCGTCCAGATACGGACCCGGCGGGCCTGCCGCGCAGTCTAACTCGCGCCATGATGACCCGCCACCTAACAAACGCATCAACAGTTCTCCCCGCAGCGACTGGCATAGCCACGAGGAGTTAAACGATAGTAGCCCACCATCAGACACAACGAGTGAGAGTTCAGCCGTTCCCCCTACGACTAGGAGGACGTCCCCAAAAAGTGAAGGTGGGGGAGAATGGGAGCAATATGCTCACCAGACTTTGTCGTTCAACGGCTCAGGCAGAAAATGGTTATGTACATGGGTCGTAACAGACTCGGGTCGACCAGTCACCTGCAACTACACGTCCAAAAAGCAACTCGTGAAACGACACGTCGAGACAACACATCTAAAATACAAGTGAGTACTTGACATCATCGCCCCGTGTTCGTGACTAATGACGCGAAATACCAGACCGTATGTTTGCAGCGTCTGTGCAAAAGGTTTCCCACAGAAAACATCGTTAGACACGCACATGCATGGACAGTACGTAGATTCACGCTGTGATGAGGCTTCTACTGACGCTCGTTATCAGTACCGGGTCAACTCCACATGAATGCCGGTACGGGTGCGGTATGTCTTTCAAAGATCCTGCCAGGAGGCACAGACACATGGTCGAGGAACATGGCTATGTCCCACGGCAATCAAAGCGGAAACATAAAGTTGGACAGCAGCCCGAGGATCCTTCTGATTTTGAATCTGTGCGGCCATGGGATCTCGAAGGTAGTTCTAAGACTTGATGACCATATCAGAGGATGAGTAGCTGGACTACGATATTGACTTCATTTTTATTATTATGGACGCTGTTATGCCTGCCTTCACCTATTTTTCTTGGTTATATGGAACTATGGATATGTTTCGATAATAGTTGTATTGTATTCGGTTTGTTACCAGGAGACCGTATCTGTAAATTTTGATCAACTGTATCTAACATTTTTCTCGAAATGGATTTTCCAACATACTTGTGCTCAGACCCAGCCTCCACATTATTATTATAGCAAGAGACTGGCTGTTTCGCAGCGCCCAGGAACATCATGCATTCATGGTGAGCAAGCTATTGTTACACGGATTGATGATATTGATGACCATGCTGCGAAAATGCAAGTTTGACACGCCATAAGAGGGTTGTGGTACCCTGCAAGCGCTTTGAGAACAATTAAAGTTTGGGACACACTTGAAAGCTTGAGCTGGACTCTGATGCATGGGCATCCAGGTAAATGATGCCATGCTTATCGTGGGGGTAAGTTATATTTGGGCCTTCATCTCGGGACAGAGCGGCATCAGTAGAATGTCGTGTTGAGCCACCAAGTAACCCCATCGCTAGAGTTCACTCAGCCGCGTCATTGGGCTATAGAAAGGTGATTTGAGACTGTAACAGACTAAAATAGAGCAAGGAATCATGGAGCTAACAATTGAAGTAAAATCTGGGTAAGACGGGCGAGAGAGTCCGCAAACGGTGGATCATGATGAAGCTGCAAGTTGAAGCCTGGTTGAGACTGCATCTCAGATGGATGTGGCCGAGGTGTAAAAGCCCTGAACAGCCTGGACCCTCATAGAAGTTGTGTTAGTACAGCTGGACTATTAGCGGTATACAGCGCCTTCAGAGCGCCTTCGCTATTGGTAGCGATAAATGCAAACAATTATAGGGCATGGCTGGATCGAAGGTGTTCCGAACGCTAGAGCGCTTAACAAGTCCGCTACACTTGCCAAAATCTGATAAGTTCCTCAAACCACCGCAACTTCCTTTTTAGGATGCGTTGAGTGACGGGCATTACGGAGGCTCGGGCGATCAACCGGCCAATAGGATGGCGCAGTTGCACCCTTTCGGCATGTTCCCGATGGCACCCAAACCACCACCACCATTGGGCAGTCTAGCAGTGCAAGCACCCTCACTGACATCGCAACTCGTTCATGTATCACAGTCAACATGCCATAACTTAAGTCTGTTCAAAGGTGGGTATCGGCGGAGCTGGCTTTTCTAATGCGGTCTCCATTTTAATGGCTGTTTCGCCCTCATAGATCTGCTGAAAGAGTACCGCAGACTTGACGATACCATCAACATGCGGTTGAATCGCTCAAACGCTCAGTTCCGTGATAGGGATCGAGAAGGTACTGCTGGTAAGGGAAATATTCAAGATCAGGCATGTGCGTACCTGTGGAAGGAGCTAGTTGGTATGTTTTGTCATCTCCTTTCCTGTCTTCATGACGAGCTACATCATTTTTTAGAGAACTGGAAGAGACGGACAGAAATTATAGAATACTGTGATGGCGTCGTTGACCGATCAATGCAGGAAAAACGTGGTGCTGTTAACGACCTAAAAGAGGACCCACGAGCTCAGCGCAAAATACAAGCAGCTTTGTTTGCCGACCAAGTCAAGGTATGTCCATCATTCTTGTCACAATCACCTGCATCTCATGTACTTGATGAAGCGAAACCAAGTTCATAATGAATTGACGGTTGAGAAGATTGTACGACAACGATCACTCGATGGTGGGTGGTGTTCTCCTTTATTGTCAACGTGGGTTTATTAATTACTCCAACCCGTCACATCAGCCTTTAAGTCGCGGTGTCGATATTTCACGCCACCTCTATCAGATGCTGATGCGAGAAAGTGGTGGAATGCAGCCCAATCACGCGAATTTTAACTCCTGACGCTATCGATGCATTTTTATCTTCATATCAATTAAGTATATTTACAGGCCTGCAATTGTACGATATTTCATCCGGTCGCTTGTCTTTCTGTGTCTATAGAGAAATATGACTAGTCTCCCTGCTTAGCGCAAAAGCCAGTTGTTGTAATGTCAGCTCAGTCTGATTACGTAATATTGACGTAACCAATGGTCTCAACCGTGCGTCTTGACAATTGCAGTAATAAGTTCGCTGGACGGGGGCATTTTGCGTCTTATCATCCACCAACATGTTCTCGTCCCTGCAGGTGCTATTAGGCCTATTCACAGCAGCTTGGGCTCTCTCGCCCCCTCTGGTTTTGCAGGATAGCGTGCATGGTCAACTGAACCAACTGGACGATGTTAAAGTACCCGTTGTGCTGGGTGTCATGTCTCGTTGCCCAGATGCAATGTTATGCGAGTCTGTGTTCAACCGTGTATTGCAAAGGGTTGGAAGCAAAGTCGACATATCTTTGACATTCATTGCCAAGTGAGCACTCCTTACTAGCCACACTCTTGTACAAGACCTCAATTCAAATCGACAGACCCAACACTTCTGAGCCAGTATATGGCGTTACTTGCATGCATGGCACAGAGGAATGCGCAGGCAATGTCCAAGAACTCTGTGCTGCCAAATACTCATCTACTTCTGGTTGGTGGGACTTCCTACAGTGCCAGAACTTCCAAGGCAGAGAGAAGATTGGAACACCTGAAACTGCGTTGAGCTGTGCCAAAGCCGCCGGTATTGAGTGGGAAAACGGTCCAGCAGGCCAGTGTGCGGGCGAAGACGGGCAGGGGGAGGAAGGGGTACGGCTTCTACAGGAAAGTGTTCAGAACACCATTAGCATGGGAATAACGTGCGTCATTTGCATCATCTCGTATGAATTGTGCTTATATAAAGTTTACTATATGCAGCAAAAGCTGCACAATTATGATCAACAACGAAAAGGTTTGCATCCGTGACGGAACTTGGTACGAATGCGAGGTACGCTAAGCATGATGTTTAAAAATCTTAAAAAGAGTCTTGTGTAACTGTTGCGTTCTAGGGAGGACATGCTCCAACTGACTTTATTCGCCAAATTAACGAAGAATACGAGAGACTCAATAGCGATGACTGAAGCCCCAAAAGAAGGATTCTGATATGACGAAACTTCATAGGAGAGGATGATTTATGCAGGAGGAGTATATGTATTGATGAATAGCGTGCTCGACAACGATGAATTAACCACCGAGGATTAATTCATATACGATAATTACTAGATTCAGACCTATCAGTGGTACTAATGTACATATAGTCGTAAGCATTTGTTCCATAAAGATTGAGAGAGACTTACTGCGCATCAACGTCCGCACTGCGCTAATGAGATTTATTAGTCTGACTTTGACTCCTACGTCCTGTTGAGCGTAACCAAAACCCGGTTGATCGTAACCCTGTTGAAAGCTAGCATTTGTATTTTGAGGCTGAGCGTTAGACCAGCCAACTACAAAAAATCAGTATAGAAAAGTGTAAGAAGGTCAAACGCGACTAACTTCGTGCGAGAAACCGGTCCTCGCTGAGCACGGCCATGGCATTTATGAGGAGAAGCGAAACATATAGAATAGTTCCAAGTGTGAGCATGACTGCACGAGAAAGTGCAGTTGCCTCTGCGCAATAATGTTGGTAGCGAGTGTCGTGGTCACTCTTCCTTACAGGTGTAGCTTTGAGACTCCGCTTCAACGGTCATTTCTCTTACCAGAATGTCGCTGGGAAGAGGTCTCCGAACCGGTAAGCAGAACACAAGTCTTCACGGTTCCATCGCTGATGTGTTCTAAATGCAGCGAGTCATGTAAGACATTGCATTCAGCAAAATCAATCTGCGTCGTCGTCTCGCATACAATGGGAGTGTCGTCGAAGGTATGTACACTATTTTAACTCACCACATTTCATACTAAGTGGACGTGTCACAGCGCGTCGAACTTCTTTAATCCTCTGCAATGGATTCAAGAAAAATTTCAACCGACGTATAGGCAACCAGTAAAGCAGGAAACCCTGCAATCCCAGAAAGAGCGCGCCAAAGAAGGCCAGCAAAGTGTGTTTGAAGTTGCAGCAACTCAAGAGAAGAAACGTCAGGAAGCCCGCACTGTCATTAAGGGAGGAATTGTTGCACCCCAACCCAAGAAGCATACTGAGGTGCGTTTAGCTATAAAGTGATATGTGCTTGTGACGATTCTCAATATTTCAACTTAGCATAAATACTCTACGGCGAACTTCAAGATTTCGCATAGAAAACTTAACAAGCTTGGTCGACAGATTTCTGGGATGCCTATAGATCATGCTATCATGCAAATGCAGTTCAGTGAAAAACGAGCAAGTGATCGCATAAAGAGTATGTTGGCTACCGCCAAGGACCATGCGATACGCTACAAGAACTTGGAATCCTCTAAGCTTATCGTAGGTATGTCGTATGTTTTTATTCTCTGCACTGTTATTTCGTGTGTACGAGCGCACGAGTTTCTATTCTGTTCTCTGATGAGGAAGCGGTGTTAATATTTTTTCTTCGTGGTTTCTCTTTGCAGCTGAAGCATGGGTCTCGAAGGGACCTAAAAGCCTAAAACGGTTTGAGCCGAAGGGACGAGCGAAATACGGTATCAGAGTGCATCCTGATTCACGGATAAATGTTGTTTTGAAGGAAGGCAAAACGTTCGAGGAGAAGAAGAAAGCCGAGCGGGAGAGACGATTGAAAAAGATTGTTTCAGCTGGTTTAGTGAGGGAAGATGTTCCTCTGCGGAACCCCAGTGCATCTTGGCAATGGTAGACTATAGATTATATTTTCTGTGCTAGCATATAATGTTGTCTCTTGGAATTACAAGCTTTTTGAGCATATGTTTCAAGCTTTGCAGAGCATGTGCTATAAATAACGCTTGTGTATGCGCGCAGTGGCAAATAACACGTCGCCTGAATCTTAGCTTGTAGCAGTCCAGCACAACCACCATGTTACAACGCTGGCACATTCTCTCCTTCCTCCTTGCAGCCTTGTCTGCCCCTTCGTTTTCTTTAGCAGATTCGTCTTTTGAAAATACCGCCATTGTGCGCACTGTTGACCTCGGAGGTTCGCTCGTACACGTCACAACAACTTATGCTGTGAAAGCACTCGAGCCTGGCCAAACGGTTTATCACATTGCTCTTGATGAGAATGAGAGACACAAAACGAGCTGGATCGAGGCGAAAGTAAAGGGACAACAGGGCGCACTCCGAATGGAAGAACTCGCTCAGGACGAGGATAGGTGTGTTGGGACGTCGCAGTAGCGTGCTTCTGGCACTCATTCACATTTATATTATACAGCAAATCTCATTTGTTTGCTGTCACTCTCCCAAAGAAACTTGGTGTCAATGGGACCATCAATCTTGTGCTCGACACAGTCCAGACTCATGCAACATATCCGTGGCCGCAGAGTGCTGCTCAAAAGGACCCCCAAAGCCTAAAGTATGAGAGCGACTTGTTCATTGTTAGCCCTTACCACACGGCAGTGCAACGGACAAAAATCAAGTATGTTTTATGAAAACTCGTTTTGTTATATCATATGTTCTTATGCGCCCTTTGCAGGCCATCTTCTCCCACCGTCTTGTCGTACACCACCCCCGAGAACGTGGACCAATTCACTTTGGAAAGTCCAGTGACAAAATCAGGAACCACGATCACCTACGGACCGTTCCACAACATACCCTCATCATCCAACGCCGAGTTCATTGGAGAACACCAGCAGGTTGTCGTCGTTCACTACAATTTCGACTATCCTGTCCTGGAGATCAAGAAACTTCAACGTTCCGCTGAGATTAGTCACTGGGGATCAAACCTCAACATCGAGGACAAAATTCACCTTTACAATGCAGGTCCAACGTAAGCTATGATATAGTCTTCGTCGATCGCTTACTTATTCCATTCTCGTTACTCAGCTTGAAAGGCCATTTCTCAAGGCTGGAGCACCAGAGTCAAAACTTCTACCGCACGCTTGGTCCTCACATCCTAGCGAGTTTGACCTTGTACCTTCCTGCTGGAATTCGCAACACCTATTTCTATGACATCATCGGAAATGTGTCCACCTCCCACTTGCGGACAGCACCTTCTGTTGGAAAAAATGCTAGGGGTAACCAGTTCAGTGTCCTTGAAATGCGACCGCGATACCCTATTATGGGTGGCTGGAATTATACTTACACGCTCGGATGGGATGCTCCTTTGGAAGACTCGGTGGGCTGGGATGCAGCGAACGAGAAGTACATTGTTGGAGTTCCCGTTATGACCGTTATTCCGGGGACAGTAGTCACCGAGGCAGAAGTCAAGATCGTTCTACCAGAGGCTGCTACGTAAGGATTATTTCCTTCAAGGCATCTATAACAGGACTAATATTTTGTTCAGCGACATTGAATTTATCTCTCCCTTCCCTGCACTTTCTAGTAGCATTTCGACGCATATCACATATCTCGACACCACTGGCAGGCCTGCCGTTTCATTAGAGTATAAAGACCTCACGGACAAACATAATGGGATTATCTACGTGAGTTAACTCGTCATTGGTGTCAACTAGCATTACTGAAGCAGCGGAATGCAGGTCGCGTACAAAGTACCCCTCTCCGCTCATTTGAAGAAGCCCTTGGCAGTAGCTACCGCTTTCCTAGGTGTCTTCGTATTCGCTCTCACTGCGAGGCGTGTCGACTTGAGACTTCATAAAAGATGATGTAACAATAGATACATAGGCTAAGCAATCACACAAAACTTTTCCTTCTTCCATACAATACATTGAGTGATTAGATATTGTTACAATTGAATTCTTCAACGCCCGTTACCCTTGCGAACAAAACTGTGAATCGTGATTGTCTCGCACCCTCGAGGAGTTGGAGAACTGAAAAAAAGGAATATCAGCCAACAATGACCATCCATCCACGGAAAAAATTACCTGTCCAAAAACATGAAAACACCGCGGGCACCTGACTTGTCAAGACAAGACAAGTATGCCCCTTTGTTACTTTTGTCGCCTTGATCGTAATACAGCATAGTCCCTCTCCACCTCCATAATCCACCAGCTAATCCTTCGCGTTTCTTGCCAACACTGAGTTGCAAGGGAGCGTCTGCTGTGAGTGTCGAGTTAATGACGTTGACTGGGAATATGTAGCTCTCGTTTTGATACTGCCAAAGTTGATGGTGGTTGATAAAGAATAGTGGTGGCATTGGATCTTGCTTGATTATCGCATGGCCAGTTGATCCTGATCCAAGTTTCGTTGGGAAAAGCCCTGGTGGAAAACACTAGCGAACGCTGATATCACTCACCTTTGGGAGCATCGATTGACAGATAATTCGGTTTATGTGTCTGTTGGGTTCTGCGAACGGAGCCCATAGCCTCGAGATAGCTCGTACCGGATACAAGCGATCCCAGAGATTCTCGATTGTTTATGTTCTCCCAAACGGGTATAGATAGTACAGACACCACGAGAGAGAGGAGGAAGATGAGACCTTCGATCTTGAGCATGACTGGGCGCAACTTGGGGACAACGGCGCCTACGATAGTGATTGTATTCAGCATTCATAAGGAACGTGATTTTATCCGTGTTTTGGGAACCACCTTTGGCGAGAGACGACGTGGCATGCGGTACTATGCATGGTCTGCAAGACACATGCTCAAGGGGGGATCAGTGATCCGAGAACAACCTCATCCCATTGACCGCCAAGGTTATAATACCACGGGATCATTGACATATGGGAGCACGACGAAAGCATGCTCGAATCGCATCACGGCTTTGATTGACACAATCAGCCTGGCTGCTGGCTGCAAGCAAACGCGGGAGCGTGTTTCTTGATTTCTGCAGTCGAGACCTCTGCGGAATGGGGAAACTGAGGCAAGAATCTCGGTAAACGCATTGCTTAGTCAGTTCCAGTCATATCACTTTTCGGAACGTGGCTGGTTCCAAAGGTGCATTTCTCTGCAGCGTTCGTCAATTTGTGTTTTTTCCTTTCTTTCTTTTATGCTTCGTATTGCAGGGAAAAGCATTGTGGATGATGCCCAATACTGCTTCAAACATCTGAACCCACCCTGTCTGCGCTCACAAATCTTGCATCGCTGCATAAGTACCGACACTTCTAACAACACATATTCTATACCCCCAAAGATCCGCCGTCAACCCGACAGTCGTTCATCCTCGCCCAGACGGAATCCACACCCAGGAGAAGACACGTCTCGTAAACCATGGACCACGTCCTCAAAGTCGAAAAAGGCTTATGGCACTGCCAAAGATGAAGAGCAGCGCAAGAAAAGGCTCTTGACACCTTACAAGCTGGCACTCCAACTAAAGGATCTTTGTGCTGAAGGTGACTTTAAGGGGGCCGTTACACGGCTGAAGAATGTGCCCCTGGACGCACAGAATGTTCCCGTCTGGAATACGTTGATGTCGGAATGCGTGCAGGCCCAGCGACATCAGCTCGCGTACGAGTTGTACATAGATGTAAGGTTTCTCACCCGTCAGTCTTTTCGTATCACGCTCATGTGGAATATGACTGTAGATGAAGCGTCGAGGCTTCAGTCCAACCACCGCAACTTACACAACTCTTTTCATGGGTCTTTCGCGAATCACTAACTGGTCTGCCCATCCCAAGCAACTCACTCACGCCCACACTCTCTACGAGAACTTTCTCAAACATCTAGAAGCTGTTAAATTCCATGAACCAGATAATATGAGAGAGCTGAACACAACCCCCATCACGCTTTACATGAAAGTCCTGGGTCTGGCCGGAGATTATCAGAAGATATTCGACGTGTACTTCGCAATGGATCAAGAGGGACCTCTCACTCCCAACAAATACGTTTTCACTACCATGTTCCAGTCAATCCTCGAGCGGCAAGTACGCGACAAAGCAGACGAGGAAATCTCGGTTCATAACCGCGCTGCGTCAGACGCTAAACACGTTTGGATGCAGATGGAGAAAGTCATGCAGAAAAATCCAAAATTTGAGCTCGATCCATTCCTCATCGGCTCTGCGCTCAAAGCTTTAGCGCGAGGACGTCCGAATGATCAGAGCTTTGCATTAGAAATCATCCGCGACCACCTAGGGTTGACCAAACCCGGAGAATCCGCTCCTCAGGGTTTCTCCAAGCACCTCACCAATTACACGCTAGACGCTGCTCTCCAGATTTGCAATGCCATGCAGAAACATAGATTATGCATCCATTTCGTGAAGCAAGTCATCGCCAAGAACCCGATGGAGAAATCGTATACACGAGAACTGGTGGACAGCACACATATTCTGTGGATGCTTAAATCGTATGCAGGGCTTGCGTCCCTGGGTTCTCTCAACGAGTCAAGTCAGGTTCTGGAAGCTCTCGAGTGGGCACTAGAAAACCAGGCTATATACGATCTACCCAAACTCAGGCCTTCTCCATTCGCCTACCATATCGCGATGATGACGTGTTGGCGTAGCGGGGACTGGGCCGCCGCATTGCGAACTTTGGAACTCATGACTGGCATCATGTCTGAGGAATTCCAGGTGAGCGGTGGAAGAGAGGCTCCCAAGGTTCAAGAAAGGTCTAGCAGTCGCAGCATGTATGCGGATGTTCAGACCATGTCCTACCTCCTTCGTACTGCCCTCTCCACGAACGATTACGGGAATATGCGACAGGCATTGTGGTTAGTGGAGTATGTGGGTGTAACCGAGCTCCTCGTCGTGGGGAAAGCGCCGTACTACAAGTCAAAGTTCGCGGTAGCTCTATTGGATATTCTCAATCATCTTCAAAAGTCCGGAGACGAGGAAGATTCACAGCTTCAGCGCTGGATATCATGGAGGAGCCAAGCACGAGAAGTTGCACGAGCGGCTAAGAGCAGTCCAATACCTGAACAAGAAGGGCAGATTTTGGGGAGTGATCGGGCAGTAGCCGCTACTGATAACTTTATTGCCTTCGAGATGGCGTCTAGAAATAGCAAGGCTCGCAAATGATGCAACATTCCATGGCGCGCACTTGAGGGGCGCTAATGAGAGGTATATTGCACGACAAGACAAATGTAGTCCTGCCAGCTGGAAAGTATGTTATATACAGAGGAAGGAAAGTAACTCGACGATGTGCAATGCATGCCACAAAGTGTTACGAATATTACTACTAAACTCGAGTCCGAATGTCCAATGCTGCGCCAAAGGCCCCACAGCATATACATGAAGCAAATGGGATCAATGAGATGAGTACAGTAGGAAATTTACCATTTTCCGCATTACGCAACAGATCTGGGTCTCAAATTGTCACCTTTGAAAGCAGGTGAAGGTGGAACGAAAAGCGTGTCCTCCGTAAGTGCCATCGAGACCGGTTGGTACGTATGCGAAGGCTCTTGGGGTGCGTCTGAAAACCTGTTCGTGGGATTCATTGGCATAGGGCTCAACCTTCCGGGCTGCTTTCTCGCTCTGCTAGTCTTCCCTCGTCTCCTGCACAGGAGGACCATTCCAAGGATAGCCAGCACAATAAGTACAAGAGCGTTGAGAGCCATTACACCCAGCATGGCGGGGAGGTACTTTGATAATTTGTCGACCGTATCCGCAACATCTGACATGCTCACGGATGTAGAACTTGAGGAACTGCCAGAGTCCGATGCGTTGTAAGTGATGTTGGTGTTGGGTGTGCCTCCGCGAGCAGCGTGAAATTCGACAGACGCCTGATCAGGGTCGACGAGTGATAGCATCTGGACGTAAGGGTTGCCCGTTTGACCTGAAGAATCGAAGTCGCCAAAGTCGTACAAGGCATAAACTGAGCGGAGGAAGTTGTCACCAAGGAGCCAATCGCTAGAATACGCAATCAACGGGTGAGGGGCTTATATACAACAGAGGAACGTACAATTGACCAGCACCGACTGAAACGCTCTGAGGGACAAAAGAGCCCACACAAGTCGAAGGATCAGAGAGACTGGCGGGAGAGACGTCGAGGGGATGGATAGGGTAGATTTGGTTGCTATCATGGTTTGTTGATATGTGAGTAAGGTTAAGGCGCTAGTGTGACATATGCACTCACTTAAATTGGAGTGCCATGTCAATTTCAGCGTCACAAGGGACGACCCACTGGCCTAGACCAGAATTATACTGCGCCCCGGAAATATTTCCGTAGATTGCTTGACACACTTCAGTGGGAGCGTAACTTTAGATTATCAGATTATCAGATAACTCGGTATGTTTTAGTTTGATGTATGAACAACGCACGTGTAAGATGTGCCACTATCCAACAGGACGACGGCTTGATTAGAAGGAGCGCCCTTCACGCCTGTTGAGACCGAGTATGTCTGTGTTCCGACGATGAAAGAATCCAACAGAACATTCCAACGTGACGGTGAAGTGACAGGCCAAGTTGATAACTTGTTGGCACTGGTGACGTTGGCGTACTGTGCTTCAGTCTCGCCTATAATCCAAAATGAGCAATGTATCTAGTGTAAGATGCGAAGGTTTTTCACCGATTGAGAATACGCCAGGAATATTATCTGCAGAATCAACTGAACTTTGAAGTGAAAACGCGATATAATTGGGCTCTTGTGGGTTGTCCTGGAAGAGATTGTGGAGCAAGCTTCTGCCTGTTGATGCACCCGTGGAGTTGACAAGTGCGTCTACAGTTGAGAGAGAATCGAAACCCAGGCCAAGAATACCGACTGCATTATAAGAGAGAGCAGGATTTTGAGCTGATGAGACATCAAGAAATGCTTGATTTGGGACAGATATCCTGCTCTCAAGCGTTAGAGTTAGTCATGAAAAGTCGACAACAGGACTTTACCCTGCAAACTCGACTGGGGCATAAGCAACGTTGCCGTATGCCCAACCTATTCCGTACTTTTCGGGAAAACATTGAGCCAAATGACAAGACCTTAGCGTAAGGAAAGTATACACACAGTTACATTATATGTTTGTGACTGTTGGAATCTTAATGAACAGGAGCAGATGAAGTGGTAGAAAAATACGAACGGTATCATTGGCGTTGGGTAGAGGCGTGGATGGACCTTGGATCCACAGGTCGGACGAGCCGGTATCAAGTTGAACGGGGTAAGCTAAAAAGAAAATGTTGGTCGCTGTCCTGCAATGACGACCTCGAATGCCTGGGAACTCACCAATGCCCCCAAGAGTAACCTAAGTAATGGTTGATTAGTACTTTTCCCAGCCTTCGAAGATGGCAGGATACTCACGTTTGCGATGTAAATCAAGTCATGGACATCACTGCCAGAGAATGGTAAACGACGTTCGACGGGAAGAGATAAGCACTGACCTTAAAGAAAGAGTAGAGTTTGTGCTTGACGACGCAGCTGCGAGAGTGGCAGGTCGAGAGACTGGTGCGCTCCCACTTCTTCGTTGCAAAGATGAGCGCTTGGCTTGCTGAACGGGAAATTTAAGAGCATTTGAAGCGACGGTGCTGATCAGCAAAGACAGCACTAGTTCGAAAGGGTGAAGTTTCATAGTACAAAGACGGCAGGTGAAACAATAAAATGCCGTGCAGTGGATACTAAAAGGAGTGACTTGTGTGTGGAAGGAAAGAAAGAAAGAGTGATAAGGCCGGCAAGGTATAGGTCGGCGCTGAGCAGCAGGCCTTGGTGCTGGCTGGTCGTCCTTCGTATGATGGGTATTTTTCGAACGTGTGAACTTCATTTACGAGTAATATTATATTACATGCGCAGCAAGGTGCCAAGCAGTGGACTCCAACCTCATTTATCATTTATCACTGGCACTGACACGCCTTATGATCCTGATAATCCTGAAATTACAGCCTCCAGCATTAGTGTCTATACATACACAAGGAGCTATTGTGCAAAACCGCATTAATATTACGCTGTCACGTACCGGAATGGCTACTGTAATATTCTTCCCTCACGTGTCGATCACGTTTTCCCCGCACTTTATGCCCGTTACGTCTATGGTCCGCTCCTTAAAAGTACAACCCGAACTTGCTCTTTCCTCTTCTTTCCCACTAACGACCTCGTCGACCACCGCAACATGGCTCCTCCTGCTGCCCGTAGCACCATTCTTCGTCTCATGAATGCTTCCCAGCATTCTGCCTGTCCATGTCACGGCTGCAGATCTGCTGCTCATGCTCATGCTCATACCCATGGTGCAGTAAATCAACTCAGAAGATTTGCAACTCCCGTGGACTTGGTGGAGAAAGAATATGCCTTCGAGGTAAACACACATACTAGACCCTATTGGTATCACGTAGCTGAGCTGAGAGTTCTCTGCCGTCATAATAGGTTGCAGCATCCAATCTGAGATTTGGAGATGGTGTTACCAGAGAAGTTGGTATGGACCTTAAGAATATGAAAGCTCGAAAGGTGAGATAGTCATTCGTACATCGTATTATCTGCTCTCACCACATCCTTCTAGGTCGGAGTCTTCACAGACCCTATCGTGGCCAAATTGAAGCCAATGAAAACCGTGAGATCACAATTCAACATCCGTTCAACGGAGAGAGGACTTAAATATGCTGTCAAAGGCCCTAGAGTCTTTACAGTCACAAGAAGACCTTCCCTTCGAAGTATATGATCAAGTGGTTGCCGAGCCAACTGAAGACAGTTGGAGGAATGCAATTGCATGGGCAAGACAGCATGATTTCAGTCATTTCTTGGCGTATGTTCTTGCTCTTCAGTTATAGCACGTGTTAATGTTAATCCTCTGCATCTAGTGTCGGAGGTGGAAGTGTCATTGACACTGCAAAGGCAGCTAATCTGTACGTCCCCTGACCCGTTGATCGTCATGTACTGTAATTTTGAACTACTTTATCAGGTTTACCGTATACAAGGACGCGGACCTTATGGACTTCGTGAATGCACCTGTTGGAAAGGGTCTACCTATTTCCCAGACTCTCAGACCACTTATCGCAGGTATGCATCACTATTGTGGTCGAAATCATACACTGACCTCCATGATTTCCTAGTTCCAACTACGGCTGGTACAGGTTCTGAAACAACCGGAGCCGCCATTTTGGACATAACCTCACGTTCCTTTAAAACTGGCATCGCTAATCGAGCGTTGAAACCAGTCTTAGGTGTTGTTGATGTCCAGAATACAGAGAGCTGCCCTACAGCTGTTCATATCAGTGCTGGTTTGGATGTACTTTTCCATAGCATGGAAAGTTACACAGCAATTCCGTGAGTTGATCAGTTCCGCCTTTGCGTGTTCCTTGTTTAATGAATCGCTATTCGTCAGATACCTCGAACGTACACCACGCCCCGCGAATCCCATTCTACGACCTGCGTATCAAGGCAGCAATCCTGTTGCAGACATCTTCTCTACGTGGGCACTTCGCACCACCGTGAAGTACCTTCCTCGAATTGCGAAGAACAGCGATGATCACGAAGCCAGAAGTCAAATGCTGTACGTAGCCTTTTGTCATCGAAAGGGGCTCGGTCCTGATAACATTCAAACAGGTTGGCTGCTTCCTTCGCCGGCATCGGTTTCGGTAATGCCGGTGTGCATTTGTGTCATGGTATGAGTTACCCAGTAAGTCGATTTAATCCTAGGCCCAGTTAACTTCACGACTGAATGACTTGTGTATAGATATCTGGTTTGAACAAGAAGGGTCCAAAGTACAGACATCCTGGATACATGATTGACGCGCCTATCATTCCTCATGGTGTTAGGTGAGAACAGCCACAACAAACAGTCCCACCGATACTGACTATCCTCTTCTTCTCAACTAGTGTCGCTCTGACTGGCCCCGCAGTATTCCAGTTCACCGCCCCGTCCTCTCCTGACCGCCACCGAGAAGCTCTGGCAATATTCAACTCAACGACCGTCACAGATCCATCTATAACGAGCATTCCAGATTCGGAGATTGGTGCACATCTCTATGAATCAATCGCACGTTTCCTCGATGGCCTTGGTGTCCCTCGTGGGCTCAAAGCTGTGGGATACACCAGCAACGATGTGTCGATGCTTGTTGAGGGTACGATACCCCAGCGGCGCGTGCTCGATCTTGCGCCCAACATTGGTAACGTCGTGGGCGAAGACGGGCGAGAGCATTTGACGCGTATCATCGAGAATTCACTGGAGTATTAAGGAGTAGTCTTATATCTGAGTTATGGTCATCTTACATCCAGGGATCTTTCATGTGTAACTATTACAATACATATTCGGGTAGCTTTGCAATTCCTCATGAAATCACGCCAATCTGAACAAGTTAATAAGTATGCACAGATCTGGATGCGCTTGAGATCTCCTTTTTCTGGTCTTGCGGCTTCCGCCGAAAATGTCTGCTCCTCGCAGTGTCTTCCGCCCGTGCATTGATCTGCATGATGGACAAGTGAAACAGATCGTTGGAGGAACTCTGTCGGATAGTGACCCAAGCAATCTCAAAGTCAACTTTGTCGCCAGGTGAGTAGACGTCCTATGGATGACCGATAGATGTGACCTGAGGTTTGTGCTAGCCAATCGCCAGGGGATTTTGCGCGATTGTACAAGGAACATGATCTCAAAGGTGGACATGTCATCAAGCTGGGACCGAGGAACGATGCAGCTGCGAAGGAGGCACTAGCAGCTTGGCCAGGTCGGTACACCGGTGGGAGTGTCCCATGTTATGTTCATACTAAGCTGCGTACAGGAGGCCTTCAGATAGGTGGCGGAATAAACGATCAAAATGCTCAAGAATGGTTAGATGCGGGGGCTAGTAAGGTATTGATTTTCTCTGATTGCTGAAGCACTTTGTTAAGTCATTCAACTTGTAGGTCATAGTCACTTCGTATCTCTTTCCGGGAGCGAAATTTTCTCTCGAACGTCTGCAAATGTTGTGCTCTGCGATTGGAAAGGACAGACTCGTTGTGGATATAAGGTCGGTGTTTTATATTCGAGAGATTAAGGAGGGTATATTGACTGTTTTTAGTTGTCGTCGCAAGGGTGATAAATGGTTGGTAGCTATGAATAAATGGCAAGACATCACGGATATGGAAGTGTGCAAAGGTTCTGAATAGTTGATTCGCGTGTAACTCACGAGGAGTTGATTGCGTATTTATTTCTGTTCTTAGAATCTCTAGATCTGTTATCTGCATACTGCAGGTGAGCCCGACATCTTGACTGATGCTTACAAGGTCATTCTTACGACGTAATTATGACAGTGAATTTCTAGTTCATGCAGCTGACGTGGAAGGTCTATGTCAAGGGATTGATGAGGATCTTGTTCGGAGTAAGCGTCTGCTATGCTTGCTATGTTTAGCTCGCTCAATTTTGGGCAGAGCTAGGAGAATGGGTGAACATACCGACGACATATGCTGGCGGCGCCAAAGGTAACACGATGTATTGATATCACAGCCTGAATTAGTAGCTTATATTATTGTTCCAAGATATCTCTGACTTGGACCTCGTCGAAAAGCTTTCTGTCGGGCGTGTAGACTTGACGTACGGAAGGTATGTTCTTTTTCACTCGCTGCTTGATGTAGATCAATGAATTGGAACATTTCTTTACAGTTCGCTAGACATCTTTGGAGGTACTCTTGTAAAGTTTAGAGACCTTATTGGAAGAAATACTTGACTTGTATCGTTATATAATAAAGGATGTAAGATACGGTGTATATGTGGTCGCAATCCGGGCGATGATACGATAAGATAAGATAAGAAATTGGTGATGGTGAAGCGTGAGAACTGTGGCTCATAAACTACATAGTACCGTATTGCGTAAGCTAGAGGATACTGGCAGTGACCGCGAAGAATCCGTACGACACGCCCCTCAAGGTGAATATTTTGCTGCTCGATTATTTTGATTCTATGTAAACGATGGAATCCGTCTTGGAAACCATTTGTACCCCCTTTTTCCGCGTCTTTCTGGCTTTCATGTCGCAATGAAACTGATAGTTTTGTGAATCAATAGACACACAGTCAAAATGCCCGGAAAAGTCAAGGCCTACGAGCTCCAATCCAAGTACGTTTCATGATTAGATTCCCAGCTGAGCAGGTGTTGATAATGTGATTATCAGGTCGAAAAATGACTTGTCCAAGCAACTCGTTGATTTGAAGCACGAACTTTTGACTCTGCGGGTACAAAAGATTGCTGGTGGATCTGCCTCGAAGCTCACCAAGATGTATGTTTCTAAATTCCCAATACAGGCAATTCAGTTTCCTAACATTCGCGTAGCAATGTTGTCCGTAAATCAATCGCACGGGTTATGACCGTTATGAACCAAAAAGCTCGCCAAAATCTGCGAGAGTTCTACAAGGGCAAGAAGCACTTGCCTCTTGATCTCCGGCCGAAGAAGACTCGGGCTATCAGACGGCAGTTGACAAAGGTGGCGCATTCAAGCACGTAGTTGATGTTGCATAGGTCTCACTGATGGGTCTATTTTACAGCGCGAAGCATCGCTGAAGACTCTCAAACAGCGCAAGAAGGATATCCACTTCCCCATCCGAAAATACGCTGTGAAGGCATGAGGTCGCTAGTGTCGGTGTTGACCAGGGACGAGAGGGATTATTATGCTCGAGATTTTCTTTTTTTGTTACACTCATATTTTGTATGCCCATACGCCTTGATCAACCTGACATGCAAGTTTATGCCTTTACTATCCCCGGTTTCCATTCGCTGGTCATCAATACTGGTGGTCTCGGCCTGGCCTGATCTAAGCTCCATAATACTGTAACGCATTACCGCTATAGCCGTCAGCTGTTGCATCCGTTCCCTAACGAGTTGTGGCAAATTTCTGATGTGAGCCACCGGCACATGGACAACTGAGACCATGCGGTCGCACTCCGAACAGCGTCATACGCTTTCGAGCCTGGCTTGCTCTAAACGCTGGAGGGAATTTAGAGGGCTTTCCATTATTTACTCTCTTCGCCTTCCTTCCAGCTTTTTCTCGTATTTTTTGTCGTTTGCCAGGTCTCGCGTTCGACGTGTGGAACATTTCCGGGGAAAACGTTGGAAATCCACGGTGGTGAGGATTCTTGCATTTATTATGTCTCACGACGCTGTGAATAGATACTGAAGCGCTCATTGCCTGTTTGGCTGCCAGGAATACCACGTTCATCACATTTATCGAATCATAAGATCCAATATTGGTCTAGCAATCAGTACTACTGTGACGGTGCCAGGTAGAGATCAAATCAGTGCGCTTACGACATCACTTCTTTACGAATTATCATGGTTAGTCCAATTTCCGTGCATCTTCTTATCTATCTTTTGCAAAGTTATGAGCAAACGGGAGCAATGGCCTATTTGCCTTCCAAGTGTCTCTGCAATCGCCGAACACGTGTGGTTGAAGAAGCACTTTCGGCAGTAGCTGAGGTCACACAACTCCATAGTCTCGTGTTGGTTGCCTTCGTCTGCTTAGTTGGTTTAGACCGCCATGTCTCCCAGCTCCCGTCCTGGCTCTCGTCTCAGGAAACAAAGTGTTACTAGTACTGACCATGATTCTCAGCCGATTACATCACGTTCACCCCCCGCATCGCCTCGAGCCCCTCGCCCTAGAGAGCCTTACCCAGTTCCCAGCAATAATCCTGCAAGCCAGTACACATTGTTGGAGAAACTGGGTACAGGCAGTTTCGGTGTAGTCTACAAGGCTATGCACAATGAGACAAAGCAGATCGTTGCTATCAAACAAATCGGTGAGTAACCATGAGTTTTCGGAGGTCGGTGGATATTAGTGTCGGTGGCTCATTGCCTTCCAATTGTCTCAGATTTGGAAGATTCTGATGACGATATCTCCGAAATCCAGCAAGAAATAGCTAGCCTTGCTCAATGCGATTCCGAATACGTCACCCGGTACTACGGCTCATTCGTCGTCGCATACAAGCTATGGATTATTATGGAGTACCTCGCAGGAGGTTCATGCCTTGACCTCCTGAAACCTGGAGTGTTTTCAGAGGCACACATCGCTGTTATTTGTCGCGAACTTCTCCTGGGTCTCGACTACTTACATACTGAAGGCACCATCCACCGTGATATCAAAGCTGCCAATGTTCTTCTTTCTGCAAACGGAAAAGTGAAGCTAGCGGATTTCGGTGTAGCGGCCCAACTAACAAGTACACTGAGGCATACATTCGTTGGTACCCCTTTTTGGATGGCCCCTGAAGTTATTCGTCAGGCGGGGTACGATGCGAAAGCCGATATGTGGAGTTTGGGTATCACTGCGATTGAAATGGCTAATGGAGAGCCACCGTTAGCCGAATATCATCCTATGCGAGTGCTGTTTTTGATACCAAAGGCAAAGCCACCGGTTTTGGAAGGCGCGTTCTCTCCAGCATTCAAAGAATTTGTTTCGCTGTGTCTTACTAAGGATCCCGATGCTGTGAGTGAAGATATGTATGATGCTCTGATGTATATTTTTGATCGTTTATCAATTTCAGCGTCCTACGGCCAAGGAGCTTTTGCAGCACAAGTTTATCAAATCCGCAAAGAAAACGCCGTATCTTACTGAGCTCATTGAGCGTTATCAAGATCACTGTACACGTTCACCACAAAAGGGACAACAAATGTATCAACAAACGGTGAGGAATAGTGTGATGTGGGAGAATAATGGGACGATAAGGAGTGACTGGAATTTCGACACGATAAAAACGTCGTCAGTGATGGGCACGTTCCGCAGTGTGGCCAGAGACCTCATGCCAGAGATGGACGATGAAGAATATATGGATGACGCACCTTCGTTATACGCAGATGAAGAGGGGTCTATTGATACTGGCGTTGCTGTAGCCGGGAGTGATCCCCTCCCTGGTCCAGCCGGGATAGGGATGAATTTGCAAGCAGCGCACTCCACGATGATTATAAAATCACCTTTACCGGTCGCTGAGGAGCAGGATATACCCACGTTATTGGCAGAAGCTCGCCACTCGCCAGAGGGATCCTCAGAACATGAGGCGGAGGACGATCGTGCCGAAGATGGGATACCTCTAGGCGCACCGCCTGCCTACACTGGGTCTGTGCGGTCGACGAGACGCTCTTCGTACGCCGCCAGACACAATCTAAGTGGCACCGGGACAATCATGCGCGAGGCGGATCTCGGGACGGGGGTGGATACAATCCGCCCTGTAAAGAAGGTTGATACCGTTGGATCACTCAGGTTATCTGCTGACTATGTGGGGAGTGCTCGAAGTAGAGAGAGCAACTCATCGTTGCCCAGTTCGCCGTCGAAAGACAAGGGATCTCGCAAGTCAAGAACAAGTGAGTCGGAAAGAGCGGGGAGGTCCATCGTCGATGACGTTGTCCTTCCGATTTTACACAATGTGAGTTTCTCTATTGTAAGGATATGTGTGCCGTTCCTGACTATGAACAGGCTATACGGGATGATATGGACGCCAGAGAAATAGAGTCACTGAGCATGCTTACGCGTGGCTTTATTGACCTGAAAGAAGCCAATCCAACGTTGACGTATAATGTGATACTAGATATATTGTCAGGTATCAACGAGTAAGTCCTCTGCTTACTTCTCCACCATACGCTAAAAACTCATTACTCTTACAGAAATGCCGCCGTTCGTCAGCATGTTAATACGTCACGCGGATTGTTCCCTCATAAGCGCGTCATACGCAAGAGTGAGATGACAGCAAAGGGACTGATTGTCACGGAGGTTCAGGAGGAGATTTCAGGTCTTCCGCTCGACTCGAGTGCATCGGCTTCTGGGCATTCTAACAAGACTGAGGAGACAAACTTGCCCATGCGTAAATCGCCTATTGCCGAACTTCTATACATGCGGTGGCTGGAAGGGCTCAAGATCAAGTGGCCCAGTATCTTGTCATCATAGTGGGTGCGATTTTCTAGATTTCGCTGCCAGGACATCTACCCTCCCATGGAGCTGGTATTTATGTTACCACATTTCCTTCATCTTACCCAGATTCCTTCGCTATTTCTTGTGCTCCATTTATAATCGACTTGTTGTCGCTGCAATTTGTGCCAGGTGTCATATTTAATCGCTTCTCGTGTCTTTCTTTTGGACATATATGTGCCTGTCTTTCTCCGGTCACTGGGTATTCTATCACACCAACGATGTTTTTCTTTCACAAATTTTGTTTTAACTTACGCCCCCTCATGATCATCAAGACGACTTTGTTTCACTTGTAGTCATAGTTAGAAGTATATGTAAATACTTCTTAGTTCGATATGTGCCCACTGGGTACAAAGCCCTGTGTGTGGGTTTTTTAAGGAAAACATTGGGAAAACATATGAAAAGTACTTGAAAAGCCTTTCAAAACACATTTTCAGCGGCTGTTCCAGAGCCAATTTGAACATCGTTATTTGCACCGTACTGTAGTTGTTTACATTCTCTTGTGGTACAGTTAATAATTCTTACATGCAGACTGGCTGCAAACATGGAAAACATCGTGACATCCTAATATCCGCGTAATTCTTACACGCCTTGGAGCATTGCTCCCAAAGGCTTTCGATCCATCTGCTGCCACCCGTACACGGGCGATCAGAATAGGAAAGTCTTGCTATCAGCTGTGGGTGATGGAGCAAACCATTGCTTTCCAATGCTGCTGCTGTTGCTGCTGTTGCTGGGAATATCTGGCAGGGATCCAGGCATCGTAGAAGGTTCACGATCCTGCATGTCGACAACTCTTGCCTTGATGCTGGATCTAGGGGGAGGTACAGGGAGAGTGGTAGAGGTGGAGGCGGAGATGATCTCAGGAGCTCGAACTGCACTTGCACGTTCCTTAGCCTTCTGCAGGAATTCTGAAAGGGTGTCCTCGCGCGGCAAAGTACTATCGCGAGACACCCGTTTCTGGAGAACGTGAGGGGGCTGAGGGAGAGGTAGGGGTAGGGGTAGAGCAGAAGCTGTAGAGGCCGTAGAAGCCATAGAGGCCGTAGCAGAATATGCACCCGCTGTCGCCATGTTTCTCCTCATTCTCCTGATGTCCTCCGCTTGTTTATCCAACCTCGACCTCATGGTCTGATCTTCTGTGTTTATAACACTAAGCTGTTGGTTAAAGTTTTTCCAGTCTTGCCAATGAATTGGAGTGTCAAGCTTCCGGTCAGTGCCAGATGAAATACTGGGAAGGGCACGGGCACGGGCGCTGGACGGCTTCTTCTTCAGTTCCTTGCGCAGGGAAGCAATCTGTTGCAGGAGCAGAGAGGCGAAGTCGGGTTTCTCGTCATTGTCGCTGGTGAGAAGAACGAGAGTGGCAACGCTTTGAAAGATAGGGTGCATCAGACGTTGTGCACGTTGAGCTAGAAATAATGAAAACTTACAAAGCTTCTTTGAGATACGCATAACTGAACTGATCGGTGGATGCGGCTGCTTCCTCTACAAGGGTATCTGGGAACGATACCCTCTTGTTGGCTTTGAGTTTGTTTTGCCAAAATTTGGCGTAAAGGACACGCTCTTCGAGATCAGGGTCGTCGAATAAACTGTGAACGAAAAACCAGTCAAGTCCAAACTACCAGTGGGATAAAGAATATCTAAACTGACTACTTGCGGTCAAACCTGCTCGGCCTCGTGGAAAGCGCAGGATCGAGTCGGTCGAAGTGATTAGTAGATCCAATGACAAGCAGACCATCATTGCCCTCGAGTCCATCAATCTGATTAAGGAAGAAGGAGCGGTTACGATCATTGATGAGACTGTCAAGGTCTTCTAAAATTAGTACACAGGGTGCCGTCTGGCGAGCCTTCTCAAAAACGTCTTGCATGGCACCTTCTTCGCCTTTATAACCTGTTTGGGTATAAGTTACATTTATCTAAGGGCAAAGTAAACGACTTGCTTTGGAACGATTTGACGTAGAGAGGAGTGAGGCCTCGCTCTGCACACGTTTTGATGATAGCTTTGATACTGATAGTCTTGCCGTTCCCCGGAGGACCGTACATAATCAAGCCACGCTATTGAATGTATAAGCTATATCATCAAGGCTATTAAAAGGGGAATTCACCTTCCATGGGATCGAAAGTTCCTTATAAATCTCTTCGGCTTCAAAGAAGCTGTAGATATCCTTCTGTAGAGCCTTTTTGAACTCCTCTTTGAGAACAACATCGTCCCAGCTTGACTTCTGGACCTCGGACCATAAACTACTGTTTTTGGACCAAAATCCTTGGTTGAAAACCCAGACTTCATTATGCAGCTGATTTTGCCACAGTCCAGCCTGAAGTAACAATTCTTCCGCAGGCCCTTTTGGACCATCATGAAGCACAAAGTGTTGAGTCCTGACAGACATGCCAATGGCGAACTAAATGAGTTATTAGCATTTCCAAGCCTACGTATATAGTCGGCTCACGAACGTACCCTAACGATGTAAACGACGAATTTGTAGTCCTGATAAGCGGTTAGTATCAGAAATACGAGATAATAGTGAGAATATCAAATACCTTCCAAGTCAAATCAAATGCACCGAACACCACGGATTGAGAGAGTACGCCCTTGATGTCTCCCAGGCGACGGGCAAGAGGCATGAAGATTACATTCGTGATAGATTCAGGCGTAGGAAGTGCTTGTATTTGAGCAGCTGGGAAATCGAGAAGGGACAGTCTGTAGTCTTCAGACATGACCAACGAGTGCTTGGGGTAAAGTTTACGAAGTGCATGGGCGCTAAAACAGAATGGCATGAGGAAGCCACACAAAGTACGACTTTGAGAATGAACACTGACCCAAAGAGCTCAGGGGTGCTGTGTTTAGCTGAGGCTGCATGAATAAAAGATAAATGGGAATTAGCAGAGAGCCACCCGTAAGATCAGTCGCATACCTTGGTCAACCCATTCGTCATAGAAACCCTTCTGTTCCTTTCGTGCTTCTGCAGGTGCTTCTGGCTGGTCCCCGAACCATACGTTGACGAAATTGGTGTCATCTTCAGGAATAACAGGAGGCATGGTTGTGGTGTTGAGCAGGTATTGCGGTCGTGTGAGAAGAAAGAAATGAAGGTTGTATGCTGGACCGCAGTGCTTTGATATACTTATGGCCGCCGAGAGTGCGACAGTCACGGTACAATTGCGATAGGCGCTCCAAGGTAGACGCCCTAATTAGGAACTGCTATCCCTGCTTGCCTTATTTGGAAAGTCACGCAGACGCTGTCCCTTCTCACTGCGATCCCTCAAGCCCGTTTCTTTCACTTTTGCTTTACTACCATCTGCAGTCGACGAAACATATAACTGCCATTGAACATCATTCTAAGAAAGAGCACTTTACAACAGAACTTGTCTGAGCACAGGTCCATCAAATGGCAGCGACAGCAGCGGACATTCGTAGCGCCCTATCTCTCCCAACAAACTCGGCCGCTGGCCCCTCTCAGCCCCAACCTCGCAAATCAAACTCGACGAACAAGAAACCTGAGGGAATATCCAGGGAACTCTATGCTCTCATCGGCCCATCTGCACCATCCCTTGCTGCTCAGCTCGCGAAACCACGGCTGAAACAAAAGCCGAATCTTGGCGGTGGAGGAAAAGTAAAGTGGTAAGTGGTCATTCGTCCTCGGTTAAGCGTGCATCTTGATATCACTTTCATAGGGAATGGCGATCATTCAAAAATGGTGCTCGGAGCGATTCGTTGCAACTCGGTCATTGGGTAAAGGCTACAACTGACCCTTCAGCCGGTAAGTCACTATCCCCTTTGCTTCAGTAACTTCACTGAATCTGTCCCAGAATATCCTTTCGAAAAGTACAACGTAAAATCAACGATATATACTTATTCTCAAGACGAATACACCCGCTTTCTAGACGGTATGGAGGCGTTAGCATGTCATTTATGGTGCACTCACAAATTCTCTCCACGACTTAAAGACAAGGAATGGACAAAAGAAGAGACTGATTATCTATTCGAACTGGTTCGGGACTACGATATGCGATGGTATATCATCTATGACCGGTACGAGTATCCAGACGGGACGCCGCGCTCCATGGAAGTATGTATCCCTCCTTATGCAGCACTATATAGCCCTTACCATGCTTTAGGACTTGAAAGATCGATATTATAGTGTCTGTCGAAAGCTAATCAGGAACAGACCATGGGCAGGCGATGAAACCAGTAAAATCCAGCTAATCTCAAGCTTTCAATTCGATAAAGGTGAAATCTATTGTTTAATATCATACACAACTACCATATTCGAGAACTAGATCGAGAAACTACCCGCAAAAAATATGTCGCAAGTCTCGAGAATCGTACTCAGGACGAAATCGCCGAAGAAGAAGCTCTATTCATCGAACTCAAGCGCTTGGAGCAAAGTGAGCGCCGGTTTAAGAAAGAAAGAGAGGAGCTTTTGCGCACTTTGGCGGGTATAGACTCTGGGCTGCCAGATGTCATACCGGATGAAGATGGACCTGCAAGCTTGACACTGGAGGTCAAGAAGAAAAAGAAGGGTGCAGCTGCAGACCTCGAGACGCCAACGACGCCTTCAAATATCATATCGCTTGGACCACCTGTACCCAAAAGAGCGCAGTCTGTCAAATCGGCGGCACAGGGTACGTCTTGTATTGAATTGGTTTTTCTACCCTCTAAGACAATTTTTCAGATGCACACCATTGCATTGTTCGTACCGACCCACCGCCAGCCACCACACCAGCTACTAAGGCTGCTCACACCCCCGTCCACCTCCGCTCTTTCAAACTACCTGCGCCTAAAGCTGCAATTGCTCCAAAAGTTGCGCAGCTGCTTACCGAGCTTTCCATAACGCATACACGTCTTGTCATGCCCACACGCGACAACTGTGCACAGCTGGAGTCGCTCATCGAAGCTGCCAGTGCGCTCATCGACACCAAGAAAGTTGTGGATAAAACGGAGCAGGATATCAGAGTCCTGAAGGTACGGCTGGGAAGCAGGGCAAGCGAGGGAGCGGATACCGGTGTAGGAACACCAATGGACGCTGAAGGGGAAACTGAAGGTGGCGACGCTGAGGGAGAAGATGGGCGAGCTCAGAGTGTGGTCAGCACCAAAAGCGGAAGAGGGAGGAAACAGGTAAGTTGTTCGTGCACTTATTTCTATATCGAGTTTCTTAAACCAAATGTGCCTCAGTCTCGCCGTTCAGTGTCAATATCCTCTATCGATACCTCTGGCTCTGTTTCCGCGAGAGCAGGACCGAAGCGACAGAAACGTATTTGAATCCTGTATTTCTAATTTCCTTTGTAGCAATATAAATTACCTGGAAAATGAGATCATGATGCATATATCGAAAGCACGAAATCGTATTCTGGCATTAGTGTTTCGCAGAGTCATTATAACGGGCCATAATACATTTGAAAGCAGATGAGTAACATCCATGAGCGTCGACATAGAGTTGTGCTGTAGATGGTTCCAGAAAGATAGGTTGTTAGATTCCAAGCATGAAACATGTCCAATCTCTAAGACTCTGTGAATCTCAACACGAAGTTGACGATTATAGCGACTATCATCACGACGAATCAGATAATGATAACGGTCCAATTATGTGTGAACTTACTGAGTAGTGCAGTACAGAGAAGAGTCTGTGCCAAAAATAAATATCAACGACCGCACTCGTTGCTAACCAACCGACAAGATGTTTACTTACGGGTCCAACACGATCATCGTAAGGTCCTCTTCCGCCTCTGCGAATTGACGCCGCGCGCCAGTGATATGTGTACAGGGCATATAGCATAACGGCCATGGCTAGAATTAGTTCCCGTATCAACGATCTGCGACTGCCACGGACGGCAGATCACTCACCAACAAGAGAAAACATAGCAGCACTAATTTTTCCCACCTGCCCACAGACATGAATAGAAAACAAAGAGACACGAAAAAGGTTCCATACCCTATCTCCAAAGTTTAACAACCCCACAGCCAGTCCTCCGAGAACGACGGTGAAGTGCAGCCATGACAAAAATGTCCGCTCGTTAGCAAAAGAAACCTTGGGTTCTACTCTGACGGGCAGAGCAATGCGCTTCGACGCTGTGCGTTGCAAGAGAGGTTGCGTGGACATGATGGGGAAAAAAGAGCGGGCTGATATGATAAATGCTCTTTTTTCTGAAGGCCTTTGGAGAGAGGAAGTCAGTGAGCAAATGCTCGTGATCGTCAAGGTCTGAATAGGAGCCGAATTCCAATTGACTTCCTGACCAGACTCGACCCAAATAAAGTCACAAACGTGCGTGACGCCCGTGTGACCTCCGACGCCCTTCCGATTATGTCCCGGATGCCGTCCGAGTTCCGTCAGGCCAACTACTTCCGATCGCCGCGAATATCAGTACAATTTTCTATGTAGTACTATGCACATAACAATCCACCTGTATTGGACGTGATACAACTAAGTATGTAACATTTAGAGGTCTGTAATCCATTATCTTTATCATGATCAGCAATGAAGAACCAACATTGCATAAGAAAAATAAACGCTGTCTTCCCTCCATGCCTCCCCCTTTTTTCCATAGTGTTTATCCATCTCACGACACTCCTGGCTCCATTTGACTACAGAGCTATCGAAGTCGGCGCTGTAAAATGGCACTTCCCTCGCACCTTTCAGCCAACTGCGACCGATCACCTGTGTTCTCCCAAGTGCAAAGTCGATGTCGGCTTCCGTAAAGGGATAGACTCGCGCGTCGAATTCATTCTCGAATGGTTCTTGAGCAGTGCGAATGCTCCATTTGGCGCAATATCGCACAACGACTGGTAGAAGGTACACTCTGACATTGGGTTGAGCCCGAGCGCACGCGAGGACCAAGGCGTCCATCCCACCAAGCTCGGTCGTGCCCAGGCAATACTTCCTTTCTAGCAGTATCCCAAAAGGAACCTTCATCCCGGTCGTGATATCATGAACAGTGGTAAAAACCTCGGGCTGCGTCTTTGGCTCCGACACATCCGGGTTCCCTGTGCGAAAAATCTTCAACGCAAGTATAGCGAAGTAACCACACTCGATTGTAGTGACCGAGTGCGGTACATCAGGGTAGAACGCACACCAACTACCCAGGGTAGCGTTCAAGTCCTTGTCAACAACCCTCAGGTGGTGGCCACCAGTTGTATCGCCAAGGCCAAGCAGAAATGTACCAAGCAACTCATTCTGTGGCGTATCCCGATGCATCTTGAAGTGACCGCCGGGACCGTAAACGTGTATTTTGTAGGGTTTGGCGCACACTGGGTAATCAGCTGCGAAGCTTTCCTTCCAGCAGCTTTCAATCAACTGCAGCAACTTTGGCTCGAGGGAGAACTGGGTCGCCGATATTTCACGAGCTTCGCGAACTTCGGGGTCAAACTTAATCTCCTGATCTCGGACATCTCTGTAAGCAGAGACGGAGGCAGATTCATACCACCTTTGTAGCAGCCCTTGGAGGGGCACGCTAAACGTACTGTCCTGGTCACCTGTGTTTACAACGCCTTCATATTCGCAACCAGGGCAAGTAACAGCTAGTTTGAAGGAACAGTTCAGGTGTCCAGAGGAAAAGACGCGTGCGTGCTGACTACAGATCTCTTTCAGGATATTCAACTTCTACAAGCGTAATTAGCACGCAACAAGGCAATGGACCATGTTAATTGGCATAACATACCTTCATAATGACATCGTCTACAACCGTATCTTCTTTGTTACAATTAACCCTCAACCCGTAAGTTATTGAAACCATCATCTTTTCTTCGCGAGTCTTTGTCGGACAATAGCCAATGCACGGAAGCTTATGGTGAGCACGCTTAACAGCATTATTTATATCTATAGCAGATCGTGATGTCGAAATAGGTCTGGCAAGTACAACTTCCTATGAAGCGATACAATCAGAATGTTATAAGCGCGAGGAAACATGAATTCGATAGTAGACCTTACCTTGCGTGAAATCTTGAAACCCGTCGTATCTTGGCCTTGGTTCACTGCTCGCGAAGCGTCAGAAATAGTATCAGATATCACCTCATCGTAATCAGCGGACGAAGAGGTATGGCCACTGCATAATCCAGCTGATTTCATAGCGTCCATTGGTGAACGAATCTCAGCACCAATCTTGTCTAACCTGTCCCCGCATGCTCAACTTATATAGCGGAGAGGTCAAAGTCAAAACGTAACTGAACACATTGCACCGCTGGTTTTGGACAACAATAAAGTGAACATGACTCCAGTGAACGCCTTCTTTGGTTTGCGAATTTTAACAATGACTCGGATTTCCTGCCTGGAGGCATAATACATCGAAGACGAAGACTGTCAGGGTTCGTACCGTTTATATATGAACACGAGGATCGACTCAAACTGACTCGTGTGAGAAAAATTTGATTATTAATAATTTACCTGAATCATATATACCACACCCTGTCGGCCTCAAATATTTTTGGTAGAGAAGGAGAGAATCTAGGCCATCACCGTTCAACATTCAGGTTCAGAGAGTTTACCTGCCCATCATCCTCATTCTATCGGGATGCATGCCGCCCGGACCTGCGTTGATGTCGCCACCAGGCGGAGAACCTCCTGGACCAACTGGAGGAGCAAAGTTACCACCTGGAGGGAACGGTGGACCGCCCGGTAGACCACCGGGAGGGCCGCCATTGGGAGGGAAAGGTGGTGCACCTTTTCATTCATGAGCCTTATGTCACACTTAGACAAGGCGAAGACTTACCACCAGGGAAGCCGCCGGGAGGCCCCATGCCCGGTGGGGGCATTCCATTGGGAGGGAAAGGAGGAGCACCACCAGGGGGTCCCATCATACCAGGTGGAGGGAAGGGACCGGGAGGGAAAGGAGGTCTGGCTGCATAGAGTTAGTCAGTGTGTCTAAGAACGAACGTCGAATTCAAACTCACGTCCTCCAAAACCTGGTGGTGGTCCTCCGAAGCCCATGGGTGGTCCACCGAATTGAGGAGCAGGACCAGTCAAGTGCTGAGGACCGAACCCGAAACCACCTGGAGGTGGACCACCACTCGTTTCATACGCTGCAGTGATTTGGTCGATGATGTTTTGAGCCTTGTCGTGACCCAGCGCTAAATATCTCTATGTAAGGGATAATGCGATATGGTCAGACATTGCAATACTCACAAGCATAATAATCCCGAACGTTCGAGAGGTGATTACGACCACTGTTATGGGCCTTGCGCACTATTTGCATGGATCAAAACCCGTGAATCTTGCACAGAACAAGACCAACATACCTGAGGCAGAGTCGTGAGTTAGAAATACATCACAATAGTCACAATAATGTTTCTATATATTTTGTCAGTCATTAGCACCATGTAGTGCAAGTGTCGTACGCACAGGCATGAAGTCAGCTTGGGTTGGTGGTCGATGTCCAAAGACGCTGGTGGCGGAGCTTGGAATTTCATCGAAGGTAAACTAACCCCTAACCCTAAACACATTGCTTGAGACTGCAATGGATCCCTCATCTACTGGCATCCAAGAGCCCTTTGATTTAATCCGTCTGTCGCTGAGCGAACGTGTCTATGTAAAACTAAGGGGCGACCGTGAGGTAACGGGGATTCTCCATGTAAAGTCTCTTTTCACGACATTATTGACCGCTTGAACCTGACATAGGTGCACAACACTTGCAGGCTTATGATGGGCATATGAATCTGATTTTGAGCGATGTTGAAGAGACAATAATGATCGTTGACGTGGATGCTCCTCTCGAAGAGCGCAGGGCTGTCAAAGTAAGTGTATCATGTTTGACTGGAAAGTGTCACTTATATTGTATTAGATGGCGAAGCGAAAAATGGAAATGTTGTTTGTCAGAGGCGACGGAGTGATTCTGGTAAGTGATTCTGTTTACATGTTTGCTTATTTTGAATTCTTGGTACAGGTTTCCCCACCGTCGCGCACATGAGTAGGATGGTAGAGCAGCAAGGCTTGGGCAGCGAGCAGATTGATGCCATGTGCACTGATCCACATTGCCAATATATATTTTATGGCAGACAGCTCAGCCTATCACATATTGAAACTCTTGGGATTGCAGTTGTGTTTCGATGGTCCGGGGCGAGGTACACTCAAGTGGTTCGTTGAAATCGGACTTAAATTCGTGGCACCAGGCTTACAGATTACATTACGGGCCAGAAAAAATGTGGAGTATTGGTACAGGCCATATCAATAATTAACTTCATTGAAACATCATCGTCCAAAGGTGACTCTCATCTTTTTGGTCTTTGCTTAGTCTGCAATCACCAATCCTGAAGGATACTTTGATGTCAAATTGACACCATCATTCCCAAAGTGCGCTGCTGTAAACGGTATGCCGGTGATAGAAGACTTGAAGTCCAGCAAGCCTGGCATACCGTTGGAGCAGATAGCAGGTGGAAGTGCGTCTCCCGGTATATCATCGTCTGAATCTGGCACCACTGCACCTGCAGGCCATGTATCAGGATCCCTGAGCCACCCAGCATGAATAATTTTGATCTAGAAAAGACACCAGATCAACCTTTCAACTGTGAATTGGCGATAGATAAGAGGACGAACCACGAGAGTCATGGGTAGCCTTCGTTTCAAACGTCCACCAGCAACAAGTCCTTTCCAGACTTTTTCTAAACCCTCTTCCCATATCTCTTCACTGCTCACTGCACCAGGACGGCTCAGCAGCTGTTCGAGTTTCTTACGAGACGCTGAAAGGGGTGTTGGCCGTGGGACTGCAGATGGGGTTAACCATAGCGCTCTGCGGGCAGCGTAATGAGAAGGTCCTGGAGGTGGTAAATCGGTGGTAGACATGGCATATTGGTAAAGTGATACATGGGGAGTACCGTTTGGACATGTCATATTCGTATCGTGAGGAGATAAACGAGTGGCATTTGCATTGGACTTTGATATAGGTCGTGTGATATGGGAAATTGGAGTTGGGCGAGGTAGTGGTGGTAGTGGGAGACAACTATCGTGCTTATTGGCTACTTTGGAGGGTATCATGAACAAGAGATCTGAAAAAAAATACAGTGTGCTCCCGTTATGCGGGCATGCAGGAACGAGGACACAGTATCCATCGCAGTGGCTAAATAAGCGTTGGCTATCGCCGCTGAAAACCAATGATTTGGGTGATCTGTTCCCACGGGTCCAGCCATGCGATATCCGACAAGCGACTGAGAAAGGACAACAAGCCTTGTCCCCAGACCAGGTCCTTTACATTCGACAATCATCATAGGCCTGCTCGCTTCCGGCACCATCCTGCTCGTCGCGTTTCTCGTCGTCGCCAACGATGGTCTACCGCAATCCCTCGCCAGCACCGTCCACGACCTCTATATCAGACAACGAAGACGACGACGTCAACAAGTCAACCTTTTTTCCAGGTTCTGATGTTGTCGTTGTTTCACCTGCCCAGTGGACATCTCGTCTCCGCAATCTTCCAAATGGCAGGAGCACGCTGCATTCACCGATGTCCCATTTACCCCCAGAAATCCTCATACATATCCTAAAGCATCTGCATTCACCCCGAGATCTCTATCACGCTCTCCTCGTTTCTCGCTCCTGGTGCGAGTGCTCTGTTGAGTTGCTGTGGCATAGACCTAGCTTCACCAGGCTGTCTACTCTCGTCAAGATGATGCGTGTACTCAGTCGTGGCGATCAGACCTTCACATATGCGCACTTCATCCGCCGTCTCAACTTCCTTTTCCTAGGCGCGGACCTTACCGACGCCCTATTTTCTCGTCTTGCACAGTGCGACAGACTGGAACGTTTGACGCTTGTGAACTGCGGTTCGATATCAGATGATGCTCTGGCCCGCGTCCTCCCCTGCCTCCCCAACCTGGTCGCCATCGATCTCACGGGTGTCTCCGAGGCCTCAGATAAAGTCATTGTCGGTCTTGCGTCCGCTGCCAAGCGTTTGCAAGGCATCAACCTCAGTGGTTGCAGGAAAGTGACGAACGTGGGTGTCTTTGCACTGGCAGCAAATTGCCCTCTTCTTAGGCGTGTCAAACTCAGTGGCGTTGAGGGCGTCACGGACGAACCGGTCTCTGAGCTGGCCAAGTCTTGCCCACTGTTGCTTGAGATCGATCTCAACAACTGCAAACTGATAACAGATGCATCTGTTCGTGATTTGTGGATACATTCCACACACATGCGTGAAATGCGCTTGTCGCAATGTGTGGAGTTGACTGATGCTGCCTTCCCCGCTCCTCTGAAATCTGAAGCATCCAATGCTCCCCGTATAAATTCGTTTCCACCTTCTATGACGCGATACTCCGAGGAGTTGCCACCCCTCGTTTTGAACCGATCTCTAGATCACCTACGTATGCTGGACCTTACGGCATGTTCTCTTCTTACGGACGATGCTATTGAAGGTATTATATCCCATGCACCGAAGATCCGAAACCTGGTCTTGTCAAAATGTGGTCAGCTAAGCGACAGAACTGTCGAGAACATCTGCTTACTGGGGAAGCATCTTCATTATCTACATCTCGGTCATGCCATCAACATCACCGACCGTTCTATCAAGACCCTTGCTCGATGCTGTACACGTTTGCGTTACGTCGATTTTGCAAGTGCGTCTTTGCTACACAATGGATTGGTTTGTTTCTCGCTGAACATTTATTTTCACACAGATTGCGTTCTTTTAACAGACATGTCTGTATTCGAGCTTTCCAGTTTGCCCAAACTACGCCGTATTGGTCTTGTTAGGGTTAATAATCTGACCGATGAAGCGATCTATGCACTGGCTGACCGACATGGTACTCTTGAACGTATTCACTTGTCATATTGTGACCAGATCTCTGTCATGGCCATCCACTTTCTGCTACAAAAGCTTCACAAGTTAACTCATCTCAGTCTCACTGGGATACCGTCTTTCCGTAAAACCGAGTTACAACAATTCTGTCGTCAGCCACCTCAAGTACGTTTCTGAAGTTGTTTTGAGGGTGTATGCTAATCAGGAGATATCACAGGAGTTCAATATGAGCCAACGTGCTGCGTTCTGTGTATATTCGGGTAGTGGCGTTGCAAGACTGAGAGCATATCTCACAGAACTTTTCAATACAATTACAGAGGACATGAATGCAGACGATGAAGACACGGAGTATGATGACGACGTCGAGCAGTACCCTAGCGAAGGTATTGCCGATACTGAGTTAGAGACAGGAAATGAAGGTGATGATGAAGACGTTGCGCGGGGAAGTAGGTCTGTTGTATATCAGAGTGGTGCACACTCTGCGGCACGAAATGATCGTTCCGAACCAGTTATCACGCATTTCTCCCAACATCCAGAACTCGCCATTCAGCGTGATCAAACTGTACGACCTAATCCTGCACTGGCCGTCATCCCTGCAGCTCCAATTTTCACACCGCCTCATCCTAATGTCATCCGCATGGATCCGTCAGCTGCGGCTGGCCCTTCTAATGGCAACCAGCGCAGAGTACGAAGTTTTGGACACCAGCCAGTGGTAGAAACTTCTACATCTCCTACACCAAGTGATGTAGCATCTAATCGCAGTACGGGTACCAACCAATCTAATGGTGCAGGATTCTTTCGCACATACAATGAAGTTGCTACTTCCTCAAGGAGCAACGGCGCTTTGACCCCAGATTATATATACGCTGAAATTGGTCACGGACGTGGGGCCGGGAGTATGTCTTCACACGGACATCTAGCTATGTTACCTCAAAGCTTCGCAAGACATAGCTTCAGCGCATCTACGGGCTATGATGCCCCAACTGGGCCGTCTCCGCCGGGTATCACTCAGGTGATGCATTCGCATTCCGCTGATGGTCCTCCAGACTTGCATAATGTTGATCGCGGACGCTCAATGGCCGAGTCTTCAGCTGCGCCTTATCGCGTATCTGTACCTTCGAACGAAAATGTCTCTTGGCCACATATGCAACACGAGGGCACTTCGCCCACATCAACTTCACCCATTACGAGAGAATTGCATGAATCTGTTCAATCTGCTCTAGGCCCTCAACCTACTGAGAGCCGTGAAGGAGATGGTAGAGGGAGGAGCGTGAAGAGGAGTCTGCGAAACACATTCAATGCTGCAGAGCACTACGCAACATCATTCTTGTTTGGTCGTGCATCTGCTTCCAACACTCACGTATATGAGGTGAACCCGAGCAATGGCTGGAGCAATGGATCTGGGAACGATAACCAACCACGATAGAGATTACGCATATGTTATGTTCATGGAAACAGACTCGACAAAGATTATGTATCACTGTCACAGGGAAGGTTCTTTGGAGTCGGCGTGCCCATTCTTACTATGAGATTGTACACCGCACGATCGGATGTTATTTTCGAAGCTTTTGTCTGTAATACTCTCTCCTGTCGCCTGTCGCCTTATTATTACTGTTTGTATTTTTTCCCCTGTCAAGCAAAATGTTGTGTTTTTACTAGTGGTACTTTATTCGCTGTCATCTGGGCCTTTAAAAATTTAAGATAAATACACAGGGATTGCTACAACATTATGCAGATCTACATATTTCCCAGACTCGGACACAGCCACAAGTATACGGTTGCAGTGGCTGTCGTTCAACACAACCGTGACGGGCGCACCTCAGTTTGGCATCTTTCATACTAGGCTCAAACAGCAATTATGAATATCCGCCCTGCAAGAGTAATGCAAAGACTATCAATTGTCTGTTCCCATACTCAACTTTCTTGCACTAGGTGAACGATCTCATGGGCATGCAAGCATGTAACTTGCAGAATCTCCCTGAAAACTATACCATGAAATACTGTGCGTCATATGAAGCACTTTAGAACTTTTGAGCACACTAATATGCTGACGGTTTTCATGGTAGACCTCTACCACGCACTAACGTGGCCTTCACTCTCGTATGTGGCCGAAGATCATGAAGGTCGGATTGTAGGGTATATCTTGGCAAAAATGTGCGTGTGTTCAGATGAAAGTCTCCATTTAAGCTTTGTGACATTTGGGGTTTGTAGGGAGGAAGAGCCTGGTTCCGAGGATGAAATCCATGGTCATGTCACGTCAATATCAGTGTTGAGGTCTTATCGTCGACTAGGACTGGCCAAGAAATTGATGGTACAATCTCGTACGTATCAGAAATTTTGTTGGGAAATGCCTCTAACTCTTCAGACAGAGGAAGCTATGGCAACAATTTACCGTGCCTCGTACGTCTCTCTACATGTACGAAAGTCGAACCGCGCAGCACTAGGCCTATACCGCGATACCCTCGGCTTCACAGTTAAAGACATAGAGAAAAAATATTGTGCGTCTACAGTCTCCACATGACCATCTCTGTTGAAACTTACAGTCATTGAAAGACGCCGATGGTGAGGATGCATATGCTATGCAGCTATCGCTGAAGTAATACAGCATATTGTACTAGTACATCATTACATTCGCAATAAATACACACCAGCAAATTCAGTAATTGAGAACTGTGTTTTACGAGCCTTCGCTGGGCTCAGCTGTCTCGATGCCTACATTCACATCTCCAGGCTGGCGTGTTTGCTCCATTGCCTCTGCGGCAACGGAATCTTGTGCAGCCTGTGTGCTGTCATCTTCTACGATACCTCTTGATATCATCACAGCCTCTCGTATAATCTTTGCCGTCTCCAAACCTAACGCGTAATACCCGTCGTTAGATTTTGCATCGAACATACCAGTATGAGCTTGGACTTCATCAGACGCGATAGAATTCTTCGCCGGTAGGAAATACGAGGTAGAGGGAGAGGATTGTTGTGGCAGGACGACAAATGTGCGAGCAGGCGTATAAGAAGGAAACGAGGGAGGGATTAACGTATAGAAACTGGTAATATTATTTGTAAATGGTATGTTAGCTTGAAAAAAAGGTCCATATCACTACGCACTTTCTGAATAGCACTCCGAAATTCTGTTCAGCCTCGACCAGACAATCTAGGCGCTTCTGCAATGTTTTTTCATCCCACAGATTTTTCACGTACTTCATATGATCTGTGGCCCAGGTATAACCAGAGCCAAGATCATCGCGCCTATAATAAGCTGTACCAGCCGCTGCACCAGCAATCAAAGCCCCGCCAACAGCGTATGCTGCCGGCGCCCATTTCATCCAACCAGCCTCACTGCTGGTACCCATCGACGAAGATGTGATACTTGCGGCAGGAAGCTTTTGAGGAGCAACTGGTGTGGTACTCTTCTTTCCAAAGAGTGAAAATATATCTGAAGCAACTGTCCGTGCACTGCTAGCGTATTCGACAGCTTTCGTAGCGCTGTTCTTGAACACGAAAGGATGCAATCCCAGATACTACGTCCAATCAGATACAGTCAAATTCGACAAGAAACGACGTCCGTACAGGTGTGTCAAATGCTATACAGGCAATTATCTTCGGCCAAAGCGGGGCTTGTTTATCTGGTCGAGAATTGACGAACTCCAGGAGCGCGTCTGCCGCAAGCAACCCACCCATGCTGTACAGGTATTGTCAATATCAATGGAATACCAGTCAGTTATCACATGATTCCATGGTCACCTGTGTCCACACAGTATTATTTTTGCTTTTCCTGCTCCTCCGCCTGTACCATTTTCCACTTCCTTCTGGACAGTCAGGGTTGTCAGCCAATCTGCGAAGCGCTCGACGGCTTCAGTCTTGTGTCATTCTCGTTCAGTAACTGTTACTTGTATAAGAATGTGCTACGCACCAGTTCTCCTTTTGTCTGATAAAACTGATGAGATCGACATTTGTTGAGTAGGGCAATCAACATACTTCGTATGCAGGAAACGGAATACACTCCACGCGTACGTGGTCAACCGTCTCTGTCAAAACATGTTCCAGCCTGGAAGGAAAATCACCAAACGTGGTATCCGTTCCTTTGAATCTTCAAGCAATGGTTGAGTTATTGTCATGAAAGAGCCTGAGACTTGTGATGAGCATATACTCACCCGTGAATGAATATGACAAGTATAAGGTCTAGAGGAAGCGTTTTAGCTACTACGAGCTGTTTCTGCTCTTCTTCACCATGAGAACCGCTCGGCATTTCAGATAATAGACCTTGAGCAATAAATACAAGTGTCAGTGGTAGATAGATACATATACTGCAGCCACGATGCTTGATGGCTGTTTGTTCTTGTTAGTTTCCAAGGCTACTGGTACACAGAGTAGGGTCACCAGATGGTCTTACAATAGAATCATAGAAATTCATAGGATGCATTGCCAAAGTTACAATTACAATACACATAGGGCTACAATTCTGCAAATACGGTGGTGCTAAAAGGGTTATCCATTAACATACGTGACTCGGTGTGAGGAGAACACCATACATCACTGGCTCTGACTCTGGCTCTGATAAGGCGCCTGTGTAAGGAGCACCATAGGATAAGAGGAAACATCTTCTGAGCATTCAGGGGGATATGACGATACATGAGAGTGCTTTGCTAAGTGGTTCTCCTCAGAGGTGGTGTTCGCATGTGACATAGATGTCTTGTTCTCTGCAGTAGGCTGCATTACGTGGGTGGATGAGTCATTTGGAGTTATTTTCAGTGCACCAGAACGAAACGCGGATCCTTTATCACTTGAATTTAAGAGCAAAAAACGAGATCGAAAGTCAATGGAAGGAGGTGAACAAGAGCCGGTGTCTGATACTGCGTGTATCGCGCCGCCGGAAGAGGGATAAATTGGGGGTGACTGGTTATGAGAGGGTATAGGAGTTCCATAGATTCCCTGGGACGATGCCAATGGCTGTGGTTTCGATATCGAACCTTCGTCTTCACGACCTGGCCATTCCAGGTCTGAGCCGTCCATTTCTGAATCCTCTTGAGCATCAATACCAGATGAACTAGGACGAGGGCCTGAGGTGTCTGCAGTATCCACCTCCTTCATAATCTCAGCTCTGTCAACCTCCATGTCCGAATCCTGTGTGAGCTGGCGTTCTACAACATCCTGAGATGATGTAGACGAGCGAGATAGGGGTGTATGCGGACTCCGAGAGGAGCCTGGCCGCAAGAGACTCGGTCCTGCAAGGCTATTGCTGGAGTCGATAAGTTTTTGCGAACGAAGCTTCTCACTCAGGCCCACTTGAGGCACACGGCTTTGCTCGATAGCGCGCCCTACAAGGAAGTCCAAAGCTGGTGACTGCGGGAGGGATGGGATAGCTGGGGTGCCTATTGGAGACGATAGTTGTGCAAATGATGCGTGGCCTGGAGTAGACGCGGATACAGATGCAGGGCGTTTAGAAGTAAGAGCGTGTGCATTTAACGAAGGTGGAGAGGAGGGATGATTCATCAGTGGGGGAGAGGAGGAATTATGAGTAGTAGGTGGTGATGGGGGACCAGTGTTGTGAGGGTGAGAAGACGATGGGTATGGGAGACTTGTAGAATGACTTTGGTCGCTGTGAGGTCGCAACGATGTCGAGTTAAGCTCTGTCAATGCCGAATCACGTCATTTGAGGAACTAGAGATACATCAGTCACCTCGTACCTCCAATTTGTGCATTTGTAGGCCTGCGGGGAACAACGCTACGTGTTGTGTCTAAGCTTCCACTGAGGCTCTTGTCTGTCTTCTTCATCCATATAATATCGCGCTTTTTCATGGGCTTCGCCTTCCGGACATGGTCATGAATGACGTGATGCGTGAGTTGACCGCTGCTAGGGAAAGTGAGTCTGCACCAATCCCAGTAGCAGGAGTGTGAGGCTGAGCCTCTCGATGGCATTCCGGTAGGTGGTGCTTGGAATGCGGGCATGATCTCTATTATTCAAGAGAATCACAGATTAATCGTATCAGTAGTCTCGCAGAGGGCAAAGAGCGCGACGCGTGAAGAAGTAATTGGTAGGAAGCACAACTCTGATAATAATAATAAAAAGCCAATAGCTACAGTGATGCTGAGGACGGTTCAATAGGTTGCAACAAAGCGTGGGCCAAGGAACTTTTGCGGTTTAACCGAATGAGGTTATGTTTGCGCTTATTGAATTCTAAGGCTGTCACATCCAAATCAGGTAATTAATAAACGGCTAAACGGCACCCATAGGAAGAGACCCAACTGAAGTGAAAGCGACAATTGACTCCTATACAGCGCACCCAAGATGCAGGATAACTTCGATGATATTGCTCTATTGAATTACATGGGCATCTCGCAAAACTCTACACCTCTACCAAGTTCAGACCCTATCAGCTTCTTGAAAGAGCACATTCATCAACTTCCTCCTAATTTGGCTGTTCTCTTCTCACTCAAAACGACACCACAGCAACGTACCGTTATTCCAGCGATACGCAATCGGAGACTGAAGTTTACTACATTAAACCCAAGAGAACTGAGTTTCGTGGCCGCAAAAAGCACATGGCCATTGCTGTGGCAGGGAAGAGAGCGGCGAGGACAGGAGGAAGCTAAAGCAGAGAGGGAGTGGGCACAGAAAGATTTCCTAAAGGGTTCAAAGCAGCATGTGGGTAAATTGGGCACGTTGTTAGGCGACTATGAAGAGGAGCGGGAGGCTGAGAGAGTGAGAGTATTAAGAAGAGAGAATATCAATAATGCTGGTGACGACTTTGTGCCGGAAGAGGACGAGAGCGAAAGCGACGAAGAGGATAACAGCGCGACGACTGGTCAAGAAGAAGAATCAGCAGAAGAGGCCAAGGCGTCGTTTGAACGACTAATAAGAGAAAGATTCATATATGGTCTTTTGGAAGTGGGTTGCCTGCATGAATTGTGTTCCAGTTGAAAAAGACTAAAAAGCTTTGACAGGGCATCGACTACGACAGCGTGGACTGGAATGAACAGTACGACGAAGAGGATGAAAGAGATATAGAGGACCGGTGGTTTAACGAGGATTCGGATTAGAAACGGGGCAGTATCTATAAAAGGCAGCTCTCCGGCAAAGGTGGTGAATATATGCTCCATGTCCGGCCGATGTCCGGCGCTGAAAGTTCTGTCCTTCTTGAGCTTGCCCTCACTCATCTCGTCGACCCACCCTAAATATCGCAATGGCCACTCAAATCCAGACTAGTCTCTCTTCTGACATCCAACGGGCTCTACAGTATGCCGTCGGTGAGGCAAACAATGCTTATACCCAATCTCAGAGAAAGGAGTCTTCTACAGCTAAAAAGCGTGCTCGAGATGACATGGATGAAAACGTTGTAGACACAGACAAGGCCAATACAGAGAAGAAGAAAAAGAAGAGGAAACACGATACCGGAGCAAAAGCGCTTGGAGGAACAAGTGGGACCTTGTCTGACAACGGTCATCCAGTCGTGGATCCAGTCCTATTATCTCCGGAGGAGTCTGGTGGGCTGAGGAAGAACCCTGTTCAGATAAAAGACAACGGAAAGCAGTCAGCTTCGCAAGCTGACATTGGACTTGTAGAATTTCAATCGCAACCTGAGGAGCTTGTTCCACATGTCTTGGATTTACAGCACTCCCTGTCAGCATCTGACAACCACCAGGCGTCATCAGCTGCATTTCTTTCTGCAGTCGTTGCAGCTGCCTCTGCCACTTCAGTCCCCCACCCCCACCTAGATGTGACCCATGCCCAGTATCAGGAGCATCACTTGATGCCTGATATGCACCAAGCTCCGTATGTTCCCTACCCTTCCATGCAGTATAGTTATGATCATGTACCCCAATACGGTCACCCTCAGCAACCTCCTCCACTATTTCCGCTGCCAATGGGTATTCCCTTACTACCAGATCTGCAGTTCGGTTCCAATGATGAAATCCTGCGCGCTTTACAAGATCTCGATGTATCCAAATTAGCCAATGTTCTCAGAACATTGAGTGAAGCTGCCGCTGCTGCAAACTTACCACCAGGACCAAATCCCGGTCCTGGATTTATGGCTCCCCTTGTCGGTCAGGATGTAGGTCCTGTCCCATCACAATCGTCACTCGGACAAATCCCTGCACCATCAGGTGCAATTTTGAGTGCTCTTCCGAAGCCATCCAAACCGTCTCACAATCGGGTGTTGGACATGAGTCTCCCTGGGCCCGAGCAGCATATGAATCCAGACCATGCTCATTTATTAGCAAATAAGTGGATGAATGCAAGTAAATTAGCTGAGTTGGTTAAGACGGAAGGTATGGCTAAAATTTTGGACCCTTCAATGATATTTACAACGTGCTGCAGGCCTTATTTATAAGAAAGGAAAATTTTCCGCCATTGAGGACCAACAGTTAAAGACAGCCATTGAAAACTTTCGCATTGTAAGTCTTTCATTTTCCTTGTCTTTGAACTGCATGACAATATCGAATAAATATAGGAGAAGAATCTAACCCACGAACAGGTTGGCGAAATCATCTTCCAGAAAAACGAAAAGGGAAAAGATAATGCATTTTGGTCTGAAATTAGTAGGTCTTCGTGTCATGCGTCACTTTTGAATGGTGAATGGTAATGATCGCCATTGTGACTAGCCGCTGCTGTTCCTCAACGTCCAATCATAGCTGTGTATCATCACGTTCGCAGGTTGTTCCACCCCATGAAGCAGCAGGGAAAATGGATGCCTACTGAGGATGCCCTATTGAAACAGTATGTATGCGTAGCCATTACCTCTTGAACAACTTGTAATTCAATTAACTAGAGCTGTCGCCGACATCGGTCAACAATGGGAAAGGGTTAGTGAACGTGTTGGGCGAATGTCGTCTGACTGTCGTGATCGGTATCGGAATCACATTGCAAACCGGGACGTACGTGTAACGGGTGCGTGGACGAAGGAGGAGGAGGAAGAGCTTACAAGGATTGTCAGCGAGATGACAATACAACAAGGCAAAGATATAGACAATGATGTATTTTGGGGCAAAGTAAGCGAGAGAATGTTGAACACAAGAGGCAGACAGCAGTGCCGCATAAAATGGTACTTTTTCTTCTTCTGCGCCTACTCTGCGAACGCTGAAGCGTCCGACTGTAGGACCGACTCCCTTAGCAAAACAGTGAAAAATGAGGGGCAGAAACCGCGATGGAGCCCACAAGATGCCTTCATATTAGTGCATAAGTTAGTCTCTCGTTGTCCCTGCAATTTGTCAAACTCTAATACCAGCTTCTGTCACCAGAGTTGATTCGCTGAACGTCCGAGATGACACTGAAATCGACTGGAAGACACTACCTGATACGGATTGGAACCTCTGGAGTGCACATTCATTGCAGCGGCGGTGGTTAACCATGAAGCGAAGTATCAAAGGTTTCGAGGACATGACGCATCAAGGTGCGTTGCGATGTCTCTCCTATTTTGCAAAACTTCACACTCGCATGCAGAGATTATGGATATCCTAAGGGTTAAAAAAGCTCAATTACCAGCTCCTTCCTCTACTCGCAAACGAAAAGTTACTAGCGCAGCTAATGTGCATGATCCAGAAGCCAGTGGCAGCATAGATTCTGACGTCGCCGGGTACCCCGAACCAGGTGAAGCAGGCCCAAGTGCTAGACCTGAAGCGACGCATGAACAGCAGGCATTTTCACCTGGTCAAGATGGATCTGGTTCTCATCATATACCAGGAGATCCTCACTGAGGACTGCTATGTAGCCCTGGATGCAATACATATAGACTCTTGCTGCTACCATTCGTAATTGACGTCTAAGTGGATGCATACGCAACATGATGTCTTAGCGCTTAGACTCTGAGAAGCATATTCACACAGCCCTGACGTACACGCTCAGGTTGGCAATATCAGTGCGACTGTACGTTGACTATGTGAATTCTGGTTATCAAAAGGTCTTCATGGATAAGCGGATTGCTCTACTGGACTCTGGTACAGGGCACTGCAAAAGCCTTAGCACTGGCAGGATTATTGCATTTTTGTCTTTGTTTGTTGTCTCAGCTCTCTTCACGACGGGCCTTCATTTCGAAACCAGTAATTTTCAAGCGCGGATTCAACATGTACCTATCAATGCACAACAGATACTGAGGAAATGTGCAGCCTTGAAAGTACGTCCAGGGCCTCCTGAAGGTTTTCAGCACAGGGCGGTATCGGACAGATATGACTTTGGAACACCTTCAACGCTGATCACGAACGCGAGGATTTGGACTGGAGAACATAATGGAACGGAAATCTTGTTCGGCGATTTGTTACTGGACAATGGAATAATTAAAGCAGTTGGATATGTCCCTGAAGATTTACTCTCCACCACGACTAACCTTACCATCGTCGATGCCCAGGGTGCATGGGTTACACCGGGTTTGGGTGAGTGAGCTGACCTTGTTTCATGATATCAACCTGACCAGTAGGGGCTGCGACTGTAGTCGACCTTCATTCTCATGTTGGAATGTTGAGCGCACCTCTTCTAGCAGGTAAGCACTTCTAGCTGATGGAGACTGTGTACTACTGACGCATATATGCAGGTGTCATCGATGTGAATTCACCAAAAGGCCCTATTTTGCCGTGGTTAAGGAGTATCGATGGTTTCAATACGCATGATGAATCAATTCGTCTAGCTATGGCTGGTGGTATCACTACGGCCCAAGTCTTACCTGGGAGTAGTAATGCAATCGGTACGTGCTTCGCTTACAGTGCATAGTTCAATACTAACATTAATGATATATGTAGGCGGGCAAGCATTCATGATGAAGCTTAGAAAGACCCCTGAGAGGTCTCCATCATCCATGATCTTAGAACCACCGCATACTCTCAACGGAACAGATAACGGCCCAAATTTAACGCCTCGTTGGCGTCATATGAAGTACGCGTATCCTTCATTATACTGGAACACTTGCTCATAAGTTGTTTGAAGGCAGGCTTGTGGTGAAAACCTAATTCGCCATGGAACGCGCATGGATGCTGTTTGGTCCTTCAGAGCTGCCTACGAGGAAGCGCGTAAGATCAAGGCTGCGCAGGATAAATACTGTGAGGATGTGGAAGCAGGAACATGGAACTCCCGCGAAGACTTCCCTGAGAGTCTGCAGTGGGAGATGCTCGTTGACGTCCTGCGAGGACGCGTCAAGGTTTGGCCATTTTTTGCCTCGATGTCTTAAACTGTGCCAATTAAATTACCCCAGATTTCAAATCACTGCTATGAAGCGGTAGATCTTGATAATATTGTTCGGGTGCGCTCAACTTTGCTCCTTTTCGCGCAAGGTCTCGTTTCCTGATAATGATATTACTATAGCTAACGAATGAATTTCACTTCCCTATTGCATCGTTCCATCATGCCTCTGAAGCCTGGCTAGTTCCTGATGTATTGAAAAGAACGTGTGTATACTTTAATACTCCTGTGTGAAGACATGTTATATTTCAAATTATAGGTGGGGAGGAACTCCAGCTGCTGCAATATTTGCTACCAATCATAGGTAAACCCTAACTCTTTTCATTGACGGTCTCAGCATGAACATCAACTTAGGTATAAACGCGAGTCGTACAGAGGATCCGAATATGCTGCGCGCGTCCTCGCCGATAACAACATCCCAGTGGTGATGAAGGTTTGATTGTTTACATATCAAATGACTAAGTTTCTGATGGGATTCATTTCCAGTCTGATCATCCCGTACTTAACTCTCGCTACCTTCTTTATGAGGCACAGCAAGCCCATTACTTTGGTTTACCATATAACCTCGCACTTGCTTCTGTGACCTCTGTGCCGGCAACTATCGCTGGTCTTGATCATCGCATTGGTTTTATCAGGCAGGGCGCCGACGCAGATATCGTGCTTTGGGATTCCCACCCATTACATCTCGGCGCTACCTCTGTTGGGATTTGGATTGACGGCATTGCTCAAATCCCCATTCCATCTAAAGCAGGCGAAAACGCAGGGCTAGTTGACATTGGAAAGTGCAAGGAAGGCCAGACATGGCTGAATTTGCCTCAGGTCCCCGTTTGGGACGAAGAACGCCAGAAAGCTGTTCACTGGGATGGCCTTCCACCGTTGGAGCCGATAAGTCAGCGCAAACAAGTGGTCTTTGTGAATGTCAAGGAGCTGTGGATCAAAGGCGAACGTGGTATAGAAGAGATCAACCTGTCGGACGATCAGCAAAAGGGACAGACGATCGTAGCCATTAAAGATGGTCACATTGTATGCGCAGGTATCACATCCACATGTGAATCAGTGGTAGCCGAGCTCGAGACATCGATCGAGTTTATTGACTTGCATAATGGAACTATCTCACCTGGTTTAATGTCCTATGGATCACCTCTGGGATTAGAAGAAATAGCTGGGGAGCCATCGACAGGCAATGGGCCATTACATGATTCTTTCCTTGCGGATGTACCCAGCATACTAGGTGACGCAGGTGGTCTCGTACGTGCAGTGGACGCACTTCAATTCAGCACCCGGAATGCACTGTATGTTTATGCACTGATATATCCCCTTTTCTTCATCTTATAAAAGCTAAAATGCAGGACGGCCTATCGTGCAGGCGTGACTTCTGCTACATCTTCTTTATTCAAGAGAACACTTTTCGATGGTGCTTCACCTAGCTTTTCAGGGCTCTCTACAACTTTCCGGACTGGTTCTCGACATATATTGGATAAAGGAGCCTTGATCCAAGAAGTGGCCGCACTTCATGTGTCCATTGGCAGACCCCATCCTTTAGCTTCGAAGTCTGGAAAGAAGATCATCAGTATCAGTGAACAAATTGCAATCCTGCGCCGACTGCTTCTTGATCCCGGCTCCCAAGAAACCCTGACTGGACAGTGGTTTAAGAAAGCTTCTCAGGTAAATCCATCCGGCGGGTGCAGCGAAAAATATCTCTCAGTTATTCAAATTCCAGGGCACCATACCCCTTGTCATTGAGGTTCATAGTGCAGATATCATGGCATCCTTGTTACTGCTAAAGAAAGAAGTTCAACGGGCCCATGGCTCCGCACTAAGGTAGCTTACTTTGCGACAGCCTTTTTCTTTTTGGTTGCCTAGAGCTTACACCTCAAAACAGGCTAATCTTCGCTGGGGCCTCCGAAGCACATATTCTTGCGGAAGAAATCGGTGAGATTTGTTGTCTAGTGTTTGAATATTATCTTGACGACATCTTATCTTTAGGTGAAGCTGATGTAGGCGTAATCATCAATCCTGCAAGACCATACCCAGGGGAATGGGATCAACGTAGGATGTAAGGGAAATACTACTCATTAATAATTGATAAAGGGACTGAGATTCCGACTTGCTAGATTACCTGGTCCTCCACTCTCCAATGATACACAAGCTGTCACTCTGATTCGGAATGGTGTCCTAGTGGCATTAGGTGTTCCTGAAGCGTGGGCTGCGCGGAATGCTAGGTTTGATATGGCATGGGTGAGTTTCATCACCTTATAGTTTCATCTTGTATTCGATATACCGTCTGTCTTCTACTTTGCAGGCATCGCTCGAGTCTCATGGGAAAATCGACCAACGTCAAGCGTACGCCTTAGTGACAACTAATCTGGACAGAATGCTAGGTGTAGAAGATGTAGATTTGGATTTAGTCGCGTATGATGGAGGAAGTGTGTTTGATATGTCGAGTAAAGTAGCTGCTGTGATATCTTCCCAGAGAGGAATGGTGGATATTTTGTAGCACATGTACGGATTATATATTTGATATCCTTACCTCTGAATCGCCTATGATCAGAAGAATAGGACTGCTATACTACGCCTAACAACGCCGCACCACTTTTGATCCCTCTTCCTCGGGCGGCAGCGAAGCTTATGAAGACGCAACTAAACAGGAAACCAGCGAATCTAAAGGAAATTTTATTAGAGATAGCCGTATATAGTGCTGTTTTCTCTTTACCTGAAGAATGCAATACGAGAAATAGACCTTTCTTCATGAGGAGTGCGCGAGGATGCGAATATAGAACGCAAGACGGCAGGCGTGACTGGGATACGGCTCGATGGATTAGCTGGGGGCGGCTGAAGTGGTGGTGGATTGAAGTTCTGAGCTTTAGCTGTAGGCGTCACTGTAGACGAACTTGAGCTTGTCGACGTCCTGGTCATTGACATGGTTTCGTCGACAGTGCGATTGCAAGGCAAACGGCAGCGCTGGGTTTATAATGTTGCCGTAATAGCCGAGTATCACCATCAGACTTGTCGCTGGGAAAACCTGCAAGGCGCTTGGTGTTTCGCCGGCCAGGTTTGATTCCATCGCCGTTGTCTCACTCTTACCAAAATGGCTTTTCTTGGATACATTGTATAGCTTTACAGGCGCTACCCTTCCCAAGCATTTCGCGATACAGGCCATTGAATCATTCATATCCATTACCGCATATCAAGGTTATTCGCTACCCCATACCTTCAATGGTTGAACTTCACGAGGATCTGAGTAGAATTATTGACCGTCTTCCAGCAGACGATGGAGAGTGCCGCAGAGTGCGACACTTGGTTCTACAGAGGCGTAGCCCGTACGTGACAGACGACCGTCTTGCAAAGGTTCTCCCGCTATGCCCTTATCTAGAGTCTGTGGTCTTGTCTGGAGTTCCAGATATCACAGACAGGACTGTCGTCAAACTTGCCTCTGATGCGTCAAATCTTCAGGGCATCAATTTATCCGGTTGCAAGTTTGTAACCGATGTAGGAGTGTTGGAGCTCATGGCTAAATCCCCTCCTCTTCAGTGGGTACAGCTGAATGCCGTCGGAGGCCTTACCGATCCTTCCATATCAGCCATAGCGAAATCGTGCTCCAAGCTTGTGGAGCTAGAGCTATGCGATCTGCCCCTGCTGACCGCTATAGCTGTGCGCGATATCTGGTCGTATTCAAGGAAGCTCCGGGTACTGCGTCTAAGCCGCTGCTCGCTGTTGACGGACAAGGCTTTCCCATGTTCGTCCGCTTGGGGGGAGGCAGCACCGGATGGGAAACCCCTACCGCACAGACCAGTGACCTGGCTTGATGCCCTTCCTCCCCTTTTCCTACGACACACGGCAGAAAATTTGCGAGTGTTGGACCTTGGATATTGCACAAAAATCACGGACGAGGCGATCGAAGGAATCGTGTTGCATGCCCCAAAAATTCAAACACTAGTGCTGTCCGGGTGCTCGAAGCTAACGGATAGAGCAGTGGAAAGCATATGCAAACTCGGTAAACACCTGGACATCCTTGTCCTTGCGCATGCTCAACATGTCACGGATACTGCTATCGTAAAACTAGCACGAGCTTGCCTCAAACTCAGATCTATCGATCTAGCATGTATGTTTCTGGACAGGCGTTTCCTCTTCCAAGCTAACACCTGCGCAGTTTGCCGTCACTTAACAGACATGTCGGTATTTGAGTTGGGTACTCTACCAAATATTCAGCGCCTCAGTCTTGTTCGCGTTCACAAACTTACTGACAATGCCGTCTACTTTCTCGCCGAACACACCCCGAACTTGGAGCGATTGCATCTTTCGTACTGCGATCGCATTTCGCTGGATTCGGCTCATCGTCTGATGCGCAATTTGCAAAACCTCCAACATCTGACTGCAACCGGTGTGCCATCCTTCAGAAGGAAAGGCGTCAGCAGGTTCTCCGATACTCCACCCAGGGTGAGTCTGTTTTCGTAAATGCTGATAGCATCTGACGCAACTGTTCATCGGAAGACTCTCGACGCGGATCAGCAAGCTGTTTTTCGGGTGTTCAGCGGGGAGAATGTCAAAGCCCTACGCAGGTTCTTGGACAAAGAGGACCAGCGTCGCCGGGAGGCAGAAGTCCAGAATATACCCTTCGTTCCCCGATCCGACGACAAGCTTGACCTATACTAACGTAATGGACGATATTCGGCGCGGTCAAGTATGTAGTTCTGCTGCAGATTGTTAGGTTCTTCGTCTGGGTATCACTGTTGACTTATGTGAGTGTAACACTCTGTATCCCGACACCAACCCAACTAATGTGATCATCATTCATCGTTAGAGTATTTTGTACAATTATTGAATATTCGAGGTTCCACGCTGTCCTTTCTGACAACTTGACGGCTCCATCATAATACTGTACTTGTTTAAACCTGAATGATGCTTGTAATGATGCATCATTTCCACAAATCAGTAACGTCGCGGGTTCCTAAAGTGGTGAAGAAGATAAGGGAAGAAATAGCTTTACATGGCAGTCCATGGCGGTCCTACCGACGGCACCCCACGGTGATTGTAGGAAGGTTTCCTCGAGTTTGAGATATTCTATCTTTGGCTCGCGTGATTGCGGCCAATGCGCTTCCAATATGAAACAGAAGGGCGAAAACCATGATGGCACACCTTTCTATTATTCGAGTAATGGCCCGGGCAGCTACGAAGAAATCAGTAACAAATCCCACCAACGTGGGGAGTCGAACACTGCCGTGAGTAGATACTCATGCATACTGGGGGGTCTGGTTACTCAGATCATGGCGCATTCGCATGCAACTGTGTACATGTGAAGGTGCTTGAAACTTCAAAGCCGTTATCAGTTGATTATCAGAAATTCAAAGAGTGGGTGGACACGCGATTAGGATAATTGCGTGCTTACTGCTACCTTTTACGCATTGAGCCTAAGCTGAGCCTAGGGTAAAAAAATCTGCTCGGCCGCGATGTCGGACAAAAAAGGCATAGGTTCTAGCGAAAAAGTCCACGTTGGCTCAAAGCCGAACAGTAGTAAGATTTTTGCGATGAGTCTGGATCAACTGTTCATATGAACCTCACGGTCTAATGTATACAGTGCCAGCATATGCTGAACTTGCCACGAGTCTGGCGGCAAGTTAAAATATGTTTGGCATGTCCAGGAGGTGTGCAGATATTAATACTGACACTTGTGCCTGAAATCCTACTGAAAAACAACGCACGTGCTTCCCCAGACGCGTCTGTGGCACAAAACGCGTTAATTATTTTGATCTCCGCCAGATCTCGGAACAGTTTTTGTGACGAATCTCTGACGATTTCCACCCAGTTTGGTGCACGCAGTTATTTACATTTATAGTTTATATTTCATTTTATCTACAAATTGCCTCCTCCTAAATATTAAACCCACTCTGGAGGTTATTTTTACTCCCACTCCGTCTCGTTCGTATGCTCTTGTAGGATCGTTACCTTTCGCTGATACAATCCCCTTGCTCGCTGCCATCGACGATAGCGAATAAAGCAACGTTTCATAGCGAGCGGGTGCGAGGACGTACCGTCGGTTCGTTGTTCTCATCCTGAGTTACATCTGGTCATACACACGCTGCCTTAGTGGTCACGGACGTTTAGGACCAAAGTTTAGGTCATACCCGCACCCTCTTTTCTTATTTCCCTTTGTCTTTTCTCTTCCCTGGTGAGGTGGAGTGCCAGTGAGCACAACAGATTCGTGGTTTGCTGCATTTGTATATTGCTAACTCGCATACCACAACTCCAAGGTTCGTTGCTGCTTTAATAAACCTCCATCTTTCACAGAAATCGTCTGATCTCCCATCGTTATATGCAGTCTGTTTACCCCCCACCGATGGATGGTTGTTCGTCCTCAGTCCATCCTCCCTCATTTGTGCAGACGGCCCCCGCAAGCAACGGTCAACTTTCCCCGTCGTTACGAAGGTCTCTCCGCGAACGCCGGTCCTATAAGCCGAATCCTGAGTATGCAGATCCTCTAATTCAAGTACCCTCGGCACATGCTTTAGGGCGTACCAGTCACAGGTCGTCATTGTCAGCTCGCGTGTTTGCCCCTCTCACACCTATCATCGCTTCACCAATTTCCACGCCTGCTACTAGTATATCTCCAAACACTTTCTGTCTCAATTCAGATACGGAGGAGGAACAAGACCACCAAAGCTCGAAGAGTAAAAGTGAGGTGGATTATCTGAGTCAAGGAGGCTCCGTGAGGTCTCCTACGTCGATCCTGACGCCTACATGGACCTCCACGCCTCCCACGCCTCCTCCAAAGTTTGTACATAGAACTTCCAGCTCCATTTCGAATCGGCCGTCTTCATCATTGACCCCTTCAATCTCGTCACCCGCATCGTGCTGGCATGACCCGTTATGCAATGGCGAGAAAGCAAAACGTCGGGCCTCCCTCCCGCCTATGTCGTTGTCCAAGCCTCTCCCTCCAACGCCTCCGCCGCCGCCACCGTCTATATCCAAAAGTCCTCGTGCTTACCATGTTCGGAAGGGCTCGAAAAATAACGGAAGTCCACTCCGGGCAATCGTGACCGAGAACCAGGCCGAGCACTTCTTGCAAGGACGCGAAAAGGGTCGTCTCTCTTCTCAGCCTTCACGCCCCAAACCTCTTTTTCAAATACCCGACGACGGAAATTCAGATAAGGAAGATGATAGTCATACAGTCGAGAGCAAACTTATCAGTAATGCAGTGGGTTTAGAAGAACCTGATTTGAAGTCTCCACGGTCGTTATCAGCCACGACTAGTATTTCTTCAGTAGGACAACAGAGCATTATCGGAAAGAAGGATTTCGCTCGAAAATATCACGCATTGATGGAGCTGCTCACTACCGAAACGGGTTATCTGATAGACTTAAGGATTTTGGTCACGGTCAGTACTGTTTGATCATAGATTCACGCAACATTTGGTATTTATCTCAAAATGTTTCTGTCCCTTTATTATTTTTTTGGTCACTTAGGTTTACCTTCGACTGCTCCCCGTTTTGACTAATCGACCGATTACATCCCCATCCCACTTCAGCACGTCGTCCAACCTGACGCTATCTCACTTCTCTCGTTCTCCGTCGTCTTCTTTTGCGATGACGGCTCTTAATCCCAGTCCTCGGGCAAATTCTTCCTCTCACGTAGCTGAGCTTAACCAGTCCGTTTCTTCTGGTCCTTCCGGGGGCCAAGTAACGCCGCCAGGCGCTTCCTTTTTGGCGAGGGAGAAAGATAAGAACGCTTCCCGGTATCTGTTTTCCAGCCGTGATTTGGATCTGGTAACGCGCAACGCTGAAGATCTCCTGAATTTTCACGAAAAGTTCGTTCGCGAGTTACAGGCCACTGTCGCCCCTCTTGGATTTTCCACGACCTATGATGCATATCAAAGTTCAAGTGAGGCAAGCGGTCAACAAGCAGACCTCGACATTCCCTCTTTCCGGAACCTCAATGCTGCGATCGAAGCAATTTGTAAACAATTTGCCGCGCAGGTCCGTTCCATCTATACCTTACGTAGAACCACCTGACATTCGAGATACAGGCATCTCAGTTCAATTTGTACCAGTCTTTTTGTTCTGGCCACCCAGAAGTCTTCGATCTGTTTCGTAAAGTTCAACAGGAACATCCCTCCGAGTGGGATTTTTTCGAGCAACGGTGTGCAACCATGGCCACTAGCCTTCGTCTACATGCGTCAGATCAAGCCCATGCTGAAGTTGTAGCAAAGGGACGGCATGAAGGTCATGGAAAAAGTAGTATATCTAGTACGGCAACCCAAAAAATGAGACGACATTCACTCTCATCTCTGGAGATACCTACGCGTCCTCAGGTATTACAGCAGGCCAAATCAAACTACAATCTCAAAGCCCCAGCTCCAAGTGCATCCGAAACTGGACACCATGAGAGTAACCAACGCGACAAGGGTACTCGGCTTGCCTTTATGGACTACCTTATCAAACCTGTACAGAGGATCTGCAAGTACCCCCTTTTACTAGACTCACTGCAGACAAACAATAAAACTGGAGAAAAGGGTGGCTCTCAGGCTCAAGGCTCCGAACCTGTCGCCAATGCTACGCCCTCCGACTCGACGGTTGAATTAAGTGTCCAAGCCGCTTTGCAAGCTATGCGTCTTGTTGCAAGCTCAGTAGATGAAGCACGACGTTGCCAGGATCTCGCTGTCAAGTCGTCACTTATTGTCACTCGTATCTCCCAATTCTTATCTCAGTCTACGACATCCTATACCCGCCCTAGTGCTCAGCTGACGCAGGCTTTCTTATCTTCACTAGGTCCCTGCCGTTTGGCTGGGTCGCTTGACGTCATCCATTATCACTCACAGAATTCAGGCAGTAATGGAACAGTCAAAGCAAAATACCTTGGCTCATTCCTATATCCTGGTGGATATCTTATCCTTGTTAAGGTTACTAAGGGTAGACTTTATGAACCAAAGCACTGGTTTTCGTTGGCTGGTTTCGACCTTGTGGATGTTGAGAAGGATCAAGGTCTGTTTTGACGATCAGTATCTTGCAAAACCTCATACGATTCTACTTCAGATTTACTACCAAATTGGTTTCGTCTATCGTCTAAAGGTCACTTGTTAGAGCTGGCAGCATCTTGTCGTCGGGAAAAAGAAATTTGGATGGCTGCTATTCATCATGCTCTATCTATGCCTAGGTCATGGACAGATGAACCTGTGTCTAGCCTGCAAGCAGACGGCAAATGCGATTTCGTTGCCTCAATGTTAGAAGATGCCCCCTTCGAGATCATTAATGCCCTCCCTACTATACAATCGATCCCTGAACTAGACATTGACATCGATAGTCTCATTCTAGACGACAAAGCTCCTCCGCCGGCTGTTCGTGCGGATAACAATCAGCCGAAGAGACCAGAAAGCTTACCACCTCCCACCACTGTCATGCCGAGCCGTCGCTCTTCTACTGCGTCTGTGAAGGGGTACTTTTCTCCTCTGTCCGAATCAGACGTAGTCCATCTTGTTCGGTCTACGGCACCAGCTCGTGAACAAGTTGATAGAGGACTACTGGATGTTTTCTCACAAAACTGTCTTTCCGCGCGCTTTTACGCTCACTCTCATGAAGAGGAGTTATTCCAGGCCCAAAAAATCTCTCGTTCCTTCTCAAGGTCCAATTCTGGTTTGGGAATGGCTGGTGCTATGAGCGTTGCTGCGAAGAACAGGTTGACAAAACGAGAAAGCGTTCTTGTACCAAGAAGGAAAAGCTTTGTAGACGGGTATGGAGTGCTAACCGATTCGGAGCCTCACGTCGGTGTTCAAAATTCTTCATCGTCCAAATCTTTGAGCAAGCGTAGGCAGCCCAAAAAATTGAAAATCGTCGCAGTGTCGAGGAACCTGTCTTCTGAAGGTGAAGAGATTGGGGATATTTTATCAGAATCGCCCACTCCCATCTCGCAGTGTTCGTCTCTCTCCGGATCTGCTCTGGGACCTAATGTCGAAAGCCCGCCAATCGTTTCTGCGCCGCTTTCTGCACCCCCTACCGTCCTTAACGACGCTAGCATCAAGCCGGATTTTCTCGTGGTTCGCGAAGATGAATTCATACCCAAGCGGAGTCGATCCATGGTGGAGAATGTACGGGGTCTTTTTCAATCGCGCTCATCTTCACCAGCGCTTTCATTGTCACGGCCATCTTCCGAAGCTGACTATGAACGACGCGGTAGTGGATCGTTGACTCCAATTTTACTAAAATGGTGGTCAAAAGGATCATTGCGTCGGCGGGTGCGAAGTGCTCCTGATGCTCCTGCGGAGGATTCGCCTACTAGAACTTCGAAGTCATTCAACGGTATCCAAGTACATCCAATGCTTCCACCTGAAGGTCACTTTCGGCAAACGGATCCCAGGCAGTATGATGTAACTCATTCGAACAGTATGTCTGCATCAGACGTGTATCTTTCACCACGAGACTCTCCAGTCCCTGTTCGAAAAAAGTCACTGTTTTCTCCTCATTCTCCTCTTAATACTCATCGCGTGACGGCGAATGTTATTCCTTCGATAACGCATGAAGCCACGCCACGGAAACTTCGTCGGAATCTATCTATTTTACATCGTTTCAGTCCGTTGTCGAATAGTAAAATATTGCAAACCTCAGGATCATAGGCCGTTACCAATTTTCACGAATCGCACAAGACTAATATCATCATGTACTATCATTTTCTTCTCATCCACACATCTTTAGGACCGGTTCTTTTCACTTTACATGTTTCACTGGTATACTTCTTCAGCCCAGTCACGATTACATTGTATTCATGAGTAACACATATAACATACAGTACATGTATCATAATGAAGAATCTGGAGTTTACAGAGTATGACATAGAATTTTACCAAAATACGGTACTTGGATTTTACTAAGGTTGCTACGCGTGGGACTCGAACTGCCGTCCCGTGAGTCGGTGAACTCAGTCACGTGGCTTCGCGTTGTGGTGACCGATTGTTGATTTTCGGCCTTTGACCTGAAGTAAGCGCCCAACTAACCTACATTGAATCCATTCAAGTTCCTTTACGACTTCAACCTTTTTCTTTCTTTCTAGGATTCTTTGGCGGGTTTTCACAATTACATTGGTCTTCATGCTCCATTATGGCTCTTAGCACTTCTCCTCGTAAAGTGATCCCTCTCTCCAGTGGCGATGACAACACTCCTCGAAAGATATCTTCTGCTACGGTTGTCACAAAACGCGTTTTTTTCTGTGGGGTTGTTGTGGAAGGATGTGAAAATGGTAGGAGACTGCCCGAAGGTACGTATTCTCCAGAAATTACCCTCGAAACAAACAACTTTACGGGTGTGCGGCACAGACATCCAGGAACTGGTGTTATCTTTGGGTGATCCGCTGGGTTCTCCGAATGATAACGATATTTTACCGTCAGCATCTGACGCTTCCTTCTCTGACTTTTCTAACCCTGTGAGTCTGGTTTTTCTGCTATGCTGAGTGGTTTACACACGCTTTCTTGTACGTCGCGAATGTGGCATTGAAGGATATGTCCTCCCAGTGCAAATGATACCGAATTATCCTTCCAGTCCCTGTGGCTACTGCACTCTATCAAACACTAAGTGTAGTTGTCGACTTGCTTAGCAGACTACCAAAGACAGCGTGTGGTCATGGGTAGTAACTGGAAATATCTGGGCCTTGGCTGATATCTTTATTTGTGCAGGATGGGGTCCATCAACGTAAACGCGCTATGACCAACACATCAGCACTGGCCGATGTTATCAATGAACTCGTTAGCACGGAAAGATCGTATGTCAGGCGTCTTCGAATTCTCAAGAGCGAATACGCAGATCCTCTTCGATCGTTTTCACGGAGCAAAAGCACTGCCATTTTACCACCTTATGAAGCGAAGACACTATTCGGAAATATTGACAATCTCCTTCCAGTAAACGAAACTTTCTTGACTGATCTAGAAAAGATGCTCGCGCCTAATGGAGCCAAGACCGTAGGCGGTGTGGGAGACGTAGCTCTTCGACATTTCAAGGATCTACGCGGATTCGAGCACTACAAGCAGTACTACATTAAACGAGAAGAGGCTCAGTCTATATTTGAACGAGAAGTGATGAAGAAGTCATCTGGATTCGCAGCCTTTATCGATGTAAGTCCTTAGGTATCTATCCGTAGTCTCACTGTGACTCAGGCACTATCTACGCACTACACAGCGAATTAAATACTCCACAGCGGATACTAGGAACCGTGTTGGGTTGCGCGAGCTATTGATGGATCCCGTTCAACGCATACCACGATATACGCTTCTTTTCCGCATGATGATCAAACACATGGCGCCAGAAGACCCTCAACGCGCAAAGCTTACTGAGGCGGAAGAAATTGCTAGTGTGATCGCTCTTGCCGAGACAGACGAACAGACCAAGCGAGCAGCAATCATGTATTGCCTCAGTGCAACCGTCGAAGGCTTTCCCCCCGCCTTGGTATCGAATTCCCGTCGATTCATTGATTGTATCGATGCCGAAGACGTATTCGTGGACACACCGGGTCCCTCTGTATCTGCGTCTAGCTCTTCGCTTAGTTCATTGCACTGCACATTGTTCTTATTTGACGACAAGTTAATGATTGTCAAGCGCCCTGGAGGTGGTGAGAAAAGTGGCAGAGCGTTGGCTGGACTGGATGAACTTGATAAGTTGACTAAAGCGGGCGGGTTACCCCTCGGTAAGAAGAAAAGCGGAATGAGTTGTAAAGGAGTAGTCGACCTCTCAGAAATTGTAGTTGCTGATGTCGGAGACTCAGGTATGCTTCGTATCTTTATAATGGCAACGCGGCTAATCCAATATGGAAGATTTTCATATATATTTGGAGAATCCACCACAAGATCAGAGTGACCGCTGGTCTGCTCGTTCCTTCCGAGCTCTGTCTGTAGTATTCCCTCCGTCACCCGTTAACATGGACCCCACTAGAACAACTACAGAAAAATCCCGTTTTCTGGAGAATTTATGGATTGCTCAAGCAAAGTACAGGACTAAAACAGGACAATCTGTCGTGTTATGCGCCGACGATAGAGAAGTAGAATCGCGAGGCGGGAGGACTACGTATGCGCGTACTTACTTCAATGTATACCAACGGACAGCTTTTCTCCAAGAAACCAAGAAGGTTGGCATTGAAAAGTGCATTCCTCTATTTTTATAAAGGTACTCATTCCACGACGCAGACAAAGATTGTAGTACATATCGATCCACAAGGTACTGCAGATCCCATGCCATTTGGGATGAACGGACCGCCCTTCGTTGTAATTCGTGTTCAGCCGATGGCTGGAGAAATATCCCGCTACACGGTGACGTCCGGTTATCCCAACGACGAACCAGAGGAAGATATTGTCCAGACTGCGCGAGTGCCGGGGCGCATCATACAGACAAGTTAGTATCTCGTTCAAACGTTGCTTCCAGCTTGTTCCTGACGTCGTTGTTTCATGTAGTCCATCAATTCGGCTTATTCAAATTTCGAACCGGAAACGACTCTCGTCCATCGACACCCACGGCAAGTACGAGATCTAGGGCCCATATTTTTAGCCTGGACGCTCTTTCTCGCAATCTATTCAATGCAATCCCGGGATCGTCTAAGGGTGACTTCTTCGGAGGATCAGTCAATCACCACCGGCGGACGAAATCCACTACCAGTAGATCTTCGACGTACACACAAACTACGACGACCGCGGATGGCAGTCTGGCGAAATTCTCCCATCGTTCTAATAGCACGGCCACTGCAGCCACTTCTATGCTATCTATGGATGATGAATCGTACGTAGGTAGCCGCTCTTCCACACGGCGGAAACTTGTAAAGAGAGGTAGGTCTCCATCAAGTGATCCAGAACGACGTTCCTCTGGTCACGAGTCGAATCCTTCCTCTCGTTCCCCGTCACGAGAAAGAACTACGCTATATAATAATACGGAAGAGAATAACTCTATGCTGCAAAAGAATGAACACTTGGATCCATCCGACCGAGATCTGTCTATGCGCCTTGAATTGGCTAGGAAAAATAGTCAAAATCAACATGGAAAAGATTTAGTCCCTATGTCTCTCGAACAACCGGTCGAGGAGACCATATATGAAGGTACTGTCGACCGTTATATTGCTCTTCCCGATGTAATTCAGCTAGTTTTTCAGAGGGGCCGCCTCAGGCTCAGGTATTACGGCCGGCCTCGCGGGCCTCTTATACTAGGGAAACGATGAGTCAGCGTTCCACTACACCTCGACCAGATTCAGTTACACCAACAAGAGGCATGGATTACATTCAACCATCTCGCTCCGATTCACAGCTTTCCTCTGACAACCGTCGTTTCGGTCCTCGGAGCCCATCTCCTTTACCACCTAAAAGCCCAGTGATGTCGTCTGATGCGAAAGACTTACCTTCCATGGACGTCGACCTGGCCTTAGAAAGTGCGTTAGGATTACCTGGTATCACTGGAGATACGCCGTCTCCTCTTCCTCGCAGCAAACGTCAGCCATTTTTGTCTGTGAACAACACGGATATAGGGAGTACACCCGCAGCGAATGCCGTATCCACACTGCCAAATAGCGTAGAGCCATTGTCTATAAAGAAGAAAACATCCACTCGTTCCGCACATCCTTCATTCACTCCCACACGGAAAGCATACATGAGAACGTCACCGCTATCCAAGGCAACTGCAAGGGTTGTGTCACCACGGCGCATTTCGCCTCAATTCCGGACGTCTCGAGTAGCTAGTGGTTCTAACAACATTCATCCCGTGACTAGCGAACACGCCGATCAAGTACTGCAACTTTTCCAGGTGACAAAGGAGGACGTAAGATAACTATCGTTTCGGCCTCAAGAAAATTTTACTTAATGTTTGTATAGGTTGACTCATCACATCGTGCTGTGAAACGCATTAAGCTGGAGCTGGATGAATTAAGGTCGAGTAGTCAATCTGGTGGCAGTGCCGAGTATTGGAGATCTCCTTCACCTGAAAAGGGTATAGTGCGCACTCCTGGACGAAATAATGTGCCAATGGTGAGGCCCCATTTTTATGGGACTGAATACAGATATGCTTATACCCTAGAAAGACCAAGGAAGCTCAACAGCGTATGGAAGAGATGCGGCAATTGATTGGAAAGAGACAGCCAGAGGGCACCCCTCGAAGTCGTCCACGTAGTATCGTTCAAGATAGTATAATGCCACGCACCCCAGATCCTTCGTTTGGAGACAACTTTGCATACGTCAATGAATCAGCATCCGATGCAGACAAGAGTCTGGCCCGTGCCGTACAAAATAACGAGTCACTCCACAATGATCTTTTGCAGCTAGTAACAGACTTCAAAGAGGTACGTAGGAATATATTTCGAAAATACAGAAATATGTGCTGAAGAAACTCAGAGAATCTCCGACCTGGACAAGACGAGGGTAGAACTTTTGAACACCAAACGTCAGTGTGAATTGGTAAAGAGTCTCCTTGCGGATGCTACTGCAGAAAAGGAGATTATGTACGAGGTATATCGAACAATATTTGACATTAATATCGTCCAGTTGAACACCCAATTAGGCTTTCAACGAAGAATTGGATGCCATGTACAATGATGTCAATCTTCCTGAAGATGAGGCATGGACAAACATGACCACAGATTTACGACAGACGAAGGAGACAAGAAATGCTCTTAGTAGAGAAAATTCGTAAGTCTTCCTCTAGTATGGCTTTGTTGATGATGTTTACAGTTGCTATTTAGACAACTTAAACGACGCTTGGCCGAGATCGAATCAGAAAAAGAAGAGTAAGTAATACCACCGCTATTGGTACACGTACAGCTTCCCTGATCCTTTTCCCTCACAGATGGGGAGCTTTGCTAAAGGCTCACGGTCTTATCCCATAATCATCTGGGGTTGATTTGCTTGCCGATCTTGTTGTTATCTCTGTAGCATATATCTTGTTCTCGTATATTGCATATGATCCATCATCCACCATACTGGCATCTATGAAAAAAACATTTCAAAGATATTCTGCAGTCGCTGGAATTGCTTCAAAAACTACGTTGCTTTCGAGCACGCTCTTCTGCTAATCGGAGTAAGCGTTCTTTCTTCTGTGGCGACGAAGCAGTGCGATAAGGGGTGGCTGCTGCTGTCGAAGTCTCTGCTGGAGGTGTCCCAAGTGGTATATCGTCAGAAACAAGGCTTTGAATTTCTTCTACTGGTTCATTCGTGGGGCCTGAGGATGTCGAGCTTATATCTGGTGTTGAGCAAGTAGTAAGTTGGTTTTAAGCCGTCCTTACCTGTGATCATCTACAAAGTCTTCTTCGTTCTCTTCTTCACTTGAAGACACCCCACCGAGATGGTCTAGTTCACCCGCTCTTTTAGCCACGTCTAATAACTCATCCCATCGATCGTTCGGGGTGAGATGGACCAGTTCACAGTCGGCCATCGCGCTCGACAAATCGGACATTGAACATCTTCGGCATCACGATCAGATGCAGAAACCTTCATCAAACTAGGTAAACAATCGTTGCAGATGAGGTGTTGGCATGGGAGACTTAAGGATAGCATTGATTAGCTGGGAACACACGTGAAAGCCGCTGGCTTTTATCACCTTGAACATTTTTCGAGCTTCATCTCTTCGAGGCAGATGCGACACTCTTCATGTTCTTCCAGAACTGCTGCCAACATCAAATCTTGAAAACGTCGCGACAGCTAAACACATAAGAACACAAGGGTATCTTGAATTTCATGAAAGCCACTTACCTTCCTCATCTGATAAACTACGTCATCGTCGCTATCCGCCATCTCACCGCCTGTCAGTTCATTTGCCTCCTTTTTGACTTCTTTCTGTTGTAACTGGTGACAGTGTTCAGTCGTAGGGACTGTGATGATCGTGAATTCCAGTTACCCTTCGTATTTTTCGTCGGTTTCTATCTCGGTCCTGATAAGATAAGATAGGGATTTGCATTTCTAAGTGAGCACTAAATGAAAAACAGCGAACCCTCTTCAGACCCTGTATAATAACTCGCAAGCTATCCACCTGGTTCTTCAAATCAGTGTTGCTCTTGCCACCTCTCTTACCCTGTTTTGATTGAATGGACTCTTCTCTGTGATGTAGTCGTTCTAAATCACCTTTAAGTTTCCTGTTCCGCTCCTGAAGAGATTTTACTTGGGTCACAAGCTGCGTTACACAGGTCTGCACTGCGGACAGGTGGCCCTAACACCCCAAAAGGTGATAACCGAGTGTGAGTTTTATAGTTTAGCTGGCTATGGTAGAATTCAACTTCACCTGTAAATCCGTTTGACTCGTTTCATCCTCCGAGTCCGAGTTTTGTGGTTCCCCATTTACCGAGTCCACTTCACTGCTGGAACCATCGTCCACTCTTTTGCGTTTGTATGAAATTTTCCCAGCTGAACGCGTGGAGACCATTGAAACTATTACAAAAATTCGGATTAGGATGGTGGTAATGGGTCCAAATAGGTCCAGGTGATAGGAGTAATCGAAATCGGCCTGCAGTGTTTGTATAATGTGTGCAAGGGGGCTCGTAGTCGACTTGAAGTGCGTTTGTCAAAACAAATGCGATAACTCAGTTGAATGGCGGAAAGTTATCGCACAAACATTCGTATTTAAAAAACCAGGGCTCCATATAGTTTTGTTATACTAGTTTCATTTATCTGAGTGCCGTAAGCTTGAGGGCACCTCAGTATCAGTATGGTGATTGAATGTACGGTATATAAGGACATGATTCTGTATCCTTTCAACAAGTCCCTGTCGATTAGTGGTTAAATCGCCACGTTGTGGAAATCACAGGACCGTGGCGCCGCAGGTTCAATTCCTGCCAGGGACATCTTTTTGGCTTTCAAGCCTTCGATTTATTTTCCTGCCCAGTTTCTCGCGGACATGTCTTTTTTTGGAATATTTCAGTACTTATGACTGACAGTATATCTCAGTTGTTTTCCATCACTACTTTTTATGTCCGCAGGTCGTCGAGTTTTTTCTTCCCTGAACATCACGTTCCTTGGTACTGCCTCTGCCCAGCCGTCATCAACGCGAAACCATTCGTCTCTGGCGCTACGATTAGGCGGCGATGTCTGGTTATTTGATTGCGGCGAAGCAACTCAACATCAGATACAGAAGAGCACAGTGAGGATGGGGAAAATCGAAAAGATCTTTATCACTCATACACATGGTAAGTTTATAGACATAGTTTCTTTCACATCGCATCACGTCTAACGTTGTCAGTGTGAAGGTGACCATATCTTTGGCCTTCTACCTCTACTGGCAAGCCGTCTCAACGGTGCAGGTGGTGTAGCAGAAGGTGTAGATGATCCCAGAGCACAACTCTCCGATTTTAGCAATGTGAGTCTACAGTAGTAACCACCTCCCATTTCAACGTTCAACTCTAGCCATCATATCATCTACAGCCTTTCGAAATTTATGGCCCTTTGGGAACTCGTGCCTATGTTCGTAACGGACTCACGTACAGTCACACCTTGCTTGGATCTCCATATGTAGTCCACGAGTTGCGTTTCCCTTCTGATCCCCCTGACGGAGATTTCACTTCACTACCCCTACATGCCTCAGAATCTCCTCATGGCCGCAATATCTCACAAAGTGATGGCGTATGGCCGAGCGTATACGAGGATGATGCCGTTTCAGTCTCTGCAGCTCCTATCTTGCACTCTGTACCTTGTGTTGGCTACGTCGTTACTGAATCCCCTGTCCCTGGAAAAATGGATCCCAAGAAGTACATCCCTGCAATCAAACGAACGAAGACGCCCATGTCGGTAATGAGTCGTTTGCAGCAGGGAGAAAGCGTGGAGCTTGCTGATGGCACGGTCCTTCGAGGCCCACCTCGCAAACCTGGCCGAAAGCTTGTCATCTTAGGCGACACTTATGATCCATCGCCCATCGCAGGCTTGGCGTACAGGCCAGACCTGTTGGTGCATGAGGCAACAAATTCTCATTTACCTGAGCTTGATGTCAACACTAAGGCAGAAGATACCTTTGAGATAGTCGAAGCGCGAGCGAAATCCAGGGGCCATTCGACACCACAGAAGGCTGGAGCATTTGCTGCACGCATAGGAGCCAAAAAATTGGTGCTCAATCATTTTTCTTCAAGGTATGCGGGAAACGACGACGTTAATGCAGAGGCAAAGACCATTATGACAGCCATCGCGGGACTAGCTGGGAAAGAATATCAAGGAGAAATCGTGTGTGCTCGTGATTTTATGAGCTTTGATGTTGAATCTGTTCCCGATGTATCCCCTAATAATACATAACAGCTAGAACTGCAAAAACACATTTTTAAATATCGCAAGTAGCATCTAGTCCTCTGGAGGATCGGATAATGCACTACTAGAATCGCTTGCTTCACCCTCCTCCAGTTCTTCTCTGAATTTCTTTTTCCCTTTACCGGATTTGTGATCTTCTGCTACCTCCCCCATTTCGATATCGTCTTCATCGTCTTTTCTATTTTGACCTGCGGATGACCGAAGCCGACGTTGTGAGTCCGATGTAGTGGATGAACTGTGTGACCGCCCAAACATTGCCTTTGCGTTTAATACAGCAGACAGGGGAACGTCAACAGAGTCTTTATCCTCCCCGTCTTCCTTTTCGTCTACCTCGCCTACTTCTCCACCGTCATTGCCACTCTCGAGTTCGTTCCCTAAGCTTCCTTGCACGCCTGATTCAGTATCATCCATATCGGTGTTCTCTGGGGCGGGAGTAGCAGCTGGTGATGCCAGTCGAGAGGCTGCAGCCTCTTTATCCTTCCCCATTAAGCGCAACGAACCCAGATCCAGGACAATGCCATCTAGTGCTACTTTTTGACCCCGAATGGTACGATCCTGGGTCTCATGTTCTGTGCGAATAGCTGCCATGTCGTTCTCCAAAGCTTGTATAGACCTATGATTGATTCGTTTTCAGTATAAGCATAGCTTCGTAGTCCCATGAGACATCACATACTGCTCTAGCTCCTCTCTGCTTGGCAGTGTGTTGATCTTCTCTGCAATCAGGTCGTATTCCATCTTCCGCCGGCGTTCCATATGTGCATGCTCTAAAGAGGTTTTCAGTTGTTCTATCTGGCCGCGTAGTGACCCGTGTTCGTCCTCTGCAAACAGTGTGTATCATTATATGCGCGTAGAAGCATGTAAGAAAGGCATATAACTGACCTATCCTCTGTCTTTCTCTCTGATACTCCTCCACCTGGCGCGCCTCAGCCTCGCACACCATCATGCTCTTTTTCAACGACAACTGGAACGATGCCAATTCGACTAGAAAAGCCTCTCGAGCGTCCTCCGTAGTGCCACTCGGACTCGCATTCGTAGGTATGATAGGTGCATGTGCGACCGCCGTATAGTTGTGAAATTTCTTGACGACGCGACGAAGCGGTCGCTCATCGTTCGTTATTCGAGAATGGATAATGGCATCTAGAAAAGAGGAAAAAAGGGAGACGCGAGTTATTTTCTTTTCTCGAAAAACACCATTCCGAACTGCAAGTTCCTTGGGGTCAACGAGAGAACTAACATGCCTTCTTCTTCGATGGATAGTGAGGGCGTTATGGGTTGCTGTGTCGTTGAGGCTTGCATTGAACCGGTGGACATGCTAGAGGGAATTGAGTCCTTTGAGTTTGAGTTGGAAACACTGGCTGCCATGATAGCGTCAAGCTAGAAATATTGGTGGTGGCTTGGAAAGGTGGCTGGTACAGATAATGTGTGTGTAGGTTGTTGCAGTACAATGGGTCGAAGAAGAACGATGGTCCGGATTCTAATACTCGGACTCGGACTCCTAATAAGCCAGATAGGGACAACACCATGAAAACATTTATTTTGAATCAACAGACTAGAGAATATAATAATGTATACTGAAGAGTGGAATTGTACTATGATAGAGAAATATGGCATTGCATTGTATATAATTGGCGTAATTACTAGTAGATAAATGAGAGTAATCATCCGAGCTCGAGACAAGCCGCCAATTCTATCGAAAGTAAAGCACCTATTGAGGTGGCGAGTGATCACAACGCAGTAGCGAGTCCAGCAGAGCCCAGTTTCTGAAAGCAGCGTTACGCATCTTAAAATTCATTAGCCCCACTCGTCTGGTACGAACGGTGTGACGAGTTCATATATTTCTTCGTTCCCTCTCCCTTTCACTGGCTTATTCCTACCAACTTGAATGACTCTCTTGAACATCCCGCCCACTCCCCTCCGCGTAACCTCCTTATCATCAAGACTATTGACAGGCTCAGAATCATTCGGATAGCATGTGTCAATGTAATTTGCGAGTTTACGCAATCCACTCGAGCTGTCGTTCGCTGCCTTTCGTGAATCCTGCACAGCAGACTGTAGATACATAGCCAAGTTGGGAAAGTTAATTGGTAGTGTTGGATATGGCGTGGAGTTCGTTGATGGAATAACATAGTATTTTGCCATGGGGGATTCAGCACCATCACGTAGGAGCGTGGGCAGTGACGATAGCGTATAAGAATATGGCAATACGCTGACATCACCGTTCGTATATTTGTGTGCATTGTTGGTATTTGGAGGGCACGGATAATCGGTCGTTAGGTAAAGAACCGTTCGCCAGTCCGACGAAGAGTGGTGAACCTTGTTTCGTTAGACTTGTCAGATGAGCGCTCGTAAGGAGATAGACTTGGATATCACCTTTACGAACTGGACGACTATCCGTAGCTTAAGCTCGTGCTTTGCCACAGTGATCGCCTCCAACGTTGGCTCAATCCTCGTCCCACTCAACCTCGCCATCAATTTCAACATCTGCCGCCAGCTTGGTGCCTGCAAGTGTAGGGCTGGGTATTTGCCATATGGAAGGGTGATAAGGTTGGGCATGGACCCTGACATCTGTGTTAAGACGGTGGAGATGGCAGGAGGCGTAAATGCCAAGGCTGTCAATGTGACCAAGTGAGTTACTGCATTTGATAAACAATAGCTGGAAGCAAAACGTACAAATTCCCAGTAACAGGTCTGGTTCCACGTAATGATTAGCAGAGAGGCTGGGAGTAGGGCGAGCATTACTAGTAAAGTAATCCTCCTCGGCATCCTCATCGAGCGGGTCCAAGGAAACGGCGCTGTTAGCTGAAGTCGGAGGAAGCGCTGGTGTATTTTGAGGTGATCTGCTAGATGACTCAGCGAAGCTCGATCGAGCTGATGAAGTACCATCAGAGGTCACGGTAGCAGATGAATGCGGGCGTGGTAGGACGACAGGTGGTTCCGGTGTAGGAATGCGTGGTCTAAACGAGCTGTACGATGCCATAGTCCGGAGAGGTGGGCGTGAAGACTCGCTTGACCGCGAGGACTCGAGAGAGGCGGTCATCGACGCTGAAGATCTCCCAGCTAGTGTAGAAGGTCTACTGTTGCTAAGTACCTTGGATACCACTTCATTGTATAAAGGAAGATTTGGTGTTGGGGTGTCGCTGCGATCTTGCGCAGGGGTAGGAGAGGCTCCGTCAGAACGAGACGGTCCCTCTTGTGATGAAGGTTCGTCAGTAGCAGCTTGTTCATCTTCAAAGTTTATGGAACCTGTTGGTGTCACGAGATGTAGCCAGCTTTCGCCTTCTGGAGGATGTGGAGGGGTGACGACCGGGCTCAGACGCTGTGCATGTGATGGTCCCGATGATCTGCGTGATTGCGAGGGAGAACCATCATTGCTCCTCGGGGAAGAAGAACGATGTGAATACGTAGAAGTGTACAATCGAGATTCCTCTAAAGCCTTTGCCAGCTCTTCCTCCTCCTGAGCAATCATGAGCTCCTCACGCCTTCGGGCCTCTGAGGCAGACACTGCCATGGCCAACGCGATGTCTCCTTCATCGACCGGGGGAGAAGGACTCTGCGTTGCTCGACTGGAGGGTCCCGCAACGGGACCCGGTATAGACTGCGGGTACAATGGAATCTTGGGGGGAAGCGCTGGCGCGATCGGGGGTTTTGGCGGAATAGGTGGTGCTGGGGGAGCGAGAGACCTAGGCTTGACTGGTAATGGGGGAGGGGGGGTAGTCGGATACTGTTGCGTATAAAAATAATCGCCATAGAACGAGGTGCGGGCAGGGGAAGGAACCAGAGTAGATGTCAGATTATAGGAGGGAGTCGATGAGTGCAAGAGCAACGCAGATCCAGTATCGAGACTACGATTTCGATACCGTCCTGGGGTGAGGACGGCGGGAACAGAATGAAGGGCGCTTGGATGGGCGGCAGGAGAAGCAGAAGCATGCATTGATGAGTATGGTGGGCCTTGAACTGTAGTGTGGCGATATATAGAGGATGTGGGATGTCTCTGTTCCTGATTCTGTGCCCTGTTGGTTTGAGGCGTCCAGTGTGCTGTGTGTAACCAAAAATCAGATAGCAACAGAGAGGACAACCGAGTTAATGGGATCAACGAACCTGAGTGATTATACGAGTGCATTATGTGCTATGGCTGTGATATTAGAAAAACAAAGTGTATAGGAAAATAGAAATGCAAAAGGCCACTGGCAGTTGTTCTGTATATAGGTGTGATCGGTCCTCGAGCTTCGTGGGTTGTATTTCGAGCACACTTGGGCGTATTTGGCTGGTAATGCAGCTTTCAGAGTCTGTGGGAGGACGTGGTTTTGTAGAACGCAGCTGTGAGAGAAAACGCGGAAGAGTCGTGCTAAGGGACTACCAAGGGTCACTTTCGTGTCATCGACGGGCGTCCCTATACTCCGGCCTGACGTTAACTAAGCGCTCTTTGTCGTCACAAGTATCAAGTATTCCTGGCTGAATGTGCCCAGAGTCTTACAATCGATCGTAATATCCCATATATGTCCTAGCACAGACATAGTACATCCTCGATTATTATCATCAGCAACACGTTTGGCACCATAGTGAACGGACAAATAGACATCAAGTAGCCGAACTCTGAGGACCGCCCAGGAAAACACCACCAGCAACCCGCCATCAACACTCAAGAGTAACCGTCAGCAGCTTTGTCACTTGGGCGCTCCACCATATCAAACCTTACATTTGGGGCCTGGATCATCTGCTTTTCCAGCACCTCTGTCCACGATAGATCATAGATCATTGTCATGCATGATATACAAGCCGAGGCTCGTGCTAACTGTTATAGCACAGTACTTAGGTCTAGCGTACAATGCGAAACAAGAATAGATGCTGGAAACTCGTACTATGCTGATGGGGGATGTTTGTGTTGAACTATATGGTGAAAGTAAGGAGAAGTGGCGATGGAGGGCATAGTGGATCATTGCAAACACAAAGAAAGAAAAAATGATAACGAAACGAGAGCAGACAACTAAAACACGACACAATGAACGAAAAGATTTTGGATCACGAGGCACGAGCAGAAGTAATTTTGGCCGCAAGAGAAACACCTCGCACAGTAGACGTCTTGAATCCTAGCTTCCGCATCACAGCCAACAAATCTGCACGCTGAAGAGGTTTGGTGAGGGAAGCGGCAAATATGTTACTGAGATCGTTGGCATCCACGCCACTGTAGGCGCTCACGGCGATAATAGGCGAATTCGTATTCTTACTATTGGTGCTCTTAATATACCGAGCAGCGCTTTCACCATCCACTAGTAGTACAGACCAGATCAGCTACAAGAAGCAAGTAATATGACGAAAATAACTCACAGACTGGCATGTGCAAGTCCATCAGGATACAATCAAATTCTATGAGACTATCAGTGATTATTCAGAGAACTGTTTTCAAAGAGCTACTCACTGATATCTCCCATAGCCACACTGATAGCCTCCGACCCGTCTGCGACTACAACACAGCGGCATCCAAGGCGAATCAACAAAGTCTCCAATATCTTCGCTGTGATGGGGTTATCTTCTGCGAGCAGGCATGTAACGGCACGATCACTAGGGTCCGGTCCCTTCCGCAGATCAATGGAATGGACTGATGAAGGCGGTGTAACTTCATACTGGCCGGAGCCTTGACTTGCAGATGGAGGCCAGTTTTCAGAGCTAGAACCATCTCCGGCACTAGATACTGAAGCTGTCCGTAGGCGACTAGGCATAGAATTCCTACGTTCGCCGTTATCTAAATGATTGAGCTTGAACCGCTCAACTGCACCAAACTCGGAAGGTTTACGAGCATGGCTGGCCGTACTACCTGGAGTAGAAGGTGGAAGGCTGGCTCGAGAAGGAGACGACGCCAGAGAAGATGTGGAAGTGGCTGGAGAAGGAGGATTGGTGGACATTGTCTTCTGATCCAATGAAGTAGTCACGACGCTGGGGGGTTTCTTGATTCTCTGAGAAACACTTCGCTTCCGTGAATGCATATTTGTCGGGTCCGACAAAGTGTGAGTCATGGGCACAAGCTGGTCCGTTTTCAATTTACGGATTACATCGTCATTGGCTTGCTTGAGAATGGGTAAATTCTTAAAGCTGAAGGAGCCGAAATCATCGCCTGCAGGCGATGAGGCGGCATCACGGTTGTTCGCAACAGGAATGGGGTGGGCGGATGGCAAAGCAGTCAAGTTGGGGCTGTCCGTGGCCGACTGGCTGGAAAGCGCAAGTTGATCATCGTCATGGAATAGCTGTGGTATGGCTCCACGAGGATCGAAGTAGTCAGTCGACTCGGGATCGGTGACTTGAGGAATAAATGCGGCCTCGGTAGTGGTGACCTTGTCCCACTCTATACCCTCGAAGAACGGATGAGCTCTAACCTCCTCAGCCCCGTTGGCTCCCAGACGAGTGCCTACGTCGATGGTCATCAATCTCTGCATGAAATCGCGCGCTTCGTCAGAGAATTCGACCCAGTCTTCGTGCCACTCAATCTGCCCAGAGAGGATATTTTCGAACACTTTCTCCGGGGTCTCGGCGTGAAATGGAGGAATGCCATAAAGGAACTCGTAAGTTATGACCCCCAGCGCCCACTATATCGTAAACGTTAGCACTTCATGACAAATGAACAAGAAAAACATTCAACCGACCCAGTCTACAGATGCATCATCTCCACGAAGACCCAGAATAGTTTCCGGCGCAAGATAATCCGGTGTCCCAACGAACTTCTGCTCGCCAGGAGGAGTGCCACCACCCGAGTGAGACCGCAAGTCCGTGGTTAACTCCGTCGCAAAAGATGGCAGAGGGCTATCGCCCGTCTTGGTGTTGCGCCGAGGGAGGAAGTTGGACAGCGACTCCGAGCCACTGGACTCCCCAACATCATCTGTGAGAAGTTGATAAGGCGACGTCCCTACACGAGGCACCGAATGCGTTCGCTGATTAAAATACGAAGCCCCACCTAGTATCTCCGCTGAGAGCAGCGGAGAAGAGAGGTACGCTGAGTCGATGGATGGTGGCCGTGAACGGGAATCATATCTCGTCCGCGGTCGTAGACCCATTTGACCCTCGCGAGTTTGACGACCAAGAAGACCGATCCTGCTCAAACCGAAATCGGTGAGCTTGAGGTGACCATGCTGATCAATAAGCAAGTTATCAGGTTTGAGGTCACTGTATAGACAAAACGTGAGTGAAAATCAATCTGGAATCAGTAAACGACATACCGGTGAACAACACCACGTTGATGTAGATACTCGAGACCGAGCACTACTTCAGCAATGTAATTTTTCGTCCATTCCTCGGGTAAAGAGCCCAGTGTCTTTATGAGCGCAGCACAGTCACCACCATTAAGGTACTCCATAACCAAGTATAAATTCTCCTTGCTTTGAAAAGTGAAGTAGAGCTTCGCAACAAACGGCGATTCAGCCTGTTTCATGAGAATCATGCGTTCGGCTTTGACATTGGTGATCTGATTCTTCGCTATCATGTCGGCCTTTTTCAAAACCTTGATCGCATAGTAGTCGCCAGTAACTTTCTTCTTCGCAAGGAACACAGAGCCAAATGCACCTTTGCTGATCGGCTTGATAATGTCAAAGTCTTTGATCGACGTGGGTGTCGACCTTGATAACGGTGCAGCGGAAGGCAACCGGGGAGATAGTGGGGCACTCGAATTTGCTGAGTTGGGTAGGTTTGTATTGCAAGGGCTGAGAATCGGATTAGCGGTAGAATGTCGCCGATGCCCTCGCCGTGTAGTTGGAGCATCTCGAGGGGAAATCATAGGAGACATAGGCGGAGTGACAAGAAATTTCGGCTCGAGCAGGTTACCAGCAGATCGTCGTGTCTTAATCGTGGTAGGAGGTGCGTCAAGATCCATATGGGGGGGTTGCTCATCTGGTGAAGGGGAAGCCATGATAGGAGCAGCTAGAGCAAGAGGGGAAGAAACTGAGGATGGAGTGGAGGATCGTGTAGGCATCTTGTTGACTAATTGCCAGGACGCAGGAGGGATAAAAGCTGGCACGGACATTGGTGCTGCTAAACGACTATCATTCGACGAGGAACATGGGACTGGAGAAGAAGAAGCCATGGGGGTCGGCTCCGATGATAACATCTCTGCACTCGAAGATTCATCAGCCTCGGAGACCCTGAGCAGTTGATCTTCTTTTCCTCTATCGTATTTATCCGTGGCTCCTAACATTTGATTTCCGATTTCCTCGCCAACATCGCTGTCACTTTCATCGCTATCATCCTCGTCTTCAAGGTTCGCCAAGGCCTGTTCTACCTTCTCCTGCCATTCGTGCCAGATCTTCTCCGAATACCGAATGGTGTTCTGCATTCGTACTACATTGTCTATCTTCTGCCTCATCACACGTTCAGCGTCCTCCGCGAGCTGAGATAGTGCAGGATCTTCAATAGTAGGCTTGCACCAGGTACGTATCCGTGAAACCTTGCTCTCAGAGCTGGGTGACAGAAGTCGCTGTCGTTCGATAGGCTCCTTTGCTTCCTCCTCTTTCAACGAGGGCATTGAAACCTCCGAGGCCACTTGTAGTACGTCTTCGAGCTGCTCTAATAGCCGACGTTGCATCTTCTTTACACCCATCCGCTGCATCTTGTTGCTCCTGAAAAGTTGTAATGGGCTTGACATCCCCGGGGAGGTAGACGGTGTGAAAATAGGCATGCCACGATATTCAGGAACGATCGCAGGAGTAGCTTGCTCAACAGCAACAGACAAATCGCGAATAGTGTTTCTCAACTCGCCAATAGACTCGTTACACTCTGCGATTTCAGCCTCCAGACGATGCACCTCCGCACATGTTTCGCTGTGTTTCTCAAAGTACCACTGGGGGATCTGGCATTCGCAGATTCGGCAAAGAATGAGGTCTGTGCAGATGGGCTGACTGAATGGGAAGGGTGTAGTAGGCTCAGTGATGGCGCGTTCGGCAAGAGGCTTTGTGACCACCTCCTCAACAGCAGGTTCATCTCCGATATCGCCTGGCTCAAGTATAATCGAAGGGGAAGGATACTCGTACCGTGGAGGAGCGATAGGCTTAACAACCCACATAGTATGAGATGCCTGACCGTCCTCCCGGTCAACCATGAGCATACCTTTACCTTCCATCTGCTGATAGAGGACGCCTGCTGTCGAGACATCCCGGTCACCGTCAGGTTCTATTTGCAATTTGAAGCGAACTTCAACCGTGTGTGAGTCATCCCGCTGCAAGCGTTGTGTTGCTTCCCTAAAGACAGCCCAATCCGAAGCTGAGAGAAGATGTGAGATCCGTGTTCCAGCTAATTCTGCAGGTTCCGACCTGGTGAATGAAATACTACCGTCAGACTTACGCATATATAATACGCACAGCATTGACTTACCCAACCACAACCCGCCATGCGTAATTGATCCAAATGAAGTGATCCCCGTCCAAGCTCAGCTCCATCACGATGTTCTGATTCTGTGCAGTCTCGGCTTGCAATCGGAGTCTCTCGGTAGCCAGAACGCGAGCAGATTCATTGTGTTCAATGATCTTATGTGCTGCCCTTGAGTGTGGCTCGGGTGAAGTGGACGTAGTCAGATCTTTCATAGCTTCATCCCTGGAACGTCTGCCTTGGCTGGTAGGTCTCATCAAGCGTAGCCTGTTCTCATCATCTGTAGTCATACGGAGAGCATTTTCGTCGTATCGATGTCGAGCAGTCGGAGTGGGAGCAGGTCCCGACTCATCTGCAGGTTTCATGACAAACATAAGCGGCTCATCCAGCTCGTCGTCGTTATCATCGAAGTTCCAGAACTGCTTCTCCGCCTCCCACCACTCAACGACACGACTCAAACTTGCAACTGCAAGAAGAACCTGCACGTACCAATTACGACCGTGCCAGTCAGGATGATCATCCCATGCTTTACCGATACCTTGGACTCGCTGGACGAGCGACTCACAAATTTTAGGTTGAGCAGTGAGCTGAGCGGTGGACATCTCAGCAACGTCTGTCGCAACGCCAATAAGTTCGTAGAGGGTGGTCATGATGGGATCGATAGGATCATCAACGAGGATACGGGAGGAACGGCGATTTGCTGCTTGGACAGGGGGAGCAGCGTCAGAGAAGCTACTGTGGGTGGTTGCAGGCGGAAGTGGGGATCGAGAGCGAGACGTGGAACGAGAACTTTGCCCTGAACGCATAGGGCGCGTAGGGATGTGAATTGTACGGGACAGTCTGCGGGAAGATAGACTCTGACTTGGCCATGCCGTGGGAGCGATAGCACCGGACTGCCTGCGTGGACTAGTTGAATCGGATAAGGTTGCTGTTGATATGACTGGGCTGGGTACAGCACTACCGCCGGAAGCAGTGTTGGCGTGTAGGGGCTTCTCCCATGGAAGAGTATTCTGTCGACGTAGAGATGGGCTAAAAGATGATGAATTGGACGCTGTAAGAAGGCCAGGGGAAGAGGCCCGATGTGTCAGAGGAGGAGATTTTGAAGGGTCTTGCAGTGGAAACGCACGTTGTCGACTATGACGGCCCTCTGGCTCTGCCTCGTAGCCACTGTCAGAATACTCATCGGCCTGAGATATAGGTCTAACATCTGGAGGTTGAAAGATGAAAGCCTCTCGCAAAGGCTCGGCATCGCCGTACTGAGAATCACGATCTGACTCCCTTTCCCGCTCGCGATATTCGCGTTCGAATTCCCGTTCGTGGTCGTTCTCTCTCAGACGCTCCTCAAAAAATGTGGTGATATTGTTGATGACCCTTCGCAGTTCCTTGTCGCAGTCTGCCTTTGCTGTCTTGAGACGACGAGTGACATGTCGCCTGACGAAAGGCATAGAGACGGTGTTTGAACCCGAACCATAGTTGCTCTGGGAGCCGCTGTTTGATGTCTGGGAGACGAGAGGTAATACAGTCTCTGTAGCGAAGACGAGAGGGTTTGGGGCCTGTCGACGGAGGATATGAGGGGAATCAGCCATGTTGGTGTCGAGAGGGGGAAACGGAGGGGTCTGGGGATGCAGAATAGCGATAGTAGAAAGATAGGACTAGGAGAGACGATTCAAGGACCACACTCTGGGAATAAAATAGACGAATACGTGATAAGAAAAGAGAAGAATGGGTCAAGGGAACATGAGGGATTTGTGAAGAACCAGGAGGACGTGGTGATGGAAGTGAAAGGCAACGCTGGTTATGGGACCAGGCAGAGGCGACCACAGGGAAATGGCCACAAAAAGTCGATAAACCCGATACTCTAGACCCAAATATTATTTAATATTCAATATTGCGTAATCACATATATAGCCAGGGCAGCCTTTTGGGTGCCGCTCTCACAACGCCTCCGCCATCAAATATTACTCATACAGAGGCATTTCGTCAGCTCCTGTGTACCTGTATACCATCATCCTGTGGACGGAACTTGGCTGACGTTTTCTGCTTTTCGATAGCGTAAAGGCCTGCGATGGGTAACCTAGCAGATATCGTCTGCAGTGACCGGGGTCATGTTGTGGCGGATACAATCTGCGCTCGGGGAATCTCCGCTGGGAAAGTTCAGAACACGAGGCAAATCTTCTCCTTGCTTTGATCTGCCTAGTAGAGCGTGCTTTCAAATCTTCCAACAACAGAGCTATTCCTTACACGATCTAGGCAGCGCATCAGAGCAGACAGTGCGGCTCGACGGGAATTGACTTGGTAGCAAAAAACGAAGTTGGTTATCCATTTGTACCACTGTAAGCACAGTACACAAGAAACAGGAATTTACCAACTGCACTCTGACCCAAACAACCGCCACCAGCGCTACCGGATCCTATATCGTAGGACATGTTCTCAGCCTTACGCTCTTTCGCATGCCGTCCCATTCGCACAAAACCATCTGTACCCGTATCAGCGAGATTCGTGTCTAATGCCCCACCTAAGTCGGACGCGAAGACGTTGAACGACATTCTGGACGAAGCCGCGAAGAAAACTGAGCTTGAGCGATGTCAGTCCTACAGGCTTTCATGTTGTTGACCATTGCTAAAGTCGTCGTGTAGCGGCAGCCGCAAACTTGGATCACTTATGGAAACAGCAGGGCGAGCGAAAGAAATTCACCGCTGGGATGGTACGTTGTGTAGATCTACTTCTCTATGCAACGCAGCTCAACTCTACCCATCAAGTTTACCCGACCACATTATTTCACCCGTGACCATCGTTACAAGAAAACTCCCATGAGACCTAAACCTGCTCTTGTGGGCCCAGGACGTCGTGAAGCTCGCCGTCAAGACGTCTTCTATCAGCTGGGTATCGACCCACTTCATGAAAGCCAAAATGCTGCTCTCCTCTCTGCATTTGTAACAGAAATGGGCAAGATACGGCCCCGCACGCAGACAGGACTAACGACGAAGACTCAACGGAGGTTAGGCAAAGCGATCCGCAGGGCAAAAATGATGGGAGTCATCCCCTGGCTAAGTAGAGCAAGAACAGGACACTGGCAACGGTGATGATAATTTCTTTTCACGCTCTAGAAGTTGGAGTATTTTACATATATTTTTTTGCTGCCATCACCCTGAGTGGAGTAGTTTGGATACTTCGTCGATTGTTCGCGCGAAATTTCGCCAATGGTAATCAAATTTTGGGGCTGAGGACCACTGAGGTTACGCCCAAAGTCATTTGACTATAGCTTCCCACTTCGCTTTCTGAGGTTAAGGATCTCTTCCGTTCATTTGCGACGAGGTGGCAAGGGTCCTCGCCACTTTGCACAAATTGAAAACCCAGCGGACGAAGATGTTTTCTCATCTGGAAGAGGACGGCACCCTGAAAGATGACATACTGTTACTGTAACAATTCCGGTCAATAATAATGCTATCAATCACACGACTCCTCATTCAGTCGAGAATTTATGAACAGAAGACCTTGAACCCCATATCATCTGCTCACTAAGCCGAGTATCCGACGCCCATCGTCTGTTTATGAACGCAGATTCCCACTATCCTTTGCACAGGTACACAAAGACAGAAAGGAAATGCAGATTATCTAGTTACAGTAAAAGGACAGGACCAAACTTTATAGTTCAGCAAGGAGCATGGTACCCAAATTCTGAATGACTTGATCACCCATGGCTTTCTCAACCGCTTCCTCCAAGTGTCGCTTTGGGTCTTGCTTGCCCACATGGCGTGTTTTCAACTGCTGGGCTGTCAATGTGGACTCTTCTTGGACAGATTTATTATAAGATTCAGACAATGTGAGCATCGACTAGTAGGGGTAAGTGTGTCAGGGTCAGCACATGAGTGGAAAACGCTATAAAGATGAAAAGAAGTCCACGGACCTTGATAGCCTTCTCGTTGCTCTCCTTATGGACATTGAAGTCCCGCAGTTTCAAGCCCTCTGTCCAGTTCCTCTTGTGCAAGTTCATCAACATTGATTGCTCAAGTTCTGTCTTGCGGTAGTTCACTGCAATCGAGTAATAGTGTCTGTTCAAACCGTGAATGAGGGCTTGGATCGACGGCTTGTTAATGTGTCCGATGTTCGATGTCGTCTGCCGTGGCTCCCTACCGATGATGACTGTCTGCTGATCGATCAAGCGGAAAGCGTCAATTACAACCTTTCCTTTCACAGACTGAATGGGGTCAATGACCACGGCGACAGAGCGGGATTGTAGAGACTCGAAAGACTAAGGAGATTTTAAAAAAAAGATCAGGTGACGTCCTCACGGAAGAAAGGGCTGATGTATACTTGTTGTGTATTTATATCCACACTGGACAGCCAGCAGCCAAAACCTGGATGTGAATGATACCACCCCACTACCATCTCAGGACTGTCATTCCCAGAGACTTTCATTAAGCCCTAAACATATAGAAGGAAATGCTATGATCCTTACCGTCCTGTTTGCTTCAACATGTCCACCATCTTGGTTTGGAATACGTGATCCACAGATTCGACGGTTACAGTCGTCCCAGATTGCGGCATGGCGAAGACATCGATAACTTGTACGGTGTATTCGTCTATGAATTCCCCAAGCATAAGACCCATAACCTCCATCGGGACACCCGCTCGACCATGTTTAAGCATCTTATGGGAATATTGAGCATACCTATATGTAGAGAGCATGATAACTCACTTTAAGAAGAGCTAATGAAGATATGTGTATAACCTCTCCACTGCGAGAGCCAAATGAGCATATGCAGACAAGGTAACAACAGTAAGAGTTACTTGTCAGGTACGCTCCCATCACCTCGACCTCGCGGTCCTTGGCGCTGTTGCGCCTGGCTAATCATTTGAGAATAATCTTGATCCATATTGTAATCCTAGTAGCAGTATTTTGCAGAGAACTGTGGTACGTATATCGCTGACGCGTTCACGGTCTTGCGCGTGATATTTGCTATTGTTGTTCAGCAGCTTTCAGAAAATACAGATACAAATACCAGTTTAATGGAGTCATCTTCCCAATCGGGACCATTCCCTATGGTCCGCGATGCCAACCAGTGAGCTTTCGGATGCACTCAACCCACACGTCGTACAAACACGGTCACGACCCTCCAACGCCTCCCCGCTGTACTCAGATAGCCTCCAACCTGTCATACAAAGACCACAGCAATATGTTCCCCATAGGAGTGAGTTAGAACTTGCGATTTCAGAGCCTCCGCCACAGGCTGCTGCCCCTCCATCATCTCCTCAGTAAGTTTGTTTAGGCTTCTTATCCGAAAGTTATCTTGGATATTTACAGAAAACTATGAAGCAATACCGTTGCACGCTCTCGAAATGTTAATTCGGGGGGTGTCCACGCTGTACAGGAACTCCTTCGACTTTTAACGAGCACCAAGGAAGCTCAGGAGATAGAGCGCAAGCGTAGAGTTGCTTGGGAACAAGAGCAGGAAGCAAAGTATGCGCTGAAGCAGGCAGAAATGGAGCGTCGAATGCTTGAAATGCGCCAAGAGATCGCCTCACTGAAGTCCGTCATAGGCACTCATGGCCCAACATCATCATTCACAACTCCTAGCAACTCGGCAGCTGTATCACAATCCAGTTTTTCACCTCCAACAGTAGAGCAGCAACCCACGCCAAGCACATCACCCCGTCCTACCCCAGTCTCTGTGACGAACTCGAGCTTCCAGGCGCATTTAGCCAGTGTCTCGTCAGCACAGCCGTCGACCAGCCGATTTCAAAGTGTTCATCCAGATGACAATGTGTCAGAGGCTAATGCTATGGAGCTCCATGCTCTGTCGCCGTCATTCTCACCTCCAGCGAGGTTCATAAGTGTCGATCCTTCCTCATCGCGCCAAGGTGGTGCGTCAAGCGCCAGGAAGAGACAAACTCCCGCGAGTGACGAGGAAGAGAGCAGTGACTCTAGCTCTGGTACACCCCCTGTACGCCCATTAAAGCGTAGAAGTCACCACGATACGCGATGTCTAACAATTCAGGTGAATAAGTTGAGCCATACTTCACTACACAGGACAGCTATTAAAAGTTTAATCTACAGCATGCTATGCGCAATCACATTTTGCGTGTTATGCAGGTCGAATCGGACAAAGAACTACCAGACAGCCATCCTGAAGGTACCTCACTTGGCTCTAACGATCCCGTTCGCTTTGTCTGGGACAAAACGCCAAAGCAATCAGTCCATAACGGGCGCATGAAGGCACGTGTCCTGAAAGACCTCAAAATCAATCGCACGTTATATAAGCACGTACCGGACAAAGAATTCAACAAGAAATCACTAGACTCTGTATTCGACCAAGCATTCGTAACCCTTAGGCAGAAGTTCAAGGCTCAAAGGGACGCTTCCATTGCTCAAATTCAAAGACAACGAGAAGATGCGAAGTCAATGAAAGCTAGAAGGCTAAGCAGAAAAAAGGGCGTGCGTATGATATTCTTATCATGTACTGTCAAAGTCTTGTTCTGAACGCAGTCTATATAGAAACTGACCAATCGATCAGAAGCGCGAAACAGACTAGAGGCGTTCGAACATATAACATTCGACGGAGCTTTTCAAGTCGAATGCATGTCTTCTGAAGAATCAGAGGCTGAAGAAGACGCTCTGGGAAACCGCTCCATATTTTTGCGTGTCCGTGGGTTTCCGTGGCGGAGCACCCGCCTACAGCGATTCTTCGACATGCTTGATGAAGAGGAGACCTTTGATAAGACCCTAAAACCCAAACGTGGTACTGGAAGGAAAGAACGTTGCGCAGGTCCAATGAAGGACGGTTTCCTCCTTCCTCCAAAAGGTGTCGCGAATTGGATGATTAGTAGAAGATGGATGAATCAGATGCGGATATCACAATGCGACGTCTTGGACCTTCTGAGGGACGCTGTAATAGATCCCCCTGGGTTCGACTGGAATCAGTTCCGGGCGCTTGGAGACGAGAGCGAGGACGAGATTCAGAACCACATGGGACATGCGAGCGGAATGCAGGACTCGGCCCAACTGTATAACCTTCATTCTGAAATTACTACCAGCACACCTACGACCCTTAGTAGCTCTTCTTTGCATAATGCTCTAGCACCCATATCATAGCATATTTTTCCTTTAAATTTATCAAAGCCCATTAGTTCAATTGGTGAATCCTGATGAGTCTTCGTCGACTTGGGCAATGACCCCTTACGAATCACTGGTAAGTCCATAGGCTCATATCACATGGTGGGCGCTAAACGTGAAATGGCACCGAAATAAATAGTACCGATCTTGGTGAAATTTGATTACTTGATCACGATGACTCTTGGCAACGTCCTGCATCTTCATCTTCTGATCGTGGACCTCAATGTGTAGTTAAATCGGTGTCTGTAAGAGCTTGGCTAATGCGCGTCCTATAACTTGACATTCTTTATCTGAAGTCAGAGAGCACCAAAGATGGGGTGATAGTCCAAGCCAAGGCGGTTTGATGATATCTCAGCAATAGATTCCCAGGTAAAGTTTCACCTACAATTCTTTGCTATCATTCTGGAAAGGTAGAAATTCTCTTTGTAAACGGGCTGACTTTCCCCATTCGCAGATGACATCAATACCGGGCCCATTGCCCCACCAGATCCGGTCGCAGAATATGCCACTTGACATGTATTATGTCCGCCTGACACCACACCATTACTGAATTGCTGAATTGGGCCTGAGTGATATTGGCTGCAGCATTATTATTCTGTGTCGGATTTATGAATCACCCTTCGAATGTATAATGCTGTCACCGACATACCGTCAGCTGACCGCGGTGTGGTCACTGTGCCCAGTGATAGCATCATGCTGTTTTATGCGTTTTGATGTCCAGGGTTCCGAGTGGATCGTATTTAGGCTAGAGGAATATTGACTATTTTTTGGACTCTTCTTTTGTCGATAGGGAATCATTGTTCATCTGACGGCGGCATCATGATGGTCAAATTTTGGCTCCCTACACTCCTAACTGCCTCAGTCTTGAGCGTAGTGAGCTGTTCCCCGGCGTCGCCTTGGACAGAAGATGTATGTACCTCTAGTAACTGTGCCTTCCGAATACCTAATCACAACCCTTGTTTAGCCTCTGAAACACATCGAGCTCGAGGCTCCAGATGGTTCATTCAAGGCACACTTCATGGCCCGAGGTGCAACTACCACCAATTTCTGGGTCAAGGACAAGGTATGTGAGTTTCATCGACAGAGTCAACACCGGCATTGAAATCAAATTAGTATGGTCAATTCCGAGACATCATCCTTGGATTCGATAATCATGTGGGTTTTCTGTAACATGCGAAACATGGGTTGTTCATTTTGATTTCGGGACAGACGGACTACGCGACTGACGCCCTTGGACATCCGTACTTTGGCCCTGTTGTAGGAAGGTAATTGGAAATGTTAATGCGATGACAAAGCGGATGCTGAACTTGTGTTAGATATGCCAATCGAATCAGGAATGGTACTTTCACCATCCCAATCTCCAAAGACGCATCTGGCCCCAACAAGTTTCATGTACCTGAGAATGAGAATAATGGTAAGGCCACCCTCCAATTTTTCTCCTTTTCGTTCCTTGATTTTCCTTCGAAGGTACTGATACTCTTCACGGGGGATTGATTGGCTATGATCGCCGCAACTGGACTGTCGTCGAGCAGACGAAACACACCGTGACATTCTCACTTCTGGATCCTGATGGCTTCCAAGGCTTCCCGGGTACTGTTCACACAATGGTATTGGATTGAGGTATTTTATCACGTTCTGTACTCATAGGGGGATATACAGGTCACGTATACCTTGATGAATGGCGGTGCCTGGAATATTAAGATGCACTCCGTCGCTGATGCAGAGACGCCCATCATGCTCAGTTGTCACCAATACTGGAACTTGGAGGCTTATAATGAAACGCAAGACTTGACTGGTCATTACGCCCATATCCCTTCTTCGCAGATCATAGCAACAAATGGTTTACTCATTCCTAACGGCTCTTATGTCAATATTACGGGGACGCCGGCCGATTTTAACACGCCAAAGTCAATTGGTGACAGCATCAATGCTACGGCGCCTTATGAATTCTGTGGAACTGGTAGGTGGTTATTGGAAGGGGTTTATGAGATATAGCCTAACATATGATTGTCCTGGCAGGTTGCGCCGGATTTGACAATTGTTTCATCTATGATAACAAGAATACAAGTGCGCCAGATTTCTCCTTGTGGAGCGTGAACTCTGGAATCAGGTAAGAAGACGTACAAATCAGTCGTGGGTTATATTAATCAGCTGAAACCGTACTTCTGATAGATTTGATGCATGGACAAACCAGCCTGCTCTCCAAGTAAGGAACTAGCTTCGATATTATGTATGTTCAAAAAGGACTAACGACGATACTAGCTCTACGCTTGCAATGGAATCTACAATGCTAGTCTACCCATCCCAAGAAAGCAAGATCAGGGTGGACCATCTTCGTACTATCAGGATCACTCATGCGTTGTGATCGAACAAGAGTCATACATCGACGCGATCAACAACCCGGAGTATGATGCTAACCAGATTTATGGACCTGGACGTGACTATGTCTGGGAGTCGACTTATGTCTTCTCTGTCATGAAAGACTAAACCGATGTTGTTGGCTTCAATCTGTATTCTTACCGCTAAATACGCCATAATTGATTATCTATATGTGATTTATTTTATATCTTCATCGCGTTGAGCTTACCACATGGTGACTGTTATGGCTTGGACTTGCGAGTACGATCATGATGGCTTGCACTGGGATAGGAGAAACTTCCCACGACGACACAGCGCGGCTCAGCCACAGGCCCAACCTGTTCCTCTATATACGTATACCGCACCAAAGAAAATGTGCCCAGTATCGAAATAACCTGCGGTATCTTCAGCTGGTACTCACACTCTCCTGCTCATTTCTAGTCTTACCATCCAATCCTTCATCTATTTCTTTCTCTTTTCCCCAACACACCCACCATGCATCTCTTTACACCCAATCACGTGCACTTAATTGCTGCATGTTATCCTCCCTCTTCTTCTCTGTTGACTGCTGGCCCAGAGTATCGCCCAAATGCACAGGAGGTTTCTAGACTTACCTATTATGCTGCAAACCGCCCCGGAAAAATAAATAAACTTGGCAGCGAGCTCGAAAAGCGCGTTAGAACTGAGTGTACTAAAGCGCAGTCAGGGAATGTTCGTGTCAGAGCGTGCGTCTATTGTGCTTACTTTGAATCCAGAGTACCTTTTGACATCATATCTCTTCCAAAGACTTCTTCTTATCACGCTTTCTATCATACGAGCGCTGACCACAGAATGTCGCCGCGACATTTCCCTCCTCTCTCCCTCTATCGTCGCGTGTATCAGGATAACAGTTGATGCACTCTCTTCGGACTTGGAGGTTTGTGCTAGAGCTGCCAGTGTGGTGCGTGTCTTCTCTTATAGCTGTACAGTGTTTTGTGATATAGTATCGACGTCTTGCCTTGCCTAGTTTACTGCTTGGTGCACTTACACGGACGGCCACGTGATTGGCTCAGACGCAACGTTAACAGAGAATTATATATCTATCCTCCGCAAATTTTCCTCTCAAAGCATAATAGAGATAAAGTCAGTTGATCATGAGCTAACAAACCGGTAAGAAGCAATACCACTTTGATTCAGACACAGGCTGACTTTGTCACTTCTCACCAGTACTCGTATGGTTGGACTAACTGCTCTTACCGGTGCAGTAAACTCAGAAGCACTGTATAGCTCGTCCAGTCAATTCAAGCCACAAGTGACCTCGATCATTCACCCCCTATTGTTTCATTTACTCAACGCCGACTTGTCCACTCTTGACGACAGGTAAAATCAGACTCTTTCGCTTCAGTACGTTGTTCTGACGCATTCATAGAGCAAAAGTCATAAAAGAGAATCCGTCATCGCCTTACTTGGCCGAATTTCGAACACGTCCTCCTCTAGAGAGACGTGCAGCATCTATACATCTACATGTTGACGGAGAAAGTGGCCCTTCTTCCGGTGATGTGCTAGAGTCATGCCTTCGAGCATTTTCGCACCTCTTGCAACATTCCAATGGTGGTCAAATTAGTCATATAATGCTTGCAGCATTTGAAAGTCTGGATGCACTAAAAGGTTGGGAGCGTCTAGAACAATGCCGCTGGTTTGCCCAGAAAACTTGTGAATGGACGCAATATCAGTATCGCTATGCTGTGCCATCGCAGCTTGTCGAACGTCTACTTTCCACACAGGACCTGCCCGTCTCAACACCGCAACAAAGCACTTTGGCGGCAATGGTGACGACTGTGTTTACATCTCCAGTGCCCCTCGTAAATCTATCTACATCCGACATTGTCTCAAACCTCACCACGCTGGTCTCTCGTCGCGTCGGTGTTGACCCCGAGGATGCTTTACTACCTGCTTTGATAGAGTGCATCGCATCATTAGGAACTCACGTTTATTACTCTGACCAAATCCAAGACCTAGCAGGCGACCTAATTGGCAAAATTGTTGCAATAGAAACACAGGGTCTGTCAGGTCGAGATAGGAGTCGCAATGATAAAAGCCGTGGTCAGGCAATAAGGTGTTTACTGGCAGGTTTATTAGGCCTAATGCAGGCCGCTGACAACCACGAGCATGTGGAACGCAGCGACGAAAAGGAACAGAGCTGCGCCCAGGATGGATCGGATCTTCCAAGGAAAACTGTTGGCGTACCATCTCAAGATCCACATACAAGAATCTCTAACAGGACTAGAATCTCCCCAGAATTATGGCACGATACTCTGAGCCTCTTTTGCGACCGAGATTACGCTGTGCGGAACGACTATGCCAACGCATTCATCTCTTATTTGAGCAATGAAGTCCCAAAACGTGGTGAAAACACTGCCATTCAACGTTTGACAGAAGGCAGCCACGGTCACCAGGCCAGTAGCATTAATATGCTGCTCTTCGGTGACTCCACTACTAGGTCGTTACGTGCTGTTCATGCCTACCTGTATACGCTCGCTACTGCGTCTTCTCTGGAGCTCGTTGTCAGTCCATCACCGTCCCCAGTGTGTTCTGCTTCAGGAGATGGGCCTGTTATCAATATTCTCCCCACTACTCCCGACACTGGTTCCGGCTTGCAATTAAATGGTTCTGACAGCCGTGGCTCTCCACCAACTTCACAGGTATCTGAACGACGGTCTACAGCGACCACGGCGAGATCTCGAAAAGCATCGACCACTCAGCGGTTGCTAGAAAGCACCCCCAGCATAATATCTTCATCTACCTGTGCATCGCTTTCAGATTATGCACTTATCCTCCACGTGATGACTGTAGTGCAAAACCAAACACCAATTCGTGGGCTTTTGACTGGTCTCCCTATGGTGCTTGCATTGCATGGAGCAACCCAGATACAGGACGGTGCAGATGCAGGAAGTGTACAGCGTTCAAAGGTCATCAGAGAGCTGTTGACACGAGTTTGGCTAGCGATAGGCCAGGTGTGGGATTGCAAAGAACTGGTGGATTTGGCTGAGAAGGTATTTCCTTACCCACGATTTAGCTTTTAAACATGATTTCGATTTTATATAGGCATTGTCGTGCATGCCGGAACCCTCAATGCTGCCGTCTCGTACTCATGTTGAGGCTGATATTCTTTCACTACGAGAACAAGTTCCATTCCCACCTGTGGAGCCAGACACAATAGTCACAACGTCGTGGCAAGGTGTAGATGCTGAGGAAGCCCTTTCTTTGATCGTGTCTGCACGTGCAACTCAGGAGGCCACTGGACTTGACCGACAGGGCCTTCTTCGCCGATTTTCAGCCAAGTGGTCCGCGGAGTCCGCTCTCAAGGATTGTATGTTTCATGTTGTTTCCTTCAGCTCTGCTCGTTTTGACTTGTGAAACACATTAGCTGTCGAACCACAAACTAACAACCGCGCTCACTTGGGAGAAGGGATTTCGCCTCTGCTGAGGATTTCGCCTGCTTTCATGGCCATTGATAATCTCTCTCTTCAAAGCCTTACGCGTTCCGTTCGCGGTGTAGGTGTTACGGACCTGAGGGAGGCTCTCGAGGGGCGCGGCAATGCTTCCAATCCAGCCCTTGTCAGGCCACCTTCGGTTTCGACTCTCGATCATACCTCATTTGACCTGGGTGCGAACAGGCTAGCTTTGACTCGATCTAAGTCGAGAGGCAAGCGACGGGCCGTCACCGCGGGTGCAGGCGATGTCCGAGATGTCTTGAATAAGCTAGGTATAGGAAAGCAGAATGGGGCTTCCCTTCTCAAAGCGTCTTTCCCTCCATATCGTTCCGATCAACGGTAAGGACTTGAAGCGCATATAACCTGAGACCATCAACTTACGAGATACTTTTCTATTCAGGACATCTCCGAGGTCGCCCCTTCCACCTTATCATACCTAAGATGATTGTCCAGTCATTCCCACTTTTCTTCGTACTATTTTATTGCCGACATAATATTTATCGTCTATCATCATCACATGTAGATTCTAACTGGATTTTGCAATTTTGGACTCATAGTCACTCACTTCCTTCCGGACCTTTTGCTTTCACTAACAGATATGATCCTTCGTCTCGCTTCTTCCTCCTTTTCTGCCCAATAAGCTATCTCTTTTTGTGACTTGGGGTGGGTGCTAAGATGTGTTCCTTTCTGGAACCAAAAGGTCAGCAGATGGAAGAAATAGGAATCACTTGACAGCCTCACACTTAAACCCTGCAATAGACCTTCGTATATCGTTGATTGTTTGGTCGCCTTTGCAATCGAATCAGCAATTGCGTCAGTGTGATGAATGATCAATTTTGTCAACTCTGTTCGAAATCGTAACAGACTGTGAAAGTTAGTACACTTGTCACCTGGGTAAAACAAGTTACTTACTTGGCGAAGATCATGGTCTCTTCATCCTGTTCCGTCAATATCACGAACGAATTGAACATGGTAATATATCTGTTACATATCTAGGAACAAACGTCAGAATCGGACACCAGAACCAAAGAACAGGACCCCTACACTCGAAACGGAAGCATCAGTTGTTGAAACAGCTCTACTGAAGTAGCTGCCGGTTGATCCGTCAGCCAACTTCTTCACTGATTCGATATGTTCAGACATGGCCTTTTGAAATACAGGCCACATTTGCAAACGCAGGGTAAATAGAAACGTCTCTAATGGTGGACAGTCGCGCCTCTGTACCTCCGCGACGACCGTTTCCGTGAGACGAATCATTGTGAGTAGAGGAGTGGTAGGTGGGATGGGTTCTAGAATCGAAGATATGAAAGCCTTGACGGTTATCTCAGTGGTGAACTGGTACTGTCGAGACGTGATCAGAGGACATACCTGACAATATGTCATGACTGGGTCCAAGATCTGCTTCCATATTGCATCGAAGGCTGCACGTTCCACCTTTGCCGTTGCATTTGGACGCAATGTACTCCTGCTATTAGGACCAGGAGTATTCTCACCAGTGATTCTTTGTGAACCTAGTTCAGACCCCACAACAAATTTCTGGTCATCAAACCCAACCTGATCAGGGGATAAGAGCGCAGCAGGAGAAAACAAGGCGCTGTTTGTTTCCTTTGTAGGTAATGACGAAAGAGGCTCCGAAGGGAAGAATGTTTTGATGAAAGAATACTCAGCGGTGGCATTATCCATCAAGACTAGAAAGAGTGACCTGAATACGGCCTCGATTGGTTCTTTCTGTATTCTAGACTCAATGAATTTGAAACAGGGTTAGTGTAGTGTACTCACGTGAGCCTTATCGTCGGCCATGTAGGCAAGGATAACGCTAGGTCCGTCTATCTTTGCATACCCAAGGCGTTCTGCATCCAACGGGGAGTCTTGCTTCTCACCAGCCCCTACGACTATGGTCTCAAGCCTCTCTGGGGTCCTGGCCTGATAGGAGGATTGAGAAGAATCTTGAGTGTATTGAAGTGATGTAGACCAACTTTTATCCATCCGAGACTACGGATGTACCGACGAAATCCCGTTTCATAGTATGTGCGTGATGCACCTATGTAGGCCCTTTGTACTTCCTGGGCTACACTGACTGCTTGACGTTGTAGAAAGGCGAATAAAGGTCTGTACTTCAAGAATATCGATGTTTGGATGACTTGCATATTCGCCGACATATTGGTGCGGACTGGTTGCAGTAGTGCCAAGAAAAAACTACGCAGTTTAGTTGCTGCCTTGTAAATCGCGTCAGCTTGTAAAATTTGAATCAATAGAATTTGAATGATACCACTATGCGTAAACCCTCGGCAACTTCTGCGAGGTCTCTAGCAGCCTTAACACGAGAACGAGCCTTCAGAGCGTCTAACCGTCTTTCAAAGTCGTCAATGGCTGGTATCCAAGGTTCGCCGACGTCAGTGTCTAGTATTAAAGTCGCCAGGGATGGAGGGATGGTCATGTCTGAGAGAAGGTTGGACAAAGGTTTCTCAATCCTCTGTGGACATAAATGATGCAGTTCAGTGGAGGACGGAACCTAGTGCGTATATGACTTACCCTTCGACTCTTTAGTCTATTTTCAATATCCTTACTTCTGTCCTGGAGTTCGGAAATTTGACCCGAGACTGACGACAAATCCTTCTGAAATGTTGAAAGGAACGTTTCTAAAGAATCTAGCAGGCTAACGCTAGTCTGCGGAGCATAAACACCTCGCAAACTATAGAGGGACATGGTGGGCACTTACTTGTACTTGGTCGTGAAGTTCCACATATTCCTTTGCTCGAACGCGAACTTGCGACATATGCAAATTTCTCAACGGAATGATAACGGTGTATGGTATCTGAAGCGAGACAAAGAACGTATGTAATTACCAGTGAACTTGAGTGAACTGCTAACAGACTTGCAGTGACGCGAGGGTGGCTGAGGCGACCTTCCCTAAGATCTGCTTGCTGACCTGGATTCGGTAACTCGTTCTCGCGCGATTATAGCTTGATACACTTTCGAGTGACTTTTGACGTGTAAACGCTACTCAATTCTAAGTGGTCTTACAGATGGAAATTTCGCTCACATAAAAACCCATCTGTAAGACCTAGAAGAATCTTGAAAGTGCTGTCAATAGTTTGCTTTTGGTCGTCCTTATCAAGACATCAGGATGGTACCTCGTTCCATTCGAATTCCAGTTCACTTTCGAACAGTCAGCCGCCCCCATTGACATATTGGACATTGGTACAGATCTATAGCTGCGATTCATCTTATCGTGTGCGCATTCGTGTTCTGCTTGTTGCTCTATGTCGATCAGCTTCAGGATAATACGCAAACTGTGGATGGGTATGTCACACTTCCCCATCGTGTGTTTGAATCCTTTAATCTCGTTTCTTCATTAAGCACTGGTCGCTATCATCTCCTTAATATGCATTGGGCTATCTCTTCACCTGTATACGCTTCATATATATGAAGCCAGTGTCCTAGGTGTTCTGGTAGGTATACCGGGCGTTGCCTTCATCGGTGCCCTATGGACGTACGTGTAGCTCAAGTCCGTCCAAATACTTTATTTGATCCACTGATTTGAAGCATATTGCGCAAGGCATTATTCAGCCCACAAATCGTGGCCGTAGAAGTTACCTGGGTATTCGGTCTTCTCCCATTTGAGATCCGTAAGGAACCAGCCCTTGTTTTAGTCCTCTGACACATGACATCTCTTCTACAGTCCTTGGACTGTTCTCTATGGACTTCGAAGGTGCGATACCCACTACGGTACATCTTGAATACCTGTTCCTCGAATGCTTTGTTTGGGCTCACTTTGCTCTTGGTATGTCGCTATTTCTTTCTGGTTCCACTTGACTGCAGCTATACTAGTCGTTGTATATGCAACTACTCTCGTCGTCTTGGCTTTAATCACTCAGTTGTTGTACGATCACAATATTTGGTCCCGTGACATAGACTCTAGCCCCTCGCCATTTCCCTTTCCTGTTATAATGGCCCATGCCTTCCCTTTCATGGCTCAGCGTATTCTAGGGCCTGAAGCAAGTGCTGATGCTGAATCATCGCCTCAATTATGTCTACCTGGGTGTACTTGCCATCGTAAGCTCCATTCTCAATCGTCCGACGAGACTACAATGGCAAGAGAATTCAGCAACATCCCCAGCCTCGAGAGCAGATCGAGTCAAGCCGGTAGCACTCGATCCACGGTGCCCATACGTATCCCAACGTCCATGGAAAGGCGCCAAACCATAGCGGTTACCCTCCGACGTTCATCGCAACCTTGATCGATATATTTTTGTAAATCATTGCTTGATTTTTTATTTGTCACAAGTTTGTACCCTATCATGTCCCTATCACAAAGACGAAAACAATTTAGCAGAGCATTGCGGTGTGTAAAGAAAAGCAGCGACATTCGACATTTCGACATTAAATTCAATGTGGATGTAAAGTAAAAATCATATTATATAGAAAGGGTTCCTCGATTCCTTGAACCAGAACAGTCATACGTCGATGATTTGTGATATTATACCCCGTCATGCTGCGAGCTCTTCCTGGATCTGCTCTAGCACCAAGGGATCCGCTTTGTCGAGATATTGGCTCTTGAACACATGGGAGCCCCCACATGCAACTTCTGCCTCTTGCAAACGAGCGGAAACAAATGAGGTAAGCTGGACTGTTCGAACTGGATCATTGTCATGGAGCTATGAATATGTCATTACTAAGGCGAAGCAGCATATGAAGCACAACTACATACCAGTTTTCGACGTTCGAACTCCGGCGTTCCTTCTGACCCGTGCCAGTAAGAGGCGGGCACTTCGTCCTGATCCCAATGCAGACTCAGAGGCGAACTCATGGGGCTATTATGGTCGAGACGGGGGATAGGCTCGTGAGCTACCATATTCATTAAGACAAGTTTAGATCATCACCAACCTACTACCACGTTCTTGAGCGAACATTAGAGTCTCTTTCATTTCGCCAAAGACGTCAAGAAAGATGTTGAAGATTTCAGTAGGCAAGCGAGCAAGGGCCTCAGGGCAACCGGTAGATACAAAGGATGAAATACCCAGTGTAGTTAGCTTCCGGAACCTTGGCTCAGACATATTGTCGAACTGTGTCAATGAGAGGTTAGATCAGTGTGCTCCAACGTGACTTATGTTATCTACCCGAGCCCACCACTCATCTAGGATCCCCTCATAAACTTTGGAGGCCGTAGTTTTTTGAGATTCGGCTGCCGCGGATGCAAGCTGAAGGAAAATCTGGCGATCGGTTAATGCAATGCGTGCGATTAGATGTATGCACTCTGTCCTGATCGCGGTGTTCGACTTTTCGGAACATATATCAGCTCCAAACGATACACTGAAGGTATGAATCTTACTTCAGGGTCGTTGATAGTAACTAGCACTTGGGCAAAGAGTCCCGAAACATGCATGGGAGCTCCCCAGAGAGATGGCGGGGCAAGTTGCATAAGAAAGTTAAGAGACGCATATATTTCTTTGAGATTTGTCGAGATTGCTTTCCCAGTGAGAGCGCTGACGTATGCATTAAACAGATCGAGCGGGGAGTTCTGTACTACGGTTAGTCGTGAAGCACCAACCCTCGAATTCGGCCATACCTGCAGGATGAACGTTGCGTCTAGGAAGAGGTATGATTCAACTATCCATATGATTCTACCCAGCAAGTCAAGATTCTCGGCAAGCAATGACGTGGCCAAAGGGAACAGGTCGATAAGAGCAGGTTGACCATTCGAATTGTGAATCGTTGTAGCATTCCTGAGCGCAGTCTCCCACAGGATGAGAGTATCTTCGTCAATGTGAACCACAGACTTATCAAAAGAGATCAACAAGCCTGAGATGAGGTCATGGGACAAAACCAATGCTCACACCAGGGGAAAGACCTTCTCGAATCAACGGGACAAATAGTGGGCTCAGTGATCCAGACTGTTCCCTGGTAGACTACCTTATGGTGAGGAAGATGCCTACAGATACTAAGTATCGCATACCTCAATGAGTTTTGTGACCGTATCTAGCAAAGATGCCTTAAATAGCCAGTCGGTTTCAAAGGAAGTCCCTTGTTTGACCGTAAGATCAGATTTAGCAAATCAAAGGGGTGAACTCACAAAGTGGTGGTATTGACTGCGCTATCATTTGTGAAAGAGGTATGATCTACGGTTGTAAATTCTAGGGTGAACCATGAAATAGGACTTAAGAAGGCTTACTCTGATACCTGCACGTTCAATTATCGCATTGAGACTTCTCACGATACGTCGTTTACTTTCTAGTGTATCTGCTTCACCGATTATTTGAACGAGTTCGGTTACCGCCGCGGGCAAGAAGGGCGCAAACACGTCGATGTCAAAGCTAATAGTCTACATAACAAAGATCATGATTAGTCATGCTCGTAAGAAGGTAATCATAATTACGAACGTCTACACATTCGCGCAATGCGCCTGCAGCAGTGAGCCTTACTACAGCATCTGACCCAGGACCGCGATCACGAAGAAGGTGGACCAGGACTTCCCAGATATTGGGATCATTGGCAGGAGAACACATGTCGCCGATCCATTTTCCAATAAGCCATGCTATGCGACGCTTTACGATAGGAAAACTAGCGACAACTTGAAAAAAGATAGACAACACCAAATTTATTAAACTACGTACTTAGAGTTTGTTTCCCGAGCCTCTGTAATAAGATTTTGCTGCAGCCACTGTTGGAATGGAATGACTTCTTGTAGATGAGGAGCACAACGGCCGATAGCACAGTAGAGGGCTTCCTTCTGTATAACACTCGGTAAATCGACGGCTGGTTGTGCTAGATAGGGGTTTTCAATAGAGTCCACTATTATGAATGATAAATACTAACATATAGTTTGTGAAAAAGTGGTCTGAAGTAGTGGGATGACATAGTCCTTATATTGAGAACATAGAGTCATGAGAACACGTTCCCCACAAGGCTACCGAGAGCGAAATTCCTTTATTAGACAAATAAGACGTTAGATAGATGAGACCATTACGTACACGTAACTCAAACTCCCATTGCTCGTTCTCTTTATCTTCTATGTTGACCCACTCTTCAGGATCAGCCATCCATCCCTCCAGATCTGAAGGTTTGAGAGGAATGAAACGGGACACGAGTAATCGGACAGCATCTTCTACAAATTGCTGAGAGAGTGCTATGACACGTCGTCAGCACTACGAAAGATCTTAGGTATTTTTAGAGCTTCACTGTTCTCGTTCGTAGTCTTCTTCTTTCGTTGAGGTGTCCATTGTGCCAGATTTTCTTTGAAAAGGACCATTGCTTGAACCAGGAAGCGCAGGGGGAAGATAGCATTGTTCGAGTCTGTTGAATGATCCATTAGTTGGACTTTAAACGTATCCCACGTAGTGATATTCACCTTCGATAAACTCCGAAGGAGCATCCGTGGCCTGAACCACCTTACTCCAATAATACAAGACCAAATCATCGCACATCGGGAGCTCAACGAACTTGGGTGTGACAAGCTGTTGCAGCCTTCGAAAGAACTTGCCAAAAACACGCACGTGTCGAGTCAACTGATCGATAGCTTTGGATGCAGTAGGCCCTGGTGAAGTAGATGAGGAACGGATTGTCATAAGAAGATTGATGCGTAGTTCCGTAAGTGCCTGTAATTGCATGACAGAGCCTTGAAACATTTGGAGGAACTAACATTGATAAGTTCATGAGCAACATAAATGTCAAACAAGTCTAAAGATATACCCATGGTTGCAGAGATAAAAACTCGTTTTTTCCAGGCATGTCATTTCGGTGCCAAATCCAAGTCGCCATGCGGAAGAGGCACTTATAGACTAGATGACCTAGGATAAGATCATCGACAGTACGTTGCTCGTCGAGAGCAGAGGGGGTTAAAGAGGAAAATGTCGAGGATATTTTACTGTAGTATTCGTAAAGGATGCCATGGAGATAGTTAACAAGCTATATCATATTATAAATGAGTACGTGGTGTAAGGACCGAGACAAATGTAATCTTACATTGCCCATAACCTGGACCCCTTGCAGTAGTCTTGCGTTCCACAACCCCTTGATCAACGTGTTCAAGAGCTGGAAACACCTCCGTAACACGAGCGTTGGCAGAGGTTCGACGTTAGTTGTCGCATAGCGTAATTGGAGGTTAGTATTGACAATTTGCATGATATCTGTTAGTAGAGAACTCCTGCGATTGTGTTTGAGTGATACACGTGCAAAGACCTTTGCCCCATTAAACACTGACCAACTCTTTGGGAAGTCCTTTCGTGCGATCCCCGATACGATAACTTCGTTACATTCTGCAATCTAGTTCCAGGCCACCAAAGGAAATGAGCAAATCATGCATCCATAATCTCATGACATACCGTGTCATCTGGTTCATCCAAGAAAGTAAAGCAACGAACACGGATTCGAATGCGATGTTCCTCTGACAAAAGTCTGTTCGATTGTCAGAACAAAGCAGGGAACGCGAGGCGAAAAGCACGCACTTTCTTGACCTCCAGTGGTCCAGAGCAGCGTTCTTAAACTGTATTATGCTTTGTTGACGCACATGCAATGGCACGGACTTTTCAGCAGCTATTTCATGCAGCAAATCATAAGTACCAAATCGGTCTAGAAGTTCCTTTAAACGTTTGCTGGAAGCTTGGACTTGGGCTGGATTTTGCGAAGAGGCTCCAGATATAACATCATAAAGCTCTTCTTTTGAAACGCCTTCAGTTTCCATGTCCGTTCTTTGCATTGTGTCAAGGGTGAAGAGATCGATAGTAAAGCAAGGGTTTACGGTAGTAACCTACTTATACTACGCGCCGCGAGGCAAAGGACTGAAATAATTAGGGTGTAACAAGAACAAATAACGCGTTCAAGTTGCGGTCATCTTTGTTTTCTTTGTAGTCCTTTTAGTCTTTCAAGCTGTCGCTCACACGAGATAAATGTTTACACACAGCTATAAGTAATGATGAAGACTGAACGGCGTCGCAGAGCAAAAGAGGACGAGGATGTGGTGGAAGATTCCGAACCGGAGAGAGAAGAGCAAAGACAGCGAGAGAAAAGAGAGCGGAAAAGGAGAAAATGTATGTCTTCAGAGGCAATGGTTGCCACCTTTGAGAACAAAAGCAAGGAACCAATTACTGTACAGCTTGAATATCAGGAACAGATCGGTCAAAATCAGCATGCAGCCGCGAGGATCACGGGTACGACTTTTAAACTTGCTTATAGCCCCTGTGCGTTCGCTTATGACAACCATGTAGACATTATGGCCCCTGCTGAGGTGGAAATGTCTTGTCCTTGTGTTATGGACATGAACGCTGAGAGTGTGCAGTCTACTGTTGACGCTATCATGCTGGTCGATCATGCTGGTAGGCATCGATGTGCATTTGCTAGTTGAGCATTAACTGACCTCTCAATCGCAACTTCTGTCAGATGGAACCGACTGTGTAGAAAAGCCCCCAGCTAATTTAGGGCCATTCCAGTCCGAAAGTGCTGCTCTTCCGTTTCAAAAACCAATCAGGCGTTCGTTTCCTACTCCCCCCCCTATCGAATTCTTAGCGGCTTCTGACGACTCAGAAGATGAAGGAGGTAGCAACCGTTTAAAGCTCAATCGTTTTGCTTTCAAGGTGTCCCAATCCTCCATTCGCTCTGGCTCTTTTCCCAGGACAGGACACTCGCACCCTGGTTCATTGGTAACTGTTGGCTTGGCTCCATTGCCTAAAGCGAAGAAATCCCAATCCATGAGCCTTCACTTCGCAGAGAATTTCTCCAACGCTGAAATTGGTAGACTCAAGAAATGCATCAGCTGTGACGCTCGTTGGACTACTAGGAAAAGTGCAAATCAAAAAATGGCGCATATGCAATCATGTACGAAAAAGAACGCTCTTTCAGACACCACAGTTCGAGCTTTGATTCAGAAGGAGGTTGATGCTGCTTCAGACGATGATATCTCAAAAAAGGGGAAAGCCAAGGCCTCGGAACAGGACGATACTACCACGACCTATCTGGAAAAATTGGTAAACGGTGTATCTTCTAAGAAAGGTAGACGTCCGACTGTGCTGGAGACTGTGAAAACGCTTCCGGAGACCCGGGGTGATATACTTGCCAGAGCGCGTGCTGTTCTGGGGAACAGACAAGCAGAGCCCTTTGATGCAGAACCCAACACCACACAAGTATTTGGACAGAGTAAACTCGTTTCCAAAGTTCCACATCCTCTGGCTAGCATACACTCTACGCAAATTTTCGCGGAAAGCGCTCTCGGACACAAGCAGACACTTCAAGGCTGAGCCTCGCCCTCATATTTCTCCAGCTGAAATTCATTTTGCAGTTGATCGCTTTGAATTTTCCCCCCTCTCGCTAGTGATAGCTACGGCTTCTAAGTTATTAAACCTCACTGTTTATGGATACGACTGCATGACTGCATGATCATATTTTGTAGCATTATAATTATTTCCCGTGGTATGCACCTTAGAAACCTTTCCATCGTCTCACCCACTGACAAGAATGCAATAGGACCCACCACAGCTACTATCATTATGGCACGAATGCGTCCGCAACGGCACACGGATAAATACAAATTATGCACACCGGCCTGAGAGATATCTGTATATTACATTGCTGCACTCGTAAGAAAGAATGCTTGTTGTACATTATGTCACTAGATCACACGACGAGTTCACCAAAAATTTTGTTTGTGAATTGGACTCGGTTTTTCGTATCGTACTTCCATCGTACTTGTTATATATTATCCTCTAGATAGGCTTGCAAGATGGGAACATAAGTAAATCAAGACTTCACGACTCCACTTGGATTGACAGTGCTCCTTTTTTGTAACGTTTTCATTCTTCGAGTTACGTAACACTCTTTGGAGCCTGCAGATAAGTGTACACTGGCACGTTCGAGAGGCCGGTTATCGTTACTCTCGCCATGTCAGAGCAACCCTCGCATCTGGGGGACGAAGTCACGCCGCTGCGTCGCTCGAAAGACTCTGACCATACTTCAAGCCCTCATTCTGAGCAGGAGCTCAAAAATTATATTTCGGAACCCACTAGCGAAAACAACGCACATGACAACGATTCAGATACGACAGGAACCAACTCGTCAGATGAATTTAACTGGGATGAAGACGATGAATTGACAGGGAATGGCAATCAAGCCAGTCCGAAAGCCAGAAGAGGCAGAGCCCTCTGGCTTGCCTTCATGAAACTGGCCAGACCTGTCCGGACGCTACTGGTGGGAGTATTGGGTGCAGGCATCCTCATTTCTCCTCTCTTGGTCGTCGAATTGAAGTATAAAGACGAAAGTTCCGTTCGCCCCCAGGTTCACGCATGGTCCCTCTGGTTGTCGATTACATGGGCAGCCGGTTGTGCTACATACCTCGTCGTCGACGCCATCCCCCGTCTAGCGATATCCCTCCTTGTTCTATACGGCGCACAAGTAGAAAGTTTAAAGACGCAGATCGAGGTATATATTTATAATCATTGCATACGAATCTTTTACTCTTACTTACTTCCCCCCTCCCCCCCTACTGTGTAGCTCGCACTCGCAGTCTCTGGATGGGTCAAACTTGCACTGGATATATCTTGGGCTTGGATAGCGCTGTCCGCTATAAGAGCATTTTACAAACCCCCAGGTTCATATTGGGTTATCATCAATCGTGTTATGCAGGTACTGTCGTATTATCCAACCTACCATGGAGTTACTGCAACCGCACTTGTAGGCTCTTTTTACAGCAGGTATAATACTTCTCGCAGAAAAGCTGTTCCTACATTTCGTCGCCATCAGCTTCCATCAGAAAGCATTGGCAGACCGCTTGGCTGAGAACCGCCTGGGATTGAAAACCTTGGACCGTCTTTCAAATGCTCAGCCAACGCCCGCAAAAAAAGGTTCTTACGCTAAGAAAGGTCACAAAAGTGCCCTCAGTTCTTTTGGAACTTCTCTTGACCTTCATGGAGTGCAACGTCGACGATCCCATCACGATGAAGGGCAAGATGGCCAGAGCAGCGCTGGAGGCTCACCCCTGATAGAAAAATCTGAAGCTCCCACAACTTCTACAATTCCTGTGCTTGGACGTTTGAAGAGTATTCGCGCTGGTCATGCGGAGAGGAAACGTAGGAGGCGCAAGGTCATGGCATCAATCATTGTCGATCAATTAGGTGGTGCTATCGGCCAGGTCGCTTTGAAGAACTCCAGGTTCCATCGAGATGGAGATCTTGGTGGTTTACATTCCGCCAGGAGGCTGGCTATGAAGTTATTTAGCGTCCTTAGCGACGTTGATCCGCCAAGATCGCACCTCGTTGTAGAAGGTATGTTGTATACCTTAGTTAATTAAGAACAATCGTTTATTGGGATGGAGCAGATTTTTATCCCTATTTCCGAACAACCGCAGAAGCTGTGCGTGTTTTGAAACTCAAGACCAAACTTTTATCTAAATCTTGTAGCAACTCAGCATGCCGCATTCGCAATCTTTGACCAAGATGCAAACGGTGATATCAGTAAAAGAGAGATGAGAGAATCAGTTCAAAGGATTTATCGTGAGCGCAAGGCTTTGGTTACTAGCCTCAAAGTCAGTCATTCTGGGCGAAGTATGCCTTGCGGTTATGATACTAATAGCTTGCTTTCAGGACGTAGACTCAGTAGTGGCAAAGCTTGATGCGGTTCTTATTGCTATTGCTTTGTTAGGTATCCTCTTCGCTTGTCTGCTGATCTTCAACAAAAGTAATACCTTGGCATCTCTTGTTCCACTTGCGACAATCATCCTGGGATTTTCGTTCATTTTTGGTCACTCTGCGCAGACTCTATTTGAATCGGTATGTATAAATCGCTGCTCGTCCCTTAACGCAGCACTGATCATCCTTGCGTGTACACAATGCCTAGCTTATCTTCATATTCTCCACTCATGTGTTTGACGTTGGTGATCTAGTCATGATTGATGACCAGGTATCTAAATTAGGATTTTCATCAGCTATTGGATAGTGATTCCTGAACCCTTTATAGGCGTTGTATGTGCGCGAATTTGGACTATTTTCCACTACATTCCGACGAACAGATGGTCAAGAAATTATTGCACCAAATGCCATACTTGCTAGCACAAAGCTTGTCCACAATCTTCGACGAAGTAACTCGATGTGCGTATTTTCCACTAATCTTTGGTGATTATCCACTAACAAGGTTCAAAGGTGGGAAAGTACTACCTTGATGATTTCCTATAATACCTCTCTTGAGATTGTTGAACAACTCAAACAACGTATTCAGGCGTATATCGCACAGAACAGCCGTGAATGGTCCGGCTGTGGTGTATCCATCGACAAGATGGAATATCAAAATGCGATTCATCTCACTATCTCCGTGGAACGTTCGTACAGCGTCACACTAGTTTGTTTAACACCATCTCTCTGACATGGACTGTACAGATCGTCCTAACTGGCAAGACTGGGGTGGCCGCTGGGCTCGAAGGAACGCTTTTATGCGAAACCTGAAAACAATACTCGAAGAACTTGATGTTAGGTATACCAAGCCTGTACAACCAGTCTTGATGCCCAATCCTCCCACAAGCGGGTCCCGGTCTCACTAGAGATATCTGGGTGTGACCTCTCAGACGACAACCTCCTGGTCACAAATTGTGTGTACTGATCTAACACCTGTTGAAGGCGGCATGTATAAATACAAATATACATATGGAATATATATCCAACATCTAACCTCTTCAGCAACTCTAATATGGATTCAAGTCATTAACGCAATGGAGTTCTAGAGAGCGACTGCAGATAAACCAGCTACTTCAATGATGCCACCGACAAGATGTAGACTACCAGTGACAAGGACATTGACCTCACGTTCGCCCGTAGGTGGTGAGGCAATGGTTCGCACTTTGTTGACGGCATGTTCAATGGATGGTAGGACGTGGATGGCATCTGTAGGGAATGATGGGACGAGAGCAGTCCATGCGTCTGCAAGTTCGTGCTGGGTTTTGAGATGGACCAATTCGGAAGTGGGCATTGCAAGGGAGGTCAAATCTAACGATATATATTCTTAGTGTACAGGATTCGCATCACTGACTGATGAATTTTGACGTACCACCTTTGAACCCACCATCCGCGTACGTGACGTTACTGCAGAAGATGACATGGTCGAACAACTCTTCGGTAGTTTCTTTAACACCATGTAGCTGGAGCTGCGCTCTCGCCTTCGTGATTATAGAACCCAGGAATGATGTGCCTGATCTTCCGTTTGTACAATTGAAGATCAAGACCCGCGGTGGGCGACTTCTGTTCGCCAAGGCATAGTCACTACATGAATCATATGGACACAAAAGGTAACACACATATCTGAGGGGTTGGGTACCGGTGCGATTCCAACACCAGGACTTATGAACCACTGCACACAACAATCGAGACTCTCGACGGTATGTGCTCCATCAAGGAACCATGTAGTGTTTGAATATTGGGGGTCGGGAACTGTCTGACAGCGACCAGGCCATTTGGTGTTCTCGAGACCTGGAATAAACTCCTTGGGGAGTTTATTGTCTGTTTCTGCGTAGGACGGTAAGGCGCCCCGCGAACTTAGGAATATGCGCGCCATAGAGACAGCAAGTGCAGCGTTTTGCACCTGGTGTTCACCTGCCAAACCTGTATCCCATGAAGGCGACTATATATTAGTAATATCAGAGAAACGAATAAACAAGGGAACGTGCCCAATTTGATGGAGGAAAGTCCGGGAATAAATGGTACTATAGTGAACTCGGAGGCCTGTATAGCTAACATTAGTAAAGGTATCACTGATGGAGCTAGGTGCTTAGGACACCCACTTTGAGCTCTTCCGCTCGAGCTTGCAACACCTTCATCCCCTCCTCGGGCTGATTTACTGTCAAAGCAGGCACCCCTTCCTGCAAGCATAATCAGTATGATGTGCAACATACAAGATTTTTCCACTCGCCTTATATATGCCGCCCTTCTGCCAGGCAATCTCTGATATTGTCTTTCCGAGGACAGACGTGTGATCTAATCCTAAGGCGGTCACTCCGGCAACAATAGGTTTTGGTACTATATTCGTGCTGTCAGAGGCACCTCCAATGCCAACTTCTAATATTGTAGCGTCAACCTGTGGATCGTCAACAAGAAACAGTGCGTGATAAAGAGTATACTTACCTTTAACGTCAAGAACGCATGATATGCTAAGAGAGTAAGATAGCGGAAATAGTTGGGCATAGGTGGTGTAGCAGGGTCCTCTCTCTGAGATTGGCGTTTGAAACAAGCTTTGGAGATGTGACGAAAGAGAACAGACCACATCGTTTGCCTTTAATCTGTCCCACACTTCAAAGAAAAACTTGGCAAAAACTTCCTCTGATATTGGTTTTCCATTGATGCGAATACGCTCACGAACTGCCACCAGATGTGGGGAGCTGTAGAGCCCTGAAAATTTCCGTAGGTGTGGTGTTCTGTGTTCTGTATTCTTTCTAGGACATCTACATACCTACATTCCAATCTGGTTTGGCATGTCGCAAGATAGAGTCTGTAAAAGCACTAGTTGATCCTTTCCCCTTTGTTCCCGTTATATGAATGACATTAAGCCTGTTCAAGCCTTGAGTCTATTTTGTGGGGTTGAGAATCGTGAACGGACAGATGAGAATGACATACGGTATATCCAATTCTCCCCAGATATTCTATCGTTTCTGGTATGGCATTCGGATTTAGACGTGCTCCAGCAGCTCTAACGGCTTCAAGGGTGGCGGCATTGGATTGAAGGGTGTTTAGGTGTTCTATGGCGTCCTTATAGGACCGCGTGGACATTTTTCTGGAGGTGAAAGAGAAACGGTGATTATTTACAGATAAAGATCGGAAACGAAAAGGTAACGAGAAGGCGATGCGCATCAGCAATCCAAGAAACAGGCTGAAAAGGCAGTCATGGGTAAAAAGCAAGCTAATCCAGAACAGAAATTGACTCGTCAACTGCAAAATTAGTCTTGTCCCGATAGCAGGCACGTGATACATATTCGACGCGTGATAACGTAAATCACTCCTCTGGTTCAAACCTCATCAATAAATGTTTCACTCGATACTCTAACATGGATAAGTGGGTGACAATCACAAAACCGTCCTCCATCGGACGTGCAACCAACATCAACAAAGACAATAACAAGGCTAAGAACAAGTACAGCCCCTATAAGTTCAAGTCATCTGGGAAAATCACCTCAGAAAATTCAAAGAATAAGGATGCTGTCGAAAGGTTTTATTATCCCCATCATAATGTCCCCATGCCACTGAAACGGATTGCATCCAATCTAGAATACTCGCGCCTCTTATTAAAGATGGTAACAAGCCTTCTTCATCTGCAATCACAAAGCAGCTTTTGAAGACCCTCCCCGACGAATCCAATCCAATAACGAACTCCGATATATACGAGCGTTCAGGTATATTTTCTTTTTCCTCAATTTGCGTAGTGTTAATAGCAAGGGAATACACACGCTAGATCACGTTGTATCTGCTGCCACCGGTCACCAGCGCTCTGAAATGCGAAGTAGTCATCGCCAAGAGTACTTTGAATATCGCACCAAGAAACTAGCGGAGCAAAAATCTCTCAAGGCAGACAATCAAGTTTTGTGTGATGTGCGCGTGTATATCGACGGCTTCCTGCAAGATACCACCGACATAGAGCTGAAGCGTGTGATTTCCCTCGCTGGAGGCATTGCGCTGTTTGTTCTTCATTTTTTGTGCGTCAGCCGTCTGGTTTCTTACCACCTTTAAAGAAACACACCAACTGGCGCGACACATATAATCACTTCTCAACAACTAAGTGGATCCAAGACACACAAGCTTCTAAATACCAAGTCCAGAAAATCTGTACGCGTTGTTAGGCCAGAGTGGATAACAGACAGTATCAGTGCTGGTAAAAGACAGCGAGAAGCCGATTACGCGGTCATCAAGTTGACGAGCACAAGAAATATTGTGGACATGTTCAAAGCTGACAGGTTCAGCCCAACCCCACTGTAGATAGTTGTGGTGCAATTTCGGCAGCTTCGTGTATTCCATACAGCGAATTGTATCCATAGCAGAATTTCAGTTTGTATAGGATGCTTTATTGGATGATGGTAAACCTGAGTAAGGTGTAACTGTTGATCAGGAATACCTACAAAATCGGACAAGGCGTGGCTTCAATACCTCATGTGATCTCCCAACACATGATGCATGGTGCTCTCATCACAGCGTAATTTATCACTCTGAGAATGATCCACTGTAACTACCCATGCTTCCTGAAATATCTGTGGATCCCAGCTCGCTGCTAAATTCATAGTCATCGTCACTCCCCTCCGAACCAGAATCTCTCGAAGATATCGATACCTCAGCCTCCCATCGGTCGGCACCTCGTACGTTCTCTGCACATCGCAAGCACTCCCATCCTAAATCATCTAAACCTTCATCTGCTGTACGTATCATCCGTTCGGCGATACAGTGGTAGCAGTATATGTGTCCACAAGACGTGATGTATGGCGTATATATTGGGTACGGCGGCACCTCGTCTTCAGCAGCTGCCTGTGATGTTGAAGATGAATCGCTAGTATTAGAGAATGGAGATGCCGTGGTGAGGGACGTGAGGGCATTGGCAGAATCCGACAAATTCAGATTGAACGAGGCATTCTCTGCGCATATTGCACATTGGTCATTGGAGAGTGTCCAGTATTTACCGCGTTTCTGCGGTTTCTCTCTGGCGAGGCTTGTGGGAGAGAAGGAGGGAAGGAATCTCGATAAAGCCAATTTAGATGAAAGGCGGGAAAGGCGACGCTGTAAGGACCGTGCGCTAACAAGAGGCAGAAGAAAGAGAAGGAATTCCTGAGTATGATGCATCAGAACGGGGCAGGTGGGTGGAGTGTAATTAGAAGCTTACGGTAAAGGCGTGCCAAACCATCTGGCGGTTCATAAACTCATAGCTAACCTCGCGCTTCACCAGATTGCGACTGGGAACAAGCGCCAAACGCAATATTCTATCTGCTATTGTGCGATAACTGTCCCAAACGTGGTTAGAGACCATATTGATGGTCATATACACTAAAACCTTACCGTCCATCCCATAAAAACGCGACAAAGCTTGCTAGGGCGCACAACGCGTGAGTTGATTCAAGACGAGTCAAAAAATTCCAAGCTTTTCGCCTCCTATCGGACGAGGGAGTATCAGGCCAAGCGTGTGAGAGCGCATGAGCTCGTAAGCGATTGTGGAGATAAGGAATGATGATGGTCAGCGTGCCATGTATGAGAAGTAACCGACGAGGGAGTTTTTGGGCTGCAAGTTTTGCAATTTGCTCTCACTATGCAGGTGACGAGAATATATTATTTTAACACTCACAAGATGTATTTGAGGAACTAGGTGCAATATACTTGAGACCCTGGAGCTTGGCACCATAGCTTGCACCAGTGCTCCATATCGAAAGCTTGTACAGAGTCAATTGGATCAGGAGACTCAGTTCTGGTTCAAATCGAGCTTTAAGAGTAGCCTAAATCGACAATCAGATGTTAAACCTCCGTGTAGTTAAGGCACATACGTTGACGAGAACTAGTGCTTTGCTCAATGGCTCCTGGAGCAAATGGACGAGCTCTTGGTCAAGAAGTTCGGCATCAAGCTGACCAACTCGAATGATACGTGGGTCTGGCGATGTACTGGAACTCAATGACTCTCGTATAGATGCAAGTTTCGGTTGTGCGGTGTCCCAAGCCTGCTGCCAGACGCTTGTTGCCCCATTGCTGGCGGACATGGTGGTGGTGATTGAAGAATACTGTATAAACCACGTGACTGGATAACATTTATCTACGATCGACTTTTTGCTTTGACTCGATTCTAGCAGATTGTAACACGGAACGAACATCGCTTGTAAATCCGCTTTCCTTCATCAACCATCACCACAGCGATGGCGGAGACTTTGCAGCAACTCATATTGGACACCTTGGAGTCCTCATCCACGATAAAGGACACACGAACACTTGTCATCCCTGGACAGTCAGACCCTGCAGCAAGTCAGGATGCTCAAATCGCCATTCTTGGAGCGTTAAACTCACTTTTCAGTCGTGAAGTATGCCTTTAAAACTCGAAGTTATGTGCTGATTCTAACTATGTATATCGATTTCTAGATGATCACGTATGATACCCACGAAACACTCTCCCATGTTCTTACTCCAGAAGGTGCACAACTAGTCCTCGAGGGGTCTCACGAAGCTAGGGTGTGGGCTGCACTTCCTGTCAAAGGAGAAGGTACCCCGGTTACTCCTCTCGAGCTCAAGTCTAGGGTTGGAGACGAGACAGCCAAGGTGGGGCAGGGTCGTGCTTTTAAGAGCGGATGGATTGCAAAGGAAGGGAGTGGACTTGTGAAATCGGTACATTTACTTTGATTATTTCACCTCATATATGGCTGAACTCCTCCTGGTAGGCTCTAACCATTACAGATACGACACAGCTAGACCTGCGTGAGGTGGATTCTACTGGGACTCTCCAAAGTGGCGAAAAGGTCCTTGCTGAATTACGAAAAAGAAAACTTATCGTCCAACGGTAATAGATAATTCGATGTCTATCTGTTCCTATCTGATTTCGATCGCTCAGGAAGGGTCAATGGTTCTCGGTGCGCAAGGGTGCAAATTTCAGCACGTCGACGGCAAAGCCTGAGACCGATCTAACAGTAGATATGTTGACTTCGTACGTGTCTCCTTGTGAGGGTTTCTTATAAACCTGATTTTGCTTTATTTGATTCAAGGGGAGCGTGGAAGACATCGACTTTCAAAAAATACAACTTCGAAGCAGAGGGTATACCCACTAATGGAGGTGCACTCCACCCACTCCTCAAAGTTAGAGAGGAGATTCGAAATATCTTCTTGGAGATGGGGTAAGTTCGGCAACGCCTACAGAGTACTTTCTGTATTGACCGTAATTTAGGTTCGAAGAGATGCCGACGAGCGCTTTTGTTGAGTCCGGTTTCTGGTGTTTTGATGCATTATTCGTACCACAACAACATCCTGCAAGAGACTTGCAGGACACCTTTTACTTATCAGGTACAGCACGTTAATAGATCAAGCATTTTCTACGTAATTAACATTGATGTTTAATAGATCCATCTACGTCCCTCGAACCCCCATCAGACTATTACAAACGAGTTTCAGAGGTCCACCAGAACGGGGGGTATGGTTCATTAGGATACCGAGCTCCTTGGTCACACGAAGAATCTCGAAAACTTCTTTTGCGTACGCACACTACGGCCTCCTCTGCTGCGGTGCTTTACAAACTAGCAGGAAAATGCAGAGGCAAGAAGGTAGACGATGAAGCTCTTGATTCTACAACTGGTGGGTCACTGGCTGCGACGGACGACGGATTCCGTCCGGCCAAAATGTTCAGTATCGATCGGGTGTTCAGAAACGAAACGATGGATGCAACGCATTTGGCTGAATTCCATCAGGTGGAGGGAGTCGTTGCCGACCGGAACCTTACACTAGCAGATCTGATAGGTGCGTTTCGTGTTACTTCAAGCATATGTACTGAAAATGATCTTGCTTGTTGTTAGGGTTCATGAGAGTCTTCTTCAAGAAAATGGGAATTGAAAATCTAAGGTTCAAACCTGCGTTCAACCCCTACACAGAGGTATGGCCTTCTTTCTATATAGTGGGCTATCTCAGGAACTTACATCGAACATAAAAGCCATCCTTGGAAATCTTTGCTTTCCATCCCTACCTGAACAAGTGGGTTGAAATAGGCAACAGTGGTATGTTCCGTCCTGAAATGTTGGAACCGATGGGTTTGCCAAAGGATGTACGAGTACTCGGGTGGGGAGTTAGTTTAGAAAGGCCAACCATGATTCGGTGTGTTATTTACTGTGTTTCACTGATGACAGTTCACTCACCTCTATGTCAAGTTATGGTATTAATAATATCCGAACGCTTGTCGGGCACAAGACATCGATCGAGAATGTTGAGAGCTCCCCTGCTGTCAGGTTCTAAACAAATAAATTGTGTAGCAAACTAGACTTTAGGAGGGATCTTGTAGTGATAGTCTTGTATCGTTTATCATAGGTGTATGAGACAGAAGTTTGAAGTCAAGTATATGTTCGATCGGGGTGTATCATTTTGAATTGCTTTTTATTGTGGTATGTATGTAGTGTTTTTGTTGGAGTTCAAGATATACAGTACTTTGATCTAACGGTAAGCTTCTATAAATATTTATCACTAGGTCCGTGGTATATTTAATATACTTGTGTCTTTGTCCAGAGGAATATCTGCCCATGGTGACACAGAATCAGAAAGAGAAAACAGCAGCATTCTTCCGCGATCCAAACATGTATACGAGCGCTTGGCTCATGAACAGTCCGACCGTAATACCAATAGTCACAGCAATCATGGCGCCACCTATGTCAACCCCATTGCCATCATTTGCAGTGATACCTCCCGCTTGTGAGAGACCAGACTGTAAAAAGACATTCAGCACTCTTTCTAGGCTGACGACAGGCACGTAACTTACAGGCACCAAGAACAGTACACCAGTAACCATGGATGTAAAAGCTGTACCGCCCATCTTGCGTGAGTAGATGTTTCCGAGGAGCCCGACTGTGAATGCTCCGATGGCGGAAACGATATCAGAACGGTTGAATATGTAGTGATTGGCTATACTATTCGAGGCATATGACGCGCAAGAAATCACAATCATGACAGGTAGCTGCTTGCTCTTCCAGGGCTGCAGATTAGCGAGCGAGGAAAGGAGGGAGAAAATTGGAACAATGACGAATTGAGTCCAGAGAGGGAATGGTTGAATGTACCATGGGAAAGAAGAAGGGCGGTAACATCCATTGATGATATCTTTCTCTATGACGTTGGTAGCGTTCGTGAAGGTGAATGTACCTTCAATGAGAGGCGCTGTGGCATTGAATACGGTGGCATTGTCCGTCGTAAATGTTCCCATAAGCGTGATTGACGTAGACATGGCTCCAGACAATGTCTGCAGGCTGTGCCGTGCACCAGGGTCAAAGAGCAGGTACAAGTCAGAGCCAATTTGGAGACCAAACCCCTGAATGATCATCAGAACCATGTGTCGAATTTTGTAGAAAGGTGCTTACCAAAAAGAGGGTGTAAATTAAGGCATAAACCATCTTCACGCTCCCACACACAATATTTTTGGACGCGAGCTCAAGAGAGCTACTCACTATAAGAAAAGGTAATAGTTAGCACCCAGAAAATGGAAAAGCAAGAATAAAGTTACAGATCAGATATCCGGGAAGAATTCCTATGATGCCAGAAGAAGAAATAGCAGTATAGCAGAAGATTTCACTCCTAATACTACTCAGTCCTCGAGCAGTGAAAGACATCAAAATAGCAGTTGTAATTCTGTAATCCAATCAGCGCTATAGCATATTAGAAGGAGAGCTGCACACATACTCAAAAACATTGGCATACATGGCACTTTTTGCGGCCAGCGTGAGCTGTAAGAAACTCAAAAGAAATGCACCGACGCCAGCAATCCACATGTCGAGAAAAGAGCCACCAAAAGACAGTGGACAGATGAGTACCGACAGGAGGAAGGCCAATATACAACGAAACCAGAGACCGTAAAGCGGTGCGGCAGTTAGTAGTTCCTCTAACTTCTGAGTTGCTTTTTTGGCACTGATCTCGTCGTGTACGACAGCACGGTAGATAAGGTGGACCTTGTGTAGACTTCCGAGTGCTAGGCGTCCGCTACACTTGATGAAATGTGTTTCTGATGTCATGGTATCTGAATCACCGAACGAACAGATAATAACACTTGGCAAGTGAATGAATTCGGCATCAACTTCAAGGATGCGGGCTGCGGCGACGAGTTGAGATTCAATACGATGGGAAGGTGCACCGAATGTCATGAGTGCACGGGCGAGTTTCAATAAAAAGTGGTGTCGATTTATGATCGCTGCAGAGAAAACATGAGAACCAGAATACGAAGAAATATTGATGGGCTTATTGATGGGCTTACATGTAACATTGAACTCAATTCTAGTCTTCTGTCTTTCCTTCCTTCTCTGGCGGTAATCCATTTGCCTTAGAACGTTGTGTCTTTCATCGTCGTAGTCATCCAAACAATCCTTCGTGATACCAGTGATTCTTGGATCATCAGCATCTATAATCTCCTCATCGTTCGAAAAGTTGGAGTTGTTACGCCTCAAGCGAATCCCACTTGTGAAACCATGCCCTGTGGAGCGCTCTGAATTGGTGCGACTCATGCCATCCTCGATGTATGACCCGCGACGTGATCGAGGCTCGTCATCAGATTGGTTGAGACCATAAAGTTCGATCAAGTTGGAGAGCACGCCACGACGCCGGCCGTCCCTGTCCATGTCCTTGTCTCTGTCCTGGTTATCACCAGCTCCAACACCTTCGCTATTCTCAACTTGATCCTCGCCATCACCCTTATCTTTCTGCATTCCCGCTTGCGCTTCAGGGTCGTTGAACGTTTGCATGCTATCTGCAAAGCTTACAGACCGGCGCAAAGAAGACCGCCGAGGATGAGGCGGCTGCTCTTCAGATGAGTATGGCTGTGCTGGAGAGCCTCCGTATGCTGCAGGTGGTGCAGGAATATCATAGGGATGCTGGTATGACGAGAGTGAATATTTCTTGTACGGATCAGTTTCCCCCGCTTCTTCATTATTCAGGGTGGTCTGACTGTCGTCTGATCCTCGACGAGTATCATGAGGAGCGACAGGGTCGTACTGATTCGATGGACCATCGTTGATTCCATCGCCAGCCTGCCTATCGTCATAAACGGGTATGTTCCACTGAGGTGAAGGAGAACCGCTGGGTTGTGTAGGAGGCGCAGGAATAGAAGATTCGGGCATAGAAGGTCCGTCCCGGTACGCGTAGATGTAAGGAGAGTCTCGATCGTCGAAACGTACTCTTGACTGCCGACGGCCGGAGGATGTGAAGGGGTGCACTGAGTTGATACTGGACATGGACGAGCGCCTGGGGAGAGGCGTTCGTTGGGGCTGGGGTATCTGTGAGAGTCGAATGGGTGGGTTGGAAGACATCGCAGTGAACAAAAGCGAGTCAAGCTTGAAAGTCCTGCTTTCGGAAAGTTGTCGGGTCGCTCAGCGCACGAAGTTGTGGTGGTTACTAGAAGCAGACTCGTCTGGTTACTGAGGATGTTTTATATATCAGTCAATAAATAAATATTCAGGATAGATTGCTACACTCACCCGCTGCTAGTTATCACCGGAAACTTTTCGTTATAATTCAATGTGTGCAGAGGGCTGTTTGAATCCCTAATGTGAGACTCACGCAAGTGAAGTGTAGTATTGACCAAGTGGATATCAGTTTGAATTCAAATGCAACCATGACTGACCCAATCTGGATTCGTAAGTCGAGTGATACATTTCAATCCAGACTTCATGCCTTGAGATATTAGAAGTGAAAGGGCGCGAGAGAAAACCTTTCGATCACCAGAACAACTCCACGGCCCATCAATTTAGTTCACCGCTGGATTACTGGACAGACTGCAAGCGTAAGCGAAATCGTATACATTCGTTCTTGAATTGCTTCCTCTGAACGATATGTATTTATAAATCCACGACTAAACAAGCAGTTAAAGAATGTTCCACAGCACCATGCAGGGATGTCCGAGGGGTGGAGGAGAATCGACCGAAAATATATAACAAAAGTTCCAGCTAAGGATGGGTATTAGACCGTGAAAGATTAAACAAATTTCTACGACATACCTTGTAGTGTTGGCTCGATACAAAAAAGACTGGTACACCCCCTGTTATACTTGGTTTGGTTGAAACCTCCACCTAACCCTTCCAATCTACAAATCGCAAACCAACCACACCTTCCGGTGCATCCTCAATATTCGAAAATCCCAAACGTTCATAGAAAATTCTCGCTTGCACATTCTTTGTATCCATACCAAGCCATACGGCATGCAAACCAGCGTTACGCATATGCTGTATTGCACGGTCGATAAGCTGCCTTCCAAGCCCGCGACGTTGATACGCTGGGAGGATGTCGATATGTAAATGGGCGGTAGAATAAGAAACGCAGGCGGCTGGGGCAGCTGGGGGCGAAAGGAAGTGTCGGATGATGCGCATATCTGCTTCAGTGGGCGTGGGGTGAGCTGAATCCGTCGACGGCTCTCCAGAGTCGGGTGGGAGATACGGCGAGTACTCAGCACGCAAGGCTGGCCACCACATTTCCTCTTCCGATTTCTCGAAAGCGCGAGTGTCTATAGCACCTAGAGTGTATCCAACCACTTTCTCTCCTTCGTCATCTTGATCAACGAGAACAAATCCCCAAGTACTGGCTGCATTCACATATGGCACTGCATATACAAGTCCTAGCATTTCTGGGAGATTATGAAGGTGCTCTGCAGTCGTGCCAGCATTTCCCGTGACAAGGCAGATGTGAGAGAGCGCGGGGGCGTCGCTGGATGTCGCTGGGCGGATGGAGATGGTCATCGAGGCTAGTTTGCTTGTCAGCTCAATATTTTACTTTAGTTAAGCCTTCTTACGAGCTTTTTGCGACGTTAAGACCAAGAAACGAATACCGATATACTATAGATGGGGACGTAGGAGGTCTCATTAACGTGATCACATGCATCTAGTTCCTAGATGACACAGCCACACGAATGACCTCCCAGCAATACTATACATGATGAGTGCAGACTTTTCACAGGACGTACCAGTCGCAACGCCAAACCCGGTAACGAACAGTAATACTATAGCATAATTCATGCTACTACGAGATCACTTCCCCCCACTTTGACCTGGCTATATTCGATCTTAAGCTGAAATTGAGATATCGAGTACATATATAGTGGATACAACCAGAAGTAGGTGTGATGATTCGTTTTCGTTATGTACATTTGATATTGGGCTGTCACGACATTTTCCACCTCAGAATGTGCAGGCCCTAGAAGTTATCGATTAATGCTTACCTTTCACTCATTTGCATCGTGGATAATATCCATTTCAGAAATCTGTGGAGGGTGCGCGATAAGTCCGTCTTGCTCTACTAATGGATCCGATAGCCAATGCTGCCAGTTACAAGCAACGAATTGATTGCCAATAGCACCGTCGTGCGTCATACACCCTAATGCAAAGAAAAAGTAGGATCAGGATAAGTAGCTTCTAGTGGTTATGGACAGCACGTACCACAAAATTGATGTGGTTTGTTGTAATCGTACACGACGCGGTGGCGAGCTGCACCTACCTCGGTAGGGAGCCGCAGAGGGTATTCAACAAGAGTTTGAGCAGCAGGACAATTGTGAAAAGTGATCCTTTCATTGTTACTGAACCTATGGGGATATATAACCCCGCTGAAAGTCTCTCAGTATCACAATGGCTGATAAGTGACGACATAGTTACCTAGTCGCAGTCGGCGTTGGGTTTGCAGCAATGCCCATACCCATTGCTAGGTTAACACTGGCTGAAGGAAACGCTGTAGCTACATAGTAGAAACATGGATTAACATTGACGGCTAGGAGTGAATCCGATGAACAATAACACACGTTGAACTACCTTGCCCCCGCTCAGGACTGGCGCAGATGGGCAAGTGCACGCTCGAGCGCCCACTTGAGCATAAACCTGGACAGCAAAGGAAACGATAGCCAACAACGCAAAGAAAGACCTCATACTGTGGGATGGGTTATTAGCAAGTATCCAACTTCTTAGTGATTATGTACCCTACCTGGGGCTTCACGCCACTTGTCATTGACGAGATCATAATGGCACAATGATATGATCTACTATAGGAAACAAAAGTACCGGTGAGAATGGGTACGCACTAGAAGCATTGACATGATGACATGGAAAGTTTATATGATTGAGTTTGCGACTGAACGGCCAAACGTAATGCAAAAATGAGGAGGAATTCCAACTACCGTGAAAAGCGGCGTTAAATATTTATCGGTTGACAGGGGTTATGCATCGTCTTGGAGTTGATTGATGCGCTGGTGCCTGGTGTGGAGTAAAGGTAGTAATAAGGCATGGATGCAAGCAAAAGGAGACTAGTTTTCAAAATATTCCAGGAGCCAAGGCTCTTGCGAACGGGTCATAGGGATGTGCGATGCGTCTTCCGGCCAGGTTTTTTGACAGGTAATATGATGGTGTGCATTCAGCTTATAACATGTAATGAAGGATGGGAAGAACAACATAGGTGGAGTCCTGCCATTTACGGTTAGCGCTCTGATGAACTCCATCTTCCCGGAATGCTCTCTCATTGGTCGATCAATTTTAACCATCCATATACGGATTTTTGTAGGCGCTGGATCATTATCTGTTGTAGATGATTGTTCGTAGATAATCTAGGAGCGCCTGTGAGATTATCTTCTATAGATTGATTGTAACAGATGTTGTTTTTTAGTTAAATTTCGCAGGATAGTGGGAAGCAGATGCTTACATAACACAGTACTTACATTCAGCCACACACTGTGGGGATCGACTTATATTAGCTACATCTGTAAAATAGAGTATATTTGCTGAGATATATATCGAAAGTGTAGAGTTCAGAATCAAGCCCCACCTAGTACCATATCCCTCGGCAGTAGCCACCATGCCGAATGGCAAGTCGTGTGGCAGCCGCATTCTTCGCTCACCCACAACAGTCAACAGAGCCAGGTGGAAGAGTCCTGGTGTATTCCTCTAGGAGGTCTGGAGGTGTGTTTTTGAATTCAGAGGGCATGTAGTTGTCACCGTGGTGAGAAGTCATGGTGGGTTGGATCTTGGTGGTTGTTGAAGCAGGAGAGCCAGCTCTCTTAAGGCAGAAGTCTGTGATGACGGCGACAGGAAAGAGGCGTCATCATGTGGAGTATTTGTCCCCCTGTTCAACGTGAATCCACAAGGGATGCGATCAACGCGAACAGCGAGCTCAAGCGCTCAAGGGTTGCCCAACATTGATAATTGCAGTTGGGGGGCACGGCGGCACACTCGGCACAATTCGGCGGAGTTATAATCATATCCACATCAGCAACACTTTGGCAAATGGTGTGTTCAAATTCCACAATACCTTGTTAATGAAAAATGTTGATATATGTAACAACCAAGAGTTAGTTACTCTGGTGCACACAGGAACACACTATAAAGGTAGTGACAAGGGAGTGGTTACCCCTTAAGCTGCAGAGAGTTTGTTAGTATACAACAGGAGGACTCACTGAGGAGTCTCCTTGATCTATTGGGGTTTATATACTACTACAGGTTTGTTTGTACATATGTACTATACAGTTGATGAAGGCAGTGGCTGATGATGTCATGGGCACAGCCCGTGTGACCAGTTCCACTGCGTGAGATACTTGTAGCTAAAAATAAGAAGGAAGGCAGCGCGGCACAAGAAAGAGGAGTTTGAACAAAAGGGAAAGTGCTGCATGGCACAGTGTGTGAAAACTATAAAAGAAAGTTGAAGAGGAGAATGAAAATTAAAGGGAAGGATCCGAAAATTGCGTTATCGTAACACTACCCCCCCTCTAAGGCTCGACTTCCAGGCGAGAGCAAATACCGGAGGTGGTAGTTAAATTTTCGGGCATAGGTTGAAAAAGAGAATTAAAAAGTTTTGAGTCCATGCCTCTAAGCTTCCTAGGAGCTGAGGGGTTTTTAGAATATAATCCGCAAACAGTGTTGCGGGAATTGTCCAGATGGGCTTCTGGTTCCCATGTTCTGTCCTTGTCTCCATAGCCCTTCCATAGGACTAGGAATTCTAGTTTTCCACGCTTCAAGCGTGCGTCCATCACCCGTTCGACTTCAAACTCTTCTTCACCTTCCTGGGTGACTACAACTGGACCGGGCTGGTCTACGCGCTGTCCCGGTAGCGGCCCTTTGTAAGGTTTCACACGGCTAATATTGACCGTGGGTACTACCTTCATTTGTTTTGGGAGTTCCAGCTCCACCACATTAGGTTTGACTTCCTCAATCCGGTAAGGACCAATCCACTTTTTGGTCAGTTTTCTAGACTGCCGATCTTTTAATTTTGAGTGGTCGGTATCTAACCAGACCAGGTCGCCGACCTTGTAGTCAGGGGCCTTAGAGTGTCTACACTCTGCCCTGTCTTTCATTTGCTCTGCAGTTCTAAATAGCGCCTTGTGTGTTTCTTCTAAGACAGACTTCATGTCTTTTGCCATGTTTCCTGCAGCCTTGTTCTTGCTTTTTCCAGGATCTACACCCATTCTGGGAAGGTACAATCTCGTCACCTCAAATGGTGCCTTTCCTGTAGCCGACAACTGCTTGATGTTATATGAGAATTGGGCTATCTTTAGCCACTTGGCCCAATCTGTCTGTCTGTCATTAATAAATATTCAGAGATACTGTTTCAACTCCTGGTTGATTCTCTCCGTTTGTCTATCAGTCCGCAGATGGAACACCGTTGATAATTTATGTTTGATGCCCAGCATCTGGCATAATTCTTTCGTAAATTTGCTAGCAAATTGTGGTCCCCTATTGGAGATAACGGTTTCCGGTAATCCATGGATAGACCATACAAAATCTTGAAATAAGAATAAGTCTGCTGTACCTGCGGCGGTAATAGTTATGTTGGTGGGGATAAACACCACTTCTTTGGAGAAGCAATCTACCACCACCATTACTGAATCATACCCATTTGATTCGGGTAGATCCGTCGTGAAGTCGACCAATATATCCTGCCAGGGACCAGCTGGTATCAAATTTGGCATAAGTTTACTGGCCAGCGGTTGATGAGAGTTCTTAGCCATGGCACATCTCAGACAGGATTTTACGTATTCTTGTACGTCTTTGACCATGCCAGGCCACATGTAGTTTCTGGAGATCAACTCCATTGTTTGTTGCCACCCAGGGTGCCCAGCCACTGGAGTGTCGTGATGTCTGTCTATTGCCTTGATCCTTGCGGACTCAGGCACATAGATTTTATTTTTAAAATGGAAGAGCCCATCTTTCCATGAATAGTTATCATTGCCGTCAAGGCGCGCTTTCTCTTCTGAGGAGATGTCTTTCTTGAAGACTTCCAGAAGATCGGAATCCTGCCCGATTCTAACATTGGCAACCCTTGATTAGTCTATCAGGGTGACACCTTTGTTGTCATTTTCTATGCCGTGGGCATGATCCTCTCTTCTGGACAAAGTGTCTGCTTTCCCCATAGAACTTCCAGGCTTATGAATTAATTTATAATTGAACCTAGACAAGTATACCGCGTAGCGGGCCTGTCTCCGGTTCAAGTCTCGGGCTGTCATAAAATACTCCAGATTCTTATGATCAGTCCAAATTTCGAATTGGTGCCTAGCACCTTCTAAGTAATGCCGCCAGTGCTCTAAAGCTCTAATAATGGCCAGCATCTCTTTATCGTAAATTTGATAGTTGCGCACTGTAGGCGACAAACTATGCGATAAATAGGCACAAGGCCTCCAAAGATTGTCAGGGCATTTAATTGATAAAACAGCCCCAGTAGCAAAATCAGAAGAGTTGGTTTCTAGCCAGAACTCTTTGTCTAATTCTGGAAATGCTAATATGGGCGCTGTTGTAAACGCCTGCTTAAGCTTATCAAAAGCTTCCTGTTCTTTGGCGCCCCAATGCCAAACAATATCCTTTTTAGTGAGATCGTTCAACGGTCCCGTTATCTTTGCGAAGTTTTCGACAAATCTTTGGTAGAAATTGCCTAAGCCAAGGAAGGCCCTAACTCCTTTAACGCGAGTAGGTTTGGGCCAGTCCAATATAGCTTGAACTTTCTCAGGGTCCATCCTGATTCCGTTCTGGCCAATTATCATCATACCAAGGAAGTCTACGTCCTTCACTTTAAAATGACATTTCTCGGGTTTGACAAATAGGTCCCGTTCCTGTAAGCGTTGAAGAACTTCTTGCATGATCCTGTCATGCTCAGCCTCATCGTCCAACTTCATAAATATTAACAAATCATCAATGTAAATGATGACACAGTTTTCCATATCCGCAAAGATCTTGTTTATCATGCTCTGGAAGGTCGCCGGTGAATTGGTCAACCCAAAGAACATGACGAGGGGTTCGAAGGATCCTCGGTGGCATGTGAACGCTGCCTTCCAAGCATCTTCTTCTTTGATGCGTACATTATTGTACCCCCATCTGAGATCCATCTTTGCCAAGATTTTGGCACCAGCCAACTTGTCTACTAACTGGCTAATCAAAGGCAGCGGATAAGCATTTTTAACCGTGTGCTCATTCACGTAACGATAGTCCATAATCATACGCTTCTTACCATCCTTTTTAGGAATGAAGAACACCGGGGACGTCATAGGGCTTTTGAAAGGTCTGCCTTCCTAAGCTGTTCATCTATGAAACTTGACACCTCATCTCTTTCTGGAGCAGAGAGTGGTATCATGTGTCCTTTTCTCAGTTTGAAGGTGTCCTTCAAATCTATAGCATGGTCCCAAGGCTTAGCCTCTGGGAAGCGCTCTGATTTATGTTTTGAAAAGACTTT